TACTTTCGGGTGCAAGGTTTGATCTTGTGCATACCAACACGCACACGCGTCATCATCTCATCGACCTCCTGATAGACGTCTTCCATGCCAACTTCCTCCTCGGTTTCCCGTCCTTGCTTGTGACGGTGCTGGCGTGGCAGGAAGTAAAGCTTGCGCAGGATGTTGTCGACCTTCACGAAGGCACTGACATAAGATCCGTTCTGCTTGTTCTTCACCTTTCCGAACAAACAGAGGCTACCGTTGACTTCTGTGTAGTCGAGCCAGAACATTCGCAGACTTCCATCTTCTTCCACAACATCCTGAGCACGCAGCTTTCCAAAGGACCGCATCTCCGGGGCCGGGCTGCTAAGGACATTAAGCTTGTCTCTCACATCATTCCAAGAAGGATCCATGACTTCCGGGGCGGCCTTGGCTGGTGATGAGCTTGCAGGGGTCGGGAGAATCTCTTTCTTGAGCTTCGGCGGAGGCCGACTGCCGGTCATATTGATGTTGGCTGTCTTTGTGCCTGCGCTGACAGTCGCTTGTGCCACATCCATCATATCAATATCTTCATCATCAGATACCTCGTTCTTGATGATTGGAACAATCGTCTTACGCTCCACGGCCTTGCTGATGGGAGATGAGGGTAGGGGGTCGTTCATGTCCACATCGTCATCGTCGACCATGGGAAGCGGGCCATCCGAGTCGAGATTGGGTTGTTCCAACTTGACTGGTGAACTTGGCATATCATTTTCGTCTTTCGGGCGAACCTTTTCGCTGCGTCGCTTCTCGGACAAAGGCGGGGAGAGCACACGAACTTTGCGTCGGGCATCGGACTTGATGAGATTTCGCGTAGGAACGTGTTTGCGAACGACGTTTGTATCGACTTCTCCGAGCAAGTCTGCCATGAAGGCATCATCTTCGGCGGTGGCAACGGGCTAGTCGTAGTCGGTCTTTGTTAGACGGGACACCTGCGAGGGAGGGTACAGGGAGTGGAGCGGAGCAGAAATGAACTCACCTTGGGCTTTGGTGCGCTTGCCGCAGAAGTTCCGCTGTTGAAGTATTTCGAGATTCCATTATTAATCTTTTCCTTCCGTTGTTTCTCCTCCTCACGCTTTCGCTTGGCAGCTTTGCTTTGTGCGGGTAATTCGTCGCTATCGTCACTGTCGTATTCTGCGGTGTGTTCGTTCCAAACTTCTCGCCCATCGTCTGCGTATCCGGCTCCATTGTCGTCGACAACGAAGTCGTCCTCGTCAAGACGGTCGCGAATGATCTTCTTGTAGCCGTCATCGTCGACTTCTTCGTAAATGTCGCCTTGTTCCTCGACTTCGTAGGTGTCGATGCGTTTTTTGCCGGAGGCACGGAGGGCCTTCAGCTCAGCCAATCTCTCACGAGCAGAAGGCATGGCTATTGGTGTTTTGGACGAATGCCCATAAACAGAATGGGTCTGGGAAGCAACAATGGTTGCGGGGGTGAGGAAATACAAGGGAGATCTTCGATCGCGCTTTCGACGGAGCGCGACGCGCAGCGCGGCGCGTTGAGTGGTTTAGTAATGAATTGCGGCCTTGGTGCCTTAACCACCAGTCCTAGTTAGGCCTTGACTTGGGAAGTCATATATTCACACCAATTAGTTATTCATTTTAGTGAGGTAGAACATAATCCTTACAATACAAATATAAGTGCAATTGGCTTGGCAAACTCATCTCACCAGGGAATCAATGGTGATTTACACGGCGGGGAAAACGGGCAGTCTGAAATTGAAAAGATGGGTTTAATACAGTCCTATGTTAAAGTCGAGCCTGCAGTGGCAAGATTTAACCTCACCTAGGTGCCAGACAGAGACACTAGAGTATTACTAAGTCAATAGAACAGGAGCTGGGTACTCATTGCCCAGGTATGAATGATAAGTAGATGTTTAGATAGAACATGGTTGAGTTTGGATTGCCGAGTTACAAGGCCAATTATTCGAGGTATAGTATAGAACCGTTTATTGAAGGCTGTACATGTTAACATTTGGGATTGCTGATCGTTAGAGGGGTTCATTCTTTGACCCGGAGGCTCTAAGATCCGTTAGTTACTAGTACCTAGCAGGTAGCAAGAGAGAAGTACTCTTAGTACTATGTTGACCTGCTACGAGTGCTGGTGTCTTTACCGGCGTACGCAAAGTCAAGCCTTGTAGTCAGGTGTTGCCAGTGCTTGATACATCTGATACATCTGCAGTCTGGGACGGCCAGTCGGCAGAGCAGCAAAGATAACGTTTAGACATCCTGGGATGGAACCAAAAATTGAACAAGATAAAAACCCGGTGTTATTTGAGCAGATTTTCCTGGCCTATGCTAGGTATGTTTTCCAGCCGTGAGAAACAGCGCCAGTAAAAAAAAGAACATAGGATCTCCATCCTCTCCACACCCAGTCAGTAAAACCGGTACCGGGATCAAGGACCGCTTTCCGAACTGAATGTCGATCCTACTTCCACGAGACAGCCAAGCTTTTTCTTTCAAATCAAACAAAAGCTCCTCATGGCACAACCGTAATCCTCCCTAGAAACCCAATCCACCAAGAAGACAAATGGAAACAGAACAAGTCGTAAGATGAGATATGAAAAGACATGAACGTTCCACCCTCCTTTCCGTTTTTTTGATAAATTCTCCTCTCTTTTTTCGCCCGCGTAAGGATATACACTGGTAGCGAGGGGAATTTAACGGTAGGACTTCTGGTAACGGGCGCGGGCACCGCGACCACCGAACTTCTTGGGCTCCGCGCGGCGGTTGTCGGCGACCAGCAGGGTGCGGTCGTACTGGGCGAAAGCCTGCTTGAGCTGGTTCTTGGAGTGCTCATCGACGTACTTCTGGTAATAAGCGACGATGGACTTGGCGATGGCCTGACGGATGGCGTAGACCTGGGAGGTGTGACCACCACCGGTGACACGGACGCGGATGTCAATACCGGCGAACTTGTCCTGGCCGACGATCAGGAGGGGCTCGTAGACCTGAATTGAAGAGAGTCTGTCAGAAAATCGGTTCGTCGCATAACATTGCCGCCAGCCAGTATTCCAATATAATCGTGATTCCTCCTCTTGTGGTTGTTGTGTTGCCCCATTGGCGTGGCTGGCGGCAAAAGTTGGTGTGCGGTTGTGTGGAGCGTACCTTGAAGCGGAGGATCTCGGGCTGGACCAGAGAGATGGGCTGGCCGTTAACCTTGATGAGGCCCTTGCCTTGCTGTAAATCGAAAAAGTCTCAGCGTGCTGTTCATTCATGATGTAGTGAAAACCCCCATGCGCCAAATGTGACCAATGTGTCCTTCCATCACTGCTATCCCACAACATCTCAAATTTCGGATTCCTTCGATAACCAGTCACATTTCGTTGTCGACACCATTTCCCAGTCACTTCTTTGGCTTTCCTTCACATTGTTCCATTTGGCGCAGGGGGAGAGTATAAATCGGGGGGTGGGTGGGTTTGTGTGGCATCGTCTTCATACCTTGCAGTGGGCGACAGCGGTGGCTATTGAAAATCGAACATCAGCACTTCAATCTTCTCCATGAACAGGTCGTATTTCGCGAAACTCACCCGTCTTCTTCTTGCCGAAGCATTGCACACTCGGGACGGAAGCCATGGTGGGTAAAATGGCCCTGGTCGGTTGTCGATAGGGAGGGAGTGTGTTGTCGTGGGAGATGGAAAAGAAGTCGACCGCGAATTCCCACACTACGGCGATTCGCCTGAATTGCCCTTGAAAGTGCGGGTTTCGCTTAGAGCTGGGCTAACCCGGATTTGGTTAGTGTCATTTGACGCTAGGGCTTGGATCACATGATCGTTGCTGACTGATGCGTCGGAGCTCGGGGGCAGAAAGTTCGGGGAACTCTGAACTCTGCTGGGCCGCAAAGGATCGCGTGTTTGGCCTGCTATCACTCCATTCCCCCTCCCTCCTTTACATTTGACAAGATGTCGCAAACCGTCGGCAAGGTGTGTACTGGCTGAAATTGCTGGATACCCATATATCTCCCCGCAATTCCCGCAGAATAGCCCGTAAGACTAACATATATCTTTCTCAGACCCGTCTTGCTTATTCTCGAGCGTGGCATTATGTCGATGCTGGCTCCGACTCACGCTCTCTCGGCCGTCTGGCTTCCTCAATCGCCCTCGTGCTGATGGGCAAGAACAAGCCCATCTACGATCCCTCGACGGACTGCGGTGACTACGTCGTGGTTGCGGGCTGCCATGATCTGCGAACAACCGGAAAGAAACGCTTCCAGAAGCTGTACTATACCCACACAACTCGCCCCGGTAGCTTGAAGAGTATGACAATGGACCAAATGTTTGCCAAATGGGGTGGTGGAGAGGTATTGCGCCGCGCTGTGAAGGGCATGCTACCCAAGAACCGCCTTCAGGAGCCCCGGCTGGCTCGGCTCAAGAGTAAGTTTTCCGGAGGAGAACTCTGAGCGCGGATGGTCAAGACTCGCTCCGCGCAATTGGTGGCATTACTGACATATATGATATAGCTTTCGAAGGCCTCTCCCATCCCTACAAGGAGAACATCGTCAAGTTTGGAAACGAATCGGTTCTGAGTAACCCCAAGGTGCAAGAAGCCTTCAAGGAGGCCAAGACATCCGCATAATTCTTTTCCTTCTGTCTCGCATTATTCAATTATTACGCCCTCGCCCGGGGGCTGTCTGTATTCTATTTCTTTGTTATGATCCAAAACCGCAAGCGCATGGGTCCGGAGTCCATTTTTTGTTCTTGGGAGTGACATTTCTCTTCTATGTTTTTTTATGGTTTTTCAACTACAAAGGTCTCTTCTTGGAATGTACTTATATAGCAGACCGAATGGAAATAAAAAAGAAATGTGTTCCGAAATGACATTGGGCCGTGTCGATCCACTCCCAGTGGTTGGTATATAGAGACATACTATGTACAGGGAAACTCCATGCTAACAAAGAAATCCGACGTCGGTTTTGACCGATACGGTGGCATTTACAGGCGGGCCTTCTGGTTGGCACGGCCGACGGTGCACTTGATGAGACCGTTAGGGTTGGACTGGGGGGGCGTAAACCTCGGCGTCCTTGCCAGTGTTCTTGGTGCCCTTGTGCCAGCTGAGATCTGTAAATGAGTTAGTCTAGGTTTCAAGCAGTATACAGTCGGAAAGGTTATATAGGACTTACCGATCTCGAAGTAGTGGTTGTTGGGCAGAGCGTAGTCGACAGTGTCGAGCAGAGGCTCAGCGGCGAGGATGATCTCTCCCATCTTATACATAGTAGCCTGCACACTGGCGCTGTTGTCCTCGGCAAAGGTCTTGAGAGTGGTGTTGCGGGCAACCTCGTAGGCGGGGTTGAACCTGCGGGCGTTGGCCTTGACCTGAGAGAGGTTGCTGAAGCGGCGCCACTGCCAGTCGGCGGCAACGTCAGTGCTGAGAATACGGTCCCAGGTCTCCTTGAGGGTGGTGAACTCGTCACGGAGGAAGCCATGGAACTGCGAGCCAGTGCTCTTGAGCACGGTCAGGTTCTTGATGGAAGACTGAATGTCGATGCCCCTGCCCTCGTGGACATCAACCTGGACATTGCGGGTCTCACCACCCTCCTTGACGAAAGAGTGAGGGTGAGGCTTGCCATCAACGTCCATGCGCACCCAGCGGTGGGTAACAATGTTGACGTGAGCGGCGTGGATGTGACTGTACTTCTCGACGAAGTGCGTGCCGAGGATGGAGCCGAACAGCTCCGGGGGAGTAACGGGCTGTTGCTTGGCGGTGATGTAGATAGTGTTCTTGATGGAGTCGGTAGCGACGACAACACTGTTGTCGGCCTTAGTGTAGCTGTAAACCGCTTTTGTTAGCTCTGTGTCGAGCTGCGTTTTTGAGAGAAGCGCGTCCCCGCACGCAGATAAGGGATCTTCGTCTCAAGCCTCCAACTATGGGAATGAATGAATGAGTGAAGAACTTACGAGGTCTCAATATCACCCTCGAGCAGAACGCAGACGGTCATCTCAACAACAGTCTGGACGCCAGTTTTCTCATCGCGGTGGACCTTGTACACGCGGACATTGTCCTTGCCATAGCGGGCGGCGGCGAGAGCACTCATTGTGAAATTTGGGGGAGGAGTTGGAGGTGGAGATGGAGATGGAGATAAGATCGACGAGAAATCGAAGGGTGCCGGAACTGGACGTGAGGTAGAGAAGATGGAATTGAAGCGGAGACTCAACGAGCTGATCTGGAGTCAAGACAGCGGTCGCGGCAACGTAAAGTATTTATTTGGCCAGCACATGGTCTGATGCGCGCGGGCGAGTGAAGGCATCGGCGGGCTCCGATGCCCGCACGACGGCCGCGCCCCCCACACCTCGAGAGACAATCTTGGACCATTGGAGAGCTTATGCTTATCGGACCCCCTGCAAACGGTTCAAACTGGCGCCTGTGCCACCTGGGATTTGCTGACCACCTGGGCAGATCCCGGGGGTGAGCAGGTCCATCCTGTTACTCCGTGCTCACCCTCTACCCCAGACTCTCGGAGGCCAACCGACGTGTCGCTTTCGCGTTACTCCCTTAGCGGGGAGTAGCTTGCGATTATCCGAAATCCGTATCCGAAAATGCGAAAATGCGAATCCCGAGTCCACTCTGCTGCTCCCTTACTCGTCTTTTTTTTGGACCTGTGGGAACCCAGGGATTTGAAGGCCTCCACTTCCGTCGGCGACCTCCACCTGCACCTGTCCTCGCGGCCACCTGCGGTTGTCACTTTCTGAGGGATTTCTGCTCGGGATTTCTGCTCGGGATTTCGCATGCATTTGCATTTTGGGAGAGAGGAGAGGAAAGAATGAGAGTCAATGTAGGCGGTGCTGTGCGATCTCATTTCAGCCAAAAAAACACTGCTCTTTTCTCTTTCCTGGCAGTCGCGACTTTGTGAACGATAACTCCGTGCCTTCCAGGTTTGCAGCTGCACCACCACTACAACATTCTACTACTACAACTACAACTACTAGTAGTACTAGTAGTACTAGTAGTCCCGTACTAGCTACATACTTAGCATGGAGAGAGGTCTCAAGGAGAGCGGAGGATCTTCTATGAAAATCGTCTTACAGGACGACATCTCCATACCCCATAAGACCTTCTAAGTTCTAACATCAGCGCTAATCATGAATACGATGCTTCCAGAGGACCACGCAAGGTGAATTATCTGAACAAATTTAGAGCATCTAATTGACTAAGTCTGGCTGCTTGGTTAAATATGAAGGGTCATATCCATAATAGAAGACCCACCAGCTAATGAATCCAAGAAAAGCCACTTCTAGTTTAGTTTGCAACCCACGAATCGGAGGTGGTCCTTGTAAACGATAGGCGAGCTTAAATCCTGATGCATCGGATCGACCGCGCTATTCCCATCCCAGTGGCTGTCACAAGGAAAGCACACTGCGTGGGCATGGACTTAACTTGCCAACCAATTCAAATAGTAGTTAACTGTCTGTAGCACGGGTGAATTGGCTCATGCTACAATGCTTCAAGTTACCAAGGACGATAAGTCCCCAACATCGCAAGTTCTATGGGTATATCAACAAAGCGACAGTCCGTTCCCAAAAAGGAAATCGCCATATTCTAGCCCCTGAGGTGTGTAGGGGGGTTTCTTTTCTCTATAAATAATTACAAAACAGAAATTCGACTAGAGTCCTATATAAAATATATACCAAAATCCGAGAAATGGGGCAGTGAGAGCAAAAAAGGAAAAAAGAGAAAAGTCGGGCCCCCGAGTCGAACGGGGATTACTTACAGCACTCGAAGTCTGGAAGGGTATGTCCCCTTGTACTAACCCGGCGGATTTGGAAAGTATGGATGCATTTACCCTCATCACCGAGCAAATCTCCGAATTGGATGTCGAAGGTCGTATACCTGGCTCAGGTACCGTGGCTGCATAGTAGTACGAAGCAGCCAAATGGCAGATGGCCAATTGGTGTTTGTTATTACATTTCTGTACTCGGTAGGTCTATATCACATCTACATTGAGCATATCAAAGAGATATAGGTATCCCCATTGGGAATCAATATAGGTATACATGTGACAAGCTTGCTCCATTGGTACTGGTACTTTACCTAGGTAAAATAATAGTACCTAGGTATACTTGCTTGACTATTGACTTCCAGGAAGTGTATGCGTACGAAGCTCCAGGGCTCAATATTAAGCTTCGAAACCACTGTGCAAAAATTTTAAAATTACTACCTTGCAGCCTCTCAGAGGCTTTCTTAAACCACCATGACGCTTTATTACATTACCTAGTCTCAAAAGAGCTGGTTCTCAGCTGGTATCTTATTGTTTGTAGTGGGTGGCTTTTTTGCGTTTCCCTGCTATCCTCTCAAGTCTCCCGGGTTACAATAAATCAGATGGAATGCGGAGAGAATTGAGATGATGGTTCGCTGGTCCGTCGGCTCGATAGACTTCGCAAAAGCCAGTGGCATGTTCAATGACTAAGCGCGCCAAAGGATAAAGTAAACATTCCAAGTTTGGCCAGCAACCCCTAGTTTGAGATGGATAAGAGAAGATGATGGGACTATGTTGATTTATTTCATCACTAGACCCAAAGATCCCTTCATCTGCCGGGTATTACCATCTCTACCTCCCTTTGCAAGTTTCCTTCCACATCTTGCTGTCAAACGAAAAAATGTGCCGATCAAAACTTGCGATCACGCTTTTCTTGCTAATTTCAGTGAATGCAAGGACCCACGAAGAGAGAGAATCACAATATGACTTTGTTATTGTTGGAGGAGGTACAAGTGGCTTGGTTGTTGCCAACAGACTTTCAGAAATGAGCGACGTCACTGTGGCTGTCATCGAAGCTGGAGATTCGGTTCTTAACAATTCAAATGTGACCAGCGTTACAGGATACGGTCGTAGCTTCGGAACTGCTATTGACTGGCAATACCAAACCGAGGACCAAAAGTACGCCGGAGGATCGAAACAGATTATGCGCGCCGGAAAGGCTATAGGAGGTACAAGCACTATTAACGGTAAGTGGTGCTCCTATACCTCTCATGAATTCTTTTTTTCATGCTAATTCTAATTCATCCGGCCAGGCATGTCATACACTCGGGCGCAAAATGTGCAAATTGACAGTTGGGAATCACTTGGAAACAAAGGATGGAATTGGCAGAGCCTATTCCCTTACTACATGAAATCAGAGGGATTCCAGGTACCCACTCAAGACCAAATTTCGTTCGGTGCAGATTACTACTCGGACTATCATGGAGAGCATGGTCCGATGAAAGTCGGCTGGCCGAAATTCTTGACCAACAGCACAGTACTTCCTGCACTTGACGAATCCTTTAACCATCTAGGTGTCCCTTATAATCGTGACGTTAATGGCGGCCTTATGGTTGGGCTAACCTCTCATCCTAATACAATCGATAGCGAGGCAAACGTTCGCCATGATGCTGCCAGAGCATACTACTGGCCATATCAAAGTCGACCTAACCTCAAGATTATCTCCAATACGCACGCGAACAAAATAATTTGGGGCAATGATTCGGACGGTGACGCAGTCGCAATTGGAGTCGAAGTTAACAATATAAATGGAAAGCAAATAATACACGCATCAAAGGAGGTGATCTTGTCAGCTGGATCTTTGAAGTCACCTGCCCTCTTGGAGTTGTCCGGCATTGGCAACCCCGATATTCTCAACAAATACGATATACCCGTCAAAGTCAACATTTCCACCGTTGGAGAGAACTTGCAGGATCAAACAAACAACGGTCTCTCCTACGAGGGAAAGGAGTTTTGGCTGGGCTCACCGACTTTCTCCGCTTTACCGTCCGCCGACCAGCTATACGGAGAAAGTTTCTATACTATCGCCTCCAACGTTAATTCCAGTCTCGCCGACTACGCCGAAACCATCGCCAACTCCTCAAATGGTGCGCTCAAAGCATCTAACCTTCTCGCTGTATTCCAGGTTCAGTGGGATTTGATCTTCAGATCAAAAGTTCCATTTGCGGAGATCGTGTTCCTCCCAATTGCACACACATTTTCTGTTGAATATTGGCCTCTACTTCCTTTCTCAAGAGGCAGTATACACATTAAATCCGCAGACCCCTCGGAACCGGCAGCAATCAATCCGAATTACTTTATGTTCGAGCAAGATCTTACTACGCAGTCCGATGTGGCTTGGTATATCCGGAAGGTATTCGGTACTCGTCCTCTGGCAGATCTCGTGGGAGACGAGCGTTCACCAGGACTGGAGCATGTTCCTGAGAATGCATCCGACTCTACTTGGAATAGCTGGGTTAAGGCCAACTGTCAGTACCTCCAATTGTATCCCAAATGTCCTAGAAGGTTGGTTGCTGACTCCCCATCTAGACAGATCAAACTTCCACCCAGTTGGCACTGCTAGTATGCTTCCCCGGAACAAGGGTGGAGTTGTGAACACCGATCTCAAGGTTTACGGTACCAAGAATGTCCGGGTCATTGATGCATCTGTATTACCATACCAACTTTGTGGACATTTGACAAGCACTCTTTATGCCATGGCCGAAAGGGCGTCAGATCTGATCAAGAGGAGATATACATTTTGAATGAAACTTAACGACATCCACCCAAGACAATAAACCTCCAAAGCACCTAGTCTTAAGCATCGTGTATGGCTTCCGCGTGGCCACAACTACAACAAGGATAGCCTCCCTCTGGGTGATATCCTGCCATTTGAAACCCCGTGCATCTACACCGGTAGCCTTCTTTGTCATATCCAGGACATTTGACCTTGTAGTCACCACGGAAGAGGAAGGGCGTTGTAAGGAACTCGAGCCACGCCATAACTTTAGGCGCTTGGGTTTGGGCTCTGATGCTGGAGTCTTCTTTAAGTAGGAGCTTGATAAATAAAACAGAGAAAATAAGGACGACTTATTTACTTACAGTCAGTCAGGACCGCAAACTGAATTCAAAACAGAAATATCCAGACGGATGGCAGTTTGACGAGAATCAGATGATGGAGAAGGAGAAGAAGTATTCGTTCAACCATCCCGACTTTTGCATAGGAAGTGGTGCCTAACAGATGCCCGATTTACCCTGCATACTTTAGGCCAGCCGACTTAGCAAAAGGTGTCGACTCAAAATGAAGCAAGAGCGCCACTAGGCCTTAACAAAATACCCCTTACCTCTACCCTACTAGATTATATGCGAGGACCAAGGCTTCTAAGTTTTGACGTACATATCCTCATTACGCAGAATTAAAACTCGCAACAAATTAATCGTCTGACAGTTGTCGGGGTAAAGACATGGTGAAAATCATCGGGGACTGCAAGTTCGTAGCAATCGTCGAATATTCTCGGTAGATGATGAGAGATGGAACCCGCAATCATCTCAGAAGCGAGACTGTCCAGTTCCAATTATAATAAAATCCACAAGCGCGATATCGCCGGAGAGTTTCCCTAGGGAGGTCGATGGGGGAACCTTAGAAGCTTAACATGATTTGCTGGTTAAATCATTCGCGGTCGATATACCCTCAAACACTTCATGAAACTGCGCTGCTCATTGAACCATTAATAGCTCGCCCCTAGCCAAATCATCGATCGAGTCAAGCTTGTAGATGTGAATAGACGTCGAAATCTGGGATCATAGAAAACAAAGTGCTTGGAGTGACTTTGTATGTACGATGTGATTTTCACCAGGATCGGGGTGAACGGCGGGATATTCGACAGAGCGATTAAGTGACCGGAGGCCCAGTTTTGAAGCATTCAAGTCGAAGCGCAAGAACAAAATACCTACTAGAATAGGCTATTCGATTGCAATTGATATGAATTGAAGCAAGCAGGTAGGCAAGCATTGAAGCAACGGGCGGATCAACTCTAAATAATGCCCGAATCTAGCAGATGGAGAGGAAGAAGTGGGTCACAGATCGCCAGAACTTTCCCCTTGAGGTTAACATCAGGCAGAGACGTCACTGGGAGGTCCGCGGGCTCCGCGATTAAAATCTGGGGACGTTATCGAGGATGTCTTTGAAGTGGGATGTTCTAATTGAAATTGAATCTCGTGGCCAGGTAGCAGGGGATATAATAACTTCTTATCCGCCCATAAAAACCACCCACTCCTCACACCCAACTTCCGCTCCTCCAACTTAATTCAACGAAGCCTCAATGTTCAGTTGATAGGACTTGTCTTCCAAGGTTAAGGTATGTTCTCGTCCTTATCCATCCACGGAACCACTTCCGGACAACGAGTCACTGACCTCAACGCTAGAGTGATATAAACTGTTCTACTTTACACTTCCCTACTACTACTACTCAATCGGAAGCCCCAACCTCATCTACCCACAACTTGAATCAAATCACCACGCAAACCACCGCAATCATGTCAGACAAAAACCAGCTTGGACAATACATCTACCTCCCCGAAACAACCCCCCACCTCGCCACAATCCTCAGCTTCCCATCCCGAGCCTCAACCTTCCCATCCCTCTACGAAAAGACCTGCACCGAAATCATCGACCTCGCAGCAACAATCGCCCACTTCGAGCCCGTACGCCTCCACGTCCGACCTGAAGACCAAGACCGAGCCCAGCACCTACTAAGCAACCGCCTACAAGCCAACACTACCACACCCACACCCACACCCACACCCACACCCGCAGAACAACTTCAATCCCGCATAACTCTCATCCCCGCCCCAACAAACCACATCTGGGTCCGCGATACAGGACCCATGTACGTCCGCAGCGCGGCGGACCCAACCAACCGACACGCGATAGACTTCCAATTCTGCGAATGGGGCAATAGCACCAGCGAATTGATCTACAACCCCAGTCCAGACAAAAAGGGTGCACTACCCGATGGATCAGACTGGCCAGTTCTAGACGCCGAACGGCGTCGGGAAAACACTGCATTTGCGGCGCGGGTCTTGGAGCTCGAGGGGGCTGGGGTGTCGAGGGTTATTTCCAAGGTCAGGCTTGAGGGTGGTGGGATTGAGATGGATGGGGAAGGAACGTTTATGGCTATGGAGAGTAGTGTGACTGTTCCTTCTAGGAATGAGGGACTCTCCAAGACTGAAATTGAGGACGAATTGATCAGATTGCTTGGTGTTAGGAAATTTATTTGGATTCCAGGTCGGGAGGGGTTGGATATTACGGATTATCATATTGATGCTGAGGCGAGGTTTATTCGGCCTGGTGTTGTTGTTGTTGGGAAACCGCATGTCAAGTGTAAGAAGGTGTTTTGGGATGTTTATTACGAGATGCGTCAGATTTTGGATGCGGCGGTTGATGCGCGCGGGAGAAAGCTTGAGGTTATTGATATTGAGGAGCCGGATCCGACGATCTTGCAGGGTGATGTGCCGGGGGAGGAGACGGATGTTGCGGCTTCGTATGTGAATTTTTACTTCACGAATGGTGGGTTGGTGATTCCTGCTTTTGGGGATGCGGAGATGGATCGGAGGGCTTTGGAGACGCTGCAGATGTTGGTTCCTGAGAGGGAGGTTAGGCAGGTTGCCGTGAACGCGCTGCCCAGGACTGGGGGGGGTGTTGCACTGTACTACGCAACAAGTACTATGATCGTCTCTTCTCTTTGCCGCGGCAGGGAGGTTCTCTCAGGGCTGGCTGTGGGGTTATTTGATTGGTGAATCGTTTTGTGGGAGTTCTCTGGGAGCGTATGTATATCATCTTGTGTTATTTTGGCATCATATCAGATCACAATTAGAGGAGACTACTAGTACTAGTATCAATATTATACAGCAACGGCTTCAAGTTGGCAGAGGTCTTGCTTTCGTTCGTACAACTAAGACTAGCTCATGTAATTCCTTACAGGATCTCGAACAATAAAAAAAAATGTAATCTGGACTTGGCTGTACATGAAATCCAGTCTCACTTCAAAAGAAAACTAGAATGTAGAACCGGGCCTAGTGCTATCACCACAAATCACCACCAGCCTTGCAAAAGCGTAGCAGAGCCACGGAACAAAGTGAGATGGAATGGAGAAACAACTAAAACCGCCACCGTTGTAAACTGCAAATGTGTATATCTTTTTTCTTTTCTTGTAAATCCATCAAGAAAAGCCAAACACTCCAGCCCGGAAAGGCAGGGCCACTCCAATCAAATTATTCAACGCCATTCTCAAAACGCCTAGTCAACGGATCCAACACCAGAAATGACCATAGCCCAAAGCAGAATCCAGAAATTAAATGGAAGGGAAAGGAAAGGAAAACAGAGTCGGACATGCAATCGTAAGAGGGGAGGGCGTGGCATAGCATAGCATTAGCAACATGTAGTTGGTGAGAGAGATAGGGAGAAGCAGAGGCAGAGATGGACATGGCACACAGAAACGAAACGAATCACAGCACCGGTTTTGTTCGTCTTCATCCAACAGAATCAAGTCAAGACAAGTCGTAGATCTTAGATTTTACCCCGTCCCAAAATATTCAATATAGAGATCTCTCACGGAATAAAGTTCACAGGCTCAACTGGTCGATACTTCCAACTCTCCCACCACCACCAAGTCGGCCACCGCCCTTGGTCACCATTCCCAAGCGGTAGAAGCGCTCTTCGCCAGCCGGTGTCCGGCCACCGATATACCACTTCTCGGGACCGAGAGCATCACGAAAACCGCCCGATCCACTGGAAGAATCGCTGCCGCGGCGTTGACGCTCTGGACCGCGATTGATTGGGATCGGCGTTGATGATGATGATGGTGTTGGGGGTGGAGATGCGGTGAGCGGGGTGTCTGGAGCCGCATGGTGATAGTGGTGAGATGGTGGCGAGTGGTTTGATGCCGCGGCTGAGCTGGCTGGTCCTGCTGTCGCTGTCGCTGGGCCTGAGGATGAAGATGTAGGTGAGGTGTGATGGTGATGGGTGTGGTGGGCGGCGGATGAAGGCCCGGCTGGGGAGGTCGCAGAAGCGGAGTTGGCGGCCTTGGTGGCTATCGCGCGGGCGCTTTGCGAGATCTGTGCAGAGGAGAGTGTGGGGTTGCCGGTGGATGATTGTGAGGCGGCTTTGTAGGTTGACTGGGCGCGGAAGGCGGCCAGGAAGTTGGAGAGGAATGGACGGTTGGTGGACATGGTGAGGACTTGAATGAGATGATATTCCCAGGCTGGAGAGAGCCCAGGGGTAAGAAGTCCAGGTCAGGATCAGAAGTTGAAGAATGGAGACCCTAGAGGGGAATAAGTGGAGAGGAGGGGAAGATAAGATGGAGATGGAGGAGGAGGGGAGGGGCGCAATAATATTCGGCCCTCTCAACCGGTTGCGTTCGCAAAAAAGCGGAGCGAACGGCGGGGAGGGAAAATCCCGACCCTATTCACCCCGACAGGCCAATCAGAGTCGCCCTATTATGGGCATGACGTCTAAATGGGGGCTCGGCGGCAACAGATGATGAGCATGGATATGGATGGGCATGTGGTGCAGATGAGGATGGACAAGTTCAGAGTACCTTGTATACTTCGTCTGGTGAGTACCACCGGGGCAGTATCATGATGGTGACAAAACTTAGGCTCTACACTAGACACCATTCTCAGACAGTCCATGTTTGCAACGAAGAATCCAAGTCTATAGATAGGTATACTTAATCTACGCCTTTTCTTACTCAACTCATAGGAACATCAATATGCTTGAACATGGAATGATTACATCCGGTCTATTTTCTAGATGCTTTTCAAGTAGAACAGATACCCTCCTAAAAATGAATCGCAAAAGAGAGAGAAGAGATAAAGAGAAAAGGGAAAAAGAAAAAAGAAAACACAACGTATGAGAACAACACCCTAAATCACACCTCAACAAGCCCGACTCGCAAATATGTCCGTTTCGTGCCGACTGTACTTACAGAAACGAGGCCATGCAGATGCACCGGGAAAGAAAAGAGAAGAAAGCAGAGCAAAGCAGACAAAGGGGTCACCAGCTACTGGAAGAAAAAACTCGAGAGGAATTTCGTTTTCGACAGTCAACAGGTCCCGCAAACTTGAAGCTTTTCGTCTTTCTGATTGTCGAACATTCGCGCAAAAGGAACACATGCCCATGTCTATAGTGTGGACGCCGAACGAAGCCACCCGCCATACCGTCTTAACCACGCATTCGATTCGATTCGATTCGATCGAGTCGGATCGAATCGAGGGGACGTAAATCAAATCAAAGCGGGTAAAAAAAATGAGAAAAAATGATGAAACAAACCGGACTCGCAATTCAACCACCATGTAAAACTCGCCCGTGCAAAGGAGAATGCGGACCCACACCGGATGGGATCTGAACCGGGAAGAATGAGAAGGGAGATAGAGGAAACAAGAGAAAAGAGAATAAAGAAAACAAATTGTGGAAAGCGAAAGCCATCAAGGACGCGACAGGTACATAATCGAAAGGGAAAACCACAATGGGAATGATAAGACCGGATACAAAGAAACGCCACGGCAGAGCTGCGTCGAGCAGAAGCCCGAATGGATCAGAGAGACGAGCGGAGGTCGCAAATTCTTGAGGACAGGTTCTCTTTCTGGCTGCGAGGCCGAAAAAAAAAACCAATGGACCGCCTAGAAAAAACTTCACCAACGTAAAAACCGATAATGACTTTTCAAAAGCTTTCAACCCGTTGCCTGTGGTAGTTTCGTTGTAAACCCACAGACCAAAAGTCGAAAGACTTCTCGTTCTCTCTCTCCTCATCCGTTCTTTGCCCTATCGTCTTCCAATTCCTCCTCATAGCCATTTACTGCCGAGCAGGCAGGACGGTACCTAAGGAAATCACCATCAGCATGATGTTCCCCGGCAATAATCGCCATCAGATTTTCCAATTTCAGTATCGCTTACCATCACCGCCCATAGTAGTTGAGGCCAGATACAGTCCGTTCATACCGCCCTCGGGGCCGCCCGCGGTCGTAGCGGGGTAGAATTTGCGGTCGGAATCAACGGGGGCGTGGATCGACTCCTGGCCGGCGGCCATGGAGTGGGGAAAAAACGTGGTTCATGTAACCGTCGGCGGCGGGGGCACCGTGCTGAAACATCGAAGTCCAGTCAACACCTGGCTGACCAGAATGGGGGGGGACCGGGCATAGCCGGGTGTTTGTGGTCAGGGACGACCAGGGGCTTTACCTGTTCATGAGAACGATCAACACTCAGTTGTTGTCCATTAGGGTCGGCACCATGCTGCATGAGGTACGGATTCTGCTTGGGCGCAGCCATCCAGGAGGCTCGCGAGGCCTGACCGGCGAACGCGTCTTCATGAGGACGGTTCATGCCGTTGACAGGCGACATCGTGAATCCCAGATGCTGCTGATGGCCATGGGCCATGCCGTTGCCATTCACGGCCCCATCGCCGAATTGTCCGCCCATCACACCATTGGAGACCGGGACGGTGTTACTAACCTCATCCTGAAGAGGCTTGGCGGGGTTAGCCGCCGCAGCCTGAGCAGCTTGCTGCTGGGACCGCTTCAGATGGGCTTGGGGGTGCGACAAGTGAGTCGCGCCCGTTGGGTTGCCCCGGCGGATCGAGCATTTTTGGAAGTGGCGCTTCAAGATATCACTGCGAGAGAAGGTATCCTTGCAGAGAACACACATGTAGGGTCGGTCACCGGTGTCTGTAAGAGAAAAGCGAATTCGACGCGTCATTAGCCAACAAATCCTTTTTGTAGAGTAGGAAAACTAGAACACATTGGGTTCAATGTCTCCAGCAATTTGATATCATAAAAAAACTCACGTCTCAACAGATGGCGCTTCAGGTGCTTGGCGTGAAGATAGGTCTTGTTACAGTGCGGGCAAGGGAATTTGCCATCCGCATCCTTGGCTGGGATGGTAGTGCTCTTAGCAGCACCATTGACGCCGTTCGAGACCGGAGTTGCACGGCCCGGAACGCTCGGCAGGATACCACGGCGGCCCTGGGAGCCCACGACCTGCGTGCGCGGCTGTTCCTTTCCGTAAGGGGAGCCGTTGGCGCCGTTGACTTCAGGGCTCATTCCCCAGGACTTGCCATCAGAGTAGCTGAAGGCACCGGAGGGCATGCCATTGAAATCGCGGCGGTCGCGCGGGGGCGCGGGCGCGATGGGCTGCGGGTAGCTCTGCGCGGTCGACGCGGGAGGCAGCACACTTGTGGGAGGAGGCGGGTAGGACTGAGAAGGGTGTGCCTGTGAGTGGTTAGGGTGGCTCAGGTACGATGGCGAATGGCTACCGACAGTCGTGTGCGGCATGATCGGGGCGGTTGACGCTCCGTACACGTCGTGGGTAGACGCGGGAAACCGCGACAGGTCAGGCCGGTACGGCTGGCCCATGTACGGATGCGGCGCGGGCGACTGAGTGTGGTGCGGCTGGAGGGGAGGCAGAGTATGCGGCTGCGACACCGGATACTGAGGCTGCATCGAGTACTGCGGCATAGGCATACTCGAGATGGGAGTCGAGGAGAGCGGCGTGGAGCCCTGGGGCAGGCTGGTGGAGGGAGGCCGCGAAGGGTGCGATCGAGGATCCATGATGTGATGAGATCAAGGAGAGGCGAACACGCGTTTTGAAACTGTCGATTTGGGGAGGGAGTTGCAGTACAATCACAGAATCACAGAATCATCGAACTCAGTGATTCCTTTTTCTCTTCACACTTCTGTTCACGAGGAGGCCGAAAAGTGAAGGAGCTCCTTGTTTTTGCCCACTTGAAATTTTTCCGAGGCTGGGCGGAGAGGGAGGTCACGGGGCAATTGACGAGGGAGAGAGAGAAGTGATGATGGATTGACTTGACTTGCGATCTGACTCCACCAGGGATGAGTGTCAGAAGGTGATGAAGGAAGGAAGGGAGAAATGCTTGAATCGGAGGAGATTCCCCACGGTCACCCACCAGAGTCGTGTGTGGAACTTATGGTGGTGTTCCGCACGTTGTTCACACCGTCGATAGGTTCTGTATCCACCAGAGAAGCGGGCGTGCAAGTGGGTCTCGCAGCACAACACCTAGTCAGATCTGCTTCGCGCGTCAAGGATTCGAGAAGAATGAAAAAGCAAAGCGCTTTTTTTTAAAAAATAGTGGTGCCTCGAAAGTGACAATTGGGAAATTGAGGGGAAGGGGAGGTGAAGACGGGAAGATTGACAGAACCCAAAAGAAATTTTTTTCACTTCTTTTCGAGGTTCGAAGGGAAGAGCGGTTGGAAAGGTAGGAATTGGGGGGGGGGCGGCCAAAGTTCAGATTGTTAAGAAAAAAAAATTAAAAAATTAAAAATTAAAAAAGGAAAAAAAGGAAAAAACGAGTGACGGAAGACCGGGTGAGCGAAACGGACGATCGCTTCTCGGGGAGGCAAGAGGCGAGTAACCAAAGAAAAAAAAAAGAGTAAAAAAAACCTTGGCCAAATAATGGGATTTCTGGAAAAGGTGGTATTGCAAATACCAAATACCGTAAGACCAACTTGAACTGGCGGGACGCGGCCGTCTTCCGAGCCCGGAGGAATGACCGCGAACGTCGGGGATGTAGGCAGTGTTGCCAGTGTATAGTTAGTGATTACCTAGGTATCTAGGTATTCACATTAGCAAGAAGCAATTATATTACTAGTATACTCTATCTGATCTTTATACAGTCATGCTCCATAGTAATACTACTTTAAGTGAGTATAGTATAACTAGTATATCGTATTCTATATTTACTCGGATTAGGGGATCAAAACTTGATCCCATAAATCGAGGGCATGGTTGCGTTCAGGACTCCCAAATTGCCAGTGCTACTAGTAGTCTGAGAGCCAATTCAAATACCAGCATTCGGCATCGGTCTTCCTAACTCCCGGTCGCGGACAGTCTTACCATCACTCAGTTTAGCGATCAGCAGCAGTTCACCCTTATGCAGCGCTACCCGGTTGTATCGAACAGAGCCTTATGGATTAAGTCAAGCATCCTTGGTATAGTCGTAGTGAAATACAAGGGAAGCCATTTCTATCCCAGGATGTTTATAAAGTACCAAAACAGGCAGCCATAGATCCCATCCATGTACATACGAACTACGGAGTATACTACTTGTATATCGCATGTCGTTGGAGTCGGGGTGGCCCCTGGGTGGTTTGGGCTCCGCAGTGGCTTGACAGCCCCGCTAAACAGATCACACATCTCCTGCAGCATCTTCCTGCAGCCACTGGGCACAAGGTGGGATATGTACTCATCGAAAGGCCGAGACGGGGTTCTTTCTCTCGCACTGATCTCCCTGTCGGCACGTCATCCCGGGAAGCTCGAGATGAGGAGAACCACAGATAAACGGTAAGACCTTATCGTGCAGCTCCCGGTCTCTTGCCCTCTTTAAGAAGTGAGAACTGAGGGCTGAGGGCTGAGAACCGAGTATCAATAATCAAGAACGGCCGAGCAATTCACCTCCTCGGTACGAAGCTGGTTCTGTAACGGCCATGCATTGTTGCCCTACTGTACTCTGTACTCCGTACTTTGTACATACTTTAGCGGATGCGCCGTAGCCGCCTCCTTTCCACTTTTCCCCCTAAAACAGCGCCCCCCCTAACCCCTCCGATCCCGATCTTCCACGACCACCATGTCCAAGTAGATAACATACGGAGTACGGGGCTGAGAATTGGGGGAGGGACGGAAGTAATTCCATCCTAAACGGGGATTGAAGGGAGGGGTAGAGAAAGGTTAGAACCACGGATAACCATGATCATTGGGCGTGACCACGCAGTGGCTGGGACTTAGAACCATCTCGACTCGGTCTTTCTTAGTCAGGTTTCAATGTGAGTCGAAGGATGTCTCGGCCGATCCTGTGATTTCATTTAGTTTCTGTTTTTGGGTGTGGCATCTACCTAGGTAGGTTTGAGAATGTTCCGTCTAGCCGGGGTATATGTATATATATGAATAAGTGGTTCATTCTTCCACTTTATGTTGATATAGATATTGATGGAGTCGATTGTCGCCATATGCTCCATCGATCTCAGGTACGGTCGGCAATCATCCTGGCCCCTCCCTCCGTCCCCACCAGCAGAATTTCGCAAGAGCTTCTCCCGCTTCGATTGTGGACCTCGGATGCTTCGACCAGGGTTCTGCAGAATTCATTGATCGGATCGGACCACGCCCTCGTGACTTGTGCATTTGTGGTAAAAATCAAACGACTACCTACTAGTAGTACTAGTATGTATCTGATTATTTATCTTGGCATGGCCACTGAACAAGCCATTTTTACCTAATTACCCAGACTAAGATTGGAGAAAAAACGGCAGACCCTGGGTAAGACGGAGTCCTCCGTAAATGAGTTAATTTTACTGGGATTCTACCCTTGCGACCGTGATACCCGCGGGTATTATGATTCGCACTATGATGCTGCTTCAAGTTGGGGCCATGACGATGACGATGCCAACCCTCGCCTAACCTTCTTCTTTCAATCTTTCCTGGTATTCCCTCTCCGATCAATTATTTCCCCTTTTTTTTCATTTGCCGTGGTGACATATTTTCAATTCTTTGAATGTTGAATACCAGGTGGCTGAACACCTCCATACAGTAACTCTGTACAGATACTCCGTACGCCGTGAGTACAGAACATGATCGCGGTCTACAAGTACTATTCAATTGGGCAGGTCGTTTGATTCAGAATGGCCCACAGGCAGCAGAGATGCCCGTTCGGCATCGCGGCCGGGAATTGATGATCCACCGAGAGAGGTCGACCATGTTGGAGGAGGGGCACTCCCGAAGAGCGGGTTCCACGAGGGGAGAAAAAAGAGAGGCTAGCACAGTAAACTACGGTGAGGCCAGGGGCCGAGGAACAAAAAATGTGCAGAATTCTCCCTGAGATCCCCCTCTCTCCAATCCACTTCGATCGGCGGTAATTTTATTTTCTTTTCGCGCGCAAAGCTTGGTTCCTGGCCCCTCTCCCCTTAAACTTATCCATATCCCTGTACGGAGTAGTTTAGTCCCCGCCAGTAGGGCTACCCAGTGTGCATCCGACTCTAGTAAATTAATCAAGTTAGTAGGTAAAATACTTACTCCGCATAGTACATACTACGGAATAGTTCTCCGTAGGTATCCAATAATTCAGATAGCTCTGGGCCACACGGGAAGAATGTGAGATCGCGTCGATCCGCCCTGCATGATACCCCTCTCCAGCCTCTTATTTTTTTTGTTGGTCTCCATCTACTTACTCTATATGGTTACTAACTACTAGCGCACTACGCAGTAGGGTTTTCAGGCTCAATCTCGGCCGAACTGGCAAACCCTCACGGGGACAAACGGCGGTGTCGCTTGAGATACGTAGTTCGGTACGGAGTACTCATAGAAAGCAAACTATTACTGAAGAGTTACTACTCTACTTGGTTTTCTTGGCCTTCAATATCGTACCTAGCTCTTCCGATGGGGGCCACTAGTCACCTCTCGCCAGTCTAGCCAACCCGGAGGCGCATACGGAGTAGCTCATCCGACAACTCACTCCTAAACACAAACGACCTGCTCGATGGAGACAGCCTCGCGCCGGCAGAGGTCGGAAAGGACCTGAGCCAAGTTCGGATCGCCAAGTTTCAGGATGCACCGCAGCCAATCATGGCCCCACACAGCCCCCCAGCGGACAAGTGATTCAAGAGCAGCGTGTGCGCCACCCACCTCATAGGCTCTCAATGCCTTTAGTCGAGACCCAGGCTGGCGCGGTTGTCCTCAAGGTCCTCGGATGTGTTCCGATTCTTCTGTCCTGCAGCAGCGCTCGGTGCATCCGATATACTACTTCGGGAGGAAAGTTAAAAAAAAAAATCCCGAATGAAAAAGTATACGAGTCTCCGTGTTATGGGAATCAATTGATAGTCTGGAAGACTATTTAATTTAAGACTTTATAGATGGATAGGGTAATATGTATTTACGGAGTATCCGTTGGATGTTCTCCATCAATCTGACAGCGGTAGACTCCATCCCCCATCCCCATCTCTCCATGTGTTGTTGTGGAGCGGTCGGGGGAGGAGCGCGCACCGCGTCCTCCGTAGCATACTACAATATAGGTATAGGTATCCCCGCGGGGCTACTACTTATACTACGAGTATCCAACATGACCTGAAAATTGACTGAAACTAATTGATCATGAAGTGAATATCTGCAGAGTAGAGTAGAGGGTCACTTTGTGATACACTTTACATATCCGTATGCGTGTACACCCTACGAAGCATAGTACGTATCATCGTCATCTCATCAGAAGTAGTACACCCAACTAGGAAATTTCTGCCCAGCACCATAGCCGCCGTACCGTGGACTTGGGAATCATCCAAAGGCAAAATAAGGAGAAGAAGACAAGAAGAACCAAAACTCTTTTCCCCCTGGCTCTGGCCGCGTCATGGGGTTTCGGATAGGCGTCCAATACAGATGCTTATAGGCGATGTGATGGCGTTCTATTAATATGAGAGAGCCCATGTGATTCAAACCATACTCGTAGAGACCATATTCAGAATCACAGCCATGGCTAATGACATTGCCATGGCCATTGCCATTCAAACGCCGTACACATATTGTACATCGCCTCTCAAATTACTATGACTAACCATGGCTGGCCCCGATCAACCGTGGGCGCCGTGACCGGTTGCAGAAGTGTGGAATGCAACCAAAAAAGCCATGGCTGCCTGAAACGCGCATGCCGACCACGGAAGAGAAAGCCCTGGGATGATTGGATGCTCATCGGCAGCCCGACGCATGAAATCGTTACTGGAATTACCCCAATACCCGCACCGTACAGAACTGAACTGAAAATGAACTGATTCTCCCAAAAAAAGAATCGCGTTCCTTGCAAAAAGGCAAAACGGACCCACCATAGAGCCGAGTCCACGGCTTCTCCCCGAATTTCGCCCTCCTTTTTTACGGTTCTCGGTACCGTGGGAAAAAAGAAAAGTTGTCAATTCACTATGTCATAATCCTTGGTAGCATACGCCGTTGATTTAAGAATTTGTGGTTCATTTGATTTGATGTTGCTCCATACATACCCCGTAACATAATCAGGGGAATCGCTTAGGGTGTAATTTTGCAAAAATCTCTTCAATAGAGAAGTGTCTACATTACAGGGGAGTGGATGTGTCCAGGCCAAGAACAGAAAGTCAGGAACCAGCGTCAGTGGCGAAGGCGATGTTCCCAGGAACCGATGCATCATCCCTCGGCAGAACCAGTTGCAGCCACCCCTGACAGTGTCGATCGGGAATGAATCTGCGCCGACGGACGGAAGCGGGCGAAGCGTAGTGTAGAAATGTGTTAAGGGGGAGGGGGGAAAAGGAACACGGAGAAAGGGAGAGAGCGTGCACGAGAAAGAGACAGAGAAAGAAAGAAAGGGTTGGGGCCGACATTCCCCATGCGGTTCTGCGCCCGAGACCTGTATCTTGCTCATATAGGCAGTGTACATGAACTAATCCTTCTTTTTGGGATTATTACACGGCACTTTTGGAGGTTTGACTTTGGTAATTTCTAAAGCCGGCCCGGTGTGTTGGGAATTCCCTCGTTTTGGGGTATTAAATTTGGCCAATTTGGAGAGAGAGAGAGATAGGGAGGGCAGGGCGTTGTGGCCAGCAAGCCTCCTTGAGCCGTGCACGATGTGAGACGCAGACACGAGACACGTTTAATTTGAACTTAGAAATCAAAGGCGGAAAATCATCGCATCTTCTGTGTTTATTTCGTACTTTTCGTCTACATATGTAGTTCACCTCCAGGTGGATCCTCATCTTGCACGCCTCGTGGTCAGGGGGGATGTGGGAAGGGTGGATGCCCCCCATCTGGAGTCAGATTAAGCATATCTGTGTGTCCCATCGAACTTATTTCTCCGTTGCATCCATGTCCAGTGCCCACCGCACCGCCGGTGGGGACCTTCCAGGGGTGGATCTATTCGCAGGATTCTTCCGAGGATCCCAGCGCAATGTACAGGTACGGGTGGAGGAAGGCGTGGGGTCGAGGAGGGTTGGCATTTTGATAAGGTGGACGAGGGTGCATATTTCGCCTCGGGGAAAAGTCTAGATATCCCTATGAGTATCTTTTTGTACCTGAGAGCTTTTGACTGTAGACAAACAATATTATTTTGGGAGATGCTGTCCGCATCACAGTAGTAGCAAGGTACCTGGTACATACAAGGTCAGTGATCAACCACTTTGGACTAGGGCAGGGGAGATCGAGAGAAACTGTCTTTTGTAGGCGAGATCTTTGGCGAGGTACTATATTGATGAGTATAAGACTATGAAATGGTAATATAGATCACTTCTTATGTCGATTTCCCTCGTCAAATTTGTATTCAAGTTGATATGCCCCTAATATATATATAACTAGTGACTGGTAGTTAGTAGTACATAGTACCGTTTGGCTTCAAGTTTACTCCAGGGCTACAACCGCCCGGGCGACTCGGAGCATGCAATTACACGCATGAGAAGAGATTACAATTACTAGTACAACAATTCACTAGTATCTTAAATAACTACAAATTACACCATAAACGAACTTAAATTACCTTTGTGATCTGTCAAATCCACCATCTTTTCTCTCCACTTTGCTAAAGTACAAGGTTAAGCATCTGGGGCTGTGGAGCGTGGAGCAAGCCCACAACTCCATCGCGGGGAGCCACATCCCACCACAACCCAAAAATGCGCTTAGATGGGTCGCTGGGTCCCAGATCATAGAAAAGTGGCCCATTTCAAAAAGGTAAGATTACCCCAGATAATCCAAGACAATATTATGGACTGTACAGTTGAGCGTCCGTTGGACCCCAATGCCCCCCGGTGCTTGTCACCTCAAGACTCTAGGTATTATCATAAACCAATACGGATGGCAGTAACAATTATTGAACAGACAAATAGAAATGTTGTACTCCGCTGAGGAAATTATTGCGTATAAAGAACAAGTACACATGCTAGAGTGTCTCTGCTAATATAAGACACTCTGACTAAACTGAAATTCTGCACGGAGACGCAGTAGGCCTTTATTTTCCATCAACCGACTTGCCTGGAACGACTGTCTCATCCGGTTCATGATTATCAGGCTCAATACCCTCGCTGACTTCAGGCTCCTGCTCAATATGGTGAATGGCATGCTCGACATTCACCACAGGACCGGTAAACCAGCGACGGGCATCAACCACCCACCAGATGAGAACTGCTAGCATTGGACCTCCATAAACCAGACAAGTCCAGTTCATCAGATCGAGCGTCAAGTCCGCATTTGTTGCACTCGGCAAACACAAGATCGGAACCATGAGAACGACAAAGGAAACGCCAACTCCACCAATATACGGACCATACGGACCCAGATTCCAGGGACCCTTTCGAAAGCGATTTCCAACGAAGAACACTCGGATGAAGATCGGGATAGCAAAGGCAACAAATTGTGCAATAGCACCAATGGAGAACAATGCACCGATAGCCACGTTTCCGGCCAGAATGAGCAGGCACATGAGAATTCCCAGGACTGCGTTCAGAATCACCGCGTTGACTGGGGTGTGCGTGTGGGGGTTGACCTTCTTCCAGATATTCGAGAAGGGGAAACAGTCATCGCGTGCATAGGCATATGTCACTCGTGACGCGGCGACCATGCAACCCTGGCCCATAGAGAAACCGCAGATAATGGTCAAGCCCAGGATGCCAAGGGCTGCTTTCTGCGGCATCACCTGCAGCAGGTACGAGGCCCAGGGTTGGCCCAGATCCGAATCGATGACGGCTTCGATGTCAAGTACTGTATATGCGACGACAAGTTGCAGGAACCAGCCCATCAGCCCACCGACACCGGATGTAAGGACGATGGCGCGTGGAGAGGCAACGCTTGCGTTCGAACACTCCTCGCTCAGGTGGAAAGGAGAGTCGTAGCCGGACATGGTCCAAATGACCCCAACGAAAGTCATCAGAACGGCGACACCATCTGGAAAGTCTGTTTGGTTCGTGATGTCGCCCCAGACCTTCTTGGAGGGTGTGAATTTTGGACTGTTGCTTGTTCCGGCTGGGATGGCGATGAGGACGGCTATGAGTGCGAGGAAATTGAAGGTTGAGCCCCAGGAGTTGAACTGGGCAACTCGCTTGGTTGGCATACTGCTGATGCCTGCGTGGATGATCATTATAAACGTTGTAAGGAGGAAGGTTTGCCAGTATGTTGGGACGTAGTCTGGGTTGTTGATGGAGACAGCGGCGAGGATCATCGCGGACAGCGCGTAATCGACTGATGGTGCTGCTGTGATCTGTCCGATCCAGTTGGACCATCCAGTAATCCATGCAGCTAGAGGTCCATACCCAGGAGGTGCGAGAACCGCTGCTGCATAGTAGAGACCGCCACTAAATTGAGATATACTGCATCAGCTGGAAGTCTTTCAAGATAATAGCTGATTATTATTATCTTACCTTGTTGGCATAGCTGAGCAAAGCTCTGCCATTGACATCGCAATGCATTGGATGAATATCATGGCGATAATCCATCCCCACACCATACCGGCTGTTCCTGCATATCCCATTCCTTGGACCGAGTCAGCAATGGGCTCTCAGTGAGATAATGGGGTGCATTGGATACCATAGTAGAGGGTACTTGCAAACGAAGGCAGGAGACCCAAAACGGCAAAACTGACACAAAACGTCGTCCACAGGGAGAATTCGCGCTTGAATTCCTGCTTGTATCCAAGGGCCATAATCACTCGCTCATCGGCATCCATCTCGTGGTCCGTATATGGCACATCGCCATCCGGCAACACGGACGTAACCTGCGCATGATTGGTATCATTATAGATCGGGTGAGCTTTGGAGGTGCCCGAAGAGGACTTTTTGATATCCATCATTCTGTTCTAGCGCCCATTCGCGGATATAGAGGGAGCTAGGAGGGTTGGCTATCGGAAGAAGCGAAACCTGATATCGAAAGTCGTAAAGCTTAGGCGTCACGGTGTTACAATTGGTGTATATTGCCGTGAGTAGAGGCTCGCTTTTTTATGCATGAGTAGTAGAGTGTGAACGACCGCAAGGGAGATTCGTTGGTCTTAAATGAGCCGCGGTCGAGCTACAAATCTAGGGGGGCAGGGTCGGCTATGGTTATCTATGCAGGCTTGCCCCCGCGCCCATGACGATTCGTTGGCGCCATCGCTAACATTCAGATAGACCCAATCCCAACAAGCATTGGTTCTAACAGATGTAGTGGGCCTGCGGAATGCCGCTAGAAGAACGCCAGAGGAGGGGAGCTCTAAGAGGCGGGTTGTCTGAGGCCTACATGGAAGAGGTGATACGCTTTTCTCCGCAATAAATGCTTGATAACGGGGTTTAATGAGCACAAGAGCCCCCGACACTAGCCTATGGATAATGTTATTTGTATGATCAGCTGCTCTCATTCGACGATCCGATTAGGACGCTTGGGCTCCTCCCTCCCAGTTTCTCCGCACACAGGTCCTGTGATTCGCAGTCTAGCGAAGCGTCGACGCCATACCATTTGATCAAACGCGAACAGTGCTACCCCGGTTATCTTGGCAAAAGATTTAAACCCAAGAGGGAAGCTCCAGGCGTCGGGGGCGGCGATGTTTTGTCTGGTAGATCTGGAAAGCATTGTTATCAGTGAGAGATAGTAGGGGGGAGATAAGTCCTATCGTTTCATGACCTGGAACATGACAAAGTACCTTACTAGTACTATTTGAACGCGTGCTGCCACAGGTCAGCCTTAACAGCCACAGCTTATCAAACGACTGCTTGGACTTGCCCTTACGGGAAATAGACCATTTAGTATGCAAGTACTGCTATTTGGACCACCCTTCTTACTACTTGGACCATACTTTTGCCCAAAATCCTTCCTAAACTAGATTAGCATGTATTTCCTATACAAATATGGATAGAGAGTGGTATAGCTAAAGTTTGTAACCCCCCTACTGCCCACTATTATTGACTATCTTTGAATAGCAGACTAGTAGCTACCTAAAATGAAATACATTGGCCTATCTATTATATCTTAGGTAGCTACTAGTCTGCCATTAACAAGTGGAGGCTAAGACGGCCAACAAGAGGTTGCAAACTTTTACTGTGCCACTGTATGGCAGATGTGTATCTTAAAAGTTTCTAAGGGAGATCACATACTAATCTGGGGTTGGAAGGACCATGGACCATTTAGCAACCCTCATATATGCTTTGAAAGCTTTCTCACTTTGAGAGAAGGGTGTAAAGGTGCGAGGGTACACAAGGAGCCCCATGGGTTGAGCTGTACAAAAGAGATCACCCTGACGGGTTTGATAATGGCTGCCTCTATATGCTATTCGAAACATAAAAAGACTTTCATCGCTATTCTACACAAAGGCCGCAGCCCCTAACCTGCACATCCATACTATTCTAAGTGCATGACCGGCACTCCCGGAACCATAGCGAGATAATTTAGAAGGGCTAGAGCCATATTAGTATTAGTGCCAAATATAAGCAAGAGTGCATGCAAAACTTACGTTGTCCTCGGGGGCAATGGGACGGTCATAGTAGGTGTCCAGGAAGGGGAACTGCTGAAGGATATCACGGCGGACACGGGGGACCTCGCCGAGGAAGAAGAGAGCAGCAGCGCCAGCGAAGACACCGAAGCTACCGGCAACGGTACCACTAATTCCACAAGTCAGCATATTTCGAGTTAAAAAAACCTTACTCCAGCAAGGCTTAATTCCAGGTGGTAGTGTAGACTTACGCCTTGATGGCACTGGGTAGGGTGAAGCCGGCAACGGTACGCTGAGTGGCGAAGCTGTAAATGATCGTTAGCTTATGTTCGAGTTGCCAAGTGCACGTAGATCATAATTCGACGACAGGCGATTGGTGATATGTATTGCGAGGGTCTACTCCGCAGAATCCACAGTTGCCGCAAGTCAAGCTGCGCTGGAGCTTTAAGGCACCGCAGATTCACGGAGTATATCACCATGACAGGCCGAATCCTAAGCACAAATATGTAAAGCAGGGAATCAACCTGGGTGATTCACGCGCATTCACACATGCCATGTTGTCCCAAATTGAAGATCGTGGTTCGGGGGCAGTCTCACTTGGACGCAAAAGCGGAGGAGGGGGCAGCGGCCGCAGCGCGGCGGAGAGTGGGAGCGAAAACCTATTAGACAAAAGAGAGTACAAGTTAGCCATCAATTGCTTCCAGAATGGCTGGATACAGCCCGCAGTCATCCCGCATGGTTCCGTAGTGGGCGCATCGTGGATGCGGTCACCCCGTTGACACGGCCGGTGTCGGCGGATCAAGACCCGAGCGACACGGTTGACATTTTGGGATTGTATCTGGCGTCGGATTTAAGGCGAACGTACCATTGTTGTGAGGGTGTGCAGGTCGTGGGACAATCAAAAGAAGGAGTTGAGCTCGGAGCGACCTTCGACGAAAACCGGATAATCACGTGATGACAAACTAGCACCAATCAGAAGATAGCTAATTATTCTGAACCCGTTGTATCTATGCAACTCCCTTGGATAAATTGAACATCTCCCTAGGCCAGAACATCCGAGGCCGTGATTCGGGATGTTGTTGATTTTAGAAGACGTAGCCGTATATTTAGCCATATAATATTCACAATTGATTCCATTTTAAGTGGGTTTGGTCTATGGTGACTGGAGCAGGTTATTCCTTCTCTTGAACTACACTTTTGTGAATTAGATACAGGGATTTTGGAAGAATTAAAACAATATCTTTCTTGAGTTTTAGTGATCCAGACTGGAAAATTAGAAACAAGATAAAAAAACGAGGAAATGTGTCCTTCAACACCTGTATTCGAACATGCAAAAATTGGAAATCAAGAAGCAGACGGTCTGCAATCAATGAAGTACAGTCGAAAAGGAAATTATAGATAAGAAAAATTGAACCGTGCTACCAAACACCGGTGCTGTACATGCGTCTCATTAGTCGACTTTTCCTGTCGAACCTCCGTTCAGAATACCCTCCTTGCCGTCCAGATGGAAGAAACCGCCGCCATTGGAGTTACCAATAATGCCACCACGGCCAAGTCCGCCACGGCGTAGCAGGCGTCCGCGACCGAAGATGGCGGCAACCGCAACCGTGATACCCAACAGAATGAAAAAGAGAATGGGGTGACTGCTGAGGAAGGAGCGGGTGTAGAAGAAGAAGGTCTCAAAGGTACCAATGGTGGACTTGGCGGCCAGCTTGGGAGGAGAGGAGATAACGAGGGGAATGGTCTCGAGGATCGAAGTACGGGAGGCCATTACCGGAGCACCGCTGGAAGCAGTATCCCAGTATCGGCGATTCTATCAGAAGTTAGCTTGAAACGTTCGGAAGGAGAGTCAAAACTTGAAACTTACATCTTCGTCATTCACAATGACACGGTCACTAGTTTCGATATCGATGCCGTAGGTGGTGCGGATCCAGCGCTCCCAGAAATCGCCATCGACCCAGGCAAAGGCAACTGCCTTCTTGTCATCCTCGCGAATAGTGATACGCATGTTCTTAGCAGCCCGCAGGGCACGCTGGTCATCGCGATCATCGGCTTCTTCGATACGCAGTTGCTTGGAGTCACGAAGCTCTGACCTTTCAAGTCGGAAAAGCTGCACTTGTTTATCCATCCACTCAAGAGCGGCTTCCTTCAGTTCCCGCTTGGACTGCTTGAAATCGTCGGCACGGCGGCGGCTAAGAATACCAAGCACGACGTACTTCCCATCCATGATCTCACGGGCATTGGATGCTGTCAGCTCGGGAACAATGGGCAGCCAGACGGTTTGCATCCAGGCTAGAACTGCACGGAAGTCTCTCATATCCTTGGGAGCAAGGGCATTGTAGTAGCTGGCTCGTTCATCACGGACCACCAATAGACGAGGCCAAGTCGAGATCTTGAAGCGCCTTGCCAAGGCAGCACTGTTAGTCTTGACAATGCGAGCATGTCCTACGAGGCTAAGAGTCAGACGGTCCATAGCGCGGAAGTCCTCAGATGTAGTGGCGTCATCGTAGAAGTAGAGGAACAAGACTTCCTCAGTCTCCTCGAGCTCCTTGAAGGTAGCCCCATCAACGTCTTCGATACTAGAGCCGGGTCCAACGGCCTTCTTTGCGTAGGAAAGCAGGTCACCAAGACCACGAAGACCCGTGTATTCCACGCGCTGACCACCCCGGAAGAAATACATGGTGGGGAAAGAGCTGACGCGAGCATCTTCACACAATCGAGATTCCACGTCGCAGTTCACCTCACCCACGTTCAGGACATCCTTCATTTCTTTGGCCATCGCCTGCCAGTTGGGAGCCAAGGCCTGGCAGTGACCGCACCAAGGGGCGTAAAATTTGATAAACCAGGGATCCTGAGTAGAAGTGACGAGCTTCTGGAAGCTCTCAGCGGTGAGAGGAACAGAGACTCCCTGGGGATTGGGAGGCGCCGATTCAGGTTTTCTCTTGGTCTCGATCGTGTCGACCGCCTTAGAGTCCGAAGAAGTACCGGATTCTTTCTGCGAAGCCAGCTCGTTTTGCTTTTCACCGGCCTGTACACCAGCCGCGGGATCTTTGTCCTTGGCCAAGGGTGAATCGGGTTCCGCACTCGAATCCACGCTAGAGGCACCCACCTCAGGCAACTTGATGCCCTGGGGAGGGCGAGACCCAGGCTTGGCCGCCTCAAGCTTCTCTTCAATAAGGGGGCTGAGATCCTTGATCACATTCTTAACAATGTGCTTGTCCTTTTGCTCACCCTGGTCATAGAATGCAAAGGTGGGCCAGGCCGAGATCCCGAGCTTCTCGCAAAGGTCTCCGTGGGCTAGACAGTTCATGGACCCAAAGTGGAAGTTGAAGTAGTTGGTGAAGCCGTTGAGAGACTTGGGATCGGGCGACTTCCCAGAGGCTGGAGAGACGGGGTTGGAGGTCTAATGTCAGATGCCATGATTAGCCTTGGAATTCTAAATTTAGCATCATGGTGCATCTCACATAGTAGTATTCATAAATCGTCTGGTACGGCGGTGCAGCCTTTCGACAGTGGCCGCATGAGGGCGAATAATGTTTAATGAGCCTGTTGATTGTTAGGATCTTCGATTGTTCTTTGTTATAGTAACCGGATGTCCGAAGTACTCACCACTGGCCATCTTTGGTGAGCTCATCGAAGTTATCAGGAGTAAGTTGGGTCAATGGAGGAACATCCAGTCCATTGAAGACTGTAGGTTGATCGGAGTCGAGTCCACGGTTTGCTCTCTTCTCTAGTTTCGCAGACGCGGCCACTGTCGAGCCGGTCAACACAGAGAGGAGGGACAACCCCAACCACGAAGTCTTCATTTTGGGAAACGGGACGGAGTGACCTCAATAACGGGACGCAGAGGGAGAGTATTCACAAGCCTCACAAGGCTTTGGTGGGTTGAAACGAGGGACGTTGGTCGAAGGGGGGGGAATTTGACAGATGTCACAGGTGGCACATTGGATATGGGGGCGGCAAAAACTGACTTAGAGGGCGCTAGCCTTCAGTTGTCGAGGCAAGAAACAAACAGGGTTGGAACGACCAAACCCCAAGCCGTGAAGAGTCAAAAAAGACAACACTCGGAAAATATCGAGGCCCTGCGCGCGCGTGTTGTAGATAGCGGAAAGAAAAGGTGGCTCTGGCCCCCTGCCCGTTTAGAGAGAGTGGAAGGCCAAGTTTATCCGTTCCGGCCCGACTGAACTTCCCGTCACCCCGTCACATCAAAGTGCGCCCGCAACCACTCCATTCCTCACTTCACACTCGCCAAGATGAGGGCTACACTCCGGCTGTTGGCCAATGTCAAGCCCCGGTATCTGGAGGCTTTCGCTCCAACCGGATTGACCGGCCTGTCCACCCACCCGAACCCCCGCCCGACTTTGATCTACCTTTATTACCAGACCCTGCAGAAGCTCCAGTCCTTCCCTGAGTCGTCCGCATACCGTCAATCCGCAGAGGCGACCACTCGCCACCGCCTGAAGGTCATTGAGTCGAAGATTCCTCCCGGATTCGAGGCCTGGAAGGCGCGCGTCGACAAGGTTATCGCCGCCGAGCCTGAGCGTTTCGCTGCTCTCAAGAAGTCTGCGGGTCCCTTTGGCTATGTCGGTGTCCAGAAGAAAGACGGCTCCGACAACCCCCATGGTCTGGCCTGGGATGGCGAGACTTTCTCGGAAGCTTGCACTGAGGGATCAACCCGCACCGCGGAGGAAGAGGCCGAACTCGATAAGCTGCTCGAAGAGGGCGTCAAGAGAACCGAAAATGCCGACCACTACATCGAGGAGATGAAGTGGGAGAACGAACCCGCCCTTGAGGCTGATCAGTATGCCAATTGACTTCATATGGAGGTGTTCCGGGATGCTAATGCGCGTTACAGAATCTCCCAGATTGAGAAGGAAATCGGCCACGGCCTCCTTGAGGAGATTATTGAGGTCGCCCAGGCTGAGTTGAAGCTTGCTCAGGAGCTGCACGAGGCGAAGGTGTAAGTAAACCCCGACATATATCTGCGGTTACCTGACCAGACCACTTACACGATTCTAGGTGGGAGGAACTCGAAGAGAAGCCCGCCGCGGGCCAGTGGACCTACTTCGAACGTCATTAAAGCAATCTTGGAAGAAGACGTTAGAGCACGCACGGTTCCTGTATTTATTAGAGGGGTTGTTCGAATACATTTGTTTCACGATTTCAATTCTCGGCCTACAATCCACGGCGTGGTCGGCTGGAGGAATTTCCCACACGCCAATTATAATCAGCACCAGAAATTAGAGGAAAAGTAACTCTACTATATCTGCTACCTCGACTGCAATGGATGGAATGCATTTATACGGTGTTTCCTAATGGTAGCAGATAGTTGGTTGGTTATTGCGGAGCTTTCAGAGGCTGTGGCTCGCTTGTTTTTTTCCATAAATCTCTAGTCAACCTAGTTACTAAACTAAGCATACACAACCGATGCATCGCAATTTTTGCAGATTCAATTGGGATAGTCTGCCATACCTAGGTATAGATTACTGTTTGCTCGTATGTAGTCCACCTGTAGTTACACGCTGCGTTGGCTGGACCCGCCCACGGAAGGCGGTGAGACCGGCGGGAATCCTCCTTGTGGACACATACATTGTCCCTGAACGACCTTCAGCTCTCCTCCAGCCGGGATATCTTGCTGGTTTTTGAAAGATTATCCCGAGGATCGATTCTCTTGCACCCCTTGGGCTGTCCGAGCGGCTCGTGGAATTGCCCCTCTCGCACGCCCTAACGCCGCTTCACACAAACATTCGTCCATCCCCCACACAACATGCGGCTCGACGTTAAGGTACGCAAACCTGAATATCGAGGAGATAGCTGCTCGCGCTAGGAATCGGGATACACTTGGAGATATAGACGAGTGGAATTGACAAGATCGCTAACGGGATTGGTATTGTGCAGAGGCAGCTCTTTGCCCGCTCGGAGCGGGTGAAAGGCATTGATTTCCACCCACGGAGCCATGGGTGAGTTCGAACGACGACAATCGAAGAGCTTCGGCTGTACTGACGCTATCTTAGATTTTGACCACTCTCTACAGCGGCCATGTCTACATTTGGTCGTACGAGACGCAGGTAGGTCCAAACGCCCAATTTATCCCGCAAAAGCGCGGCTGACCCTCTGTCTCCTAGTCTATCATCAAAACATTCGAGCTTACCGATGTCCCTGTTCGTGCCGGTCGATTCATTGCGCGCAAGAACTGGATTGTTTGCGGCTCTGATGACTTCCAACTCCGTGTCTACAACTACAATACCTCCGAGAAGATCACCTCCTTCGAAGCTCACCCTGATTATATTCGCTCGATCTCCGTTCACCCAACACTACCTATTGTCCTTACTGCGTCAGATGACATGACAATTCGCGCTTGGGATTGGGAGAAGGGTTGGAAGTGTATCCAGGTCTTTGAGGGCCACAGCCACTATGTGATGGGCATGTCCATCAACCCGAAGGATACGAACACGTTCGCCTCTGCCTGTTTAGATCGTACTGTGAAGATCTGGAACCTCGGCTCCCCCCATGCCAACTTCACCCTGGAAGCCCACGAGACCAAGGGTGTCAACCATGTCGATTATTACCCCGGTTCCGACAAGCCATACCTCCTCACAACCTCGGACGACAAGACGGTGAAGATCTGGGATTATACAACCAAGGCGCTCATTGCTACCCTAGAGGGCCACACTAGCAATGTTTCCTTCGCTTGCTACCATCCTCAATTGCCTGTCATTGTCTCAGGTTCTGAAGATGGAACCGTTAAGATTTGGCACGCCAACACCTATCGCCTCGAGCAGTCGCTAAGCTATGGACTGGAGCGAGCGTGGTGTGTGAGCACACAAAAGAGCGGCAATGCGTTAGCCATGGGTTTCGACGACGGTGCGGTTGTCGTCAAGATGGGCCGGGAGGAGCCTGCTGTTTCTATGGATGGCTCTGGCAAGCTGATCTGGGCCCGACAGAACGAGGTCGTTTCTGCTGTGATCAAGGGTGGCGATTTAAGCATAAAGGATGGCGAGCCTCTGTCGCTGCCTACGAAGGATCTCGGCTCGAGCGAGATCTACCCTCAGATTCTCTCTCACTCTCCAAATGGGAGGTTTGTCGCATGCTGTGGAGACGGTGAATGTTAGTCTTGAGAACCCCTTCCTTGAAGCTACCCGACAAGATGCTAATTTTTGACTTATAGGGATTATTTACGTGGGTGCCCTTCCACCGCGGAATTGATATCGGTGAACTAACCTTTTATTTTATTTTAGACTGCTCTGGCGTGGCGCAATAAGGCATTCGGCTCTGCTCTCGACTTCGCGTGGGGATCCAAAGACAATAGCAACGATTTCGCTGTTCGTGAATCCACGACTAGTGTGAAGATCTTCAAGAACTTTAAGGAGCAAAGCGGCGGTCTCGATGTTGGCTTCCAGGCCGAGGGCCTCGCAAGCGGTGTTTTGCTCGGTGTCAAGGGACAGGGTGGTATCGGTCTCTTCGACTGGGAAAGCGGCAACCTGGTCCGCAGAATCGAAGTTGACCCCACTGATGTGAGTTTCATTCCGAGTACGTTTTGTGACATCTATTGACCTTGTTTTAGGTCTACCTGGTCTGAGAACGGCGATCTTGTTGTCCTGGCTTGCGAGGACTCTTTCTTTGTCCTTCGCTACTCACGGGAGGAGTACATTAACGGCATGAACAATGGCGAGGCTGATGAGGATGGAGTTGAGGCTGCTATTGAGCACGTCGCTACCATTAACGAAACTGTCCGCACTGGAGAATGGGTTGGCGATTCTTTTATCTACACCAACTCCACCAACCGCCTTAACTATCTGGTTGGTGACCAAACATACACCATCTCGCACTTTGACCAGCCTATGTACCTGCTTGGATACCTCGCCAGAGATTCCAAGCTATACCTGGCCGATAAGGATGTCAATGTTGTTTCCTTCAGCTTGTCTCTCAGCATGGTTGAGTACCAGACTCTCGTTCTGCGTAACGAGATGGACGCTGCCGCCGATATTCTGAGTGATATCCCTCAAGATCAAATGAACAAGGTTGCACGATTCCTTGAAGGTCAAGGCTACAAGGAGATGGCTCTTGAGGTTGCAACAGACCCAGAACACCGTTTCGACCTGGCTTTGGCCCTCAACGACCTCCAGACTGCCCTTGAGATCGCCCGCCAGACCAACACCGACCACAGATACAAGCTGGTTGGTGATGCCGCCCTTGCCGCCTGGAACCTCTCTCTCGCCCAAGAATGCTTTACTCACGCCAAGGACGTTGGCTCCCTCCTACTGCTGCTGCACACAGCTAGCAACAACCGAACCGAGCTCCGGAAACTGGCCACCCAGGCTTCCGAGTCAGGTCTTCACAACGTCGCCTTCTCAACCCTTTGGTCTCTGGGTGATATCGATGGTTGCATCGAACTCCTCGTCCAGACAAACCGCATCGCTGAAGCAGTCCTCTTTGCCCAGACCTACAAGCCTAGCCGTGCTGCTGCTCTCGTAGTCCAGTGGAAGGAGTCCCTCGAGCAATCGAATAAGACTAAGACTGCCCGCCTGATCGGTGTTCCTCCCGGTGCTCCGGATGCCTCGACTGATGATGACCTTTTCCCTGAGTGGGATCAATACATCCGCCTCGAGAAAGAGGGTATCGCCCCAGAGCCTGTTTCCGAGTCACTCATTGACATCAATGGTGATGACGAAGCGGAGCCCGTGGCCACAACCAACGGCACCCCGGAGGCCGAAGCTGAAGCTGAAGCCGAAGTCGAGGCCGAGGCTGATGCCGATGAGGAGGAGAAGTCAGAGTAAAAAAAGGCTCGATGTTGGGTAGGGTTTCATTCTGGCTCGAGAGATACGTTGATAGAGAGCATATTTTCCATTCCCGATACTATTGAGTCGGATTATTTTGAACTGCGAGCGGCGTCTTAACGTGTGTCCGACTTCTTTTATTTTGTGTTTTCTATTATTTTATTTGTTCGCTTTTGTTTTCCTATTGCTGTAATTCCGCTGCAATATGTTACGGTCTCAGCGGGTTTGTTTGAGACCGCATGGATAGATACAATGACAAAGGCCCTTTCCAGAAGTTCTTGTCCCGTGGTAGCATACTAAAGATTGCCTCTGAGGTGTTGAGGCCTGGGTGTCTCAGGCATCAAATATTGCCTCCCTCCACTGCTGCCGCTCCCTCGTAGTCATCTAGTCATCTCGCATACATCGCCACTTCAATAGCTCTGGGCTTCTTAGGAGGAAGTAGTGCTAGAAGACTGCCTACATACCGGATTCCCCTGCCACTTTTTGGCATTCCAACTTGAAGGTTCCCCTTCCGTTTTAGTGCTCGTTGCCGCTTTTTGCTCACTGAGAAAGAGCACGCATCTGAGCTGACGGGTCGATGGACAATATTGTCTCGCCACCAAGTTCAGGTTCAAGGTTTATTCCATCAGTGCCGTGACGGTCAATCTATCAGCATGCCCTTCGAGTTCATCAGCAATAATGGTCTCAATAATGATGCCACGAGAACACGGATCAGAAGCCACGCAGCCCGAGGGATAATTAAAGGCAATAAAATCTCACGCCAATCTAGGAAAACCGCGCTGGCGCCGACGACAACATCATTTCGTGTCCCACTGATAATGCGTGGTTCATCTGAAGCAAAAGAGAAAATTTATGATATTGAGCGGCCTATTGATGACGGGCTTTTATTTCCTGGCCTCCTACCTGGTGAATCCAAAGGGCTTGTTAAGAAAGGTATGCGTGGAACCTCTCCAAGAATACTGGCTTGATCTTGACCCACGAAAAACCTCTAGCTATCTCGTTTATGAGCTCTATACGATTCTCGTCTGAACTGAACATCGGTCTCGACTATGGAGACTTGGACCTCCGATATGTGTCAAGTACATGTTTTCCGATGAAGCCTGTAAAGAATGCTCCTGTTCAACCAATTTTAATACAGAACTCTTATTGATTTTGCCACAGGCTTTCATAGCTCAATGGCTACGGCTCTAAATTGCCTTGACAACCTTGTTATCGAGCCAGAAGGCAAGTTGCAGGCAATGCGTCATGCATCGCATATGTTACGCCTTGTGAGCCAAAACCTTCATGGTCAGAGTGCGATCAATGACTTCACCATCGCAGCTGTAATCAACATGGCCCAATATGAGCATCACCAACGCCAATTTCAATAAGGGTCTATCCATATGCAAGGTTTGTGGCAGATAGCTCAGTTGCGAGGCGGGGTATCAGATCTAATAAGAAGCCCCTCTGGCCTTGGACAGAAGATGTTGCGGTAAGACTAAACACCCGCGATTGAAGCATAAACTAGCCATGCTTATTTTCACGTACTTAGAATCGATCTTGAATATTCATGCCAATTGGGTTCACCAACCTTGTTCAGCCTTGAGGACGCTGAACTCGGATGCAAGACCGAGACGCAATTTCCAAGTATGTACCCGGACCACGAGGTACAATATCTAGTGCCTGGACAATCTCTGCTCAAGGCACTGTCAACCAATTAAACCTTGGAATATTCCTAGGACAGTGTGACTTCATCCATGGATGGAAACTACGACGATCGAGAGACAGAGTCTATATTCGGTGGTTCGGCATTGTCCATTGCAATTCTGTGAAGAATACAGAGAAAGAAAATCTCGCACCCGAAAGGTAGGATACAAGGAGACAACAAAAAATGACAGGTAATGACCGCTTGAGACCATTAGACGAAAACAAGGGTTTGAAAAAAGGGACCTGCCTGGGAAGTGTGTGTGAGGGTGTGGATGACGCTGAGATGGGATGACCAGAAACAAACCAGAGCGCTCAATGGGAGGAGGGGGTTGGGATACGAAAAGATGACGAGGAGAAGAAAAAAGACACAATGAAAAAGGGGGGTAGAACTGTTATCTCGGGACGTGGAGAGAGTACTCCGAGATCAAGATGCCACGGACTCCTTGAAGAGAAAATGAAACAAGAGATAAGATAAAGACAACCTTAGCATGGGACGAGACAAGGGAAATTGGATGGATCAAGATGGGTGAGTGATATGTGGATCAAGACGAAAAGCATGGGACAGTACAAATGAAGAATCATGTCTATGAACCTGTTTTCGCACACGGGTCTTTCTTGACCTAATAATTGTCCTTGTATGAAGCCCAGCGTTAATCTGGCCCTTACTCCGGGATGCTGCCGAAGGACGGGTCCTTGACACTACCCCCGCCATCGCCGAGTCCGGCCACGGGTCGGTTATAGGACCAGCCGGCAAACTGTTGTTGCACAGTCGATGACAACGCAGGACCGTCAACATAGGAGTCTTGTGGGGCCTCCTCAGTGAACTCGCGATCAAAGTTATCAGTATCACGAGCATCCAGCTGTAAAGACGAGTGTGGATTAGAATTTGTGAGATCAAAAGAAAAGGGTGGGAGAAATCACGACATACCACGTTAGGGCGGAAGCTGGGCTCATACTTCCGCTGAAGAAGCTTGCGCCAGTCAATGTTGGCGAAGAAGTGGTGGGACTTGATTTCAACGGCACCGTTGGCACCAAGACGGCGCTGAGGATCGCGATCCAGCAGGCGCGTGAGAAGATCTCGAGCAGCTGGAGGCACGATGTCACTGCTGGGGAAAGTCAAGGGCTCTTGCAAAATCTTGCGGTACATCTCGTTGGTGTTCTCGTCGTAGAATGGCGGGAGACCAGTCAACATCTCGTAAAGCAGGACACCAAGAGTCCACCAATCAACAGTCTTGCTATAACCATTGCCAAGAAGCAATTCGGGTGCAAGATATTCGGAGAGTTCCGCAGAATGCTGTGATTTGATTAGAAAAGATGGGGTGGAAATTATTGGGGGATTGCAATCTTACTGTTGGTTCGGTCCTCATCCTTCATGTCCAGCTTGCAAAGACCGAAATCGCACAGCGCAATATGGCCAGTGTAATCAAGCAAAATGTTCTCGGGTTTGAGATCGCGGTAGATGACCTTGAATCCGTGAAGGCACTCAAGGGCACACAAAAGTTCGGCAGTGTAGAAGCGAGCCCTGTTGATATCGAATCGTTGCTCTCTTTGAAGGTGGTGGAAGAGCTCTCCTCCATTGACGAATGCGAGAACAAAATATAACTTTTCTGGCGACTGGAAAGAAAACTTCAGAGGAACGATGAAAGGGTTGTTGATTTGCGCGAGGACCGATCGCTCTGCCAAGGTATGTGTGACCTCCGACCGGGAAATAATGTGAGCCTTGCGGATCGTCTTCAGGGCGTAGATTCGGCCGGTATCTTTCTTCCTGTTTTCCAGACCTGGTAAGCGTCCGATGGATCAAAACCTCAATTTTAATGTTCAACTTACATGACCTGCATGACCTTGCCGAAACTTCCCTTACCAACGACCTTCAACAAGTCGAAGTCCTCCATCTTCAGACTGCGCTGTCTATTCTCAACGAACGAGACGCCGACCTTGATTGAACCATTGCCGAACTGGAGATCCAGCCATTCGGCACCCTGCTGACCAGAGGCCCGTTCTTGCTCAGCATGAGCAGCGGCGGCCTTTTGGTTGTCCTTCTTGCTGAGTTTTGGGTCCTCCACAAAAGGTTGAGTTGCCTCCTCGAAGCGTGGTGTAACCTTCGTGGCGCCAAGGAAGATATCTTCACTGCGACCGGCACCAGGACGGGCGGCAGGATTGCGGAGATAAAGCTGGACATTCAACTCGGTCTTCCGAGACACATCGAACTTGAAAGCAGTGTTATCGCCAGCCCACAAAGGGTTTTCGGGAGATCCAGACACAGCATCCACGAAAACCTGATTCTTTTCGAAATCGAGAAGAGCATAAGGAGAGGTATTTAGTCGAATAACGGCCATGGACTGTAGGGGCAGAGTTCATGCCACCACTAGTGGACTGTGGACGGTTGTTTTGCACGAAAGAACCAGCTTGTCCGTGTGAAGAGTGTGACGAGGAAGAGGTGCTCGGACGCAAAGAAGAGGGGGCATAGGAGTTGTTTTGGAAATGAGAGTTGAAAATCTGCTGGAAATGAGGAGACAAAGCAAACCCTCGGCCTTCGTGGAGGGTGACAATCAGAATACCCGGGTTGACCGGGTTAACAGGGGGAGAAACGAGGAACTCTGAATTGGCTATAGTTGCAGCATCAGGCACGCAGTCAGTGGGCGATCTTTCCTCTGGGAATTTCCGTGTAGATCATAAGATCACGATCACGGCATAAACATACCAATTCCATTTGCAGTATTGCTGGGAGTAGCGGCGATGCTGGGGGCCTGGGGGGTGACCGGTGTTTCATCACCGCCACCACCGTTGGAATCGCCCTTGATTGTGGAGGTGGAAGACGATCGGCCAAACCCTTGAGTGAGGGGAGCCAGATGCGTCTCCTTCAGTTCTATAGGAACGGTCAATTAGCAATTTGGACCGAGACAGTCCGCCCCTCTCATGCGCCGCGGAGGGGCGACGGCTTAGATTTGAGAGGAGGGGGGGACGAAGAGGGGGGGGGAAGAGGAGATAGGGAGACCAACTGAACATACTTTTGGTGAGCTTCCAGGACATGATGGCGGTCTCAAGGCCGGGGTATCAAGAGAGGGGAGAAGAGGAAAGAGTCGAGTGTCCAAAAGAAACCGACCACGATAGGTTGTGCAAACTGCCTGAACGATCAAGGGGAGTCAACATCGAAGTTCCCAAAATAAAGCCGGGGACCACACAAGATCAGCGCCACGCCGCCCGATCTGATCTTCGGGGGAAGGGGGTAAATGGGGATCGTGATTGAATCTCCGGTATAGAGTCCGCACGGCTTACCTTCTCAACACCAGAGGAGATTGAAGACTGAAGCACAACTGGTAGATAGAGAGAGAGAAGGAGGATCAAAGGCGCGGGCAATGGGCTGTGGCGGGGAGGGGAAGCCAGCGTGCCTAGAAGGTATTGGCTATACGTAATTTACACTCCGGGGATGGGGGTTGGCTGTGAGGGTATCATAAGGCTGTACCGTATTTACGGTATCTTCAAGATTCAGGGTGCTGAGGTAAGCGGGAAGTGTCAGCCACAAATTGGGGCAGTGCAAACAGTACAAGTCAGGGCAGAACGGAGTGTCAGCCACAATCTTAAGGCCACTGCTAGTCCAGTCACTGCCAGTCACTGCCAGTCACTAACAGTGGGAACCGGGAACTACCACACGCGTTGTCCAGCGTCCAGTCAATTCATCTTGTCAATCAAATCATATCACCAACAATCCAATATCTCCAGGGTCCATTCGACAACGCGAACTCTTCCAACTGCGCCTCAAATCTGCAGCTAGCACTCGGCTCTTTATTTCCCGATCCCATCTGCGGAGATCCTGGGGAAGGATCTCACCTTAACTTGGCACAACCTCCCACCTCCCACCTACACCCATCCCCTCCCCTCTCCCGCCATCTCGACACTTCGCATTGCCCTCGGAGACCTCTCGAGGGTAAGGTGGGACCTCGCGACAACGTTGGATTCTGCGGAGGATGAACGGGACCAAAAACCGATGGGTGTAATACGCAAGAAGACCGCCTCGCGCGGCACCGAGGCAGGCACAAAGTTCCACTGCGATGTGTGCTCCGTCGACGTGACTTCAACTGTGAGTCCTCCGAATACCCTAACATGGAATGCACTGACTCATCCTTCTCCCATTAGGTCCGCATCTCCTGTGCACACCCCTCCTGCCCTGAATACGACCTCTGTGTCCCCTGCTTCGCCGCCGGGGAGCTATCAAAGAACCACGACCCAGCCACCCATCCCTTCCAAGTTATCGAGCAAAACTCCGTCCCGATCTTCCAGGAAGAATGGGGTGCTGATGAGGAGCTGTTGCTGCTCGAGGGCGCCGAAATCTACGGCCTGGGCTCATGGGCCGACATCGCCGACCACATCGGTGGTTACCGCTCCAAGGATGAGGTGCGCGATCACTACATCGAGACATTCGTATATGGAAGTCACTTCCCTCTTCCTGACCGCGCCGACCCAGAGGATAGCAGCCTTCAGAAATCCATCTCCAAGGAAGAGTTTCAAACGCGCAAGAAGCGCCGGATCGAGGAGCGCAAGGATGCTGCCAAGGCTGCTCCCCCTACAACCCCCCAAGCAAAAACCAACTGCCAGTGTACCCGCATGCCATGAGGTCCAGGGTTACATGCCTGGTCGATTGGAGTTCGAAACCGAATTCCTCAATGAGGCCGAGGAAGCCGTTCAGCACATGGCGTTTGAACCTGGGGCGGGCATCGGTCCCAATGGCGAGATAGATGCGGAAACAGAGCTGAAGATGACCGTGGTAGATATCTACAACTCGCGCCTCACTGCGCGAACAGAACGCAAGAAGATTCTCTTCGAACACAATCTCCTAGAATATCGGAAAAACACCGCGCACGAGAAGAAGCGTTCGAAAGAAGAACGCGAATTGCTGAACAAGGCCAAACCCCTCGCTCGGATGATGAACCGGAAAGACTTCGACGATCTGAATAAGGGATTAGAATACGAGCATAACTTGCGCCTCGCCATCTCACAACTCCAGGAGTGGCGACAGATGGGTATCGGTGACCTGAAAGCAGGCGAGAAATACGAGCAGGATAAGCAAAACCGGGTACAGAGGATGCTACCGCAAGGCTCCTTTGACCGCTTCGCCAGTGCCCGTCCTAAGCAAACACAACCGCCCGAGACGTCGACTGGAGCCATTCAACTGACGACACCTGAACTTCCGCTGCGGTTCCAGAAGCCTAGCAAACCATCCGAACCGGAGCCCGAGAATGACTTTGACCGGATGTTCGCCATTGATGGCGATTCCGCACCTTCGCAGCCAACCAAGACCAAATATGTCGTCCAGCCGCTGAGTGGAGTGTCGGCATGGAAATTGGACAATGAAGGTGCTGCCGATCTTCACCTTTTGACAACTGAGGAGGTAGACGTATGCAATGCACTCCATCTTATGCCGAAGCCCTATCTTGTCGTCAAAGAGACACTGTTGAAGGAAGCAATGAAACAAGGCGGTACTTTGAAGAAGAAGGATGCACGAACGATCTGCAAGGTTAGTTCTTCCGTTCATGTCCTTTTTGATGGCACGACTAATAGCTAACATTATCGATAGATCGAGGGCACCAAAACCAGCCGCATTTACGATTTTATGGTGCACAGCGGATGGATCAATAAGGGATAGTAGTCCTGGTGGTGATCATGCTTGCGTTGTCTGTATTCGACTTGATATCTATTCTGCAATTTGCTCTGGGAGCGTTTGGTTTCTGGCGTTCACAATGGGAAAGACGGGGTGTTGACCTGACGTTGTTCATATACCGAGAGGTTACCGGGCGGTAATGCACAATACCCTTTTTATTCGAATAAAATTCTATGTAGAAATAGGTTTTGATCATAATAGTCCTCCATATATTATCAACGTAGTAGTGTAGACCTATAGGGCACTCTATCACCCAGAGCACGGTGGAATGGAGTATCTGATTACTGATACAAGTAGTGCTAGTAGTACCGCTGCCGAGCTATCTCGACCTCTCCCCCGCATCGGCCCTCGGCATCTCCATCGGTCTGCTCTCCGCATTTAACAACCAGCCCCAAACCCACCCAAACCCAAACAATCATCCCTTAAGATTTATCTTTACTCAAAACGTACATTTCCTCCCTTCATCAACGCAATGCCCGGTTCAAGTTTCGCAACTCCTCCTCCAAACCCTCAACACGCCATCCTCTCCTTTCCGGCACCGCACGTCCTCCTCGTCACGCTCAACAGACCACGCGACCTCAACTGCATCAATGCGCAGGGTCATGCTGATCTGCATGATGTATGGGAGTGGATGGACGAAGAGCCTAGCCTGCGCGTTGGCATTCTGACTGGGAAAGGGAGGGCTTTCTGCGCTGGGGCTGATTTGAAAGGTAAACTTCTTTTCTTTCTTACATACAGTGATTTATACGAGATGCGGTGATTGGAGATTTGTCTGCCGATATTTGGACTTTATAAGGAGACACCTTTTCTCTTTTTCCCCCTATCACCCATACAAAAGAAAAAGAACCCTACACACCCCCGAAAGAAATCAAGAAAGAAAACAAGCTAACCCACGCCAGAATGGAACACCCAAGCCAACAACACCGGCAAAAAAGCCCCCCAACCCCCCTCAGGCTTCGGCGGCGTAGCACGCCGAAAAGGCAAAAAGCCACTAATCTGCGCCCTAAACGGCCTCTGTTTCGGCGGGGGCGCCGAAATGATCATCAACGCGGACATCGTAATCGCCGCCTCACGGGCGGTAATCGGGTTACCAGAAGTAAAGCGAGGCGTCGTTGCTATGGCGGGGGCATTACCTCGTCTTGTGCGGACTGTGGGGAAACAGCGTGCTATGGAGATGGTTTTGACTGGGCGGACTTTGTCGGCTGTTGAGGCTGAGAGGTGGGGATTGGTTAATGAGGTGGTTCAGGTTCCTGATGTTGGTCGGGGTAAGGATGAGGGGGAGAATGAGGAGGATTCGCGGATTGTTGTTAAGAGGGCTTTGGGGTTTGCGGCTGATATTGCGGGGAATAGTCCTGATGCGGTGCTGGTTAGTCGGGAGGGGGTTAAGTTGGGGTGGGAGGGCATTGGGGCGGATGAGGCTACGGGAATGTTGAGTGAGACTTGGGTAAAGAGGCTTTATGAGGGGGAGAATATTAAGGAAGGGTTGCAGGCGTTTGTGGAGAAGAGGGCGCCTGTTTGGAAGGATAGCAAGTTGTAGAACAAGGTCTTTTGATTGTGTCTATACTTGAGGTTTACTACTGTACAGTGGTGTTGCAAGAGTTTGAAACCCCTATTGCCCACCATTACTATTGACCGTCTTCTATTGGCAGACTAGTAGCTACTTAAGATTGAAAGGGTTGGCCAATCTATTCCTCTTAGGTAGCTACCAGGTCCCCTTGGGAAGTACAAAGAAGGAATGCAAAGGAAGTAGCATTTCAGTGGATAATCATATTGTGTCAGTTCATAGCTAATCATACTACACATTGGATACTACAGGTCGTAAAGTCATATCGAAAGAATCCATTTCCCAGGCACGCCGTGTGTTCGCCTATTCCCATGCGGTTTGAAGTTGTTCAGAGTGAAAGCAATTTAGATGCGCGGTTGACCCGCCTCCCTTTGAAATGATTAGCATGGGCAACAGAGAAGGGTATATTGGGGATATCATACTTGGAGTCAGATTGCACACGCTCCACCACCTTCACCACGGCAGAGAACAGCGGGTGGTCTCGCTCCAGGCTGGTCAGTTGAACAGTGGCATCACCCGGTGAGTTCTCCTTCAGAATCTTGGCTAGCTCCACGCTTTCCTCGTCTCCTTCCACATTCTGGAATCGCAAGGCCATCTCCACAGAGCCCAATAATGAGTCGTACTTGGCATTTCGCTCCGCAAGTTGCGCAGCAGGACCAATGAACCGTTCCTTGCGGCCCAATTTGCGGATCGGGGCACGACCAACACGCTCCACGCTATCTTCCAGGTAAGGGTTGGAGATTCGGCTGATGATGGTCTCGACGTAGTCCTGTTGTTCCTGGGCAGCGATCTCGTGCTTATCCACGATGAGCGAGGAAGTTTCTTGAAGCACATCTCGGACAGTGTTGCGAATGTACTCGTCCTTCATCGCTTCGGCAATAGTCATCTTACCGGCAAACTTGCCGTAGTAAGCAGCGGTAGCATGGCTGGTGTTGACGGTGAACAGCTTGCGCTCGATGTAGGGCTCGAGATGGTCGACCCAGTGGATTGCGGGAATATCGGGGTGACCGAACTTGCCGAAGGGGAGCTTCTCAACCACCCACTCGTAGAACTTCTCGATGCGGACATTCAGGCCGGCATCTGGGGCTTGAGCTGGGACAATGCGGTCGATGGCAGAGTTGGCAAAGGAAGCACGCTCGCCGAGGGTCTCCAGTCGTGAGTTATCAGTGTTGTCCTTGATGAACCCGTGTAGGGCGTCAGTTCCGCCAATCATGTTCTCACAGGCAATGACGGCCAATGGAACAGAAGCAGTGCGGGCATTGATGCCCTTAGCGATAACGGGAGCAATGAATTTGAGAATGTTTGGACCGACGGCACAGGTGACGACATCGGCAGTGGAGATCTCCTGGACAACATCTTGTTCGTGGGTCTTGGAGTTGATAGCGCGATAGTTGGTGATGGTCTTGGTGTTTTCACCATCTCCGCTGACTTCGGTGACCTGATAGGACTTGGTATTCTGGAGGGAGGTGATGATGCTCTCCATGACATCTACGAAGACGACCTCATAGCCTGCAGTATGGAGGAACTCGGCGACAAAGCCGCGGCCGATGTTACCACCGCCGAAGTGAACAGCCTTTTTCGTCATGATGGAAGTGAGGCAAGAGGAGGAGGAAGAGAAGAGAAGAGAAAAGAGGAGTGAAGGGTTGAGGTTTAAAAAGAAGGTTGAAGTTAAGGGAAAGAAGGAAGTGCGGGTGGCTGATTTGGAGGGAAAGAGCGATGCGGATGTGGGGATGGATGGGAGTATTTATAAGAACGTCAATTTATGGAATGAGAGGATTAGTACCAGAAGAATGAGAGGGGTTTAATGGTTTTGCGGTTTGTATCGTGGCCTGGCCCAGTTTATACTTTGTGGCAGGTTCGTGCTCTTTTTTGGTTTTGGTTTTGTTGGTATCTGCCCAGGTGTGAATGACTTCATCGATATTCGGGAGGAGGCGCCGGAACTGGGCTCCGCCTTGTTTCCTGCTGATGAGGGCATCATGAGGTTCTTCTCTTTTCTTTCCTTTTCTTTTACTTTCTTTTTCTCTTTGCGCTGAAATTCAAACAAAGTTGATTCTATCATTCAACATTACAATTCCATTCACGATGGTCTACCTAGTGTAACCCCCCCCGCTTTGCCGTGCAACCTGTAACCCTCTCTATAGCCAACAAACCCCGGTCGAAAGCAATGTAAAGTCAGCCATAGACTACTACTCCCTAAGTCTCTTAGTCTCTTACAATCAAATCGCGCCGGGAACTAGTCCCCTTTCTGACTTGCCTACCCTCTAAACCCTTTTCGCTCATTAAACCCCCTTCTTCCTTTTCGTCGGGCATTCATTTTCATTTGATAGTCCAGTCTTCATATGCACATTGCCCCCCCTGAAACATCTCACCGGAGTAGTTCTGCAAATCAGTCTCCGGTATCACCCGTATGACTTTCCAGCCCGGAGTTTGAACGGAAGACAGAAAGAATGCAACTCCCTTGACCAGAATTGGTATCGTGAGCGGGAAAGCCAGCCGACACCCCGGAGAACTTAAGCCATCCGGAGTACAGTGTTCCTAGTTGAAGGGCTGACGACTCACGGCTGACGCTGACAAGTCATACCAGTCATAGGCTATAGCCATAGCCACGGCTAGGGCTAAGCCAAGATGGCGCATCTGATACGCGATAATCGCAGCGTCCAGACAACCTACGTGATCGACCGTCCTCTTCTCCACTCTTGGTGACGTCGGATGAACGGACAACGGCCAGACCCAGTTTTCTTCCGTTTAGTTGCTGCTTCGATATCGAACTGCCGAGGTTTACGGAGTACACTAGAGTATTCCTATCTCTTCCACTTTCTTCCATCCCTTTCCAACGTGCCCAACGCCCTCTTGCTGAATGGCTCCATTCCCCCTTTTGCCTCCTCTTGGGGTCACCCCTTGACTGCCTAATCTGGGCACTCGCTCAGCGTCGGCCCATCATTCGATTGGTCCCTGCGCCGACCCCAGCCTTTCTAAACCTGGCCGGGGTGCGCAAAATCACGCTCGGACAACCATTACGCTAGGGGTCTTGGATCTTGCTCGTATGCATCTGGCCTCATTGGTAGGTATGTAGTTCATTCAGGTGGCATTGCCGGTCGTATACTGTAAGATTAAAATCACTGAGTGGCACGGGTTTCCCCGATGTCTGTCCGTGCCGCGCTCAAGCGTCTTTGGAGCCCAGCGCGTCCCTCAACCCCTCCTTTGTTCAATCCGAATCTGTTCAATCCCGAGTCTGCCCCTCCATGCTCCGTGCCCCTCACCTCCCCTACTAGCTTTCTAGTCCTCATCCCCCTCTTCCTCATCCTTCGGAGGAGCAGGCGCCGGCTCAGGTTGCATGCCTCGGACAAATACATTGATGAAACTGCTGATACTTCCAACCAACAGCAACCCAGCTGATGCCCATGTCATGCCAAGGAATTTGTCGCCATATTTGGCCGACACGTTAGAACCATCGCCGTGAGCGTTGATCAAGTCGACGAATTCGAATGCGATCACCGTCGCAATGATCGAGGCGATACTGAGACTTAGAGCCCCAAACTGATCGACAGGGTATTAGCGGATTCCTTATTGCTTATTTGCTCCTGGTTGTGCTTATTCTTCCCAGTAGAAGGGAAGGATCGGCGGGTGAACCATGACTCGGAACTATACGTATGTATGCACTTACCAGCAGGAACCCGAATTCAAATAGTCCTTGTTGCCTCCTCGGGGCAATGAGTGAGACCACGCGCGCGACAAGTGCGGACCCAATAGCCCCCACGCCAATCATATACATCACCGCCATCGAGCGAGTCGTCATACGGAAAGCGTGGAAGTCGTCGCTGATCACTCGGGGCCATTCCAGATTCGGGCCGTGGGAAACTCCATCCTCCCATTCTTGCGTGGGATCAAAGGCGAACAAGAGCTTGCGGTTTGAGCACGCTGTCACATTGCGTGCGCTGCTAGAGCTACCCGGCTCGACTGTCTCTAGGGTGCCGTGGCAATATGACATGACGTGAATGGAGTAGAAGGCACTGGCTTTGCTATCGGTGCCGCCTTCGGGGGTATAAAGCTACAGTACGAGTGGAAAGATTAGCACTACACAAAGTCTTGCGATGGGCTGGCGGACATACCGTGAGAAGGTCGGCGCCATCGAGGAGGTTTTGCTGTGTCCCGGCAAATAGACAGCATAATGTGAGGATGAATGCGATGAATGCCGTCAACGCGGGGAATATCTTCTTGAAGTCGACCTTCATGGCGGCTAGTATATCCGACGTCTTATCGTGTAGTCGAAGCAATCAGAACGTTGTCCACAGTTGATCGGTCGTGTATCTTATACAGCCGACGGATCGATCAGGTCGATTCCAGAACCGATGGATCTAAATGTCAGAAACAATCGATTAGTCTTGAGATCCATGATCATCATAGCAGAAAAGTAAAATCAAGCTCAGATCCTCACCAGATTATGATCGAGAAACTTATCCACATAGCCAATTTCCGAGAGCCGATCTCTGCTTCCCAGCCCAATTACTTATATACGCCAGCAAAAGAGCGAAGATCTTTCACGCCGAATCCATCATTCCGATCGAGGGCTGTCGGAACTCACTGGCAAGGGCGGTATCCAGGCGCGAATCTCGACCGAGTCTGTCACGAGGGAAAAATCCCCGATGGCATGTACGAACATCTGAGCAAAATGTCTAAATCGAGAACTCAAGACCCATATCTTGCCTATCTTGTAATGATCGGCACGATTGAATACCCGTTTAGGGGAAGATCGGATGCTTGGGCGTGTCGAGCTCTCCCCGCCGCTCGTTGGAATGCTGGCCCAGCCACGCTTGATTTCGCGGGCTAGGCTCGAGAATTGAAGTGGATGTTCGACATCTTCCAACATCAAAGAAAATTACTTTGTAGCTTGATAGATGGAATGATGGCTGAATTGGTCGGCTTTGATTGTATCTGATATTAGGCACGGTACATAGTTTGCCCTAATTTTGGTCGCTCGGAGCCGGTCGGCAGCATCTGAAAGCAGAACATTCGTCTTAGGTTTCAATTAAGTTCTAGAATCTTTAAGTTGATATGTTCCGGCATAACCCCTTAGTATTGTCTGTCTTGGAATATGTTGAGTCATTAAAAGGGCGCATGGTAGTCGAATGCCGCATGGCTATATTTGCTGGTCATTCTAGGGAACGAGCAGCGTTGCCAATGTAGTATGACTACTAGTAGCTACTACTAGTAGTAGACAGTCTAATTTTAAGTACATACATACATACATACATACATACTAGCCTGGCAAGCCCCTCAATCTCATGAGCACTTGTCGGGGTATAAAACCTTAGTTCTGGGTAATCTTGAAGTAGCTTTGAAAGCTTTGTTTAGTAGTTATTGTACTCTCTAATATAGGCTCAGTTCTACTAACATAATCCTCCGTTGAACTTGAATTTAATTGGATTTAACCACTAGGCACTAATTTTACATCATAACTCCATCTCTAGAAGTCGATATAGTTCTCCTCTAGCCGCTCCTCAAGATACTCGTAACGAAGTCGGTAGAAACAGTGGTGATTTCCTCCCGTAGTACAGACGTGGGTTTCCATTTGACGTCGTGTCTGGAAAACTTTTCCTCAATTTTTCGGGTCGGTTGGGTTCCGAGCATCAGCAACATCCTTCTTTGCGCGCTTTCGGAGTTGCCCTTTGGCATTGTAAAGATGGGAGGACTGGGAAATTACGTGAACATGAAAGTAATTCTTGATATTGGACATCCGAACGTCCAGGTCGAAAACAAATGTGTTGTCGACGTTCATCGACCAGGCCATAGTAAGAGGATCGAACTGTCCCTTCTTTGGTGAAAGCTCCAGGGAATGTTGCCCGGGCCTTTTTGGAACACAAGACCAGAAGGCAGATATCATCGTCGGTGTACTTGGCGGGATCCTTGCGGTCGACAACGGACAAGGTCTAACTGCTGATACAAGTCGGCTCGGTTGGGAAGTTCCTCTCGCGCATTGTATAAGTCGTTTTCAATCTCTCCGATACCTCGTCATTTTCCATCTGCCCGTTATTGAACTCTTTCTGGCTATCTATAAGCTGTGACTGTAGGCTGTCCCTTTCTTTTTGCAGTACTTGGCTCGGCTGGGTGGTTTGCTTTGCTCTATACCACGTCCACAGTCCGTTGAAAAGCGTTAAAGACCTGAGTGCCGGCGCATGTCGAGGTTGAAGGCATCAGGGCCGTAGGGATCCATTTTGCACAAGAACAGTCATTTTCAGAGTAAATCCTCTTTCGGTGGTATCGCGGATACTCGTACGGAACGATGATTGCGACCTGAGACGGCTTGGCAGCTTTGTTCAACAGTAGGGGATGGCACAAGCTGATCCCGATTTCCATGAACAGACTGTTTCGCCAAGAGTGGTTCTCCTCATCCGGCATCGATCCCTCGGTGTTGATGAAAACGATAGCCTCCGAGTCCTTCGTTTGGAAGAGTCCCTTGTTGACCAGCTGATACAACTTCTTGGCTGCTTGCCGATCACTCAGATTGGATTTGCTACGCAATGAGCCGTCGTAGAAAATATTACATGTCATACCGGCGACCTGGCCGATCATCCGAAGCTGTTCAGAAAGATATCCGACAGTGTAACCGTTGCGGTGCAGGCCTTCAAAGAGTGAAGTCGTATACTGGTCGCGCAAAGGGTTTTCTCCCAAAGACCGTGTTTATAGAGACTTTGTCCGTCCAATATTATTAATGTATTTGCCCGTCAACTGGAGAGATATTTGGATGAGTGATGGCGAGAACAAGGACAGTGTTTCCAGTCCGTGGAAAATAGAAACTCAAAGTCGCCCTCCATCATCTCGTTTCTTGGAGCGAAGCAAACTTGTTCTGTACAGAAAGACAGAAACGGATCCGATTGAGCATCCATTCTAGCAATTTTACCGGTTCGCGGGAGCAAGAAGGCAGGCTTGCTAATTTCTTGGAGCCGATGTAGCATTAGCGTACTTTGTGGATGGGAAAAGTTTCATATTTGAAGCCGAGTACTTAGTGTGTATTCTGTGGAGTCGATATGCATTTGACCATATTCGCCGAAAAGCTTGTGTAGTCGATCAGTGCCGGTGCGAGTTTCTTCGCGAGCTTTGTGGTGTGCCGATGCCTTCTGCAGGTGCGTGCACTGTGTCCGAAAGCTGGATTCAATAGAAACTTTCCTCGATGATAGATGATAGATGGGAAGATCGATGGAATGGAAAAGATTGGCTGGTGGATAATGCAGGGGAGAATGGGGTAGACAATGGTGACAATAACAACAGTCGGGGAAGGCACGCCCCGACACTGCCGACAACAGATCCAATTCGGCAGGCACGACTAGTATACCAGCACTAGTCAGTCCTAGTTTGAAGCAGGTAATTGGAAATTTCGACCGAAATCTCTTACTAACACTGACGACATTACAACATCGCAACATCCAACCCTCACGGTTTCATTCTCAAGCTTGCAAAAGTGTTAGTGGCGGGAGCGGACTTTGAAACTGGATGATGATGATGGAGGGAAAAGGCCTCAGAGAAATACCTACCACTAAATACTACTACTATCAAAGGACAAACGCAACATAAAAGCCCAGGCCTGAGGCCTCAGCAAGTGTCATTGTAATACATAAAACTAGAATACTACTTTCGAGCAATTGCTATCATCCTCCAAAATAAGTTCAAAAATATATGGTAAACCTACCATTAGACTCGAGGTCCAATAGACTCCGAAATGGACCTAATACGCTCGAGGTTTAGTGTTCTGAATTAAAGCCAGGGCAGCTGGTGAAAATTGCGAGGAATTTGTCTCTAGTATTTATGAATTTTGTCGAGTGACGGATGCAGGATACCTTTTCCCTTCGAGTTAAGAGTTATGGTATTGTTCCCGCCCCCCTTGTCATCACTCATCTACTCATCTGCAGCGTCAACTTTCATCAAACTTATTACCCGGGAAAACGGAGCACAGCATTCACACTCCTCTGGCCCACACTATTGTCAATTGTTGGTATGATAAAGAGTTAGATGGATGATGGTACTAGTAGCCCAAATTCCGTCCGGGATTACTCACAGCGGCCCTGCTACATGGCCACGTCTAAGGTAGAAATAAGCGACGATACGGACGCCACATTCAAGGTAATTGGTAAACGGGATACAAGGCTTTCCCAGCCCCTCTGCGATATCAGCTGTCATAAAAGCAAGCCAATCATATGGTGTGTCGCTTATGCTTAACCACCCATTTGTTCTTGGTGTTCGCCGGTACCGCGCTGCTAAGCATCAGTCTCCGCAATCTCATTCAGATACAGTAGACGGCAATTCGGTAGATTCTGATACTCCTAAACTAGTAAATATGTATTTCCATTGTGTTTTTATCATCAAATTTACATACGATAGCTCGTGGAAAGATACGCAGGGAACCGCTTGGGGAGTAACATGTGTAGTATGTCAGATTATATACCCCAGGCTGCACCCGGGCTAGCACCCGTGGCGTATGCAAACCCATTTCAAGTTAAATTCGTTGAAATTAATCAGTCATAAAAGACCAATGCCTCCGCCAGAGTCCTTCGGGCTTTCTTTTTCGGTCAACAGCGACTTGACCCTCAACCTCTCTTGGATTTTTCTAGCCAACTAGACAAGATGGACAAGTCTACGGTATCGAATTCAACTGAGATAGCCAAAATCAAAGGCGCCTTGTCGTCCTTCAATTTTGGTGGTAGTCTGGTCGAGATAACCGCCCTGACATCGTTGATCGGATCAACAGCCGCGGAGTCGTTAGCACTAGGTGAAAAGGGGCCCGCTGGCCTCGTATGGGCAATGATGACTGTGTTTGGAGCTATACCTGTTGTCAAGCTGTTTATTGCGACATCAACTCCTGGCTGGTTGCGCGAAAGCATGGGTGTCAGCAATGCGAAATCAGACGCTGTTGTCGGGTTGTTCCAAAATGCAGATAAGAATTTCATGTTTCATGATCGTAAAGAGCCCGCGATAGCCGTGGAGAGTGAGATGAAGGTAATGGATATTTTTCTTCCCGATTTTAGAATTCATCTGCTAATTCTGAGTAGAGCGCTCGAGGATCCAGGATGAAGGAAGATTCGCCGATCAGTTCTCAACGCCGATTCGTATACGTTTTTAATCAGCACACGATCAGTATTCTGAACTGCATTCCTTCCAGCTTTCCCGGAGATGAGATAAAGATTTACTCTTTCGTCGAGGATCCGTGGCGAGACAAGAGATACGCTTCGTGGTTTTCATACGTTGACTGGATGCTTCTCGCTGCGTCTGTGATGGGAAAGCTGGGCGAGTTCACTCTGCTTTGGAAATACGATGCCTGTACACTTGCTTGGGTTTCCCTCGCATCTTGGGTGTTTTATTTCACTGCTGCCGTTATCTTGCGACTACATGGCCTCTGGGGGAACACTAAGAAATCTGAGATTGACATTTTAACAGGTACTCTTCCAACTTGCTCTTCTGTTGGCGTGGATCGCAAGATTATCCTTGGAATACCCAAAAGTGCGCGAGTTCATTTGATTTGGAGGATCAACTGGAGTATTGGTGCTATCATCGGCGTTTCTACCGTCGTAGCAACCTATGTCTCTCTCATTCAGTCGACCAGCAACGAAGGATTCCTGATCTGGGCTGGATTTCAGGTCCTCTGGCTCAGTATAAGGTCCGCAGTCTATTACTTCCTTAGTAATAGAGAGGGACACTATCACGTCGGGTTAGAAGGGAGGCCATGGAGGAAGGTCAACGTACAGGACAGAAGCCGAATACGCCGCCTTGTGTATACGCTATCAAAATATCAAATACAGCAGCACCCCAGATCACCACTCAGTTACGAGGATGATATCGTCGCGCCCGAAAACCTTGAAAATATCCAGTCGGAATATCCTGCGTCACCTGAAGACAAGAATGTTACTCTGTCGATTCAGGGTGTCATCCCCGACACTGTCCTTTCTAGTGTATCATGGGTTTTCGGGTGTAAGGAAGGCGGATTCGACTTTTACGACACTTGTATTATTGTCCTGAAGACCTCCAACGGAATAATATCGATACCCGCCGCCCGAGCACTTTCCACGCGGCAGCTTTCCGGGCAGCCTAAGCACGATTCAGAAGAAGGCATTGATCTCATACATCTCCCTCGTGGGGGCTCACTGCCTCATGGAAGCTCAGCCTTCCCGGATAATAGCATTGAAGTGAAATGGTGTTATTGGATCCCGTGCTCGGGGGGACGCTGGCTGCACTTCATAACCGAACAATCGAAAAATCGAGGACAAAGGGAAGCGGCTATCCTCACAAATTATGAGGTTACGAGAATATTGAACAACGGCAAAATAATGAACATCAGTTTGAAGCATGTTGATGAGGTCAAAGAGATTGTGGACTATTCAACGATCGCATGTGGACACATGCAGGCCTTGCTGAGATGACAATAATTTATTCCGCTGGCTGAAAACCCACAAGACAAACATTGTGTGCATTATTTCCTCGAATACAGCGAACATACCCCCACAGCCCTGGAGTGCAATTCGCGGCAGCTACTAATATTAATACAAGTATTTTTCTAAAGCAAAGAGTCCAGCTGAGTGACTCACTCCATCTAGAATATTCCAGTAGTGTCATTACTAGTAGATCTTATTAGTAGATCACCATATCGAGGCAAAACTACCACCGTACAGAGGTTAATCTGTGCGTGCGCACTTTTTGGTCAAATGGCACATTTGACCCATTTTTCTGTCATGACAGATAGTGGGGCCAATTTTGCGCATGATTCGACCAGTTGCTCTGCCCATTGGATGCTCGAAGCCAGGGGTATCAATCTCGAATGTACGTGCGATCGTGAATCAAAGATCAGGGTCTTCAAGGCCAACTTGGAAGAGCTGAAATGATACAAAGGCGGTCCAAAAGTTTGAAGACATCGCGCTATTTTTTAGCGCGATTTTCGCGTCACCCCCCACCCATCTTCTTCAACTACCCCCTATACTACTAATATGCGTCGGTTTGGCACGAAATAAGTGGTAATCGAAGGCTAGGGGGTGAGCTTTTATCTGAGGCCCGTGCAGCTATTATATACGCTCATGAATGTGGTGTATCGCCTACTAAAATAGCTGCTAAGTTCAACGTCGTATGCTTAATAATATACTCTACAATCAAACGATTCTGAGAACACCAAACGCTTAAATTACTACCTCGTTCAGGTGCCCCTAAAGTCTATAGGTACTCTACTATTAAATATACCTATTTACTTGTACACCGTAAGCCTTGGCTAGGCCTTAGTAAGCTAAGCACCTGTATACCTCGTCATCTATCTCGATCAACAATCAAGCGATTCCTATGTTCAAAATTCCTCTAGCGCTATCGAGCAAGACGTTGTATCCTAATTTCGAGGGAGAACGCCCGCAAAAGAGTCCGATTTTGCCGAAATTGGAGGGCTGAACACTATAATTCCTAACTATAAAGCTTCATCTTTCTTGGCGAATACAGTGTTCAACGTATCCCTAATTTAAACAGCCAATACGTTACCTGGCTTAGAGGAGAAGCTTACCAGTAGAGAATGGTGTAAGTTAAGGTTTATGTGAAGAATATTTATCAAATAGTTTAGGCTAGAATATAGCTCGGAGGGTGTACAAAACTTGTAATTATAGAGCGTAACTTTTCAGAAGGATAGTGTAAGGACCCGAGATGAAATGTTATTCATGTAGTATTGACGAAAAAGTAATAAAGCTAAAAAAAGGAAAGAGAGGTAAGCTCTCATAATTGTTATGGTACAGATAGAACGGACGGTTGTGGGTCATGTGATCAGGCACGTGACTCAGACAACATCGGGTTCGTTACAGATAGCAAGATTATAGAGGTAGTTATACAACGAAATCCTACCTGAAAGCGCTTGAGAAGGGTTTATTGAACACTATGAGCCTAGAACTATATTTCAGCAAGATAACGCTAAAATCCACCGCTCCTATGTTGCTCAGCGATAGTTTAAACATCATAGTATATACGTTATAGAATGGCCACCACACTCGCTAGATCTTAACCCTATTGAACCTGTATAGCGTATACTCAAACGTAAATTATATAAGCTCTATCCTAATCTACTACATTGTAGTACATCTGAGGCAGATTAGAAGCTATTTAGAGAGTGTATATCGGAGGCCTGGGATGTGCTAGATCAAAATAAAATTGATAGTGTAATTAGATCAATGCCTCAGCGTGTAAGCAAGACTCGTAAGGCACATGGCTACTATACTCGGTTTTAGCGATTGAAATTTTGTTATATAATTTATAATTGATTATTCTATCCATGGATATTATAGCAAAATTTGGTACAATAACATTGCATATTGCATGCAATATATATATTTGAATGTAGGGTGGGTAAAATGGCAGAATTACCCGATTAGGCGGTGTCTTCAAACTTATGGCCCAAGATGGTATATAGCAGTATGGAATCTAAAGACAATATATTGAATCGGTTAAGGGGCAAGAACTAGGGTATATTCTTGGAGTTGTATCCTTCTAAGGTTGTCCGAACCTTTCTTTGTTTGCCGTAGCCCATTTAGTGATCGTGCTGCTCTTCGCATGCAACAAGAAAAAGCGATTGAGCAATGGCAAGTAAATAGCAATAACAATAGCAACAGCAATAGTATATCTTTCAGCCGAATGTGGACCTCTATACAGAGTTAAAACAGACAGAAATACACCGTTTACTAAGCAGTATAAAATGTCTCGAATAGGTAATCTTAGCGAAATTGAACAAAATTATACAAAAAAAGAGGGTATACGGATACCCTCTTAACCCGTGGGTTTCCGGAAGCTAGGCCCGCACCCTTCACGGGGCGGGAAATAAACTTCCAGGTTTAGACAGCAGGTGTATAGAGCAACCAATTCTGCAAATTTTCTTGTGGCCCAAGCTTTTTACCACACAAACTTTTACTAAGCCTAGTTAATTAAGCCATGGCAGCTGACGTTGTAAACGATATATTTTTGACCATAAGTCTTTTTTTACAGGAAATTGCACGACCATCGCCCCGAATGCCAATTAGCTTGCGGGCAATTGAGTTCAGCCGCGTTGGCCCCCAATCCCGCCCACCCGGACCTGCATCAACAAGTGAGTTTTTGAGTAGATCCCTGCCTCTTGAGTTTACAAACGGACCCCAGAGTCTGGGCGCTCTAGCCAAATTCTATACAATCATTGCGAGGATCTTTTGACCCCCTATTTATAGCCTCTTACACATGTCACTTAAGAGATTCCAAGTTGCCGTTTTATTGAAAGAAGTGACTCCAATCCCAACTTGAGAATCGCAAAAGGAGAAATGGCGAGGAATAGCTCGATACGAGAGAACATTGAGCTGTCAATAAGTTCTAAGAGCAATCGGAGTTCCGAGCCCCTTGTTCGGTCCAAAATCCAAGACATATCCGGTGAAATGACACAAAACTACAACCTACGAGATTATGGAGATTTTGAGAACAGACTTCCACGAAAGAGCAGCCCGAGGGGCCTTTTTCAAGGATGGAAGTTCACTCTTTTTCTGGCTTTCACAGCAAGTGCTATGGTATTATTGTTCAATTTTGCCTTCCTCATTTTCACAGCCACCCGCACCCAGCAGGGTAAGGATGCTGCGTTGTCAAGAGGAGACTGCGAAAGAGTACACCAACTGAGTACTGGATACCATTGGATCATCAACGTGCTCAGCACCATTCTACTCGCCGCAAGTAATTTCGGGATGGTACGAAAATAATTTATACGGAACCTGCCTGAAATATGCTAATTATCTATAGCAATGCTTGGTAGCTCCAACGAGAAATGACGTTGATCGAGCTCATAAGGGCCTGCGGTGGCTAGATATTGGGGTACCGAGTATCCGCAATCTATTCCGTGTCTCATCAACACGCTCGGTTCTGTGGCTCTTCTTGTTTTTTTCATCGCTGCCACTCCACATCTTTTACAATTCTGCAATTTTTTACCAGACTGCAGTCCCTGCTTACGACATATTTGCCGGGCCAGAAGGTTTGGATCAACTCGATTGGTCAGACGTCTACTTGTCCAGCCCATTCGACAATTCAACTCTAAGAGCGTCTCTCAATGGCCTCTTTCACGCCGCCAAAATCGGGAACTTGAAGTACTTAGATAGCGCAGACTGCGTTACAGCTTTTGCTCAAACCTACCAAACGACCTATGGCAAGGTCCTCTTGGTTACCCAAAATGACACGAAGGGCTTGTACACTTTCATTGGCTCAAACAGTGTATATCATCCACCTGTTTCTGGGCTGGGCGACCTGTATGGGGCGATGTCTGCTTATAAATGGCTGTGTCCAGCAAACGCCCAGGAAGATGATTGCAGTAAAAAGGGGAGCTCTGTGCCCTACAAATTGGCGACAGAGAATAACTGGAAGGTGTCTACTTCCCGGTCTCAAGAATTTTGGGATTATTGGTCACCCGATGAATATACCTACAGCGATTGGTTGTCCCATGATTATGGAACCTACAACAATTTCTTGTCTGATTCATCCGATGTTCAATCTAGGGTCCGATACTGTCTGGCAGAACCTACACCACAAAATTGCAGTCTGCAGTATTCTGTGCCCCTAACAGTGGGCACAGTTATCTGTAATATTGTGAAGACATTCGTTTTACTTTACATCTGGCTCGGGATAAAAGAGACTCCTCTCTTGACTGTTGGCGATGCCATCGCATCCTTCCTTCGCCGCCAGGATCCATATTCTAAGGGGATGTGTTTTCCAACCACTGGAACCGGGGTATACATACCCGCTACTCATGCCACCCCCCTTCGCTTCATGACACTCAGTTTCGCCAGCCTGTGGCCTTCAGTAAAAAACGGAATCGCTGGGGGTCCGCTGTCTCCAGTCGTTGGGGCTTCTTCATTTTCTTGTAAGTTTTGCAGTCGTTTCTTTACAAGCAACGGCATTTATCAAGCATAAACTTACAAACCTATCTAGTTGGATACTTGCTATCATGATCTGCATCCTCCTTCTAGTCCTATCCATCGTCGGAATTACCAGTGGCGGTCTTGGGCAGCTTGGTGCTATCTCCTCCGATACAATCCTCAGTGTTGAGAACTCTGGTGAAAGCCTCGTTACGACTTCTCTCGTCGCCAATCTGCCACAGCTGATATTTTCATTCCTTTATGTCGCTTACAACAGCCTCTTAACTTCAATGTGTCTCTCCGCCGAGTGGGACCGCTTTGGTAACGATCGCAAGGGGTTACGCGTCTCCCATAGCCCAAAGCTTGCCCAACGGAGCAACTATTTTCTTTCAATTCCGTATCGATTTGCGATGCCGCTGATTGTGACTTCCGCCATTCTGCATTGGCTTGCTTCACAAAGTCTTTTTGTGATCGCAATTGAGGCATATGACACGAAATTACAGAGGGACTCTGCAAACAATGTATATGCTTGTGGGTACTCTCCAGTCGCAATCCTTAGCGGGGTGTGCATCGCGACTGCTATGTTTCTTGGTTTAATAGTTATAAGTCTCCGGCGATTTGAGTCAGAGATTCCCGTGGCTTCGAACTGCAGCATAGCTATTGCTGCGGCGTGTCATCCACTATATAATCCGAACGTGAATTCAGCGGATCCGGGGGTGGGGAGAGAGACACAAGGTACAGAGGATATAGAGTCCGAGCAAGAAGAGGAGGATATGGCACTATTACCTGTGAAATGGGGATCTATACCGATCGATGGGCCCGTGGGTCATTGTAGCTTTACTTCTGTTGAGGTATATCCACCCGAGGAAGGGAAGGAATACCAATAATGTCTTTAAAGGGAAAAAAACACCCAACTTAGTAGTGTAACGACCATAATAAATTTGCATACCATGCTGCCCCGCAACCGGCTTAAATTACGGTTTCTGAAGCCATATTACATGATTTTAATCCCAAGATAGGATCGTACCTCAATGTGAAAGGCAGTTTCTTCGGAATACTGTCTCTCACTAAAATATATATGAAACGCTGTGTAGAATCAATGAGGCGATCAGCTCCTTCTAGATGACGATCCGCCAACCCGCGCCGCGACTGCGGGCGATGTTGTGATTATGGGGCACGAGTCAGGTCAGGTTGTATTTTAGAGATTGGAGATGGTTCATAGCGTTATATCTCGAGAGAAGGTCGAGATCAACAACCCAGATTATAGTATTATTTTACTACTATATAAAGTTCTTCAAGGCTATGTCTAGTACATACGACCATAGGGTGTGGAGAACAGGGCTTCCCGTCCGCTCAGCCGTACTTAAGCCACACGCCGGCAGGTTAGTAGTATGGTGGGTGACCACATGCGAATCCCTGCTGTTGTATGTTTTGTTTTTGGATTTTTTTTGTTGAAAACATGTTTTGGTAGGTAACTATTGTTTGAATCCGAACTTACTAAGTTAAAATCCTTGATTGCCTCACAAGTCACAGCCCACGGGTGTTGTATAATGAGCCTACCAGTAACCACCTAGGCATCTGCTGGACATCAAATACTTGCTACTAAAGGACACTACAGGACATTGTAGATATATAGACTAGAATAAACAGAGTTTGGCTTTCCCAATGGTGTAATAGTATATTTTACTTCTGTTGAGGTATATCCACCCGAGGAAGGGAAGGAATACCTAGGTATCAATAATGTCTTTAAAGGGGGGAAAAATGAGAACCTACGGAATGTCGCCGTGAGCGCGATGCAGGACTAGTACGGAGTATTTAATTTGGAATCAGTGAACGGCTAGTCATTTCAAGTTAATGATTCTTACAGTGTACTACTAGTACGTGACATGTATTCCAAAGTCTCCGCCGGGACCTTACTCACCTCCTACACTCCCTTTCTAATACAACAATCTACTAACAATCTACTAACAATCTACTAACAATCTACTACACACGTACTACATTCCTTACACTAGTGTTTCAGGTGGTGGCAGACCTACCAATGATGTACACCTCACTTCACCCAAGAGGGTCAGAGAGCGACTCTCGTACGACGGAGTATGAGCCTCAACCCGAGCGAACTCACCCATTTTCGCCCTTGGAATTCATATCTACTCATTAGATTATTACGGCGAACACTGAAGAGCGACAACAATACAATCCTCATTCCCTTAAATTAACTTAATTGATACCGCTGCATTATAGAGAATGATGGTACTATACTGTTTGGTATGGGGTTTTGCTTACTGATTCCGCCCATGCTAATGATAGTTCTCCTAGAATGTTCACGGGTGTTGCCCAGCTCATCACACATACTGAGATTCGCGGACATATTAAGTTAGTGCATTAAGCATAATTGAGGAAGTAGAGTCTGTAAAAAAAATCAGATATTATGTAAGGCAGATATGACGGAGTTTGGGGAATACACTGTACCTTGTTTCCTTGAAACGTTCAATGCAGGATGACGTTGTTTTAATGGAAGTGACAGGCTCGTGCACCATACACAAGCACTAGCTAAGCAACACGGCAGATGTGAAGAAGCAATGACCTATCCACACGATGTGGGCTGGCATGATGTCATTCGATTCAGTCTCTACATATGGATGATAAAAGTGAATCATGTCCTTAATGACCGGGACTTTGGTTCTCAGCCTTCATCTGAGCCCCCACAGCTGGCCCTGCAACAAAGCAATCTAAAGACTATGTGTCTACTATATTGTTCTTCTTAGTACCAAGTATATTCGGCACTTTGCCACCTGCAGATCCCTGTTTCACGAACGATATCACCTTCCCCGCCTCCGTCAAAACATAATGTCGTACCGCGACGACTACCGCGATGACCGCCGCGATGGCGCCGATGGCCGCAATCGTGGATATGCTGCAGATTATTATGATGAGCACCCCGATAGTCGGCGATACGATGCACAGCGCGACTATGGCTCACGACAGGCACGCCGTCCACAACACGAATTTCGACGTCGGGCATCGTCAATTGGAGGGGACCCTTCTTACCACCTAGGAAATCGTTCCCAACGGGACTCATATCGCCCATACAAAGGTTCATATGCGTCGCTCAAGATTCATAGAATACTCTGCTGACTGGAAGACCCGTAGATTCTGAACGGCCCAGCGGCTCTTCATCTAGGCCCAGCCGCTCATCCCGCGATCAAAATCGTCGCCAATCCACGGGCCAGGCTTCGAGAGTCAATGGCGACCAAGACCGGCATAGTACTCGTGATGAAGGCCCCAGTGACAGCGACCGTGATAAAGGCCACAGTAGCTTCCTAGGCGAAAAGGGCAGGCAGCTTTTAATGCATGCTGCTCTTCCCCTCGTCGCCGCCGGTGCTGCAGAGGCCTTGCGGGCGCGCAAGGAGCCTGGAGAATGGAAGGGAGACAAAGGGAAGCATGTTCTGACGGCAGCTGTCACCAATGGATTGGTTAATAAGGATCCAAGCAAGCCTCAGAAACACCATATCATGGATACTACACTTCATGGCTTACGTGAAGGTGCCCCTAACCGTGAAGAGAGAGCTGAGCTTCAGCGTCGGGTTGGCGGAAGCCGTACATCGAGCAATCTGAAGAAAGTTGCTGTCGCAGGTGTGGTGGCCTTCGCGGGAAAGGAGCTCTATGACCGATATGGCCGCTCGCGATCTGTGGCACGAGACTACAGCGATGACCCTTACAGCTCGAAGAAACGCAGTCAGAGTGTCTCGGATGACCGGCACCGTGGAATGAAGTCTCCGGACTATGAAGAAAGCGATGATCAGAGAAGCACTCGATACAAAGACAGGAATGGTCAATCCAACCAGTGGGAAAGTTATCCTAGTCGCGACCGCGACTACAGGAATTGGGATTATGGCTCTGATGGGTATTCGGACTCGGATATGGAAAACAACTATCATGGAGATGATTACGGGCGACAACAAAGCTCTCGAGATCTGGCCCGACCACGTTCCTTGAACAGGTACCCTGATAATCACCCACATGGGGACTGGTCGAGCTCCGAGGGCGATTCGGATTTGGAGCTAGCTCAGATGAAAAGGAAAATGGAAAAGAAAATGGACCGTGATGTGCTGTTAACCTCCGGGCTAGCCACTGCGGCAACCGTTCACGCCGCTCACAAAGTCTACGGCTCAGTTAATAAGCGCAAGCAACGCGCGGCTCAGCTGGAAGATGGCGAGATCACGGCCGATGAGGCGCGCAAGGAGCGCATTAAAGCCAACACGATTGATGCGGCGAGTATCGGTCTCGCCGCGCTGGGTATCAAGGGTGCGTATGGAGAGTGGAAAGAAGCGAACGATAATCGCAAGGAGACACAAAATTTTAAACACGAGCGTTATCGTCATGGAGAACAACGCGAACTGGAGCGCAATCGCAATCGCAGATACTCTTAATCATCTTGTATGAGATACGTATAAAGAGTCTTTATCTAGCACTTGGCATCAATCTAGCTACCGCGTAGTTCTCTATGCTGGGCCCCGAAAGACAATCCCATAAAATTGGCACAACGCTAATATTCTCAGCACTGGGGCCTGATCCGACATATTGTGGGCATTCATTCTTCCGAAGCCAACATAGCTTCAAATTCAGCGTCAACCCTTTCATACTCGGCTTTCCTCTCAGACGCCGCGTCTATGAAGGGCTGCAACTTCGCATCGTACTCTTCCGGCGACAGGGATAACAATTCCATATGTTCTTCTCTTGTGAGCTTCCTCGCGCCATTAAGAATGCCTTCTTCAAATCCAACCATTCCAAGCATTCTTGCAGTATCTTGAATGCTAGCGCTCCTGCGAGTCTCGATAACAGTGGGGTCGCTCGCCTGCGGCACAATGTATTCAAAAGGATCGGCCCAGAGAGTGTAGAAAATCACACTAGGTTCTTGGATAAAGCCAGGCTTATCAATGACCACTGTAAAGAAGTGATGAGGCGCTAGGGGCGAAGTACGTTCGCCAAAGCTTTGCGGTAATATGCGAATTTGCTCATTTTGCTCAGGTCTATGTATAGCACCGACGTGAAAGTCATTAGATGGAGCAGATAGAAGAGAGGACAAAGATGAGGATTCGGGAATACGGAACTCAAAGTATACCGTTTTTGAGTCGGGGAGGTGGGAGACAATGCCAGCTGTAAATGTGCGTGCTGTTGTCTCTAGCAGTGTAGGCATGGTATGATTGTTCTCAGCGATATCCGCGAGAAAGGAGAGGTAGATCACATATTGGAGATCCGAGTCATATTGCCCATCCGAAATGTTGTTCGTAACAGTCAAAATTCGACTTTCGGATCTCCAAGCAAGATGAAATATATTTGGGTCCACAGATTGAACTTCCGAAGCTAGCTGCTGCTGCTCTAAAATCTCTTGAATATGCTGTAAAGAGGATGTCTCATCGAGTGATGCGGGCGGGGGCGGTTCGTGGAGTCCGTAATCGATTTGCCCATACTCATATTTTGACCATCGTCGATGCATAAGATTATAGATATCATGTATCATGCCGGTCTGATTATTCGTAATACTGACATTTATATCGCGGACATCTGGGTTGACAAAAGCATAGCCATCCACAAAAGTTTCAAAATCAGTTGGTGGTTCTTGAAGGCTTTTAAGAATATCCAGCTTCTTGACTGCAGATGGGAGATTCCGATCGAAATAAATCCACCAGGGACCTGTTCCATCCTGGTCCTTCGCAAACGTCGCCTGTAGGTAGCTGTTCGACGTGAGGAGGAAACAGAAGCCAGACATATCATCTGAGAAAGGGGTTTGCATTGTTGGAATCAACGGGGGAAGATATTTCCCCTCATCACACTCATGTTGTTCGGCGTGAAGACGTTTTTGATGAGTGATTTCACGGCGCTGATGCTCCACACATGCGAGTGCATCCGGTGGATTGTACGAGTAGATCTCCAAGAAGGGGGGCATGGGGACATTAAAGCAGAGATATGAGTACAGATTATTGAGAGCCTCCGGTTGAGTCAGAATAGGAATTGTACTATACACTTGAACTCGGTAGTCCTCAACTTCATCCAGGTTAGAGAAGTTGGATTCGGTAGCCCACTTCCCCAGAATGACAGTGTTCCCTTGATGATCGACATATTCCCGTTGCAACAACCCTTCGTAGATGGAAGGAACTGGATCTCGTGCAGTCTGAGCTGTTCGCGCCATAGTGGTTGAATGGTGGTTCGTCCAGAGGTTGGAAGGGCTAAGGAGCGCTCCGCTAGAGCGGGGAGGCGACTAGTAGTAGGACAAACTTGGCTAGGCCATCAACATACAACAATATCTGTTGTATGCTCAGGTGTTTTTTTTGCATTTTTTTACCTAGGTACTCTCTACCTAGGTATGGAGACAGGCCCAGATACCTATGAAACCACATCATGACTCATGATCATCAGTACTCATCGGATGAGTACTGATGAGGTGTATATATTCCAAGGTGACCTATGCTAGTAGCAATATATCACAACTAGCTGTAGAACGAATTCAACCTTGGAAATCCATGGATCATTGGTGCATGCCAGGCGGCCACAAGAAAACTTGAAATATGGACAGAGAACTTAAATTGAACCAAAACTAAGGAGTGTGCATCCGAATGTCAACTTTTTGAATATTCAACCTTGAAATACGAGCCCACTACCTCTATTGGCTACCAGTAAACATCGAAATGCCTACCGGTTTTATATCTACAGGTGGACTCAATCACAGGAAAGAACCCGACCAATCCGCGACCTTTACATATGCGGGCGCAAACCTGGGGTAGAAGAAGCCTTCGACATCATTACATCTAGAAAGGAGTCGGGAAAACCACCTCGCTCGGGAACGCCGATTGGATAGCGCGCCAAGTCTAGACTCGGCCCCGAGTCACCAGCAACCGGAAACGGCTTAAGTACTAGACACAAGGGATACTACGTAGGGGGTGGGCATACATGTGAAATGGACATGGGCTGAGGGTTTAATAGGATCGTCAGTATTTACCACGTGCTCATCAGCGAAGCAAGGCTCAATCGCGAACGGTCCAGACTAATGTACTGTCATATGCAGACCATTCACGAGTCCAGCTGGGACATTCCAAACAAGGCAGCCTTCTAGAAGCCCTGTATCCTTCTGGAGGGGGCACAGCCTTTGCAGTGGCGCCTTCCTCGGGCGCAGCTGGCAGGTTTAAGAACGAAACAGGCCGGGAATGGCGCCACTAGACTGCATCAATTGGCCGGAAGATCGCTGCGCTATCGTCGACGGAGGATCGGGAAGGCGCAGATGTGGTTCTCGGGCTGATGGTCTAGCTCTCCACGGAAGGCCCCTTAAAATGAAGGCGCAAAGTCAATGCAAGCGGGAGGCGTGTCATGCGCCGGTGCCCTGCAGCAGTTCCTTTGGTGGGTACGAGAGCTCGTTCGAGACGTCTCGAAGGTAGAGGATCGTCCGTGGTGAGATGAGATGGGATGATCTTGCTGCTAGCTTGGTCATGGCATTCCAATTGTCGGAGTCTGGTCGCTTCGCCGAGAATGTTGGCGAAATCCAAGCATTGCGGCGATACCAGGATGCAGCCACATGCTTTCTTGGAAATGCTTGACGGTCTTGGGGGTTCCAAACGAGAGAGGCAAGCACTGACAAGCACCATCAAGCAATGTGCAAGCAATGTACAAGCAATGGCAAGCATCACATTGAATCATCACTACTCGTATAGGGCAACCGGAGCAGCCACCCGAAGTATGCAGCGATTATGCAGCTACCGCAGCATGCGACAAGACCGGGTGAACCAATATGCTGGACCCGTGCTTCCGACAGGCCTCGTGTTTCGCGTTTGACCCATGCGAGCCAGACTGATCGATGGGAGTTGCGAGGACGGTTTGGTAGACAGGGGCGGACGACGTCAGGTCCGGACAGGACCATGTGCTCCCAGCGGGGCCTCTGGTTGGTCGATGGGTGTTATACAATGTGTCCAATCATGGGGGCGCTGACCCCAGATATCGGTTAGCGCCGAGTTAAACCGTCATCCCCCACTCTGCTCGCGTGCATTGATAGACCGAGGCGGATGCATTAGCACCGCAGGGCGATGATTTCCATATGGAGGATAGTCTTTGGGATTGTAGTTTATAGCGGGGGCCGAAGGTGGTACGTCAAACCTAGGATTGGGACACGCGACACTCGGGGCTTGGACCCTTTGGGCAAAGACGTTGATAGTCATTGATAGACGGTGATTCCCCGGAGCATAGCCACGCATTTGGATAGAAGGCAGAAGCCGATCCATGATGTCTAGTCTTGGCAGACCTGCAGGCGTGACAATGCACTGGTAGGATGGCGGAATGGCGGGATATGTCCATGGGTGATCATCTGCATGATGACACTAGTGTCAGTAGAATACCGTAGTGTGTGCTGTCATGTTTTTTTTTAGCATCTGTGAATTAGACGAGAATTCGACAAGAATTCGACAAGAATCGGCAGTTACCTTGGCAGATAGGTGGTTACCGAAATGCTGGGCAATGGGCAAGCAAAGGTACGAGTAAAATAAGACCTAAGACCGGACCGGCTATAGCGCACGCGACAGCAGGATGTGAAGGTGGGATTAAGCGGGGGCGAGATGAGCAAGATGGGCAGGTTGAGGTTTGCGCGAGCGAGAGGATCCACACCCGCAGATCTGGGCGGTCCACAATGTGCAGGCGGTGAGGGGAAATCCAGGGCAACTCTTACACATGCGGCGTAGACTTGGGCGGCTGCGAACAATTCTGCCACCACGTGCGGGACTGATTGGCTGACGGGCGCCCCATAATTTCCATCGGATCCAACTTTTCTTTTCCATTTTCCTCTTTTCTGCCCCACTCGTCGCTGCTGTTTTCGTCTAATGACCCCCCGACTCTCGACTCTTGACCTGGGCAAAATGGAAATTCCGCTGGGAAAAAAAAGAAAAACTAAAAAAAGAGGAAGACCTGGGTGGAGCTTGCCACTCTTGCTTAACACCGATATTTCTCGGCGCAAGTTGTGCTCGCTCGCCCCGGTCTTCCCGGTCTTTCCTTTCTACTTCATATAAAAAAAAGTCCCACGCCCACCTGCCCCAACTTTTCGTTTCGATAGCTACGCCTCACACACCTCGTGGTCTCGCGACCTTCCCTCCTCCTCCTCCCTCCTCCCACGTGAGATCTTGAACCTTCTTCATCCTCACTCGATCTTCTTCTCCACACAGCCAACTTCCCCGGAAGTCAATTCACCATGGCTGATTACGGTCCACGTGCCCCTCATGGGCCTGATATGTCCGGCACACACAACCCGCTGATGGATATGGATATCAATGAGAAGGGTGCCTTCGACAGCTTGATTCGTCCCGAGGACAGCTACAGCCCCGAGGGTGTCTACTGGGCCGATATGCCATTGGGCCAGAAGATCAAGTTCGTCAGCTCATATGATGCTGGCGAGGCCCGTCGCGAGTTGAGTGGCATTTGGGATATGATGAAGGAGGACCCTCTCTCGCCCGTATCCTACTACTTCCGCAACATGGTTCTGCCCGGCGCCGGTCTCGGTCTCGAGGGTTACGTCCTGTTCTCCATTGGTAACATTAAGCCGCTCTTCCAAAAGACTTTCCCCGATTGCTGGAAGGACAACCTGATCTGCGACAAGCAATGGTTGAATGCGGTCGACTATCTGGAAATCATTGGTATTATCGTTGGCCAGATCTTGGTCGGTTTCGTTGGTGACTGGTAAGCCTCTACTGTGGAGCGGGAGAACCCGAATTGGTGTGATCTCAATGCTAATTCCAATACAGGATTGGCCGTCGTTGGGGTCTGATTCAGGATGCCACCATTATGTTTATCGGTTTGATCATGTTGACCGCCGCCTGGGGTGTTACTCAGAACGGTTGGGTGATTTGCTATGCCTGGTCTCTCTTCTTCTACAGTGTCGGCGTTGGTACGTTCCATTCTTTGACAACCTTCTAGAAGGCAGCCACTTGCCCGAGCTATGAGCTAACTTTGCATAGGTGGCGAGTACCCCATGACCGCCACCAGCGGTATGGAAAACGCTGTTGGTTCTGGAAAGATCTCAACTAAGGACGATCGCCTCCATCGTGGCCGCAAGGTTACCAGCGCTTTCCTCATGCAGGGCTGGGGCCAATTCTTCAACCAGGTCCTTCTGATCATCTTGCTGCTTTGCTTCCACCACGGCAGTGGCAACAACCCATACTCGCCCGTTTCCACCCAATGGACCTACCGCATTTCCTTCGCTCTCCCCGCCGTCGGCACCCTGTGGCTTGTCTACTACCGTGCCTACCACATGAAGGCCGCTAGCAAGCAACTCACTGCTGCTAAGAAGAAGGCCGCTGTCACCGGATACGATGTCGACTCTCTGCGTCTTACCTTCAAGTACTTCGGTCCTCGTCTTCTGGCCACTGCCGGTGGTTGGTTCGCCAATGACGTCTTCTTCTACGGAAACAAGCTCTTCCAGAGTGAGTTTATTGGAGTTCTGAGCCCTGGCTCTAGCTCCGTGATGCCAACTTGGCTGTGGAATTTGGTCAATGTTGGTGTTTCTCTGGTTGGCTATTATATGGCTTCTTTCTTCATCGACAACAAGCTGTACGGCCGAAAGTGGATGCAAACCGTTGGCTTCATGATGTGTTTCATTCTCTTTGTCATCCCTGGCTTCCACTACGAGTACTACACTCGCCCTGAGAACATCAAGTCTTTCCAGACCATGTACTTCCTCAGCTCCTTCTTCAACCAGTTTGGTCCCAACTGTGTCTCCTTCCTGGTTGCCGCCGAGGTCTTCCCGACCCCCATTCGTGCCACCGCCCACGGTCTCTCCGCCGCGGCCGGTAAGAGTGGCGCCCTCCTGGCTTCCGTGCTCTACAACTACATCGACACTCAGACCAAGTTCTACGTCGTTCCCTGGTTCGGCCTGGCCGGTGTTGTTCTGACTCTGGCTTTCCTGCCCGATACCACCGGTCTGGACCTCAAGGAGCAAGAACGCCGCTGGCAATTCCTCCGCCAAGGTCGTGAAGAGGACTATCACGGCGCTGCTGTGCACCCCAAGCATCTGTCCTGGTACGAGCGTTTCGTCCTGCGCAAGGGCCGCTACTACGATGCCGAGCTAGACTACCAGCAAAAGGTCGAGGAATACCGTGCCGAGTGGGAAGCCGCCATGGCCCAGAAGGTCACCGAGAACGAGAAGGGCAACGAGGACAACTTCGATGATACCGATGACTCTCTTCTTGAGGGCCACGTCCACACATATTTCCACCGCACCAGCCCCATGTTCAAGGGTATGGAGAAGCCAGCCAAGCACGACAACTTCGCTCTACCCCCGGCTGCGGAATCGGACGAGACTTTCGCCAATCAACAAGGACACAATATCTCCGGTGGAAGAATGGAGACTAGCGAGCGGACGGAGCATTTTTCCAGCTCGAATGAGAAATCTGCCCAACAATGATTGGGTTGATATATTTGCATGGCGTTTTGCTTTTTTTTTATATGGGTTTGGTTGGGTCTTTGCTTCTTTTGTTTGGGACTTGCAAAAATTTTGGGATATCCCCCTCTCCAGTGACCGAGCGTTGTCACTGTTCCATTTTTGGACATTGCATGGATTGAATTGCATGATGATGCGGGCCGTCGTCGCCTGCTTGTAATTAGATGTTGATACCTACATATTCACATTGATGAATGATCATTGCTTTGGCTTGACAATATCTTCTGATCTTTCCCTTAAACTTATCTCCAAATGGTAGACAAAACCTAAACTAAGTTTGTCACCTTCGTTATCAGTTTTAACACTCAGCAAGCGTCTGCGTACAAGTGATCGAGGCGGCCACCGAGGCGGCCACCGAGGCGGTCAAAATAGATACGGACAAATAATTATCCCCGCCAACTATCAAACGCGAACAAGGTACAAGTACATATTCCCAAGCACAGCAGGCACAGAAAAACAGATGAGAGTATTCGCATTTGGATCCAACGGATCAGGCCAATTGGCCATCGGCCACACCGAAGACGTCTCCACACCAACAGAATGTCTCTTCACCACCCCCGCACCAACCGACAAGATCACGAAGATCGTCGCGGGGGAAACCATACTCTCCTCCTCACGGAATCAGGACATGTCTATACTGCAGGATGCAACACCGACAAGAGATGCGGACCATCCCAGAGCCCACACTATCAAGATAAAAACGAGCGCGAACCCTCCCAAACCGAAGAGAACATCCTTCGTTTCCGCCGGCTGATTCTCACTGACCGCGTTACTGCCAAGGACATTGATACATTCAAATGTATCTCTGCAACATGGGAGGGAAGTATCCTCGTCCCATCTATGGCAGATAAAATCTTTGTCTTGGGCTCGACGCCAAAGGGTGAATTAGGTCTAGGCAAAGATCTCGCCGCTAGGACCCCGACCCAGGCCTTCGTTAAACCGGGTCTCACGATTCCGAACTTCCCTCCTGCCGGTACGACGATTGTCTCGGTAGCGAGTGGGATGGGTCACACTGTGGCTATCCTTTCTAATGGTCAAGTCTATGGTTGGGGCGGATCGAGGAAGGGTCAATTGGGTGCTTCACTTAAGGATGAGAAGATTGTTTGGAGTCCTGCTCAGGTCGGGGGCGTTCCGTTCTTTGCTACTGGTGCGGTCTGTGGACGCGAGTTTACCGTTGTTCTTGGACAGAGAGCTGCGGGGGAGTTTGCTGTGTTTGGCGATGAAGCGAATCGGTGGGGGATTATGGGTATTCCTGATTCTTTACGGGGTTCTTCTCAGGGGAGTGGAAGTGGCCGAAAAGAGTATCTTGATATCGAGGCTAGTTGGCATGGTATTTATGTACATGTTTCCGGCCATCATTCTGATTCTGAGATTGGGCTCGATTCGCTGAATGGGAGTGCTGCAGGTTCGCTTATTGCTTGGGGCCGCAATGATCGTGGCCAACTTCCGCCGCCGAATTTCCCGCCTCTGAGTGAGATTGGCGTTGGTAGTGAGCATGTTCTTGCACTTTTGGAGGATGGCTCTGTCGCAACGTTTGGTTGGGGCGAGCATGGGAATTGTGGACTGGATACAGATGCCCGGGGCAATGTCGCGGGCAAGTATAATTTGATCCCTCTTCCTGATGATGTGCCAGGTGCGAGAGTTGTCGGGGTTAGCGCTGGTTGTGCGACAAGTTGGTTGATTGTGGAGTGAGCGCAAATCAGAAAGCGAACTCATCATCCGCAATCCACAAGGCACAATTTGAAATAATTTGGTTGTTTCCACCAACAACATCCTTCAGTCGAAGAGACCAAACCCACGGACCTATTCATTGTTAGCACGAGTCTGAGCCCAAACACGGAATTGAGCCGTACCTGGGACATGCGCTGTGTTGGAGGGAGACCCATTTCATCACTATCACCTCCCTTACGAGAAGCAGCCGGCTTCGAGAAATCGGGCTCGATATCTCGCAGAACAGGCTCAAATGTCTCCTGTCCTGATGCATCCCAACCGAGAATATCCTGAGGTTCCTCTTCATCCTCGTCATTCATCTCATCCCACTGCCTATCATCATCATGCGGCACAAAAAGACTGTCAAAGTCCATCGACGCAGAAGCCGAAGGCCGATCCATCGTCGACCTAGGCGTAAGATTTTCCTGCGTCGAACCCCCCCTTCAACGGACGAATGGACCGCGCCCGCACAGGCGGCGGGGGCATCTCAGTGCTCGGTGCTACTCGCGGCGTCTCATTCCTTCTGAGAGAAATTGGCGCTGGCGTAGTCGCCGGCGCCGTCGCCGTCGGACGCTGAGATAATTGTGGAATAACCGCCCTCGCCGATGACACTTCTTCCCCGTCTACTTCGCCGCGAGTCATGACCGTGAATTCAGCACGGATGCCCTCGAACTCGTATGCGAGTTGCATTGGCTTGCAGGGGAGAGTGTAGCGTGCTGTAACGGTGGCATTGGCCGTCTCGGCGTGCGCGACAACTGCTTTGAAGTCTTTGAGGTTTATGGCAATGTGCATGTTCTCCTCGATGAGGAATTCCTCGAAATCTTTCCTGTCGCAGGTTACTGATGTGTGGACGGGGTATTTGAGGACCTCTGTGATGTTGTTAGCACTTGATAGTGAATGCACTCCCTGGTATCAATTAGCGGGCGCCGGTCGTACCTTTTCCTTCTGTAATCTTCGTTGTAAAACTGGTGAATGTTGCTTTACCGGCTTCGGCACAGATATCTAACTGTTCAGCCGACATGCTGAAGTGGTCAATGATTTGCTTCAAGAACCGGGGATCAGCAGTCCACTGATTTGTCGTCTTGCTTCTGTCAAACACGGCGTGCTGAATCGCCGCCGGCTCGTAGGTGAGCTTGTATGATTTTATTACGCCTAAAATGTTTAGTCTTCATCGTAGACTTGACTTATTTGGAAAAACTCACCTAAGCCGCAGATCATCTTAACAGTCAACCTGCACTCTGCCTGATTCGAGTCTTCATGGATTTCCATCTCACAGCGCTCGACAGCCGTGTCCTTATTTCGATCGACTCGGCCACGGAAGATAGAAAGAAGTGCCTACACCGGCATTAGTATTGGCGCAGAATACCTAGCCCGGACATGTCTCAACGACTCACCCTAATTAAAATCTGGCAAAAGAACCGCTCCGAGCCTTGACTTTGAGTCTGATACGATCCCCGACCATCCGCGTGCGCCTGAAACGAGTAGCTCTCGAAGAAGGAATCCTTCTCACAAACGAACGAGGCAAATGCCGTTTTCGTGCTATTCAAAGCACTGAGTCGAAGCTTTATAAAGACCATTTTATGTCAGTAAACCATTCCTCAATTCGGCAAGATCGTTTCAAACATACCACACTATGCTCCGCCTCGATGGCAACCGTGTCGCTGAACTTGGAAAGGCATGTGAGGGCATCGTGGAGTTTGATCAGAGCTGGTGGACCCAGGGACAGTGTTAAGCTCGTCATTGCCGATGCAATATGTCATACGAGAGGCCCTGGAGATGCTGGACCATTTAAGTTGCTGATTTGGTTCGTTGGTTCGTTGGTTCGTCACCGCGTCTCGTCGTCGCGTCTAGACGCGGTGATTACTAAGCATGCACTCTTGCCTAAATGAGATAAATGGAAATGGTTTGGATATTGAAACAGTTAGTGAGAGTCCTTGAAACTGCTGGGATCAAATATAATGATACTACGCTCATAGAAGGTCTATCGAAAGACTACAATAGGCCAAAAAATACTTGGTTTTTACCCTCGCGCTAGCTTGGAGGATGCTACGTCGGGAACCCTTTTTGGATAACCTCACATCCATCGGATATGGACCACAGAATCGCTGTTTAAAATGCCCTTACCCGTTTTACCTATCTGTCCTGACTTCTGAGTACTTGGGTATTGGCTTAATTTTATTCTGTTGTACTTTCGCTACTCGCCTCCTGAATTATCCGCCAATCTATTTGATCGTTTACAACACCATGTTTTTCAATTCTCCCATCAAGTACAACAAAAGCAACCTAATAGAGGATTTCGAGCACGCCGGCATCAAAAAGGGCGATTGTATCCTCTTACACTCTTCTCTGAGTAGAATCGGTTGGGTGAACGGCGGTGCTGTCACCGTGATCACTGCTTTACTCGACGTCCTCGGCAGCGAGGGAACATTAGTCGTCCCAACACATTCAGGAGACAACTCCGATCCATCGGGATGGAAAAACCCACCTCTACCAGAAGAGTGGTGGGAGAAGTTTCGAGAAGAGATGCCCGCATACGATGCGCGAACAACCCCAACATTTCTCATGGGCGTGATTCCAGAACTTCTCCGAAATTGGCCAGGTGCAATACGCAGTGACCATCCACAAACGTCTTTCGCTGCAGTGGGTCCTCTGGCTAAGAAGATCACGGCGGGTCATGCCCTTGATTGTCAACTCGGAGAGCGGAGTCCGCTTGCTCGGCTCGAAGAAGTCGGAGCGAAGGTTATGCTCCTCGGGGTTACGTTCAATTCCTGCACTGCGTTCCATTTGGCTGAATACCGAAATTCACCGCGGTTGGACAAGAATCGCTTTGTGGCTATGGTTGATGGATCACGGCAGTGGGTGAGCGTGTCAGATATCACTTTTGAAGATAGCGATTTTGGAGAGATTGGATGTCAGGTTATGAAAACGGGGTCCTTCAAGGAGGTATCTGTTGGGGCTACCCATTGTTGGACGTTTTCGATTGCAGATGCAATTTCGACCGCTACAACATGGATGGAAGCTCATCGCAATAATTTGGCATGAGTTTAAGTTCAAGTTCTGCAGCGCTAGTGTCTTCAAGTTGCAAATGCTCAAGAAAAGCTGATATCATGATAGTATGTACTCGCTGGCCTGGATCGACGGAGAAAATGTTTTGAGTTGAAATCGTAATCAAGATCAGTCTATATACAATGCCCTTCCAGAGGGTCTTAGATCTTAGAATGCCGTGTTCATCTCGAGTTGATGATACTTGTGTGAGGAATGGTAATAATCATCCTCATCATCCATCAAGTCAACAGCGAATGATAGAACGTATCCCGTAAATATAAAAGCAGTGGCTGATATCCGGTTAGCCGAGTTAAAAAAATATGCAAATAATCAAGTGATGACGTACCCCATTCAAGAACCGCAGCTGCGTTCTTTTCTGCATGGTGCATTCCCGCCATGATGCGAAATGGTAAAATGAAGGCGAGTTCAATGATAATGAAGGAAAGTTTGATGAAGAAACTGGCGAACAGTATGCGCCGTTCGGCCCCATACAGGGTCATCAAATAGAAATAATCTATGCAGATTGCACCTGCGCCGATTAAGTACCCAACTCTAATAATTGTCAGTGAACTGGAAGGCAAGAACACCTCATGAAAATACTAGTAGATCTCACATGAATACTGTGACAAAAACATCATGTAGATGTTTGAAATCGATATTGTCGAAGACAGCTATCATGAGTAATGAGAGACCTCCAATGATAGTGATGACGAAAGAGAAATAGATGCAGATATTGCTGTGGTGTTCCTTCCTCCGAACGAATTGGTAGAAGGAGATATTAAAGAACAATGTTGTGATGAAACAGCCGATCAGGAAAAACGGCCATAGTTTTTGTGCTGCTAAATCAGAAATGAATCTAAAAATCCATTGTCAATAAAATTGCCCTATAATACAAGCTCCTCTAGCAATGAACTTACGGAACGGCTTGGTCAAACTCCATTCGGCCATATCTCGGTTGGCCGACGAGGAACCAATGAGCCAGTAGCCCGACGAGCGTCACTGGGGAAAAATTAGTTGGTTTCTTACAAGGTCAAGATCAGAAAAAGACCAGTTACCTAGCCACGTGGATGCCGAGACAAGGGAAATGCCCAGAAGGGTGGTTTTGACATCTTGCGACGTGTGGTTAGCCGGCTCATCGGACTGGGCTCCGTTGGGTGGTGTTGGGTTCGACGTCGCGAGTCAGAGCATTTGAGCACGGCACATCAACAACAGAGTGGGCAAAGCGTGACCCATATGAATAAGCAAAGAATGAAAAGGCGTAGCCCTTGCATTCCAACCAGGCAGGACGTGTCGATCTTAATGTTGGCGGCTTAAATGCTTTGTTGCCCTGTCTCCTCCTGATTCACCCCCATTACCATAAATGTGAAACCCCAATGAAGATCAGACCAATAATCATGATCATAGGTCAGGGATGATTACATACATTTCCACTCAGGGGAAAGGTCACGAAATAGTCGAAACCTCAAACTCAGCAAGGTGGATGTCTGACATATTTGGAGACCCACATCTCTAAAACAAAGCTCATTCTTGCTCCTTGGACGGAGATTCAGACCATTCTCAGCTCGTTGAAGCATTGACAGCTCAAACTAAAACCAACGGAAGACTTGCCGGCTTTTTAGGTGCTTTCTAGAACCATCCTGAGGTATATCAACAAATTTTCATGCTCAACCCTTGAGCCCCTGTATTGGTTGGTTCCTGACGTAGAGATCTACATCAAGTGACGAATATAAGTACCGCCCCTTTTATTGGCCCCATTGGCGGGGCCAAACTCCACTGTACTGCCCCAACTTGAAAGCGCCCCCGACTTTGGGAGAGCGTTTTAACGGCAGTTTCCCGCAGGTTTTGTTGCTCGTGTGCCTTGGTCCCACATTGGGACTCAACACCCGCGGTGCTTGCAAACATCCCCCACGGGACCATCTGGAGTCCAATTTTTAAGGAACAATGAAACGTGAACGATAGAGAATTTTTTGGTCAATGCTACTACTACTCAGGATGCGCGACGCTGGTCGCAAAACTTCCGTGGGTAAAAGGATCCTGCAAGCGGCTAGTTGGCGACTAGTTTATGAACTGGCCAAGCTAACCAAATCCCGTAGAATTCACGAGGAACACGATTACGAGGGGGGTCCCAGGTACTAGTACCTCATCTATGCTTAATTTGACCAATTGCTCCGTTCCAGGGTTCGAATGTAGACAGATCGATTACTCCAAGCCGCAATTGATGACTCGTACCTTAATCTTCTGGAAATGTTCCATATAAATACAGTTCTGGGCGTTATTAGCGGGCGGATATCTCGGACCCTTCTGGAACCGTATCGGTGGTTGGTCCAATCGGCGTTTCTATATGGCGTGGTCTAATCTCACCCCAAATTGCATACAATTCAACCCCCACTGTCTATCCATCGGGCCAAGGCTACGTTTGAAGGATTTGCATATTGCATCCTGAGTTTCTTCAGCCATCAATACATCTGACTGCTATGCTTACAAACAAGGCACTAACATTTGGATTGAGATAAAATTGGCGGTAATATTTGCAGACCCGCCGGGACAGCAACCGAAAGCTCCCAAGTGACAAGTATTTTCAACGTAAATATAACAATAAACAAAAAGAGTCGCTCATGGGGAATCAAATCAAACGCATGTCGTTATGTAGAAAGGGCCTGGTGATTGAAGTGGAATGTATCACCCGGAATTCAAATGTATTAGATCCCACAATCCAACACAACCGGGTGCCCTCTCCTGTATTTTGAGAATCATCTTCTACAGATCCATTATTGCTCGCCATTTAGGCCGTGATCACGCTGGGGCAAGGGCTGAGGAAATTGCAACTCGAGCGCTCGTCTCCGTCGGCGTCCCCTCCGCACGACTTGGAGGAAATTGACGCCCACGTGGGCGAGGAAGATCGCCAAGAACGCCCCTATGACCAGAGTCTGGGGTATAAAAGTTTCGTTGCTCTCTTCCACGTGACCGTGAGTTTGATCATGATGGCTGTGGATCTGATGGTTGTTTTCTGGGAAATTAGGCTGTGCACCGCCGAATGAGACTGATATCGAGAACGAGAATGGCGTGAAGGACGTGAGAACGTTCGGAGCCAATGACATCAAGATACTGTAGAAAGGCTTGAATGACAGTGCCAGGGGGATGATGCAAAATACCAGGAGAGGGACGGCTAGTCATAAGACAGAATTAAGTGACGAGCGGGCGGACCTAATACTGACTGTTAGATAAATCCCGGTGGCGTCCGAATGGGTTGTACGTACCAGTCACGAGCCTCCAACTCTCTTGCCCAACGAGCTGAGATCTTCAGTCGCTCCCTCACACTCCTAGCAGATAGTATAGGGTATTTCTCTTCCTCAGAGATGGGTAGTATACTGGCGAACCACCACGGGAACCTAGCTGCATCTGTTGGTACAGGACCATATGCTAGCATGACCCGTGGGTGGAGCCAAGGTGCACCTGCTTGGCGCTGTTTGCGAATAAAATCCCGTGCCAGCGCAAGGAGCTCCTGGGTCGACAGGGAGTCCAGGGGTGGTTCCGCATTTGGCCCTAAAGATGGATCTGGAATTGCAGCAGCAGCTGTTTCGGTTGCTTCAAGTCTTTCTTCATCTGCTAGATTGAGATCATCGATACGCTCTGTACGAGCGATATGGTAGCCATCCAATTCACCGGCCTCAAGTACTCTGAAGCGGGATATACCGGTTGCAATCACAAGGCTGCGCCCATCTGGAAGGAGTTCGTATCGCTCAACCATCAGCAGCGTTCCATACTGCATAAATGGCACACTCCCGAGCTCGTCTCCCTGCGGTCGGCCTCGTCGGTTGTACATAACCATACCGAACTTGCCATCTCCATTCTCGACGACCCGTCGAATCGTGAGCCGATACCGAGGTTCAAAGATATGTAAGAACGTCGGCATCGTAGGAAATGACATTGTGCAGACAAACAGCGGTAGACTTTTCTCTTGGTCGGTTCCGATCTCATCCTGAGCAAGGGCCTCTCGCCGAGCAACGACCTGATCAGGGAAAAAATGATCGATTAAACGAAGCAGAGTGCGGTTCAATGGCTCAGAGTGAATGGTTGACGGCATGCCGACCTGACGCCGACAAACTGGACACAAATCCGTGTGGTCCAATACGCGCGCAACGCATTTCCGGCAGAAGGTGTGACCGCAGGGTGTCGTTAGAGGGTCTAAGATGAGAGAATAGCATACTTGGCAGTCAAGTTCACCGCGAAGGCGGTCTCTCAGCTTCTGGAAATGGAATATATCTTGCTGGCCATAGTCTTGCCCCCTCGTACTAGGACTCTCCTCATAGGCCACCTCGGAAACGTGATAGGGAAACCGGCCTTCCCAGGCTAGTAAATAGATCCCTTGTAGCCACGGAAGCTTTCCAAGTTGTGCTGTTTGAGTCTCTGGCTTTGCGTCCTCTCTGCGGTCAACCGCCCAACGAATAGCCCGGCCTTGATTGTTCTCCTCCTGGACCTCGGCATCTTCTGTGTGGGGAATGCGAGTTCTTCTTGGAACAAGGTAGCGATATTGGATAACACGACATCGGTCCCGCAATCTCCGACGCAGTGGTCTCCGGCACATTTGCTGGTTCCCTCCCAGTAGCATGTAAAGCCTTCTTCGCGACCCTCCGCCACCGGGTAAGTGATGCCCGTCCGGGGCCTGGCTGGCGGGAGACATGATCGGCATATGGAGTTGCCGCATGGAAGACGCAGGGGCGTATTCAGCGGGCGCGAACAATGCTGGCATTGTATCAATCGGACCACGAGGTGGGCGAGGTCCAATTCGCGAGGAGCACGCGCTTCGGATCCCGAGGCGTCTGAGCTCTCTACGGTCGGGATATCAGAATCGGTGGGCTGTGAGGGCTCCATTGGCACAGTCTCTATAGTTCCATTCATTGCCGAATCCAGAGCTGCTGAATGGAAGGTTGCTGAGTAGAAAAAAACGTGGGGGAGGGGGCACCCCAGGTGTTGGATGACATCGGGACGAAGCTCCCCGATCGTTGGCTGATCGGCCATCGGCGGGCCAACTTTAGATAATCTACCCGGGTACGTAGTACCTACTAGTACCCCGTCAGATTCCGAGCTCGCATGTGGGTAGACCACATATGTAAAAGGAAATCGGTAGAAACTTGAATGTAAGAAAATATTCGAATGAATATGGCGAGGATGATGGCTACACAAACTATTACATGTTGTTCTAGAGATTACTAATACGCAGAACATGCAGTTGATGTCATTTCATATCTCATCCAAGGCCAAATTCACCGCCATGCCAGTAAAATAGATGCACAGAACAGTGAAACAGAGGAATAAAAAACAGGTCCCAGCGCATCATCATTTGCTTATAACACCAGCAGATCCAAGACTCTTCAGCAGCCATATATTTCGAATTGATGAAAGACTACGCGGTATGGTGATCGCGAGCAGTTTTGCGGTGCAGGGGTATTCCGAAAGGGATAATAGTTCGGTAGTGTAGATTTGGGGGAGAGGGGAAAGATAAAAAAATTGATTTATCATATAGATGTTGTCGCCAATCTCTATGAGGACGAATCAGAATCCGTTCCGGATGAATCTTCGTCGAGAACAATTCGGCGCATGACGGTCTTGTCGAATAAATCAATGGCGAAGCGCCGAGCTGGTAGTCGGAAATGATGACTCTCGAGAATACATAGGGTTTTGACGAAAAGATGAACCTGGTGGAATCTTTCAGGTTGTTTGGATTTGATGCTATAACCATGTATGATTAGTAGTGACTCGCGGAAATCGGGAGGCGAGAGAAGATACCTATGCAGGTCTGTGGCTGCTCGCTTCGAAAGAACGGTGTTGCCCATATCGACAATCAACTTCAGGATCTTCTGGTTGGTCGCATCCGGGTCTGTCGTTGCCTCCTTGAGTTTATTTTGGGATGTACGTTTGGCATCCGATTTGTACCCGGGAAGGAGATCTATCTAGATTAGCTATTGCATCGGTTAGTCGACGGAAGCGGACTTACCAAGAATAGCTTGCGATGGTCTGTTGGCAGGCAGAAGCCTAGAATATGTCCATTCTGGTCAATGGCAGAATCCCATCCAAGACCTCGCAATACCTGTAGCCCGTGTTTGCTGCGGGAGATCAGTCCTAGGACGAAGAAAGCAGTGCCTCGCATCGTCAAAACACCTGCGCTCTCAGCTATCGTTACAATGCGTTGTACAATCTCTGGTTCGAGGAACGGAGCGCCAAGCTCCATTGACCCGACATTTCCCACGGCCCAGAGACATCCCTTGACCTTGAGGAGCACCTCGTAATCCTCTTCTTCGAGTCGGAAATCTCGGATTGTCCATGCGAATTCGCTAAAATGGCCCGATTGCTCAAGGAGCTTGCAACCCTCGGCAGTTCGAGCAAGCTCTCGGTAGAAGTGTGGGGGTACAACACCGACATCTTGCATGTCAACTAGGTCCTCGGGTGCATAGCTACTGCGTCGTGGTTGATCAACGTAGGCTCTTGACAAGGCCGCTTCCACGAGGGCCACGTAAGAGTCATTTCGACCCAGGAACCAGTCATCCATTTCTTGAGTGATGTAGTCCAGACCGTCCAAGTAATGGTAGCCGACTGAAGTCGATAAGAAGCGCAGAAGCAAAGGTGCACCAATCTCACCCAAGTGATCAAGTGAAGGTCGACATTTGACCACGTACTCGAGATAATCACGCTGGTTGCATGCTTCTTCAAGAATCTTCACGGCGATTTGGCAAACTGTGACGTCCGGGTCGTATAATTGAGTCACAAGAAGCTTCACAACCCATTCCGCATTTCCAATTGCCACATGCGTAGGCACATTATCACCACCGACTGCATATTTGCGAAGAAGCTTGGTTGCAAAGATGCGAATTTCTTTGGATCCGATTGTGAGTGCCTTTGAAAGCATCACGCGCAGGTGACTATCTCGGCTGTAGTCCATGTTGCCAAGAAGGGTTTGGATGAGATCGTTGCGTCCTTGCAACTCGATGATATGATAAAACATATTGAGCATGTGCCATCTCTCCATCATGAGAAGCCCCTTCGCGTCACCACTCAACGTTCCTAACATTGCAAAATAACCTCCACTCATCGTGTTGGTCATCTGGTCTCGTGAGAAGAGGGGTGATGCAGAGGTCAGCCCGCTCATTCGGTCCAATTGTGCCAAGCATTCGGCGACCTGCCGCAAAAACTTGTTTTCGGCGAGGTACTTTGTGCCTTCAGGGGTCTGAACAAGGGTTCGCATCAAGGCGCAACCAGTCCGAACGTAACGCTGGTTTGGCTTTGTGTTTGGCACAAGAGCGAAGCGGTATTTGAAAGGTCTGTAGAACCCAATAAGTCGCTTCATGAATTTCGAGCCTTTGATGGCTTCATCCATGCGCTTAGGGTTCGTGAGAGGACCCTCGACAAGACGGTGAATGAGATCCCACTTCCACTTGATGTAATTGGAGGTGTTTAAGACATGAGTTTCCATGATGGCATTTCGGAAGGTCTGTTCATCCATGGTAGGGCTCAATTTGTCTTTTGTTTGTTCACCAGGTAGTAAAGAGGCTGTGAAATCAACGTCCATGTTGTAACGACCTGAGCCTGAATAGGCCCCGGAGCGCGCTAATGTCCGATTAATACTTTCAATCTGGAAAATCGTCGATGTTGAAACGTCATGGTTGTCGGTATCGAATTGGATGGCGGGAGGGATCAGATTTGGAAGGACTTGGAGTTTGGCACTAGTTGCCGAAGGCAGGGAATGATGGGCCAATTTGAGCACTTCAGTCAGGAGAAGAGTGGCTTTTCGTCGGAGTGAGGGGTCTGTCTCATCCTCAATCAGATCCGAAAGGGCCTATACCGAGTTAGTATCCTTTGTAGCTTTCGTCTTGAGAGTTTTCCTACTTTAGGCAGACCGGCCTCGATCAAAGCCGCCAGGATCAGGGTTGAAAAGTGTGCTGTGAGATCGAACTTGTTGCTAGTACTCTCGGTGAATGAAGGTGTGTGTCGCGATTCGATATCAGAACGCAGATTCGAAACTCTGCCATATGTTGTGAGCCGCCTGCCGGCAAGGAAAGAAGATGACCACGACGGGGGTTTTATTCGCAGCGCATCGAATAACAGTTCCATGATAAGGTCACGGGCCTGAGGATCGGGATAATGCAATGACTCTAAGAGGGAATGCAATGGTTTCGCGTTGTTCCTAGCGAGAATCACAAGGCCGGGCCACGTCTTGAGCATGGCAGAGATCGCGCGAGCCGCAGATTTTAACCGCCCGTTGCGAAGAGAGTCTGCTAGAGAATCGGTGAATGGCGTTAAAACAGCTTCTAGTTCGCTTCCTTGCAGGTATTTCCGGCTGCGTGGGGTGTCGAGAATGTGCAAAAAGCTGGATATTAAACTCTCCGATGCACCAAATGTGCCTTCTGCCAAAGCATCGTGCAAAGCAGAGAATCCACCAGAAGAAGCAACGAGCTCTGGATCTTTGATCAACATTTCCGCTAGAGTCATGATGGATATGTTGCGTAGCCGGTCCTCGTTGTGCTCTGCCACGGAGACGATTGTGCGGACGACAGCACGCGATATCTCCTTCACGCCATCTTTGACATCAAGAAATGCTCTCACGAATTTGAGAGCTTGTTCTCTTTCAATGCTTGATTTGCTCTCTTTGACCAGGGATAAGATAACGAGTTCATCTGTGTGCAGAGCGCGAATGGTTTGAATGGACTTCCGATCTGCTATGGCATAGCGAGTCAACCGATAGCCCGCGGCGACCACTTCTTTGCTGTCGCTGAGGAGCATGATTTGAACACGCAATCCAAATACAGGCCATGCAAGGTCATATTTGAGGGCCGGATGCCGCTTGAATAACTCTACCAGATTGTTCGCGCGCTCCACATAGAAGTCAGGCGACATACCCTCGATCTCTAATGCCTGAAGGGTTTCGGACAGCACATATGTCGGGGATTCCATGTTTCCATCTTCGTCGACCTCTTGGTATCCGTCCAATGATCCACCGCCATTAGGATTGCGGGACGGTGAGCGCATGGGACTACCTCGAAAAAGGCCGGAAAGTCGACTGCGTGGTGGAGTTGTGGCCGGCGCCTGCGCGCGTAGCAGCTCCTCTTCAAGCTCGTGTTGTAACTCGGCCAGTTTGCGATTTGATGTGCTCAGCTCAGATTCTACCTTGAGGCGCTGTTCTTTCGTTTGCTTCGGAGGCTTTGCCAGCAGTGCCTCGAGCATATTCTCTGTTCCAGTCTTGATCTTAGCTTCCTTGGCGATCTTTCCTCGAAGAAACGCCACGCGCTCTTCTGAAGTATTGAGATCCTCCTCGCCAATCGATTTACTGGCTCGTCGTGTGTAGGTTCCATCGGCTCGCGGTGTCGTACTCCGTGAGGTCATGCTCTTGAGCTCCGCGCTGAAGCTACCGGGCCCGCCAAACGACGGGGCCAGCGACGAAGGCCCTCGAGTGCCGGTGGTAGCGCTACCTCCAGATCCAGACCTCCCATTCCTTCCCGACCTGGGTACTGCATCGTTCCAACTGCCATTCTCTGAACCGGCATCTTGGCTCATGGAAGAGCGCCCATCACCCAAGGCGCGGTGCTGGGTGGACGCAGAGAACGCTGATTGGTGTCCGGAAGCCATGGAGCTCCATCTAGCCACGGGGGCTGTCTATGACGAGTCGCAGGTATTCGTAGTGTCGAAGGGCCGCATTGGGGTCCGGGGAGGTTTAAAGGTCACGTCGCGGAGCAAGGGCTCGAGTATGGGGAAGCGAAGCGTAGGGGCGGAGGGGGTGGGCAACTCCGCAGTCACGGGCACGGATTACAGGCTGGATGATCTGAGAGTAACAGCTGCAACCACGACTGGCCACGACTGGGGTTTAGCGAAAGAGCGGCATGCAGAGAAGCGATCTGCACGGGTAGACGATTGTCCCACTCGGTTGACCTTGGGGGGGAGCCTGATCGCGACCAACAACGGATGACTAAGGCATCGCCCACATGAACGATTAGGAGTGTGAAGTGAAGTAGAAGACTACTGGTATGGTTGAAGCAATAATCTATTGGCATTTTAAGATAGGTTGTCCGATGAGAGAATTCCGAAGACTGAGCTAGTGAATCCTGGGTGTACTACATGAGCTTGCTGAGTATATACTTGCTGCTATTATTTAGTTAGCGTTGTATACATACTACTCTTTTCAGCCATGACTGATCAGGGCGACTTCCCATGAAAATTTACTGCAATGTTTCTCCAGAAAAAAAGTTATCATGCGTATCTTAATTCACCACTAGAATCATCTCGAACTGAACGAAATTAAATGATACACGGCACTTATTGCCTTACTAGACACTGAAGTCTCCCGGAACGCCCCTGCGAAATGCCCGATTCCTCGCCTGTTATCATACAAGGCATAACACATATTAGGCCGAAAGACCGCATATTTTTGTCATATAACCAGACCCGTTTTTCAGGGATTGTTGGTTGTCTTCTCCAGGATCGTTTTCATCATCTCGTTACCAAGCTGTGAAGCCTCGGGGAATCGAGGAGCGAAGTAAGAGGCAATCCGCTCAAAACGATCGCGGTAGGATTCGAAGTCGCCGAAAGAGACACAGTCGGACCAAGCCTGTAGGAAAGAAACAGCGATAGTCAGCAAAAAGAACGAATGAGGTAGTATTATCACGCAATTGGGATTACTGACTCGAGCGGCAAATGTGAATTCCAGATCATCCGAGCGGAAGGTATTGTCGTCAATTGCAGTGTCTAGAGCTTCCTCGAGAAGTTCAGGGTTACGGAACAAATATTCAGTAACGCCAAGCCATAGACGGAAGAGCTGGGAAACATTAGCATATTGAAGGCTAACGGCAACCAACCCTGATCAGCTGAGACATACCGGGGTCGAACAGATCATATGATCATAAGGAACAATGCCGAGTTTGGACCAACAGTCGACGATGGCGAGTAGACTGAGATGGCTGTTGGGAGGCGATTTCTCCCGAGACCGGTTGGACAGTGAGAACCGGTCTAGGACTTCGTCCTTCAGCAAGAGGTCTTGTGCCTCCTGGCCCTCCTTGAACACGGCAGCTCCGGCCGCCTTAACTCGCTGTTTGAGCTCCTCGCGATGTCCCCCAAGCATGAGTTTATAGAGTTCTGTGACTGACTCGGCATACTGGCGAATCTGCTGCTTGGCAGCTGGATTGAGGATAGCGAGACCGGCGTAAACATGCCACTTGTTTGCATAGATTCGCAAAGTGATGTTGATCTTCACGTTCTCAATGCCACCAACCCATCGGTTGATCTCCCAAGGGAATTGGTTGTTGGCCTGCCATGCGGTTCCCATGCTCAGGAAAGCGGCATGAGTAACGGCCTGGGTATCGGCAGTAATTCGATCATGCATCTCGCCGGTGATGTAGACATGTTTGGATCCAAAGGAGGACAGGATATGATCGACGAATTGAAGACTTTCATCCGAGGCTCGGTGCTGGATTAGGACCTGGACGAGGGGAGGGGCGTTAGTTCATGTTGAACCGGACTGGAATCAAATCGGACATGGGTGTGATGCCCTACCAGAGGCTGGCCCCTCGGATTGACTTTGGGTCCATGCAGTGAGTGGCATGATACGATCTCTACATCGGACGGTAGGTGCTTTTCAAAGGCTGCAAGCTCCGGGGCCTTGCAGGAGGTCTGACCACCAACGATCGCCCCGACCTTGGTTGCTTGAAGTAGAAGCCTCGAGTCAGATAGATTGATCCATTGCAAGGGGGCATTGGTTCAAAAATCAATTGGGGACATACAGGGCCCGTACTGTGCCACGACTCGGTCGATGACACCAGCCTCTACGCTGTAAAGAATGAAATCGCTAAGTCTCGAAACGAGATGTCCATTCGGGAATATGGTGATCCTTTGCTATATACGATGAGCCTCTGGGCGTATTGGCCCGGCGGGGACGTACTTGAGAAGCGAACTCTTGTGTCAAAGATTCATAATTCTCAGGTCTATCACACGCGTTTATCCTTTTAACGAAAAATATCAAAGTCCATGTTAGTATCAAGATTCTTGTAACCAGGTATATCCCGCACGAGAAGGCCAGATGGGATCTGTTTAAAAAGAAACCTATTTGAAACATTCTGTTAGCATCATGTCATGATGAGAAATGGCAGAGTGAATCAAAAGAACAAAGCAGCTTCAAGAAGCTTCTCAGACAAGAAAAATTAAGGTAGCGAGTATTTTACATCATCGACGACTCAGCGATTGGCCGGGACCAGAATGGTTTGCCGGTTATCACCGAGTCATGCTCGAGCCAAATGCACTCAAGTCATCATTGGAATTGGGGGAGGGGATGTAGAGGTAGAGCAGGGGAGATCAGGACGAGCTTACCATTCAAGTATTGCTGGATGCTTGCGAACAAGCAGAAAAAGAACAAGGTGGAGAGAATTTACCTCCATCCGGCAGCACTGAGGCGCTGGGCATACATTTTGCCCATGTCACCCATGCCGATGATGCCAATAGAGGCATCCTCCATGGTTCGTCCCATTCTGGCGACGAGTCACACTTGACGGATTCTGCTGGCAGCTGTGTATTGGTGTCGTTTATGGTTAGTGAAAGAGTGATATGTATTCGCTTGAATCGAAGCACCGGTTTTTCCACCGGGTCAGACGAGTTCGCGATGTCAATTGGAGTGCAGAAGAAATGGCATGTCTTGCGGAAGAGAAAGAAAATTTAAATAGGCAAGCTCAGCTCGGGTGACTCACCGCCCGCCGGGCCGACTGCACGACCGGTGAGCCACGTGACTTGCAGCGGTCGCTTGAGCCAGGACCAGCAGGCTCGGTGGACCAATCAGAGACGACGGATGTGCTAGGGCACACACCCACTTTTTTTGCAATCTCATTCTCATCCTCAAATCCCGCCGCTGGTTTCTCTTCTCTCCCTCCATATTCCATCCACGACAAATCCCATCCACAATGGCCCCCAAGACTGCCCCCAAGGCTAAGGAGAACGTCTCCCTCGGCCCCCTTGCCGGTGACGGTATGTGAATTCCGAATTTTTTCGTGATATATCTGGCAAGATTGCTGACTCGATTTGCGCATGGAACAGGCAAACTCGTTTTCGGTGTTGCCCGCATCTTCGCCAGCTTCAACGACACCTTCGTTCACGTCACCGATCTTTCGTACGTTTTCACTTCCCCTCCCCGATATGCGCTGGACCAAACAGCTACATATCTGTCAAGAAGATTTCTCGATTACGTTAGCTGACACATTTCTGTTCTACAGCGGCCGTGAAACCATCGTCCGTGTCACTGGTGGTATGAAGGTCAAGGCTGACCGTGACGAGTCCTCCCCCCTACGCTGCCATGCTTGCTGCCCAGGACGTCGCCGCCCGCTGCAAGGAGCTCGGCATCAACGCTCTGCACATCAAGATCCGTGCCACTGGTGGTAACGGCACCAAGACCCCCGGTCCTGGTGCTCAGTCTGCCCTCCGTGCTCTTGCCCGTGCTGGTATGCGCATTGGCCGTATCGAGGATGTCACCCCCACCCCCTCCGACAGCACTCGTCGCAAGGGTGGTCGCCGTGGTCGCCGTCTTTAGAGGTATGCAGGAGTGTCTTTCATATCCTACTACGTCTTTGCGTTGTTGGATTGGGAACAACCTGCAGGCCCTACCTGCAATTGTGGATGGAATAAACGCGAAGAACGGCCTATGTCGCCTGGTCTTCACCTTCTATCACGCCCTAAAAGTTCGAACTCAGCTGTCGCTGTTGAGCTAGGTAGTCTGATAAGACGACTGAATCAATTGAACTGGTTTGAGTTACCTTGGTCCTTCTCGTAAATCTAAAATGTAGTGTATCTGTTAGTAGTGAGGTGTGACAACTGAGCAGTCGTTCTCATGGTCCATCTCATGGCCCATCTCATCAATCGAGGCTAGTAAAGTATTTTTGCGCCGAGTGGCCCGCTCACCGCGGGGAGCTTCACGTTATCGCGGGGCCGATAAAAAAAGGCGAGCTTCACCACCACAACCTTGAACAACCTTGCACACACGACAACCTCCCAATCGCAGCGACCTACACGGTGTTGGAGATCTACATAAAGTTTTTCTGCCATATGCACTGGAACATGTCACCAGTCTGAGACCATATTTTCTGCCAGGGACTGATGGCAGTTCTCTGTTTCCCAGCATCCCAACATCAAACAATTTTTTTTTTCAAGCTGAACAAGGGCTGCACGCGAATGACCTGATCAGACCCAATAATATCATTTCCACAAGGACCAAGCCTCTACGAAACCACAAGGCCCAAGCCTCTACGAAACTCAACCGCCGCGATGTCTTCCCCGCTCCAGCCGTCGCCAACTATCCTCCTCCCCCACCTCCCTCCCAAGACCCTGGTCGGCATCGATTTGATCACCTTCACTTCAACGGCCAATTTCCACGGAATCCGCGACCTACCGAAAGGATGGCATTTCCTGTACACCGGAACCACGGAGAGTCTTTCTCTTCGGTGCGGCGCATGGTTCTACGTGGGTGACATCAGCACGGCAGGCCATGGACAAAATGACTCCGCGATCGTGGTACGAGATCAAAATACCGGGCCAGAGATCCTCATCTGGAAATGGAATACGGACACAGAGTCGCTATCGTCGCTCCGGGAGAATCACGATGAAGATCGACAAGAGGCCATGCGCTTCAAAGCGAACCTGGGTGGGATCTGGCAGACCGGGGGACTATTTCGATATCGAAGCCGGGTGTCACCAGCTATGCTTTCCAACCAACCAGGCACGACTACGGAATCGACACAAAGTGCGCCGCAGGCGGAAGACGATGAGGAGACTGAGGAAAGTGGCCGCAGAGACTGGCAACAGCTTACCGACTGGATATCGCCTAGTCTGCTGACCCGCATTATTGGCAACCCTGAAATAGACGTGAATGGTCACCCCCGATGGGATTTGACATCTGCCGGTACGGCTGATCGTGATGCGGATCATATTCCCGGACTCGATAAGCCGAAAGAACAGCCAAGGGAAGACTCGGAAACGCCAGAAAACCGTGCCGAAGAAGAGAAAGAACTTGGGTTCCTCCCTATCGACCTTAAGCAAACATGGCGAGTAGGTGCTATTGGCCGCGAGAGAACAGACGCTGCTCAAGATCGGTCCTGGGCACTGGGTGATTTGATTCTTCGAAACTCGACTTCAGTATCGGGTGAAATAACAGTCGATGAAAGAACTGGAGAGATCCAGTTGCTCGGAGAATTGCAATTCACATTCCTTATGGTGATTACCATGATGAATTTCTCGTGCCTTCAGCAGTGGAAGAGACTGCTGGGGCTGATATTAACTTGTCGACAAGCAATCATCGACCGCGAAACCTTTATGAGCGACGTTGTCCGGTTACTGCTCTGTCAGCTGCAGCGATGTGATGATGTTGAGGGAGGTCTTTTTGAGATTGATGGGGACGAAGGTGGAAAGTTCTTGCTTGACCTGCTCAAGAAGCTCAGAAGATCTGTGGATCAGGTTGTGGAGAAAGGAACACAATCAAAGGTTAAGACAGAGCTGGAGAGACTGGGAGCTTGGGTCAAAGAGGAGTATGATTGGGAACTCGCCCATGAGGACATCTTAAAACGGGGTACGATACAACTGGAAGATGGCGAGGAGATTGAAGTCGAAATGGAGGACAATGACGAATACGAGGAAACAGGCGAATATGCTCCTGTAATCGTTGATCTTGACGAAAGCAGTGTTGTGTCTGATGTCGTCTCTGACGATGGAGAGATGTCAGATCTGGATGACATGAGATACTGAAAGACGCTCGGTCTCCTTTTTCCCCTTCTTCAAATATAACTTTCAAATAACGACAATGTAGATACGGAACTGGCTACGTGAATGATCTTAGCAATGTACTTGGTTGACTCTTCCGAAAATCCCTGAAAGTTTGATTTCGTCTATATACATCAAATAATCCCGTAAATCATGAAGATGCAGATTCTCTGATAAAAACCGATCAGAACGCAACTGCTTATGCATCTCTAAAAAAAGAAGGTGTTGTTGTCTATTGCTCCTCGTCCTCGACAACATAGGCCCACTCGTGTTCCTCCTTGCCGAACATGATCACCTCGAGCCACGATTTGATCTGGGCAGTGTAGCCGGCAGGTTCGCCCTTGGGGCCGAGGGTGCTGATGTCGGTATCGTTGTTGCGGATCATAGCAACGGGGGTAATGAAGTAGGCAGTTCCAGAAACAAAGGATTCGACGATGCGACCCTCATTGGCAGCCTTCTCGACCTCTGCAATGGTGATGGTCCGCTCGACAGCCTCGAGGGGTGCCAGGTTACCAACAAAGTTCTTGGATAGACGTTCACGGACAAGCTCGAGAACACTGCGACGAGTCACACCAGGTAGAATCAGCTGGCTGTCGAGAGGAGCGGTGACAAGTTCCAGCTTGCCGGTGTCGCCATTGTGCCAGATGATGAAGAAGTTGCTAGCACCGGCCTCAGTGACCTGACGGTCCTCGCCAAACAGCCAAAGGATCTGGTCGAAGCCCATAGCCTGAGCTTTGCCGTGGGACTGTAGAGAAGGACCGTAGTTAGCACCGAGCTTGGCCCAGCCGAAACCACCGGGCCAGGCACGGATGGTGTCAGGGGTGGAACCGAAAAGCTTCAGTCCCTTGGAGGGCTCGGTTTGGCCTTCCTTCTTCATCTTGCTGACATCGGGCCAGGGGACGGCAATGATGAACAGGAGAGCCTCCTTGGGGATCTGGACACCCAGGTGAGGGCCGTTACCGATGACGGTAGGGCGAAGATAAAGGAAAGAACCAGGTCGCTCCTTAGGCAACCAGCCTGTTGGAAGTCAGTAACAGCTTCATAGATATTGAATGGGAGGGATTCGGCACATACGAGGACCATCAATCTGCATTAGCTTGGCAACAAGCTTCTTGAGCTCATCATACTTGAACCCTGGCAGGGAAGAACGCTGAGCACTGGTGTTGAGACGCTCGCCATTGCAGTCAGGGCGGAACAGGCGCATCTTGCCATCATAGCCGCGGTAGACCTTCATGCCCTCAAAGCACTCGGTGGCATAGTGGAGAACGGAGGCAGTGGGAGGGATGCTGAGGTTTCCATAAGGCTTCACCTCGGGAGTTTCCCACCCATTGGCAGCAGTCCATCGCACGGAGACCATATGGTCAGTGCAGTAGGAGTGGCTCAACTCCTCAGGCGAACCAGGCAGGGGAACATCTCGCAGGTTTGTGGAGCGAGTGATATTGAACTTGGAGCCGTCGAGCTCGGCGACGTGAGGTGCAACGGAACCCATGGTTGATGTTTATCGATAGTTGTTGTGTTTTATTTTGTGGAAGAACAGTAGATGATATCCAATTTAAGGAAATTTAGATTCTTCGTTCCAAGGTGAGTCAGTGTGCGGGTCTACCAATTTCCCCAATTGCAGTCAATGAGAGAACAAAATTGTCCAGTGAAATAATAATGCAATTGAAAGTGAAGTAATGACTTGGATAAGATGAAAAAAAAATGTCTTGAAACCTTGGAACTGCCGACGCGAGGGGAGTATTATATGTCTAGCGGTTTGCCCCGGCTCTGGCTGCTATCAGACCGGTCCGAAGAAGATTTTTTCGCCGAGCGGGAATGGAGTTTGGAACTTCGCCATCGAAAGCCCAATCGAACCAATGGCATAAAGCGGAACGGGAATTCCCCATCTTCAACTACAAATAGAGATAGCCGCATGTTACACTTGGTGTAGCTCTCTCACTCAAGGCTTTCGTACAACGAACGCTAGAGTGCGGCGGCGTCGTTGTGCCGCACGCCTTACGCCCTGCAAATGACAGCCAAGGGGCGGGATCAAATGGAGGGGCTGATCCTCTTTATCAAGCGGGTCCACTTTTTTGGTTATTACCCCGATGGTAGCCGTGCAGATGGGGTTGCCAAATAGAGCGAGTCTGTTCCAAAAGAGGTGGAAGATACGGTGATGTGGTGTACGAAGATGCCATGCAGGGAGGGAAAACATGGGCTGTAATTTGATGATGGCAAAGGAGATCGGCAATCATAACTGATTTTGTCGGTCACGTTTTCCACTGCCGAAGTATAAAATCAAGGGCATGGCATGCATGCCATGGCCAGCATGACGATGTTGACACCTGGGCAGAGTTTATTGGCACACTATACTCTATCAAGATATGGTGACTGTGGGTCAATAGTTTCAACAATCTGGTTTTGTTCTTGCAGCGAGAGTTGGTCGACGTAGTTTGTGCGACAAAATTACATTAGGTCCAACATTTGTTATAATAGATCTGCAGCTCCATGATACACGAGGAAAGGGTCCATCCCTTGAATCGTCAGCAAATAATATGCTTGTCAAAGACTCCAGCGTAGCTCATGGACGCTTGGGGGGGACACAACCTGCCTGGAAAAAGTCGACAAATCCAACCAAGTCTCTCTTCACGAGAAGGAATTCCAGTAGCTTGAATGCTAGTCGAGATGTACCCAAATACTATAAGTCCCAGAAAAAGTCAAACTGCCTCCAAGGTCCATATTATTGATCATCAGAGGGTTCGGGGTGTTTTCTTCAATTCCTAAATAGTATGTCAAGTTCCAAGGCTATTTCATAATCGATGGTAGGAAATTGTATCTGAATAAGAACATTATATTGGGAAGACAGTAAATCTCTCCTCTACTAACGAACAGTTAAGGATATATAAACTAGTAGTAGATATAGTCATGCTTTATTTAACCCCGCTTAAAACTAAAAGTATCACGTTCTGGGCAAAATTCTCTAGACCATATTTTACATAGAGCATTCAAGTTTCCCACGTCCCGCCAGGCCTCTAATACTATCAGTGCCAAATTAATAGAGCGGTTCAAGTTACTTAATAAGTAATTTGCTTGGCTACTGATATAAGAGTAATCGCACCATTCAAGATTGTTTTCTAATAGCGGCTTTAAACTCTGCGCCCTCACTCGATCACTCTACCATCTTCGTCCAGATCATACCCCTCCTCCAAGTCATCTAAAGCTCTTAACCAAGGGTGAAAAAAACATGTCATCCAGCGAGATCCGCTTCTCAGGTTCCCATGTGAGTGCTTGACTCATGAAACCCAGAAATCGCTCTTTACTTTCTCCCTCGAGAGCAGTCAATTCATATTTCAGATCCCTCTTCCTGATATCCATTCCCAGATAATCGTATTCACCTGTGTATTCATTTACCACAGGTCTCAAAATATCTGCACCCTCAAATTTGAAATTACCTGCCGGTAAAAGTGAATCAGTCTATGATTCGAAAGGAATCTTGGAACCCGTCGCATGTGACTTACCATCTACATCAAAAAATACCTCGCTAGCAGCGCCTTTCTCTAAAACATCGGGAGGCGGCGAGCCGAGTATCTCGACAATTTCAGCCTGATGGCATCTGTTGGTATGAAAAACATAATTTGTTTCGGGGTCCAGTTCCCGACCCTTAAATAGAGGCTCTCCTTGTATTAAATGCCAGGCCTATGTATCAATAAACTTAGCTGGATATCTCGACATTAGAATAATCTCGTTCTTACCAGGCAAGCTAGATTCCAAATATCAATAGGGTATCTCGGGGGCCCTATAGTAGTTCTGGCTGGGCCATCTTGTAAACTGGCGCCTTCCCCGGAATAACATTTCCAAAGTCGCACAGCTTAGCCACTCCCCACAAGTCGAGCTTTCCGAATTTTCGAGACTTATAAATAGGTATCCCGTACACGAATTTGCGCGGTGTAGGGTCATCAAATTCTGCGGATTCAAACTTCGTAAAGTCAGAAGGGTCGGTTACCAGTTGCATGATGTGATCGGCTTTGAGATCTGTATGTTCCAGATGTTAGAATCACTGAGCACCATGTTTTATGTTTCATGTCTTTGAAGGTCGAACCTGCATGTATAAGGAATGATTCCAAATGTAAATAGCACAAGCCCTTGAGCATTTGCTCAATGCCACTTTGAACCAGCGGCTCTCTAACCCTGCCAAATACCCGTAGAAAATCCGCCAATGAGCTACCCAATAGCTCCTGAACAAGGCAATAATTATGACCGAAATCTCTGGGTAATTCAAATTCGTCTAAAACCTTGCGAATAGATTCGCGGCCGAAGCCTTCCTCATCCGAGTCCTTGTTGTGATCGGCGACAGCAGCCTCCCATGCGCCGGCATCCCCGCGAGCAAATATCTTCAACGTCACATATCGATGTTCCCTGAAAATTTGAATGCATGGGTCAATAAAAGTTTACCTTATGCATATGGGGATTGAGGGTATTCTTACACTCAGTCTGCAGCAAGCCAAGCTGTGGACGAAACACCTAATCCAAGCTTACCAACTACTTGATACTGGCCGTTTTTGTAAACATCGCCTATCCGGACCGGGTAATAGTCGCCTGCATGAAAATGGTCGAACATTTCTTCTTCCAAGATTTCGGAGTCTGGAACAAGTTCAAAGTCGGTCGTTGGGAAGACGCGCCGTGGCTATCGCGGGGAGTATCCAAGTCCATTCAAAGAGCGCGAGATGGGTCCAGTATTCGCAAGAAATGAACTGACGACATCCAGATTATCCAATATTCCCCAGAATGAAGAAATGGTGGGAGATAAAAGGGTGTTCCAAAGTCGACCCCTCAGCCAGCTAAGTGTAGACAACATGGCAACGGAGGAGGTGCAAGGTGAGTCGAATTTTTCGAGGGTGTTCTGCTGCTCTTTCCGGAAATTTTGATAAATCAATAGAGAAGCTCTTCTCGGTGCCTTTTATGAAGTGAAAAGACTATCGTGCCCAAGCCTATACCAAGCCATCGACTGATGTATGTCTCAAAGAAACAAAGAAGCAAAGAAACTAGGGAGTTACCCAGATTAGAGTGGCGCTTCTCGGCATCTCAGACTCTTTGTGCGTAAAGACAAGGTGAAATAGCCCCATATGCTGGTTTGAAGGGGGGGATTACAAAGAATTTTACAAGTTCTTTCGTACAATTTCTATTTTCTTACACCTGACGAATAAAGTACAAGGATATTCGTTTCAACTTCTCGACAGTCTATTTCTAACCAAAGGCGACCTTTATTCAGGTATCCCAGAAAGACTCTTCTTGTATCATATTCCTACAAGCGTGTCGCAGAATGAAATTGTACTACAGCATGAAATTCCAGGGTGAAATGTTATATAATGACCACTCCATACAAGTATCAAATGAACCCAGACTAAAACTTCCACTGGCAACCGTTACATTATCATCCAAATTTTGACCTTGAATGGGAAAAGCAAATTAGCCCATTAATTTTATTGCTTGGTATACACAATGAATCAAAATCCAGATATGTCGGGGCGTGCTAATTCGAGGTTCACTTGCTACTCAAAACCGGAGGTTCACAAGTCAAGCCCCTTGAGTCAAGTGCATAGTTACGCGGATATTGTTGAAGGGATAACTACAAGTAAAGGACAGTGGGCTCCTATATTGGCAACCCATACCTCTGTCTCAGCTGAAAACAAGCGTGCCGAGGGAGCGCCGTCAGAGCTGAAGTCCACCAAAGACCCTGGATCAGGCTCGAGAGATACAGCTCCCAATCCCTCCCAACCGTCTTCCACTCGGGAGAAAAGGACACATATTTCTACACTTAACAATCCCAGGGAAGACAATAAAGAGGCGGCGTCTTCACGGTCAACTCATACTTCCGGTCGAGCTAAAACCCAGCCTTTCCGGGGAGCTTCACGCTCCACCAGAGGCTTTGAGTCAGGTCTGAACAGCCAAGACCGCAATTTTGTAACACCAGCTCGGTCTGATGGGACAAAAAGATATAGTGTTGTGTCTCAACGCTTTGTCAGAAGTAACCGATCTCATTCAACGAACGGTGAAATCGGATCGTACAACAATATAACATCCCGGCCGATATCTCAACGGAATATTCATCGCAAAGGTCTACCTATTGGCGAGGTCCCTGAGGAACACAGAAATGCGATTTTGTCGCTTGTTAGAAAAAATGGAAAGGCTGAAGAGATATTTCCTTGAAACTTCGCGCTAGCCTTTAAAAGTTATCATCTAACAAAGGCTTTTTTGCAGACATATGGCCAATTAGTTGGCAGCCGATATTGCATAAAGTAAGTTCGAACAAAGGCTTCACACTACGCTTATTAGTTCACGTATCGCTAACTGATATCAGTCATAGAGGAGGCGATAAAGCTCACAGATCTCATCACAATCCTCAAGATTTAGCTGAAATCGTGAGTGTCACAATTTATGGAGATGATCGTACGATAACCTGCCATGTTTATCCGAATGGAGATGTCACAAAATTTGCAGGGGATAATTGGTACAATGCAAACAGTCCTGATAATGCACTCAGTCCTGTCAATGCACACAGTCGCAGCAATTCTCATAGTCACAGCAATACCCACAGTTATGACACTGCCTATAGCTATAAAAGTGCATACAGCTATACCAGCGCATACAGTCCTAGTCCTGGCATTTGCTACGCCGTTCAGGTAGCTGGCTGAGAATATGTGCTTTCACTTTTTGGAAGTATGAGGGAGATCTTTGTGGGCTCACCAGAAGAATTTTGAGTTGGTTTTTGGTTTCTGTTTTGAGTTATCTCGGCGACTTTCTGTACTCGGTACCTTCGCCGATTCACGTACATTATTTATTTACACTAACGTTTCAAAGCTTTGAAGTTGACAATTACCTGCCTCCCGAGTCCCGAATTTATGATTTGAGATGTAGACTTACGCTCAGCTTAGGGGTCACAAAATTTGGTAAGCGGTCGTCGCAATCATAAAAGTTCGTTAGGTTCATGAGCTAGAGTCTAACTCAAGCACGTAGCGCCAATATTTGGTAGTAATGCATACTGATAATAGTATATATACACCAGTAGTTGGTTTCACGTCTCATGTAGGTGCCGTTAGGCAAGTGTCACAGTTACGAAGACAGAAGTAAACTGCGAAGCTGGAAATCTAGGATCATTTCTGGTAAAAGTACTCTGCGCTTTGAAAATGCACGCATAGAAGCCCACAGTAATCCGTACTCAAGTCCCGATTACTAAACGCAAGACAAAGAAAAAAAGCAAATTATTTTCGTACCTCAAGAATCAGCCAACAGCCGAGGCCGAATTTGGCCGGGCGCAAGGCTGTACCAAGATAACGTTTACAGGATTCGATTTACTAGCGTCGTCCCTGCGAACCAGACCAGCCACCAAAGTAAGTACTCCTTCCACCAATAACAAAGTTCCAGAATGGGCGGTAAAAATCGATTTAGGTGAGCCCGCCCAATCCGAAAATCTTGCAACGGAAATAGGATGCGAGGAGAATGTATTCGCGGCGTTGACGCGACCTGTCTCTATTTTTGGCAGCCTGCTACTCAATTCCTACCTGGCTTCATATCGCGTACAGTTCCAATTAGAACGGGACGATCAGCTAGTGTTGGTGCACTGCTCAGTATCCGTACTTAGATGTACGGAGTACATCGCATACGATGCGATTTCTGCCCTGCGGGTTTCATCCTGGGCGACGCATATATCGGCGGCACTTAATGACTTGTCTGGAAATGCATGGCTAAATCGTCATGTTAAGATTAGGTAGCGCGCTAAGATTGAGAATAGTTCTTTGCGCTGCATTTGGCGGGGTCAATTGTTTAGGCCCTAGGGACTGTAGCCTGGCGGAAAAAAGAACCGAAAAGTCAAAAGACAAGAAAATCTCTTGAGATTTTCACCCTCCAGTAAGAGAGCTCGAGAAACAGAAGTACGATGGAAATAATTTTGGCTACATACAATGTACGAGTATATGCATGTCGCCGAGGAGACGCATGTCGGCAGGCAGGGTGGCGAACACACCAATAAGCTGCCCGCTGGCTAGCCGGCTGTTATTTCCGGATTTCAGGTGAGATGGGCCATGATGTCAATCCAGGATCTAACTGTGGAAAGATCTACTTTACCAAGTAGTATGTACAAGATTCATTCAGGGTCCCCGTTCGCCATCAACTTGAAGGCTCGAATATCTGGCTGGATGTACATACAGACCGCCGGGCATAAATTCCGCTAAGGTACGCCTTGAAAGTCCCCACTGTCAATAACGGGTCCGAGCCATCTTCAAATTCTACAAATCGCAGGGGTCGGATTTAGTTGCCAAGTGCGCTAGACTAGTCGAATGCATCGCATGTATCTGAATGTACTCCGTGCTTAAGATCCAGCGGAAAGATGACCCGCCAAGCTGCCGAGTGTGTCGAACGCCCTATCATGATGTACGTAGGTTTCAGGGAAATTTTTCGCCACAGAGTCATAGACTAGCTACCCCTGATCAAGGAGGCATGGCTGTATAGCTGTATAACAGAAATGCGATAAAATAAATGGTGCATCTACAGAGTAAAGAAGATGATAAATCAAAAGGGGTGGGGCGAGTGACGCACACATCTCATTGGACGGATATGAGCCACCCAATGGACAAGGATTGAAGCGGAATGGACACAAATCATGCCAAGGTTCAAGGGGGGGCAGAAACAGGTGTAATGAACATCGGTTGCGGGGATGTCGATCGGACCTGTAAGCCCTGCTGATCAGGGATTTGGGGCCAAGAACACAGTACTAGTATTTGACTAGATGGGGCGAATTGCCCTGGAGAAGAGTACCGAGGGACCAGGCCACAGTTCCTATCTCTCTAATCCAGATACTAGAGTTATACAGCGTACTTGGTATAGTAATATGCTGTTTGCCTTGTGTGCTACCTTGGTGTAGCGTTGCGACTCGTGGTCGGTTCCCGTCAACCAACTCGCCGGGAATATTGGCCCCTCCGACGTGATCAGCTGGAAATAATACCCAGATCCAATGAGTAGACAGTAAAAAACCTTCATATAGTAGATTTTTTATTCGTAATAGGAAAAGTGCTTAAATGCCCGGTTTTGGGACTCTGGGGTAATATGGAAAATGATGTAAAAGCGGGTGGCCGTGTCAATCCGCAGCTGAGCGATTTCAGCATGAGCCACGGCTCTACGTATTCCAATCATCGGAGAAGTAATATCAGAGTCCTCATACCTAATCCCGGTTAAACGTGGGGGTTTTACGCCTGCCTACAGTACCATCTCTGGTGGGTAGCATAGCTCGAATGATCAGACGCTGAACCATAGGTGACCCGGTGGATTGGGGAGGATTCAAAGATATGCGAGGCTGCAAATCCTTATCCTGCCCGTACTATAAGCCAGGTAGTGTGTCAGGTTGAAAGGCAAACATGATTCTATGTAGAAAAAGACGCAACTATGCAGGTATCTTGGGTATAATTCAGCTTGCCTTCTCGTACTTTGCGGTCCATGCCGATAGCAAGATCCATTGATTGGTCTGAGTTCATCAAATAAAAATTCGAGGAAAGTCTTCCATGATTAAGTACAGATATCGTGGGGCGCGGTAAGAGTGAAAGAGCTTCCGCGTGGGTCCATTCCACCAAAACGAGCCCGGGCCATTACTTTCTTTGTTGAAGATCTCACGGCCCTTGTTTAGCGGTATGTGCGGTCTCTCCACCTCGCCTTTTGGCGTCACGTTCCGCATGGTGTTTCGGGTTTTTGACAACGAATCTTACGCAAACCGGATTTCGGGCTAGTCTCATCTTGATGGGCACTAGTCCTTTCTATCCAGGCCAATTGTAAGTCGTCAACGGTGCCAGACTTGCGTGGCGCTGGCTTTTTTGTCCTTCCAATCACATTGAGGTTCAATCCTGGACTACCAGGCCACCCTGGTTGTGTGACAGTTACCGACGGTTGCAGATGGTCGCTTGTTTGCTGGAAGCGCAAGTCCCCAAGTCCTCAGCCGCTGAATTTCTTCATCTTGACATCCTCTGAGCCACAATTGCCCCCATAGACCCCCAACTTTCGAACGCAAAAAGCACCCAAGGCAGTGGACGAGCCGAGACGACCGACGACCCGCGACCTACAATCCCACGAAATGACCCTCTTCCTACTCTAACGAACGTTATAGCTGCGGTACACGAAAAGAATTTTGTCGTAACGGATATCTGAGCATCGTCGAATCATAACGTGGTGCAAATTTGTGGAAAGTTGGTGTCCTCCTTTTCTGCATTCACGGGCGACTGAGACACGCTGCTAATTTTTCACCTGCATCAGTCTCAGGAGATCAAGATTCCGGTATCATACCCTCAATTTCTTTTTGGTAAAGGCTGATCCTGGAACCCCCTGATCCATGAACGGCTTCATCCGCCAGATTCGAAGATGGGACACCAGGATAAGAGCAAACCGTTTCTTCCTCTGGCCCCAGGGCCGCCGCGTATACTCCCCATACAGGCATCGATGGCCGTCAACCGGCCGAAGAAGAACTCCACGGCTTGCCTAGCATGCAAGACAGCAAAGCGAAAGGTAAGTTGGCCGTCGGGTGGTGGCACAACTTGAAAGTCCATGGCTAATATTTGCCCTCTTGATATAGTGTTCCGGACCCCCGTCCCCGTGCAAGGCCTGCGTCAGCGCTAATTCCGAGAATGATTGCCACTTCGACCCAAGTCGTGATTTGAGGCGTAAAGTTGCAGTGAAGCGAACCATTCAGGAGCTCTCCGACGTTCGTGATCTATTAGAATCATTGCTGTCAACAGTTCGGTTCGCAACACCAGATAAGATCGGAGAGGTCGTTGGAGTCATAAAAGGCAATGGCTCCATGCGTGATATTGCATTTGCCGTTGGTTGTCCAGTCACAAATTTTGCGGACTCGGCAAGCCTATCAAATGCAAGTCAGCTATCCAACTCAGAAGATGGTGAGCAAGTGTTAGAATCACCGATGTGCGAGAATTTTGGGGCCAAAGCTCGGCGACCCTCAGAAATCTCCGTGGTATCTACATCACCGAAAATAGACCATCATATCGAGGTGCCTGGAGGCACATTTGACCCTTTTGCACGAATCTCGTTGGAAAGTCTCTGCAATATTCCATTGTATGAAGTACCGGCAAAACCGTGGACGAAGGTAACCAGTGATGACAACATGGTGTCGGTTCTGGTATCTCTATATTTCACATGGGATCATCCATGTGCACAGTTCTTGGACCAAGGAATATTCGTCGAACACATGAAGAGCAGAGACGTCGAATCGGAATTTTGCACGCCCCTTCTCGTCAACAGTCTTCTAGCAATGGCAAGCGTATGAGTTATATCGTCCCCAAATTTTGTGTGTCAATTAACACCCCAAAGGCCCATTGTGACAGCCCTGAGAATTATCTCCATACGGCGAATGAATGTTTTCGCGGAGAGGTATTTCTCGCAGAGGCAGAGAGGCTGTGGAAAGCCCAGGAGGGCCGTCCATCGTTGCCAAATATCCAAGCTCTCCTGCTGATGTGCTCTGTGTATGCTCCCCGTGAGACCATACAGGTTCAAATGACCTTTATCTTGTTTTGATTAGACTGACACTTTTCTCAGGCTTTCATGTCAAGGGAAGGCAAATCTCGGCTGGCTGATGCTACAGCAAGCGGTTCAATTAGCGCGTGACATGGACTTGCTGATACTCCCCGAGGCCCCAAATTCAAAACATATGTTCAAATATGATATGACGCCCGATATGGAACACGTTCGCAACATTACGGCGTGGGGCATCTCTAGCTTGAATGGGTAAGTGAAATGATGATAATCAAGCACATGGACGAGAAGGCGAGTAACCAACCTGGGCAGGCAAATGTCAATGAAGTTGAAAAAGGTGGCAACTTTGTCACTACCAGCAACTAAAATTGACACCGGCGGCGATCATGATTTCGACTGGACACCCTATCCGCGGTCAAACCACATCACCTATTCCACGAAACGAGCACACTTGCCTGAAGTCAGACAGGGTCTTGCTGAATTAACCGATATCATGCTGCATATCGAGAAGCTTCGATATGACAAGGAGCTGAATTCAGACTTTGATCTCTTGATGGCGAGAGCAGAGGTGCCATATCACCAGCTGCAAGAGTGGCTAGCAGCTTGGCCGAGCACGTCGCAGATTGAAAAAGAGCCTATTTCACAGATTCTGATTCTGCGGTGAGTAAAAACATCTGATGAGGCCTCTTTTTAAGATTTGGTCATTCCCTTGGCTGACCCTTGTATGTTTGAAGCATCAAATGCGTCCATGTGATCATGCATCTCATAGAAATGCTGGTCGAGCGGGACTATCAATCGAGCAAGACTGCTCAACTGCAAGAAACCTGGTTTAATCAAGTAGAGGAAATGGCACAGTGTCTTCGTATCCACCGCCAGTCCTATGGGATTAAGCACATCCCAAGCCAGCTGGCCGATTCCGTCCAGGGGGCACTTCGAGTTCTGGTTCATCGACTAGAAGATTTGGGCGAAGCAAAGCACGCATTTATTGAGCTGTATCGTTTTGGGGTTGCCATGGGCCAGAAATTCAAGTCAACCACGGTAATCATTCAAACTATTCAATCCTTGTCGAGTGACAGGTCGGCTATAATGCCGAAACAAGCCATCGCGATCCTGAACGGTTCAGAATGAGCCACAGAAAACGGCGACGCACATATGATATTATAATGGTGGGGTGCCGATATTGAAGGGAGGGCGACTCAGGCCGAGGGTTTGAAAGGAAGGACTGTGAAACAGAGAGAGCATCCCATAAGGTAGCCATCAAGACTCCGAAGATAGGCCGATAGACAAAGATGGTCGATGCGGACTGACAGGGCTTGTTCTTGTGGGGTCTGCCATTGCAGGGTTGGCGTTGAGGACCGGTTTCTGGTCCTACCATATGGTCATGTTTCTTGTCTGTTTTGCTGGATTATCATAGTTCTTGAGACATCAAAACTTGGTCGTCAGCCAAACTAGAGTAAGACCCTGGAGGAAAACAGGAGAACAGCGCAAGGATGAGGTGCGGATGGAGCTAGGAGCCGCCTAGCCACGCTCCCAGCAGTCTTGGGCAAATACTTCCGGGCACTTCTGGGCCTCTCAGACGACGAGCAAGCAAGACGCGAGAATTTAGCTTGGAAAAATCACGATTGCTGTGCATGTGGACATCTACACGTACATTTGAGTGCCCTTATTGTCGAGGATTTGATCATAACAGGAATGCTCCTTGTACTTGTCGCTATAGTTTTTATTCATCACCCCAGAACTCACAGTTCTGATCACTGGGAGCTAGCCTCTATCCATGACAGCATTTTATGACTCGAACTACACAATATGCACCCTAAACCATGGTATCACGCCTGAAGAAGGACTTGGCTTCCGGTGCACAAGAGCTGATTTTTAAAGTAGTATACTTCATAGTAACTACTGGTATTAACTTGTTGTATTAGCACTAACTACTAGTAGTATATTTCAGCTTCGGAGATATCTGTAAACTATCCGCCCACTGACCCTGTAAGTCACTAATCTAGCAGTCTATTCTCTCCTCTAGTATAGTAGATTGGTGCAACCTGATGCCAGTTACAGAATATCAAATAAATGTGGAATATTTTTCGTTTGTATGCACTGAGGTTCAAGCCCTGGCAAACCACAAGGAAGCACAATCTTAGTCAGCAGGCTCAGTTATGCGCAGATAAGATAAGCACAACACTCAAGCGAAAACCCTCAAAATTCGACTTCTTTGGCAAATCCCACACGCCCGAACGCCGGACGCCCCCACCCTCCTCCTTCCGCCCTCCCCCCCAACCAACCCGGTCCCTTGAGGAAATTTCCAACCCGTGTCGCCTCATACCTCATTCTACCTCGTTCGCCCACAATGTCGTACGAGGACCGCGCCAATGCGCGCCCCAACCTGAACGATGAGTCCGATGTTGAGGAGGAGGCTCTGGTCAACGACTACCGCGAGCAGGTCAACTACGAGGATGGCATGAGTGAGCTGGATCGCACAACATCCCTCGGTGGCTCTCAGGCCCAGGACCTTCAGGCACAGCTTACCGCCGCTGCTACCCCGCTGGAATACCAAGCGACCCTCGAGACTAAGTTCGCCAGCTACGACAACTACTGCAGTCTCTTCCACTACATCCTGAACTCCGAAGGCCCCGTGGATCTGGAGGCCCCCTCGGTAGGTTTTTCAATTCGCCCCGTCGACCCAAGATGATGATGATAAAAGAGATATATGTGGCTGGGCACTCATCGGGATTCGATCAAATCCATCGCGAACATACGAAGAACAAAGAAACTAACAATTTGCTCTTTCCATACATATAGTACTACTGGGCCTGGGATGTTATTGACGAATTCATCTACCAATTCGAGTCGTTTTGCCGCTACCGCAACCGCATTGCTCGCACTGGATCCAACGAGGAGGAGGCTCAGCTCCTTCGTGAGAACCCCAACACCTGGGGTTGCTACTCCGTGCTCAACGTCCTCTACTCCCTTATTCAGCGATCTCAGATTACCGAGCAGCTGGGAGCTATGAAGCGGGGTGAGGACCCCATTGCCTTCGCTGGTGAGTACGGCAACCGCCCGCTGTACAAGATGCTGGGTTATTTCTCCATCATCGGTCTGCTGCGCGTGCACTGCCTGCTCGGTGACTTCAGCTTGGCCCTCAAGACCCTTGACGACATTGAGCTGAACAAGAAGGCCATGTTCGCCCGGGTTATGGCCGCCCACTTCACCACCTACTACTACGTGGGTTTCTCCTACATGATGATGCGCCGCTACGGCGATGCCATCCGCATGTTCAGCCACATTCTGGTCTACGTCTCCCGGACGAAGAACTTCCAGAAGGGCGGTAACGGCTACGACGCCATTGCCAAGAAGAACGATCAGATGTACGCCCTGATCGCCATCTGTGTCGCTCTCCACCCCACCCGCCTGGACGACACCATCCACTCCGCCGTCCGCGAGAAGTACGGCGAGCAGTTCTACCGCATGCAGCGTGGCGGTCCCGAGGCCCTTCCCGTCTTCGAGGAGCTGTTCCGCTCCTCCTGCCCTAAGTTCATTAGCCCCACTCCCCCGACTTCGACAACCCTGCCGTCAACGTCGACCCCGTCGACCACCACACCGCTATCTTTATGGATGAGGTCAAGAACACCCTGTTCAACCCCACTATTCGCTCATACCTGAAGCTCTACACCACCATGGATCTCAAGAAGCTGGCTGGTTTCCTCGAGGTTGAGCCCGAGCAGCTCCGCTCCTGGTTGCTCGTCAACAAGCAGCGTTCCCGCCAGATCCGCTGGGTCGAGGGTGGCCTGCTTGAGGGTGACTCCGCCATCGCCAACGACCTCGACTACGCTCTCGAAGACGACCTGATCCACGTCAGCGAGACCAAGGCTGGCCGCCGCCTGGTGGACTGGTACCTGCGCAACCTTGCTCGTGTCTACTAAGTAGCACGAAATGCATGATACCCGTGGTTTGAACGTTGCGCCACGACATGCTTTGCGGGTGCTCGGAGAGGGACAAAAAGTAAAGCATATTGGCTTTACATGCAAGAAAAGAACGGACATGACTCGAGATGATTTTTTCTTTCACATTCTTATCCCGCTTCCCCTTGTGTTTTTCATTTCCATTTTCATAACATTGCCCCCAATTCCTCGCTGCTTTTTATACGCTTTTTTCTGCCCCTATTTCCTTTTCCATTTCCATCTTTCTGGTTTTATGGGTCCCGGTCCCCAATGTGGCGGGCTGCAAAGGGATCCAAAATCAAGTCGGGTTATCGCGATATCTCTGGAGGGCGTACGATTCTCACATTTGCCCGGTCTGCTGTTTCTGCCTTTTGGCAGGTGATTCACTCTGCATGAGTGTATAGTGTGAAGTAGAAGAAAAAAAGAGACTTGATGAAATGCATAGACCAACGATACTGTTAAAAACAGCTTTCGTAGTGCTACTTGATTCTACTAGTTCGTAGTCGAAACTACTACACTTGCATGCATACACAACACCCAAAAGAGCTTGAAGTGGCTTATGGATAGATGAGAGAGGAGGGGTATAAATAAATTAATCTATACTAATATTTCAATATGCAAACTTCCGTTTCTGTACATGTAAGGAAGTGAAGCAATGAGCCGCTTGCCTTTATGTTCTTTTAAGAACAATCAATCACCCTCGAAGATTTAATCCATCACGTCAAAGCTGGTTCCACAACCACAGTTACTTGACGCTCGCGGGTTATCCACGATCTTGAATTGACTACCAATCAACTCGGTCGTATAATCCACGGTGCTTCCGGACAGAAGCTCCAGTGAGGGTTCGTCCATCACAACCTTCGCTTGTCCATTTGCATCAGTCGATATTTCGGAAGGGTCGGCGTCGCCTTCAAAGATGGTATCCTCTTCGGCGTCAATTTTGGATTCAGACTCGAGAGACATCATGTACTGGAAGCCATGGCAGCCTCCACTTGTCACGGTGATGCGAAGGTGGTGGTATGGGTTTTCTTCTTTGGTGGCTGACGGAGAGGTGGTCGGGTCGGTAATTTCTCGAAGACGCTGTGCTAATTAGCCAAGGACCATGGAAATAGAGTAAAGCGAAACTCCCAAAGAAGACGCCAAAAAGAACACCAAAAAAAACACAAAAAGGCACAAAAACATACAACAGCAGGGATTCGCATGTGGTCACCCACCATACTACTAACCTGCCGGCGTGTGGCTTAAGTACGGCTGAGCGGACGGGAAGCCCTGTTCTCCACACCCTATGGTCGTATGTGCTAGACTATTCACTAGAACAGACCTAAGCTGCCACCGTTGGTGTTCTCTCCCAGTTTGGCTGGAAGTACCAACAGTAGCCTGCTATGCAGGTTCGTCCCCATGAAGCCCAGAGCGGTTCCCGTCTCACTGTCACCGACACGACCGGTTGTTGTTTGCAAAGACGATGCGGGAAATCGAAATAAATCAAAAAAAAACCATTGTAGAAACGTACCTCCACAGCTCGAGGCGAAATCCCGATCATAAGCGTCTCACCATCATCTCCGGTTCTCGGGTTTTGTATGACTTTGGTAGCCGGGCGGACGGACGAGGAGGAGAAAGAAGCGACATGTTGACGGAACGGAGATCGAGATATAGATCGTGGAACAGTATTTTTGTACAGAGAAGTGGCCGGAGTGATTGGAGTGGTTTGCCGACAAGTAGCGACTTCGCCGACGGAGGATGCGGAGATGCGCAAGCCGGGCCGAGACGTTGAGAAGACGCGGGCGCGTTGGTGTGAAAGCCGGCGAATAGCTGTGGGGGATAAGAGTGACCTGGTCATCTTGGACGGTGTGTATTCAGATTCTTGGCTGGGGATATGGAGGAGTGAAGCAGCAAAGGTTCAGTCTATCGCATCTACCCATCCGATGATATCGCGTTAGTCAGGTTCGGCAGTGGCGCGATTGGTCAGCGACGACCGGAGGGCGGTGGCAGAATAAAAAGCTCCGGCATGGTGGGGTTCAGGTGGGAGAGTGGCATTTCTTGATGAAACTGGAATGAGTGAGGAATCTTCTCTCAATTTGAATTCATTGGCTCAATTCGTGTGGATATTCATGATAAATCGCAACAATGGGGCCGTCCCAACAGCATTCCAGGGACTCGAAAACCGGGACCCCGCTACCATACAAGGATGATATCAAAGCCTCCAAACTAGAGTATGCCCAGGCTCTGGACGCCCAAGATCCTCTCCGAAACTTCCGAGAGGAATTCATTATCCCTTCTGTAAAGGATCTACAGAGGAAAACACTCGCAGTCAAACAGGGTATGTATGCACTACGCAACACTATATATTTGGAAGTAACCATAATACCGGTGTCATTGACGGGTTCGTGCAGATCACAATGAAACTTCCGATGCCCGATGCATTTACTTCTGCGGCAATTCGCTAGGGATACAACCTCGGAAGACTCGACACTACATCGAGCAGTATCTGCGAACTTGGGCAACAAAAGGCGTGACAGGCCATTTTGTTCCCCACGAGGACGAGTTGCTTCCCCCATTCGTCGATGTAGATACAGCTGGCGCCAAGCTCATGGCACCTGTTGTGGGAGCATTGCAAAGTGAGGTTGCTGTCATGGGCACATTGACTGCCAATTTGCATCTTCTAATGGCGAGCTTCTACCAACCAACGAAAGAGAAATACAAGATCATTTTAGAAGGCAAAGCCTTCCCCAGTGATCACGTACGCTGCCACTCTTGTCTTTTACCTTGGAGATCACAAGTGCTGACAAGCTCTAGTATGCCATCGAGTCTCAAATCCGACATCATAACCTTAACATCCAAGACGCCATGGTCCTGATCGAGCCCGAGGATGCGGCCCGTCCCATCTTGAGCACAGAGCAGATTTTGAAGGTGATTGATGACAATGCATCCAGCACTGCACTGATCCTTCTCTCAGCGATCCAGTTTTATACCGGCCAATATTTTGATATCGAACGGATCACCGCGCATGCTCACTCTAAGGGCATCATAATTGGCTGGGATTGTGCACACGCCGCTGGAAATGTAGACCTTCGTTTGCATGACTGGAATGTTGATTTTGCAGCCTGGTGCACGTACAAGTATATCAACAGTGGACCCGGCGGCATGGCGGGCTTATTCGTACACGAGCGTCACGGTCGTGTCGATGAAAAGCAGCCTGGAAGTGAAGAGACCTTCCGTCCTCGCTTCTCGGGCTGGTGGGGTGGAGATATCAAGACACGATTCAACATGGAAAATAGTAGGTAACACTAAACAACTTACCAGAAACCTACTGACCGAATCCAGAATTCGTCCCTCAACCCGGCGCTGCTGGCTTCCAGCTATCGAATCCATCTGTTTTGGATATGAATGCGGTCATCGCCTCCCTCGAGATCTTTAACCGGGCGACAATGGAGGAAATCCGGAAAAAGTCTCTCAGTATTACGGGCTATCTGGAGCACCTGCTTCTGGCATGCCCACCAAATGGTTCCCCGGAGGAGAATCCCTTCACTCTCATCACACCATCAAATCCGGCCGAGAGAGGAGCTCAACTTAGTTTGAGGCTTAAGCCAGGGTTGTTGGACAAAGTACTCCATCACTTGGAGGAAAACGGCGTCGTTATTGACGAGCGAAAGCCAGATGTTATCCGCGTAGCTCCTGCGCCGTTGTACAACACATACACTGAAGTGTGGCAGTTTTGTCAGATCTTCGTTGAGGCATGCCAGAAGGCAGTCGAAGGTCAATAACTTGGATGTAATGGCTAGAAATAGATGGTGTTCTATATCCAATGAATGAATGTTTCTAATATCACCATTCGAATACCTAGTACTACTACTAGTAGTAGTTCCAACATGCCCGGGTGGACGTTCATATGGCAGAAGTTTCTCCAGCTGACTTTTTACTAACTAGTGGTTGTTATCTCTAGAATCCATAGATGGTTAGGTCCGAGTCTGCAGCACAATCTTCTTCTTTTTTTTCACCAAGCTACTTTCTACTACATCCTTGACTGACAATGAGACTAGAGACCTTATTCGCTTATATATCTTCAAGTTCCAAACGACTAAATTTGACGAACCGTGATTTTATTCAAAACCTGGAAATTGTAAACACCCATTCAAGTTTTCGGCGTTCCAGGACAGACACCGAAGTCGGAAACAGGTGTCGGAGTTAACCGCCGATAACACTGAAGTGCATTCAAGTTCGGCATCTCGGCACCCTACTTATTTTCTCCACTCATAATTGGCTCAAGCAATACCTTAGATGTGGACTGAACGCTGCAAAAAAGACGCCATATGCGAGATTGCTTCCCTTGCTCCGCAAAATTCTCCGAGTCTCCTTGAAATCCACGGCCATTGTGCTGGACGATATCAAACATCGTCTAAAACGGCCGTATATACCAAGCAGACATGGAAAAACCAAGTCCACCGGTAACGCTCACAACAGACTTAGAAGCTGCTCAAAATACAAATGACCACGAGAATGGCACTGCGGGGAATCAAAGTGGGGATGTTGCAGACGTTGACTACTCTATCTTCACAATCAGCCAGCGACGATTTATCGTCTTCATGGCCTCATGGGCCGGATTCTTCTCGCCAGTCTCGTCGCAAATCTACTTCCCAGCGTTGATTACGTTGGGTAGGGATCTTCATGTCTCGAACTCCCTGATGAATTTGACTCTCACGAGTTACATGGTAAGTGAAATAAAAAGGTATTATTCGACTTGGCTGGACAGCACCACTGACAAGTTGGATATGCTAGATCTTCCAAGGCATCTCGCCCATGTTCATTGGCGATTTTGCCGATAAAGCTGGAAGAAGGCCGGCTTACATTGTCTGCTTCGCGATCTACATTGCCGCCAATATCGGACTCGCTTTGCAGAACAAATATGCAGCACTCTTCGTTCTTCGGTGCCTTCAGAGTGCAGGAAGCAGTACCACTATTGCTCTTTCATCGGGAGTAGTGTCCGATGTGGCCACTGCATCTGAGAGGGGATCTTACATGGGCTTTGTTACTGCCGGCTCTCTCTTGGGTCCTTCTATAGGACCGGTCATCGGTGGTCTGTTGTCTCAGTATCTCGGATGGAGAGCGATTTTCTGGTTCCTTGTTATCTTCTCTGGCGCATTTATGATTCCATTTCTCGTCTTCTTTCCTGAAACAGCTCGTGGTGTTGTTGGTGATGGGTCATTGCCTCCTCAAAAATGGAACATTTCTCTCATCAACTACTTGAGATCGCGAAAACCTCACGAGGCGGGTGAATCCCTACCAACCGCACCGAAGCAGAAACTCAAGTTCCCTAATCCGTTCGAGACACTCGCCATTGTCTTCCAGAAGGACACCAGCATCATTCTCTTCTGCAATGCCATCTTATTCGCTGGCTTCTACGACGTCAGTGCAACAATTCCATCGATCTTCAATGCTCAATACGGTCTCGATGACCTCCAGGTTGGCTTGTGCTACATTCCGTTCGGAGTTGGTGCAAGTATAGCGTCGATCCTAAATGGGCAATTCCTGGACCGCAATTATCGCCGGATTGCAGTGAGCATGAATTTTCCTTGGTCAAGAATCGACACACAGATCTGCGAAACTTTCCCATAGAGAAGGCCCGTCTTCAAATAGCCCTCCCAATGCTATTTACCGGCAGTCTCTGCGTCCTTGCCTTTGGCTGGTGCCTCAACTATGGCGTCCATCTTGCTGCACCGACGACCATCTTGTTTTTCATGGGTCTCACCCTGACAGGCGCCTTTAACACTGTCAGTACACTTTTAGTGGACTTGTACCCGACACAGGCAGCGAAGGCCACCGCGGCCAACAACTTTGTGCGGTGCTTGCTCGGTGCTGGCGCGACGGCCCTCATTGATCCCATGCTTTCGGCCATGGGTCGTGGCTGGTGTTTCACCTTCATTGCTCTCGTGATGATGGCTACCTCCCCGCTACTGTTGTGGGAGATCCATCGGGGTCCTGCATGGCGCGAAGCCCGTCGGCAGAAACAAGAAGCACAGAAGCTCGAAGGGGAAGTGCGTGCTGAGACCGAGACCGAGACCGAGACCGAGAAGAATTGATAGAGTTATAACGTTGGCGAAACACGGTAGCCCCAATGTCTCGCCTGCATTGATATTATTATGAGCTTATGTGCGCACGGCATTTTACTGATACCCTTGCATAATGAAGAGAAGCTATATCATCAGATATAGCATGATGTGACCATTTTTATCGATAAGAACAAACTGTATTTCATGATATAATCACTCTAGCGCGGCGGATATTACTTGAACGCGAAAAAGGCCCGCTCCAAAGGTTGGCGCTCCGATTCCCAAGCGAGCCAGTCCGATCTTGTAGTTCTGTCGAATGCGTTAGTATATAGCATCAGCAAGGGCATTAGATTTATCGGCACATACGGCAATAGTCCCATCCCATTTACTTTCCAAACTCCAAGGGCGAATAGCAGAAGCTGCATCAACACATAGACAGCCTTCACTCCGACTAGACGGGCCTTGGTTGTCGGGGTCTCGTATTTGGCAAAGGCGGCGTTGGTGTTGATCAAGCCCTGAATAGGACCCTTGAACAGCATAAGAACCATCATGATGCTGAAAATCTGGAGAGTGTTGCCGGACATGTACATCATGATGGCTTGCATGGGCAATTGCTTGGATGGGGCCATGGCGATTTCCCAAGCCTTCTTCAGCTTGAGGGTGTCGGTCTCTTCGGGTCTCGTAGCTTGTTGTTTATCCTGTTGCTGACGCTGATGCCTGTCAGTATCATGATGCATTTCTGTGGGGTTATGCAAGCTCACCTGTTTTCCTCCCCGGGTGTTCGAGCTTGTGAAGCCAGGTGGATCCGGGATGCTGTTGGCGGCCTTGGAAGGACGGGGCATCGGGGAGTTGAGCGCGACAACCCATTGCGGAGGAGGTGGAGGTGGAAGGGCCGACATTATCTCAAAGATGTGGGATGAATGTCGAGGGGTGGCGTGGGGGAAGACGGGAAGAGGTGAAGAGAAGAGAACAGGAGGTTTCCCTCCGCAGCTGCCCACTCCACCCACTTCTCTGCCCACTCCACTCCGCCCTCGACCCTTCAAGACTCTCCTTTCCCTTCACGCGCTTCACTTCACTTCACTCCCTTCCCATTCCATACGCTCTCCTTCGATCCGGAATTACAATACCATTGACTATGTTCAGTCAATAATATCGACTGTCTTCGATTTCCCCCCCCGACCGGGCCACAATTGCGGCGCAATAAAGCAACCTATCCAATCTCGCCCTTTTCTCCACGAACCTCTTCCCTCCAGAACCGCCAGATTCGGATCCTTCGGTCTTTTGCAGCGCCAAGCACCTACCTTATCACCTCTCGTCTATATCTTCTATCCGTTGAAGGATCTCAAATACCATTATCGCATGTGATCGGATTCCTCGGCCACCAAAAGTCGCCCAGGATAGCTTAAGAGAAGAACCCGCGCTTTAGAAACCCTTGCGATTCGTCCACGCCGCAGCCATGAGTTCCGGCGGCGACGCAAAGCTCTTCGCTAGGGTAAGTCTTTGTGTCTGATCGTCTGATCTGCCCATAGTGGCTTCCCCCCCCCTTTCCCTTCCCCGCACCTCGTCCTTATACATAAGGTTTATCTTCTTATGAGATGACTCGGCGACTTTCGCAAGTTGTTTCTCTACACTATGCTTTTTGTTACGTTGCCTCTTTTGCCATATACCCCTCATGTTCATCGGTTTTGCCCCCTATGCTTCGCCATATAGCTCACCATTTTCGCGAACTCGACAGGGCAAGGTCGCCGAGTTGCGACAGGAGCTTAACTCCGGCGGCAAGAAAGACAAGAACTACTCCGCCAAAAAGATCGCCCTGAAGAAAATCGTCGCCAATATGACCATGAGCAATAACGACATGGTTGCGCTCTTTCCCGATGTCATCGACTGCATGAACCTGCCCAGCTTGGAGATCAAGAAGATGTATGTGCCACAAATCGATAAGCGCGGGGCCTGGCCTTGAACCTTTTTACTAATGTGCCCCAGGTGCTTCTTGTTCTTGGTCAATTATTCCCGAATGAAGCCCGAGGTTGCGCTGAAAGCGCTGCCGATTTTGGTCGATGTATGTTCTGACCCTAGTGCCCCTGGGATTCAATGTTGAGCCTGCATCCTAACTGTTGAGTAGGACATGGAAGACACCAACCCGCTTGTGCGCGCACTTGCTTTGCGAACCATTTCATACGTTCATGTGCGCGAGTTCGTCGAGGCGACTTTCCAACCCCTCAAACGGCTCATGCAAGACAACGACCCCTATGTCCGAAAGACCGCCGCTTTTTGCGTTGCAAAACTATATGAGCATGACAAGAAGACGGTAGAGAACTCAGATTTGATCGATCGCCTGAACCGAATGTTGAAGGATGAGAACCCGACCGTTGTCTCCAGTGTTTTGGCTTCACTGGTGGACATCTGGGGCCGTAGTGAATCGATTTCCTTAACGATTGACTATGTCAGCGCCTCAAAGCTGGTCTCAATTCTACCCGACTGCTCTGAGTAAGACTTTCCAAGTCCCAAAACCCGAAGGCTACCCGGACTAACTCCTTTTATAGATGGGGTCAATCTTACATCCTCGAAGCTTTGATGTCGTATGTGCCGCAGGACACAGCCGAGGCGCTTCTGCTGGCAGAGCGAATTGCCCCGCGACTATCTCACTCGAACGCGGCAGTTGTCCTCACATCTTGTCGGGTCATTCTCTATCTCATGAACTATATCGCCGACGAAAAACATATCACCTCGCTATGCCGCAAGCTTTCACCACCTCTCGTCACATTGCTCTCTAAACCACCCGAGATACAATATTTGGCATTGCGAAATGCTATCTTGATTTTACAGAAACGGCCGGAAGTCTTGCGTAATGATATCCGCGTATTTTTCTGCAACTATAACGACCCGATCTATGTCAAAGTGACAAAGTTAGAGTTGATGTTCATGTTGACCACGAAGGATAATATCTCTGTGGTATTGGCAGAACTTCGAGAGTAAGTATCTTTAATTTCGTTGCAGATCTGGCTATTGTTCTTCATTTCTTTATTTGAACTAACGCTTTTACAGGTATGCGACTGAAATTGATGTTCATTTTGTACGCAAGGCGGTTCGCGCCATTGGAAAGTTGGCCATCAAGATTGAATCGGCCGCAAAGCAATGCATCGAAACACTTTTGGAGCTAGTCGATGCCAAGATTCCCTACATTATCCAGGAAGCGACAGTGGTGATTCGCAACATCTTCCGCAAGTACCCCAACAAGTACGAGAGTATTATCAGCCACGTGATCCGCAATATCGATGACCTCGATGAGCCCGAAGCCAAGGCAGCTGTTATTTGGATCATTGGTCAGTACGCAGACCGTATCGATAACTCGGATGGTCTCTTGCAGGACTACTTGGCAACTTTCCATGATGAAACAGTCGAAGTGCAGCTGGCCCTGCTCACGGCTACTGTGAAGCTCTTTATTCAGCGGCCCACCAAGGGTCAACAGCTTGTTCCACAGGTTCTGAAATGGTGCACTGAAGAGACCGATGATCCCGATCTCAGAGACCGCGGCTACATGTACTGGCGTTTGTTGTCAACCGACCCGGCGACAGCCAAGCAGGTCGTGATGGGCCAGAAGCCACCCATCACTGCCGAGAGCGAGAAGCTGGACCCCCGAACCCTCGAGGAACTCTGTCTTAATGTCGGCACACTAGCTACTGTCTACCTAAAGCCCATCCACCAGGTTTTCCGTGCCGCACGTCCTCGTCGTCTTCAGCAGAGCCCAGCCTTGCAAAGGCCACGAGTTGAAGATGGCACTGCCAGTATGCTGGAATACAACCCTCCCAGCGCCAACGCTGCCGCATCATCAACAAGTAATAGCGGCCTAGCAACCATCATCACAACAGGCAACCCTATCAGTCCAATCAATGCTCCTCCCCCGCCTAATTTCCCCGTCGGTCCCAACCCTGCCCAAGGTTCCACCGCCGCCTCAAACACGTCCAGCGACGCAATCAGTGCAGCAGATTCATACTTCAATGGGATAGGATCGCAACAAATGGCCTCGATGGATCTGGGAGGCCGTAGCGATGGTGCGGGCGGTGGTGGTGCACCGCAGACGCAGTTTGTTGTGACACAAAACCAACAACAAGGGTACCAGCCGCAATATGCTGGTGGTGCTGCTACAGGCGAGCTATTGCTTCTATGAGTTGTTTGATATTTGGTTGTAATTGTAGATAGAAAGCGTTGATATCTGTTCAATAAGCATGGGAACGGATAATATTTTTCATTCATTAAAACAACCTCCCCTGTTTCCCTTGAAACTAGTAGTCGAGGCTGCTGAGAGCGCACAGGAGATATCGTTTATGTCCCACTCCTAGTAAATCCAATCGCAGATCCAACAACAAACTTACTATCATCTCCATAAAAGAATCCTAAGGAAAATATTAAACTGTGACCTCCTCATTCTAACAGAAGGTATACCGAGATCCAGCAGCTGGGATACCGCTATTTGCGCTGCACGAACACCATAACTCATGTCAAGACAACTATATTCCGGAATCTCGACGAATTGCCCAACCAGTCCGATATTAGAGGCGAGGCGAGGAACGGGCTCAGGGCGTTCATCCGAAGAGTGCGCAAGCAGGAGGGAACTCATGCGTGGCATAACACGTGGAATAGTCACAGTATGTCGAAAGAGCAGTTCAGTTGGAAAGTTCACATGTTTTAGAACTTCCGCTAGAATCTCTGCCCCCGAGCATTGGAGCATCGGTTTCTTAATATAGTTCCCTCTACACTCTGGGAAGAGTGCGAAGCCCCAGAGAATGCGCACATTTTGAGGCTGGTCCCGGAAAACTGGCTGCGCGGGTATACAGAGATTTAGCTTCCACTGGCTTTCTTGGAGGACGATCAATGCCCCTGTTGTCGAGGTGGATAGTGATACTGAAGTAAGGTAGTTGAAAAGGGTGAGCTCTTCAGTAGTGATTGTGAAGGACTCTAACATGGATTGGGACCGGCGGGTGCAGAAACTATAAGGGTTGCCGAATTCTTTGTTTTTTGAGCAAAGCGCGAGCCAGATTGACCAGTTCTCGTCAAGTTCCTCGTTCGGATAGTGTGATAAGACAAGTGGCGGTTCATCATTTGATCCTATTGCGGTTCCAGACATCGTTGACCCTATGGTTGCTATTACGACATCATGCGGTCCAAGGTAGTTGCAGCGTTTGAATCCATCCTGAATCAGGTCAAGCCTCGAAACCCTTTGTTTATCATGGTCATATCTTGTGGTTGTAATGCCCGTAACTCTGGTATCGAACTGGAAATCGACATTGAGGCTTTGTAGGAAAATGAATATTGGAAGAAATATAGATTCGTATTGGTAGGGGCCAGTGATATCAAGACCACTCAAAATAGATAGGCCGTGGAACTCTCCAATGTACTGGCGGATAGCACGCCTAAATTCGGTTGCGCTGTGCCAGGGCTGGAGACCGAATCTGAGGAGAAGCGCAGATTTCGTCAGATTAGGACTCATAAGATTTAGCAGCATATCAAAGGTACTTACTGAGCGGACCAGATAGCCCAAAAAGAAGTTAAGAAGAAGCTTTCAGGCAAACAGTCCTTAATATGACTGCGCCCTAGCCGTTTCTCCCGCTTGGCGATAAAGCGTATTAGATGCAGTCGATGCTTTAAGCTCAAGTTCAATGACGCAGTTGCGATTTTCTTCAGCACGTGATTCTTTTCAATCAGAATGCTAATGCCCCTGCTTTCTTTCCGGATGTTCCTTCGTACTTCGGCTGACTCTATTTCATGCAGGAAGCTCTGCGGCCGACCCGGAGTTAGAATCGAGGATGGGATATCAGCGAGGATCTCTTTCAAGGGTCCACCAATTGGAACAGGTAAGCACCCTGCAAGTTGATCGTAACCGCTAGTAGCATCACCATTTCGATGCATAACTTGCTGGATTGAATCGCATGACTCTAGAATATGCACCTTCGGGGGTGGTATTCCGGCTTGCTTGATCAGAAAGTATGCCGATGCCAAGGATGAGGTCCCGCTACCCAAAATCCAAGCCTCGGTGTCTTCCGGTGAACGTTTTTCTTGAATCTTGGATTCTTTTCTTTTCATTTGGGAAAAGATGTTGGTGGTTGCTCTTTGATGGGATGAGGGCAAAAAGTACTACACAGGATTGGTCATATATCGAGATTTTATATTAGAATGTGATGACATTGTGTTATTACGAGGTCTGCGCGATCTAGAGCATCTAGAGCATCGTTGACAGTTTGCCATAATTAGTGACGTTATTGTGGTTGTTTGGCATGTATCTGAGACCAATTAAATCTCGCGGCAGATAATTAGTATGACTGAAGTGGAAAACAGGAACCATACATCCCGTCGCCACATGACCCGTATCTCGCATATCTGGCTCAACCTATGACTGTCTAATTTTCCAGGTGTGCAGCGGCACAATATTTCCATCTATATAGATGGACGTCCAGATAGTTATATTACTCGCATTTTAAATTAGTCGGTCGGAGTTATATCCACGGTATGCCTTCACACTTAGTCTACCACTCAATAGTACAGAATACTTCCAGAATGCGTAGATGAGGCTTGAGGCATAAGAGAAAAACAAACAGTGTAACAACGTGCAGTACCTAGTACATCAATCAATAATAGAAACTTTAAGAGAACACACGGGCAAGATACAGTACAAGCATACTTGGGAATGTGACACTCCGATACGGAGCCCAGTCGTCCCTGTCTATCTGCGAACCAGGTGTTGGCTACTCGTATGGCAGTCGATAGCGTCCAGGGAGGACAAAATTAGTAGTCATTGCCTTGGAATTTGTGGCGGGCAGGATCCTGGTCATGGCAATGGTATACTACTTTTTGCATACAAAAACGACGGGGCAATGGCTACCAAGTACTATATTCCAAGTTCTTGTATACAAAAAAATTAAATAGGCGATGGCTGCTAAGTACCGTAATATTTCATGTTACTAGTACAGTCTGTGTAGTCCACTAGTTATGGTTTTTGAGCTTCCAGGAGTCCAGAACTATAACTTCCAACCAAAGTTGAACCATATTGCAAAAAGCCACCGGTACCGATGCGACAGATGTGTTCAACTCGATTGATCACTCCCCATATGCACCGAGCATTCTCTCCTCGTTGCATATTGCGATGATTGACTCTAAACAAAACTAGTAACATACGCAGTAGTTGGATAACTACTACCACTGGTTCAATATGCTTGCTGTTTACCTAGCACAGTGGTTGAAAGTTGGGGAGGTGGGAACCTATTTTTCTTTTAGTGATTTCTGCATGAGACCATCCGCCCTGAAGCATTTACTAGGAGATTCTTGATCAAGTACTACAACAGCCCTAGGGAAGTACTCGCAACTAGATATGATTGATTTGGTGAACGGTGGGAATCATCGCTGAAATCAGAATAAAAAAATACATGGAGAACGGGTTTCATCACCGACGACAGACAGAATAGGAGAAAGATATAAACGACCGTAGACTTAGCACGTTCATTCCTCATCCATCTTGGAAAGACCACCACGGCTGCGTCGAATACGTTCATCCAAACTGTCCTCACCAACACGTTTGTGCACTTGAGACATGAATCTACCACGGTCTGAGCGTTGCTTGTCATCAGCCTCCCGTTGCTCTTCCTCCTGGGCATCGATTTCAGTGATGCGCTGACGTCGATCTGTTTCCAGATTATTGGCGTTGGACTGCATCTCGGCCAGTTTACGTTGGCGCTCTTGCTCCAGCTCCTTGGGGTCGGGTTTGTTCTGCGCTGGGCGAGACGGCGGAGCTCGGTCTCGACCGTACGAGCCGTTTCGTTGATTGTTGAAGTCGCGTCCGCGGCGGTAGTTCTCTCGGGAACCACGGCCATTGCGGTCTTCAGAGGAGGGTTGTTGGTCAGATGATCGTCGTGGAGATCTGTCTCGCTCGCGCTCGCGCTCACGAGGTCGACCCGAGGAACGATCATGGTCTCGGTCTCGATCACGTCTATCGTCCCTATCACGGCGGCGATCACCGTGAGAATCCTTTTCACGATCATGACGATCCCGACTGCGGTTACGAGTACGGTCATCGTTGCGGGGTCTGGTGTCGTCGTGTCGGCGCTCGCGATCATCGTCACGGTCTCGTTCACTGCGGTGTCGGCGAGAAGATCGCTCAGGTGAATAAGGCGATCTAGATCGGTGACGACGAGAACTCCTATGATTCCGATGCCGCCGATCATCCTCCGCATCATCACTATATCTCCGGCGCTTAGAGTCATGGTCACGATCACGATCACCACGATGGCGACGGTCTCTGTCTCGATCACCATCGCGAGCCCCACGCTTCTCTTCCCGCTCCTTGCGACGAATTGCCTCCTTCATAGCAGCTTCTTGAGCCGCCTGCTCTCTCTTCCTAATTTCCAACAACGGATCCGCCATGACTTTCAACATAGTATCACGCTGCGACCCGATAGACGGACCCGCCGCCGCCGCCGCATGCGCCCCAACCACATCCGCACCCTTCTCGAGTTTCTGGTTATCGGTGTCATTCTTGAGCAGGATGCCGTCGATTCGCCGCTTTCCCAGCAGATACCCCTCCATCTCCTCAGAGTAATGTCCGGTGGCACTCGAGGGCGCTTGGTACATCCAATCGACTCGATTATGCTGCTTAGGCTTGCCGGAAGCTTCTTGGAGGCGCTGGAGCTCTTGGATTTGTCGCTCTTCTTCGCGTTCGCGTTTCACCTGGTCGATGCGCTTGCGCTCGTCCAGAGCGCGCTTTTCTTGTTGCCATACGCGCTCTTGGTTCTTGACTAGTGACGGATGCCATGATCTGGGTTATGGTTAGCAATTTGCTGTCTATCCACGGACTTGGAGAGCAAGCGGGTCGTGGAAATGGATGGGAAATTGTTACTTACTTCTTCAAGTTCAGATCACCACCACCCATGTTGGCGACTGTGAGGGGAGTTTGGAGGTGAGGGAAAAAAGACGAGGTTGGAGTTGGAGACCCGATAAGGAAATGGCCACTCGCCGCCTGAGGCATATATAAGCACGTGACCCACCCCCATATCGTACATAGGGTGTGCCCAGACTTCGGATACCCTCTATATCAGAACTTCATTGAAAGCACTAGAATCAACTTAACAAGAGTAAAAAAAACTTTGTATTCGGAATTGAAATGGATGCATTGCAAATAGATACAGGTAATGGAGAATATGGAAAAACATGGAGCGGAAAGTATTCATCATGCAGAATTTACCACAAGAAAAGAAGGCAAAGGGGTGCACGCTCGCTCAATTCTCCATCGAAAACAATCATCCAGGCTGTCTCATTACCACATAAGCATGATGATCAGTAGAAAGAAGAAAAAATAGAAGGACAAGATATAGGGCAGGGGGAGGGCGAGGGGAGGACAGGAAAGAGTCGACATATGGATCATACACGAGCCCGCCAATCTAGACAAGAAAAAAAGACAAAAGGAAATCATCATTCCCACATCAAGGCAGAGATGCTACCTCATCCATTATTTCGAGGACTCCCAGCCGACCCAGCTGCGCGGCATCACTCGCCAGACCTTGCATTCACCACTGCGTAGGTCATTCAGCTTGAAGCTCTCCATCTTCACCTTTTTGCTTTCGCGGCCTTGCTCCCAGGCGCGAATCTTCTTCTTTGTGCCGTCCCAATCGACAACAACACCCACATGGTCGGGCTTGCCTACCTCGGCACTATACTTCTGGTGCATGGTGCCACGGTGACCTTGGAAGCGAGCGTTTCGGAAGCTCACGATGTCACCCGCCCTGATCTCGTCATTCTGCGAGACCGAGGCATTGGCCAGGTTTGAGTAGACCAGTGCACCATAGGCTCGAGTACCAACAGGAAGAAGCGCATCAGCCAGCGGGTTCAGAAGATGCTGGACCAGTCCGAACGGAGTACCATCGCCAACCGTTGAGTTCTGAACGGAATTCACTGCTTCAAAAATGCGGGTTCCCAGCTGCAGGTGAGCCTGTTCTAACTGGTCCTGTCGAGGCTGGAGAGGGGTAGCTTCATGGCGTTGCTCGAGGACAGCATCCGCAGGGTTTTTGGCATCGAATTGGACCGTCACGACAGTCTGGGAATAATCCATGAACAAGACGTAAATATCCTTCGAAATGGTTGTTTTACCACCACGCTTCGACGAAGATGACTCTTCAACCTCAAAGAGAATATCCTTGCGGCCTTGGAAGACAGGAGGTGTAGCGTTAGGCTGAGTCCACCAAGTAGTACTCTCTGCCAGATCGATGTCGGTCGCGATATATCCCTGATCAACAGATGGGCGAGAAACATCCATAGAACGACGGACATTGGGTTGGTTTCTCAGCATATCCATGGAAGCCCGTCCACTTCGACCAACGGATGGAGATGGGAGTGAAGGAGCTTGGCTGGGAGGCGGCGGCGGCGCAAGAGAAGGTCGCTTCTCATGTTGCACTGTAGGATAGGTGTCGGTTGCGTGGCTCTCAACAGGAGAAGCGTCATACATATCATCGTACTCTGTCACTGGCTGCGGGGGAGGGGGTGGAGGAGCCTCAGGGCGCCCACCGGTGGGAATTGGCGGCAGACCATGTGATGGAGTAGTGTAGTTAAATGGGTCGTACTCATCATCATCCCCACAGGGCGGCGGCTCCCTGCCAGGCGGTGGCGGAGGAGGTCCTCGAGGCGTATCAATTGAAGCCCGGGCATTTCGAGGAGGTTGATGAGGCGGGAGAGGTGGAACCGCCCGTGGAGCAGCGGCTGGGGGAAGAGGCGGAGGCTGGCGACTTTCCTGGGGGCTGCGTGGGGATTGAGGAGGATAATCATCGGTTATGGTGCCCTCGTCAAAGCTGGAATCGCGTTCATGAGATCGCAGGGCATCCTTGAATCTAGCCCCCGACGCGATGTCAGTATCATAATCTCCGTCATATTCGGTAACTTCGCCCTCGACGCCCTCTCCAGCCTGTCGGGGAGGAGAGGCAGCACTTGTGCGGCTGTCAGCGGTAGAACGCCGACGGGGTGCGTTGGGAGGAGGGGGAGGGGAGCGCGGCTCTGTGTCGGTGGCATAGGCGGGTTTGATGGGATTGGTGGAGGAACGCGGCTCGCTCTCTTTTCGGCTGCTGGAGTTGAAGGTGTCGACTCGTAGGTTGAGGAGCGACGAGAATCAATGCTGTCAGGAACTGCCGAGGTAGGGACTGGAGGTGGGACGGCTCGAGGCTGATCTCGGGCACCAGAGTCCAACGACAATTTTCCTGCGTGGACAGACAGTTCATCATCGGACTCATTTCCAGCCTCGGAAGCTCTGTGAAGAGGAGGAGCCGGTCGACCTGGTTGAAATCGTCAGAATAAGAACTTGAAGATAGAGTTTGAGTTTATTACTTACCTCCAGGAACAGGTGGAGGCGAGCCCGGCTCTTCTGTCATCACAAGAGGAGGAACGGGTCGTGATTCTCTGGAAGGCGGTGCGGGAGCTGAACATCATGGCATGGTTAGTTCAACATATTTCTTATTTCATATCAGAGTGAGTACATACCATGCGCGGGTGGGGCGGGAGGAGCCCGGTCAGTAGAGCGACGCGGCAAGGCGCCCTCGTGAACAACTTCTTCCACGTCTGGCACCTCGCGTGATGGGTGTTGCTCAGAGACAGGAGTTGCCAGTGGTTCCTCATCCTCCTTCTCGACATCGGGAGGGGTAGGCTTAGTGTTGAGGTTCATTCCAGGCAGAGGAATCATAGGGACGGGAGGAGCATTGCCCGGAGAGGTCGGTTCAGGTTCACCAAGTCTTTTCTCGGACTCGCCAGGGGTCTTGGGCTTGCGAGGTCCAGGAGCAGACATGCCTGGCATACCACCTGGGGGACCAAAGAGACCCATCATGCCCATACCGCCGCTCATCTTCGCCATTCTCTCGCGAAGCTCCATCCGGCGTCTGGTTTCAGGATCCATCTCCTCTTCCTCCTCTGTTCCCTCCTCGACGTCAGCCTCTTCGGCCTTTGGTTCAATAGTATGGGTCGACATTTGGCGCGGACGCTCATCTTCATCATCCTTGCTGGTTGAGGTCTCTCCTGCATCCTCGGAATCGGCAGCTGCAGAGTAATCCGCATCGTTTGCATCGCTAGTAATTTCCTCAGGTGCAACCAATGGAGTAGGAGGCTGGGGCGGTGGGGGTTTGGATCGCACTGTATCAACGCTAGGATCCCGGGCGGTGATGGGTGCAGCTGCTTCAATCGGCGAAGCCTCGGTATCTTCAATAGGCTCCGTGGCCTCGATCGGTTGCTCGACCGGCTTCTTGGGGGGCTTGGGCTTTTCCTTCTTTTGAGCAGCTTCGGCATGGCGCGCTGCCTGTTCTAATTGCTGTTTCTGAAGGAGTGCGATTCTGTCTTTCAAGCTGGTGGGTTTAGGCTGATCCTCTGCCCCCTCTTCGGTTTCTTGCGGAAGAGTCTGGGGTGGAGGAGGGGGAGGGCGGCTTTCTGAAACGGGAGGCTCGCGGGCTATCTGCTCTTGCACCTCCGGGATCTTCCTCCCTTTTGTATACCTTGGGAGCAGGCTCTCGTGCAGGTGCCACGTAGGAATCCTTACTTGGAGGAGGGGCGACGAATTGCTTCTTTACGAAGGAACCTGGCTTCTGGCCACCGGGTGCGAAAGGGGTAATTGGGGTGGCAGCGGACTTGTTGAAGGCCGCGATGCGATCCTTGAACGAGGAGGGCTTCTCAGCAACAGCAGGTGGGGGCGGCTTGGAAGCCTTGACAACGGGAGGCGCGGGGTCGGCTGCCGGTGCGACAGGGGCTGGGATCGGATGTGCGAGCTGGACAGGCGAGGTAGGTTCTTCGACTGGAGGGCTTGATATCAGAGGAGGAGACTGAAGCGCCAATGCAGGAGGCTGTTGGGAAATTGGCTCAGGTTCATCCGCCGGTAGTTGCTCGGCAACTTCAGGTTCCGCGGGCGGTTGACTCCCGATCACCGCGGGGGGTTCAACCGGCGCTGGTGCTGGCTCCGGCTCCTTCTTCGCTCTGTTCGGGCGCGCTGGGCGTGGAGGGGCCGGAGGTTCATAGCGCTCCACAAAGTTCCTCAGGGAAGATACCCTCATGCTTGCCCCCGGAGCCGTCGGTGTATCCGCCGCTATACCATTCGGCATCTTCCACATCCGTGACGGTAATAACTTGGCCTATCGAAAAGCTTAGGTCGTCATCGTGGCCCGAAGCGTACTCGAAGACCGCTCGAACCGTAAAAGGCGGGTTGGACATCTGGCAAATCGACCAAGTTCAGAGGAACTGGGGGGAGGTAAAGAGGACGCTAAGATACAAGAGGGCGGTGACGACAATCAGGTCAAGGACTGTACAAAGGTAAGCACCAGTTTCGATACCTCTGGCATGCAGGGGTACTGAAAGTGGCGTGGGTCAATTTCTGTGGTAGCAACAAAGGTCGGTCAGCTTCGGATGACGAAGGTGTGGATGAGTTGGTGCCTAGTAGGAGCAGGAGATTGGGGGGAAGAGGAGGGGGGAGGGGGGGGAAACTCGGAGTGGTATCTTGGGAAGCACTCACTATGTAGAACGAGACCAAACACCCTGACCGAAGACAGGAATGGGTCGATATGATAATGGGGAGGGGAAAAAAAAGGAAATCCAGCCAGGGATTGCGGGCTCGGAGTAGGAGGGGGAGAGTTGGGTGAAGATGAAGCAGTGAGGTGGTCGTCACTTGGCGGGATGGGCAAAGCAACGCAACTCTGGGAGGCTCCACACTGACGATCGGCGGCTACCAAGAATAAGAACCAGGGTACACAACTGGGGGAAGCTCAAGAGTCAGGTTGCAAAGGGTGGGAAGGACTTGGAGATCTGGTCAAGGCGAAGATTTGGTGTGAAATTTATGAAACTCCGGGGTGTTTGATCCTATCTGGAGTGATGTTACTGAAGGGGGCGAAGCCACCTGCAGCACCGTCGACTATAAACTGGGTCCGAGTTGTATCACGGGGGAGTATGAGTAGTAGTAAGAGGTAAGAGGTACGAGTACACCAGAAGAAAAGGAGGCAAAGGTAAAGGCACAATTATATATGAAGAATGAGAATAATTATACTACTAGTAGCTTACTAGGATGTATAAGATCTGCCAGCTTCTGCCCAAACCCCCAAAGGCGACGTCAGAGCTTTTTTTGGAGGGGTGAAGTGTCGGCTTTCTTCTCATTGGCTTCCTGTTTGCGCGGAACTTCCTTCAACCACCTGATCCAGAATTTCGAGATTTCCAACCTCCCCCGATATCATTGCACATCCTACACACAACTTCTACACCCACCTCTCTTGATTTCCTTACTGAGCATACAACATACAACATGTCGACACGGCAGGGTTCATCCCCAAACCCCGCCTTGAGAACCTCTCTTCCAACCGCCTTCGCCTCGGTCGTCGAAGAATCCTCCTACGCACACCCAACCCAAGAAGAACAAGATAAATACCTCCAAGCTCGCCCAGGCGCAACCGCACGCCACCTAGGCATCGCCCTCCAACATGCCCAACAGATCCAAGCCCAGAAAGATGCCGAGGGCATGATTCTAGATCGCACGATCGAGCTCCTCGAGATTCCGACCTCCCCTTCCGCCGACCCGACCACCCCTCCCCAGAAGATGTCCAGTTATTCAAAACCGCCTTACAACTATTCCGACCTGGCGATTACGATAATATGATCATGGAGCGAAACTACGAAGATTTGTGCGGTTACGGTCTTTGCCCCCGCAAGAATCGCAAACAGGTCGGCGCTACGGGCTCAACCTTCCACTTCAAGTACGGCGCAAAGGGAAGCGGTCCAGGTGGCCGTGGTCGCGCGGTGGATATTGTCCCAAGGGAAAATTTGGAAAAGTGGTGCTCGGATGAATGCGCGGAGCGAGCTCTGTTCATTCGCGTGCAGCTTTCGGAGCAGCCTGTTTGGGAGAGACGGGCGGATGAAACTGAGGATATCAGAATTGAGCTTCTCGAGGAATCGAGAGAGAGACGACAAAGGCAGAAGCAGAAGCAGAAGCAAAAACAACAGCTGGAAGCTGGAAGTTCAAAGTCGGCTTCGGCGGTCCCTCAAAGTAGCGAATCGGATATAACGGCTGGGTTGAGGGATTTGAAGATCCAGGAAGCTGGACGATCTCAGGAGCTTGCTTTGGAACGTGGCGATACCGGCTTATCTCTTCGAAAAGGTCGTGTTGACGTCCAACTCAAAGAGAAGGAACCTTCATCGCAATCGGCTCCCACCGCTCCACAGTTGGGTCCCGGTGATGAAATGGGAGGGTCTATTGAAGGATATATTCCCCAAGAACAGCTCGAAGAGTCGTCTAATACCCTTAAGGACAGAGACATCCTCGATCAGCTCTGATCATGGGCCCAAAGGCCTTGGCATTTTGGTGTTGGCAGGCGTTCTACAATTAATACCCCGGAGGGCAAAAATAGCATACTACAAATGAATTTACGAAATGACCATGTAAAGTGATCAGGCTGCAAGTTGCGAAGAACATATGCGTAGCCACGATCGAGGTCACCGGAGAATCTCTAACCAGAGGTTCAAGATCTCCTCTACGTAATCAAGCCTGGGGGCGTGAACCCTCACAGGCCTAAAAAAACGAAGGACAATGTATTGGCAATCAAGCGTCATCCCCATTACAGGGAATCGGCGACACCTTTGTCAACGGGGAATCATGTTTTCATTCCTCATCCATGGAGAGGGTCCATCTAAGCTAAAACCATAATAGCCGGGAACAGAGCCAGCCAGAATAAGTGTCGTTCGTGGGAAACGCCAAGAGTCGGCCGTAGACAAAGAACTTTTTTGAATATTCCGAGAGGATTATTCGGGGCGCTGCATTTAGCGGGGTCCGAAGCGGCGGGGACGCTCGGCCTGCTGCTGCTGGCTGACCTGGACGACGTTGACCTTGAGGTTGTCGAAGCCGAGGGACTTGAGGAGGTCCTTGGTGTCGGTGTCGACATCGAGCTGGCCGGACTCGGTCTGGGAGACATCGAGAGCGGAGACCTCGGGGACGTACTGGTCCTTGCGCTCACGCTCCTCCTCCTGGAGCTTGAATGAGATACCGCGGACGGGGCCACGCTGAATACGCTTCATCAAGTGCGTGGTGTAACCAGCGATCTGTGAAGAAGCAAGTCAGCATTTGATGTTCGCGAATGTTGCGCAGTGTAGATGTGATTTCGTACCTTGTTGCGCAGGCGCTTGGAGGCAATGATGGCGATCTCATCGCAGATACGCTTGTTGGTGTCGAAGTCAAGGGTGAGGCGGGGGTAGTAGCCTTTTTAATAAGTTAGCAAAAATCCTGAATCGGTGGTTTTTGTTCAGCGGCAGGGATTCCTTACGCTCAATGATGACCTTGGCGGACCGCTTGACGGTCTTAGTACGGACGCGACCCATTTTGGCGTTTGGTGTTGGCTGGAAGTGGACGGATGTTCAAGACGAGAAACCTCAATAATGCGCGGCTGGGATGGAGTTGACACCTTCCGCTCGCTTGTGTGCTGCGGGTCCTTGCCCTAATCAAGCCCTAATAACTCACGTGATTGCATATTGGGCGATTGACGCCTTGTTTCTAAGGTTTACGTTTGTTGTCTTTCTGCCGGGCGGTGACAGGCAAGGTAGTGTGCTGATATGGACTACGGAGTGCCAGCTACTTAGATTCCTTCTTGAGCTTGAAAGAGTACGAGTACTAGTTTGAGATTGAAATTGAAATTGATGCAGCGGGTTTATACAACAAGTTTGAAAGGGTAATGGGAGTGAGAGCAGCTTTACACAAGCAACAATTCTAATCGTACAGTTCTTTGCAAATATCACAAGTCAAGGATGTTCGGACCATTGCGCACTCCTTCAGACGTTTAGTCTTTCTTGGGCGCATTGAGGTTCTCCATCAGGCTGCGAGCAATATCTTCGGTTCCCCGCATAGTCTTTCTTGGGGCGTTCTCCGCGCCAGCCCTGAAGCGGGGGCTGTTGGGACGGTGGCTATCCATTCGTGGGACCACGTGAGCTCCTTGACGAGCTGCCTCGGTGATGCTCATCGCGTTAGGCTTCTTATAATCCTTAATTCCATATGGAGCCTTGGCAGTAGATCCAGCGCGGTAGGAAGAAAGGCCAATTCTGCCATCGGAATCGACAGCGGCTCGGATAGGCGAAACCCAGTATTTGGCACCACCGGGGATGGTCGCATCGAAGGCAGTCAATCCAGGAGGTGTGCCCTGGTCAATGAATGTCATGGCGTTCAAGTCCTCGACGGCAATACCACCGACACCAGCAATAGCCTTCGACACACGTCCCTTAAATCTACCCTTAGGGCGCAGGATACGGGCCTCAACGGGCTTCTGGTAAGCCTGAGGGCCATGTTGAGGGTGGTTGTAAACCGAGGCGTGGGATCGGGCGTATGAAAGACCAGCGGACGGGTGTGTCTTCGGGGGGGCCGGTCACGGCGTACTCGGGGGCGGACAGCTTGGTTCCCGGGGACTGGTAGTACTTGCGGCCGATGCGCTCGCTGGGGACGGTAGGAGCGGAAGGAAGATCAAGCAACTCGAAGACAACGGGGCCCAGGGCGAAGGGATCTTCACGGAGAGACTTGAGATATGTGTTGAACTCCGCGTCAGTGATCTTGGGAGGCTGGACCTTCTCCAGGTCCTCGCCGTTGTCCTGGGCCAGCTTCCGGGCTTCTGCGTAGCGCTTGGAGTCAAAGCGCTCACGCATCTTCTGGAGCAGTTCGGGCTTTTGGCGGCGAATCTGCTTCAGATAACCCGCGAACTCCGCCTCGGTCTGTCCAGCAAGCCAAGGTCCGGTGTGTCGAAATTGTTTGGCTCCCGCCTCTCCAAGTGTCTTGCTGGTTTCGGTGTTGTCGACGAATGTTTCGAAGGGACTTTGGTGTCTTGGGGTCATGCTCGTGGCATAATTGACCTTGGAGGGCAGCGACATGGGCATGTGCAGCTCTTGGAACTTCTCCAGGGTCATGGTATGATCGGCCGCGGACTCGAAATCGGTGACATGTTCGTAGGTATCGAGGGCGTTCATGCGGACAACTGGCCTCGAAGACTTCTCCGATGTCGACTTGGATGGGAGAGGTCGCTTCAGGCCCCAATCGCCCCGAGCCAGCGAAGACTGCGGCGTTACGATCGATGCCCGGGTAGGGTGAGGAAGTGTCGCGCTGTTGGATTCGTTCACAACCCTAGATGATGGCGGGTCTCGGGGAGTTTGCAAAGCCTGAGGAAGGGCAAATAGTCGAGACTTCCGCAGAAGATTCGCCGTTGGCGATACCCTAGCGGTCGCCATCTTGCTCAATTCACGATGGATAGGAGCTAGATGGATGCGCGCAAAGAAAAGTTGACAAAGAGTGGGTACAGCGGACCACAACTACCCAAGGCGCAGTTCCCCGGACATTCTGCCGGGTATACTTAGAGGACTACAACTGTAATAGCGTTTAAAAATTCTCCAAAAATTGAAAGAAAAAAAAATCAAATCAAATCAGACTTCCATTTTTAGGTCTACAATCTAAGCTCCCACAGCCAACAGAGAATCAACGGTATCTGATATCGTCTCTTTCAACTGCCGATATTTCAGACCCAGGACTTCCTGCGAACGCGTGTTGTCGATCTTATAGATGTTTGCTGGGAGGTCACTAGGCGAGTCACTTGGAGGAAGCTTTGACTCTAACTCAGGGTGACTCTGACGGATGATTTCGACAACGTCCTTATTGGAGAAATAGCCAGCAGTGACGAAGAATCTCTGGCCACCTGCCTTTTCGATTTCGATGGCCCGAACATGCGCGAGTGCAACATCTCGAACATCAACCCAAAGGTATACACCCGATGGAGCAATCTGCTCCTTCATTTGTCCTTGGATAATATTGCGTACCCGTTGGTTGGATGTATTGATAGCTTCCAGGGAGTTCAAGTAATGAACAACTGGTCCAAACACCAGGGGTGGGTTGATGGTTGCAATGTCGAAGTTTGGCTTTTCCTTCGCAACGAAGTCCCACGCGGCCTTCTCGGCAAAGGTCTATTTCAGAACTGTTAGTGAGTAATTTTAGAATTCATGATAAACAGTGATTTACCTTGCTTGCCCGATAAACCTTTGAGTGGTCCACAGCTTCCTCCCAGGTAACTGGGTTCCAATTCTCTTCGCTGTATACCTTTGGATGATTGTCTGCATTTACAATTGCAGCGAAGGAAGATGTAATGACGACTCGTTTGACTGATGGGGCATGAGCTTTGATGGCCTTGAGTATCCCGGTAGTTCCTTTAATTGCAGGGTCCAAGAAGTCTTTCACTGGATCTTGGACATTGAAATGGAACGGCGAGGCAGTATGAAGAACATAATCAAAGGGAGGACTAGATTTAACAGCCTACTCCAATGACTCTAGTCAATATCTGTAGCTTCTTTTTGAATTTTGGTTGCATCCTACTAACCTCATCAAATGCTCCCACTTGGGCAACATCCTTGACAACCACGTAGGATAGTTTCTCCTTGGGTGTATTGGCATGGGCCTCAAGAATTCGTTTGCCCTTTTCTTCCGACCGGACAGTCACTACTGTGTCAAAGCTGGGGATTTAAAATGGTCAATCATTTAATCAGCTAGTCTTGTCAAGAAGAACTCACCCATGTTCCAGAAGAATATCGACAATATGAGCAGCAATGAAGCCACTGCCACCTATATTGCGACCAGTCAGATCCATGACGTGCCCTCCAATTGAGACTATTCGGAGGTGACAGACCTGTAAGAAGTACCTTGACCATGTTGTCTATTGAAATAAGGAGAATGAATAGTTGGACTTTCAATCAGATCAGTTGAGTTTGGAGAGCTTCTGTAAATTCGAGGACGCTTCTGGCTTTTATGGCTCCGGTACCCCTCGATCCCGTCATTGTTCCCCACCATGCATACTACAGAGTCGATTACAAATAACCTTGGAAGCACGGAACGAAGGCATCTCGCCATCTTGAAACTCAAAATGGACTTTAGTATTCCATAGCCCCGCGTATCTCCGAGTCCGAATTGCCGACCCTTTTCAAGTCTCAAGTTCCAAGGTTGGAATCATATCAGCATCATGCAGCCCGAGGTCGGAGCATATATTTCGGTACCCAGGTACCTACCAATAGCATCTAATTCATGGGCTGGCAATCGCTAGTATGGGAACGCCTCCCTGCTGTGCTTTAACGCTAAAAATTGGTTACCAACACATCTAGACAGCGTAAACATCTTCCGAGCCTAGTCAGATGAGATAGATATATTACTAGTGTACGAGTATACTTCTTTGCAGAAAGATGACGTCGATGCTTACTGCGACCCAATAAGACACGTCCTAATTGGAGTAATTCGAAGTAGGAGGTACTACTACTAGTTAGTAGTATCCTACGTGAGAACCTTAAGAGAAATTATCTCATGGGACTCTGACATACTAAGTGCAGTATCGGTGCCCAGGTACGTGCTATTACTACTATGACCGCATATTCCTATCTACACATTGCCTCCGCCTACCTTAGTACCCATATTCGTTCCCCTGGTCTAGATCCTTTCCGGGTTTCTGATTCTGCCCGCAGATCAATCAACCATTCCATCCAAGTTGGTTGAGTAAAACCAGTTCTCCATAGATAATGTTGCCCCTAATTTGACATATCATCGGTTGCAAATATTAGGAAGCCCCGGGCAATGGGGGGTCTTCTATCTAGTTGCTAGTTCCCTCCCTCACCAAGGCGGATCAGTTGAACATAAAGATAAATTCACTTGTTAAACTAAGCGAGTCAGCTAAAACCAGAGTTTCCCCTATGTAGCCCGCGTAGTCTTTCACTGACTCAAGTTGCTGTCGCCTGAGGGATTGCAACCCCCCCGCCGCGCGGTGAACGTCGGTGGTCCGTGCACGCGGTACTCCAACCTGAGCCTGAGCCTCCACGCCCGACACCCTCCCTCATCCAAAGTCCATGCGACCTGCAACCTAAGCTTTCCTAAGAGGTTGGCTTCAAATGTCCACCCGGGGGCGCGTCTTGCAATCATGGCGCAAGCAGGCCCTATGACCGATGTCACCCAGAGATTGTTTACGGAGTTGAGGTCGAAGAGCGAGGAGACCAAAGCCAGAGCTGCCTATGAGCTCTATGACAACGTTCTTTCGGTGTCACGAGGTACGGACAGGATCAAGGAACCCCCTCTTCCACCCATAGCCTTAGATCTATGCTAATTATCTCCCCTGATAGACTGGCCCTCGGAGAAGTTTGTGGAGTTCTACAACGCCGTCAGCACACGAATCGCCGGACTGGTGGTGACGGGTAGCGATGCGAATGAGCGAATCGGTGGACTCTTGGCGCTCGACCGACTGATCGATTTTGATGGTGTCGATGCGGCCCAGAAAACAACACGATTCGCGGGTTGGCTACGGAGCGCCCTTCGAAATAATGATAATGTTGTGCTGGTTTATGCAGCGAGGTCGCTGGGACGTCTGGCAAAGCCAGGCGGAGCTCTCACTGCGGAGCTGGTAGAAAGCGAGATTCAATCGGCCCTGGAATGGCTTCAATCAGAGCGACAGGAAAGTCGACGGTTCGCGGCGGTGCTCGTCATTAGGGAGCTTGCGAAGGGATCCCCGACACTCCTCTATGGCTTCGTGCCTCAGATCTTCGAGCTTGTCTGGGTCGCGCTTCGAGACCCCAAAGTCCTGATCCGAGAGACTGCCGCAGAGGCTGTTGGCGAGTGTTTCGAAATTATCGTCGCGCGTGATGCTCAAGTCCGACAATCCTGGTTTGCCAGAATTTATGACGAAGCTCTGCTGGGTCTGAAATCCCATAATATAGATTGGATCCACGGATCTCTTCTTATCTTGAAGGAGTTGATTCTGAAGGGTACCATGTTCATGAAAGAGCACTATCGCAACGCCTGTGAGATCGTCCTTCGCCTCAAGGACCACCGAGATCCCAAGATCCGTACTCAAGTCGTCCTTACCATCCCTATTCTTGCATCCTACGCCCCTACCGACTTCACCGAGATCTACCTTCATAGGTTCATGATATACCTTCAAGCACAACTTAAGAAAGACAAGGAACGAAACTCGGCATTCATTGCTATCGGCAAGATTGCCAATGCAGTCGGTCCTGCTATCGCCCAGTACCTCGATGGAATTATTGTCTACATTCGGGAGGGGCTTGCTATGAAGGCGAGAAGCCGAGCTAGTATCAACGAAGCGCCGATGTTCGAGTGCATCAGCATGCTGTCGTTGGCGGTTGGACAAACACTCAGCAGATACATGGAGGCTTTACTTGATCCCATCTTTGCCTGTGGCCTCAGCAAATCATTAACCCAAGCCTTAGTGGATATGGCCCACTACATTCCTCCCATCAAGTCTGCGATCCAAGAGAAACTTCTTGATATGCTCAGTATCATTCTATGTGGCACACCATTCCGACCCCTGGGATGCCCTGAGCACCGCTTACCCCCCATGCCCTCATTCGCAAGAGACTTTGGAGCCCAGGATTCTCATACCGACTCCGAAATTGCTTTGGCTCTTCACACCCTCGGTAGCTTTGATTTCTCGGGCCACATTCTGAATGAATTTGTGCGCGATGTTGCTATTAACTATGTGGAGAACGACAATCCCGAGATCCGCAAGGCATCAGCACTTACTTGCTGCCAGCTGTTTGTCCATGACCCGATCATCAATCAAACTAGCGGCCACTCAATTCAAGTTGTCAGCGAAGTGATCGACAAACTTCTGACCGTCGGTATTGGTGATCCTGACCCAGAGATTCGACGAACAGTTCTGTGGTCATTGGACCGCAAATTTGACCGGCATCTGGCACGGCCAGAAAACATCCGATGCCTGTTTCTGGCTGTTAACGACGAAGTCTTTGATGTGAAAGAAGCCGCCATCTGCATAATCGGTCGTCTCTCCAGCGTGAACCCCGCCTACGTTTTCCCGCCGTTGCGGAAATTACTCGTCAATCTTTTAACTGGATTGGGGTTCGCAAACACTGCCCGCCAAAAAGAGGAGACCGCACAGCTGATCAGCTTATTTGTATCCAATGCAACTAAACTGATTCGTTCTTACGTGGACCCTATGGTGACAGCACTGCTGCCGAAAGCAACAGACACCAATCCTGGAGTCGCCGCGGTCACACTGAAAGCTGTCGGTGAACTTGCGAATGTTGGTGGCGGAGAGATGAGGCGATACCTTGACCAAGTCATGCCGATTATTTTAGACTCGCTCCAGGATCTTTCCTCTCATACCAAACGTGAAGCTGCACTCAAGACGCTTGGACAATTGGCGGCCAACTCTGGCTATGTCATCGAGCCCTATGTTGAATACCCCCATCTTCTTGATGTGTTGATCAACATAATCAAGACTGAGCCGACAGGAAATCTTCGGAAAGAAACCATCAAACTCGTTGGTGTCCTAGGAGCTTTGGACCCCTACAAATACCAACAGATCAGCGACATTGAGCCTGATGTTCACCATATCAATGAGATTCAAAATGTCTCTGATGTTGCTCTCATCATGCAAGGCCTTACGCCATCCAACGAAGAGTATTACCCCACAGTGGTCATCCATACCCTGCTGCAAAACATCTTGCGCGAGAACTCCTTGGTCCAATACCACTCTGCTGTCATTGATGCTATCGTTACCATCTTCAAGACCCTCGGTCTTAAGTGTGTTCCATTCCTCGGGCAAATCATCCCGGCGTTTATCTCGGTCATCAGAAATTCTCCGCCTAGCCGCCTGGAATCTTACTTCAATCAGATGGCTATTCTCGTTAACATCGTGCGACAACATATCCGCGCATACCTTCCAGAAATCATCGACGTGATTCGCGAGTTCTGGGATGCTTCCTATCAAGTCCAGGGTACCATCTTGTCGTTGGTCGAGGCTATCGCCAGGTCTCTAGAGGGAGAATTCCGGAAATTCCTTGCTCGACTGATCCCCCTGATGCTCGACACACTGGAAAAGGATACAACTCCCCGTCGTTCACCATCGGAGAAGGTCCTCCACGCTTTCCTGATATTTGGCTCTAGCGGCGAGGAATACATGCATCTGATCATACCTTCCATTGTGCGCCTCTTTGATCGACCTCAAAACCCGCAGAGCATTCGCAAGTCTGCTATCGACAGCCTGGCCAAGCTTTCGCGTCAAGTCAATGTTTCTGACTTCGCATCCCTCATGGTACACGCTCTATCCAGAGTAGTTACTAGTGGGGATCGTGTGCTACGACAAGCTGCACTGGATTGTATCTGCGCTCTGATTTTCCAGCTCGGTCAAGACTTTACACATTACATCCATCTCCTGAACAAGGTTCTCAAACAAAACCAGATTACGCATGTCAATTATCAAATTCTGGTCACAAAACTTCAAAAAGGAGACCCTCTTCCTCAAGACCTCAACCCCGAAGAGAATTACGCATACCCCGCCGACGATACCAGCTTTGCGGAGATCGGCCAGAAGAAGATTGTTGTGAACCAACAGCATCTCAAGAATGCCTGGGATGCCTCACAAAAGTCCACCCGCGAGGATTGGCAAGAGTGGATACGTCGTTTGAGTGTTGAGCTTCTGAAAGAATCCCCATCCCCCGCCCTGCGTGCATGTGCTAGCTTGGCTGGAATATATCAGCCATTGGCAAGGGATCTCTTCAATGCTGCCTTCGTGTCTTGCTGGACCGAGCTGTACGATCAATATCAAGAGGAGTTGGTTCGTTCAATCGAGAAAGCTCTTACATCCCCGAACATCTCCCCGGAGATCCTCCAGGTCCTTCTCAACCTTGCCGAGTTCATGGAACACGACGATAAGGCCCTTCCGATTGACATCCGCACGCTGGGTAAATATGCCGCAAAATGCCATGCCTTCGCCAAAGCACTTCACTACAAGGAACTTGAGTTCGAGCAGGATCAAAACTCGGGAGCAGTCGAAGCCCTGATTACAATCAACAACCAGCTGCAGCAATCAGACGCTGCCATCGGTATTTTGCGCAAAGCACAGGCATACCGCGACGTGGAGCTCAAGGAAACCTGGTTCGAGAAACTGCAACGATGGGACGAGGCTCTTGCTGCATACAAGCGTCGCGAGAAGACAGACCCTGACTCTTTTGGCATCACAATGGGTAAAATGCGCTGTCTGCACGCCCTGGGAGAGTGGAAGGTTCTCTCGGATTTGGCTCAAGAGAAATGGAACCAAGCATCTCTCGAGCACCGTCGAGCCATTGCTCCTCTGGCTGCTGCTGCCGCCTGGGGTCGTGGACAGTGGGAGCTGATGGACTCCTACCTTGGCGTTATGAAGGAGCAGTCCCCAGACCGATCCTTCTTCGGCGCCATTCTTGCTATTCACCGCAACCAATTCGAGGAGGCCAATATGTATATTGAGAAAGCACGGAACGGACTTGACACTGAATTGTCTGCTCTCCTTGGAGAGAGTTACAACCGAGCCTACAATGTGGTGGTGCGCGTCCAGATGCTTGCTGAGCTGGAAGAGATCATCACATACAAACAGAATGTCGGTGATCCTGAAAAGCAGGATGCCATGCGCGAAACTTGGAACAAACGTCTGCTCGGATGCCAGCAAAACGTCGAAGTGTGGCAACGCATGTTCAAGGTCAGGGCGCTCGTTACCGCCCCGCGGGAGAACCTTGACATGTCCATCAAATTCGCCAACCTTTGCCGTAAATCAAACCGCATGGCTCTTGCAGAAAGATCTCTTGCCTCGCTCGAGACAGTTATTTCTGACGCTAATGGAACACGCACGATATCACCGCCCGAGGTCACATACGCCCGGTTGAAGTTCAGCTGGGCGAATGGAAACCAATTAGAAGCGCTCGATATGCTCAAGGAGTTCACTGCAGACTTGAGTGATGATCTTTCCAAATACAACACTCTAATGGTTTCGCAGAATGAACACCAGCATAACGGAATGAACGGTGTAAATGGCATGGCAGACCCAAGTCACCCCGATGCCATTGGTTTGCGTGAACGAATCGGTGATGTTGCCAAATTCAGAAAGCTGCTTTCTAAGAGCTACCTGAGATTGGGAGAATGGCAGACTACCCTTCAAAAGGGTGATTGGCGAGCGGAGTATGTACGCGAGGTTCTCAGCGCTTATTCGGCTGCCACCCAGTATAATCGCGACTCCTACAAGGCATGGCATTCCTGGGCTCTTGCCAACTTCGAAGTTGTGACGACAATCTCCAACCAAGCCAGTCGTGATAGCAAGCCTGCGCCAGTCCCCGCGCATATCGTGACTGAACATGTCATTCCAGCTATTCGTGGTTTCCTGCGATCTATTGCACTATCATCAACCTCCTCATTACAAGATACCTTGAGATTGCTTACCCTGTGGTTTACCCATGGTGGTGATCACGAAGTTAACACTGTGGTCACCGAGGGGTTCACTAGCATCAACATTGATACCTGGCTCGCTGTCACTCCTCAGCTTATTGCTCGAATCAATCAGCCCAACATCAGGGTTCGTGGCTCAGTCCATCGATTACTCGCCGAGGTTGGCAAAACGCATCCTCAAGCCCTGGTTTACCCATTGACGGTGGCCATGAAGTCAAACGTGACACGTCGCTCCCAGTCTGCTACCAACATCATGGAAAGCATGCGGCAACATAGTGCCAAGCTCGTTGAGCAAGCAGATCTTGTCAGCCACGAATTGATCCGAGTTGCTGTCTTGTGGCATGAGCTTTGGCACGAGGGCCTGGAAGAAGCCTCCCGCCTCTACTTCGGCGATTCCAACGTTGAGGGCATGTTCGCAACGCTGGCACCTCTTCATGACATGCTTGACAAGGGCGCCGAAACGCTCCGCGAAGTGTCGTTCGCGCAAGCCTTTGGTCGCGATCTTGCAGAAGCTAAGCATTACTGCATGCTTTATCGCCAGACCCAAGAAATTGGTGATTTGAACCAAGCTTGGGATCTCTACTACACGGTGTTCCGCAAGATCAGTCGACAGCTTCCGCAGCTGTCTATCCTTGATCTCAAATATGTGTCTCCACGTCTCAAGGACTGCTCGGATCTTGGCCTCGCTGTGCCGGGAACATACCAGAGTGGTCGCCCGATCATCTGCATCATGAGTTTCGATCCCATCTTGCATGTTCTTCAAACGAAGAAGCGACCTCGACGAATGACCCTCAAGGGTAACAACGGATGCTCTTACATGTATGCGCTCAAGGGCCACGAAGATATTCGCCAAGATGAGCGAGTTATGCAGCTCTTCGGTCTTTGCAACACTCTCCTTGACAATGACAGTGAGAGCTTCAAGCGTCATCTTTCTGTTCAGCGTTTCCCTGCCATTCCCTTGTCTCAAAGCTCTGGTCTCCTGGGATGGGTGTGCAACAGTGACACGTTGCATGCATTGATCAAGGAGTACCGTGAAAGCCGTCGTATTCTCCTCAATATCGAGCATCGCATCATGCTCCAGATGGCGCCAGACTACGATAGCCTCACTCTGATGCAGAAGGTTGAGGTCTTCGGATATGCCATGGACAACACCACAGGAAAGGACTTGTATCGGGTTTTGTGGCTCAAGAGTAAGAGCTCAGAAGCTTGGCTTGAGCGACGGACAAACTACACGAGGTCGCTCGGTGTTATGTCTATGGTGGGCTACATTCTGGGTCTTGGTGATCGTCATCCCTCCAACTTGTTGCTGGATCGCATGACTGGCCGTGTTGTTCACATTGATTTCGGTGACTGTTTCGAGGTCGCTATGCATCGCGAGAAGTACCCCGAGCGAGTTCCATTCCGCCTGACTCGTATGTTGACATTCGCCATGGAGGTCAGCAACATCGAGGGAAGCTACCGTATTACCTGTGAGGCCGTTATGCGCGTTCTCCGGGAGAACAAGGACTCACTGATGGCGGTTTTGGAGGCCGTAAGTTTTAATCATTCCCTACTTCTATCTGATATTTCTTTTGAGCACAAAGCTAACATCCTTTTTAGTTCATTCATGACCCACTGATCAACTGGCGTCTTGGTGCTCAAGAATCTCCCGACCGGGTGTCTCTTACTGCGGAGCGCCGCCAGTCGATCATTGAGGGTATCAACCTTGAGCACGGCGTGCAGTCAAATACCTACACTCGTCACCGTCGTCCTTCCATCTTAGAGGGAGGTATTCTCGATACCCAAGAAGGCGTGCCGGCTGAAGCCCGTGAAGCTCAGAATGCCCGCGCTCTCCAGGTTCTTGCCCGGGTCAAGGAGAAGTTGACCGGACGTGACTTCAAGCACTACGAGGAACTCAATGTAAGCGACCAGGTCGACAAGCTACTCGCGCAAGCTACCAGCGTGGAAAACATCTGCCAGCACTGGATCGGTTGGTGTAGTTTCTGGTGAGCTGTTTTTGGATCTGTCGGTTGGATGCTTGCTTGCTTTCATAGCCTCTTTGCGTGTTTATGTGTTATGATGAGTTTTTTCTTCGCTATGTCTCGCAGATTCCCTTCTTCTTTTTGTATCTACAGTAGCCCCTCTTTCTGTTGTTTCTATATCTGCTTTTTTCGTTCTTTTGAGGGTGTCTACTTTCTGCTTCTGGCATAGCCCGAGAGTCCATAATGAGGTCTGGACTGGGCTGTTGCTCTAGATTTTTCTTGATTTATAGCAGTAATGGAGCACGAGATATTCAACATTCCGAGTCCTTTTCATTCCATGCCACAGTACGAGTAATTTTATCATAGATAGCTAGAAATAGATGTCATCTACTAGTATAAATTCGACTGCAAGTCCCAGTAATGCCGAGCTTAACGAAGAGTTCTCTATATCTTCTTTGGCTTGTACAGTGAGACAATTTTTTAGTTTCCTAGACAATTGACCACCTCAAAAGCGCCTATTATATCATGTATTCTATCGCATCTAAAAATTGAGTGCTATATGAAGATTCCTTAGCCTTCAATGTAGGCCATACCGGTGATCGCACCTCCTATATCCGGCAGTAACGTGCTCTTACAGGACCCATCCAAATTTGAAATGTACAAAGAGCCTCCAAGATCCCCAAAAAACATGCGACTGCCTTTTCGATCCAGAGCAAGTCCAATTCCTTCGTGAAGCTTGCGAACCAGAATTTTTGGCTGCACTTTACCAATTGCCAGGTCTGCAAGAGTAACCGAATTCACAGTATTTCCAAAGGGTGGATCGCCACGATCGGTCCAGTATAGTGTACCTGAGACGCTATCGAACTCAAGGTCGATTGGTTCAGGTAGATTGTCGACTATGCATTGGACGTCTGTTCTTCGCTCCGCTGATTCTCCCGGGACCATCTCGAGACCCATCCGGAAGATTCGCCCTTTGTTTCCTTTCGACGGCCCTTTCTGTGACCAGAAGATTGAATTTGACTCTTCGTCGACGGATATGCCAACACACCAATTGTCCTGATTTCGTTTGTCTGAATCGACTGTACTAGCCCGATAAAGCACCTCGAGGTCACTGCCATCCATATTCGCTCGCATCAACTTCATTCCTTCTCGATCTGACCAGTATAGTTTTCTCGAGAGCGGTGCGATGATCAATTGTTTTGGCGTATGCGTCTTTCCCCGTGGGACTATCGTCACGATATTCTTTCCGGATAAGTCGCAGCGTTGAATGGACCCGTCGTTGGCTGAAGGTATCCCCATGTTGGTCCAGTAAATATGCCGGTGGAGCATATCAATGGCGATTCCGTCAGGCAACATGTTGATTTGAGTGATGAGCTCGTGAAAATCTGAGCCGTCTGGTTTGCAGGTGAGGATTCGGCCATTGAGTTCGGGGGTTGAAATTCCGATGTCGAGGAAGTAGAGCCGCCCGGCTTGAGGCGCAGGAGGGGGAGGCGGAGGCGGAGCCATTGCGTTGATATTGTCTTGTTAAATATTTAATAGGCACGTTTCTTAGTCCGCTGGGTGTGGTTGATGAGGATTCTGGGAATGAGTAGGTAGTTGAATGATTTCTATAAAATTGGGAGGGAGACTTTAAATATTGTCGATGCAATTTAACATCATGATGGAAGCTAGGTCGGAGTTGTATTTGAGTACCCACACTCTCTCGGCACATTCAAGCCGAGCCGACGATTGACCACTATTTTGAGCCATAAATATCGTTTATCCAATCTGACTACAACCCTCGAGGTTAATTTGGGTACGAGAGCCGAGTTACCTGATTGGGCCTTCCGCGATCGTAACCTTCCAAAAATGAACATCGGAACCGGGATGACATAATCCAACGTCCCCGCCAAATTCGGAAGCGAAAGGATCTCGGCATCCCTGATCTATCAATCACCTTGGACCTTGGACCTTGGACCTTGGACCTTTGGACCTCTTTCGTTTTATCCGCAGTGGCATGATGATGTTCTCGTTTCGTGCCGGTTCCACTCAGGCAGCGGGTTCCAGTGAGCCCAGGCCCAAACGCGCCAAGATCGGCATTGCATGTAATGTTTGCAAATCTAGGAAAACAAAGTGTGACGGGGCGAGACCAGGTAAGTGATCGTCACTGGAGCTCGAGCTCAAGATACCGGAAAATTTACATTGTGCTGATAAAAATTTAGTTTGTGGGCCTTGTTCAAAGAGGAAACGCCAAAGTATCTCTCAGCCATGTCTGTATCGTGAAGCTGACGTGTCATTGACCCCAGCGTAAGTCTTTCCGAGTAGAAAGAAGTCCACTCTGTTTGGATTACACCACAGCCAGCTGGTTCATGCAGCTTGCATGGATCACCCATGATGGATGGTCTGGGTGTATAATTAGCTCCTGATAGTCTATTAAATGCAAATGTTAAACTACACCACAGGGCCACCGTGAACAACACCCCGGAACAATCAAACAAAGCGGGCGAACACTCATACAACCCGTTTCAGGGCAACTATGACGATGAGACTAGCCCCCATCGCCCCGCCATATCTAGCAACAGTCTATTTGGCGCATCCGGTGGCTTGTATATCTTGAATGGGATCGAGGGCGAGAAAGACCGGCCAAGCACGCTTGAGAACAGAAGAGAAAGCACAACCCAGGCTCTTCCCAGGACTCTCAGACAACTTCCCAGATTAGCCAAACTAGGTGCTGGGCAAGAAGCATCTGATATGCAGTTTGCAATTCCTCCAAGGAAAGTGGCTGATAATCTCCTAACTCTTTACTGGGACTATGTGGATAGCGCTTATCCCTGGCTTAATCGCTCCTCGATCGAACGTGCATATGAAAGTCTATGGACCAAAGAAGGAGAGCAACCAATGAACGAGAGAGCACTGCATTGTATCCTCAACCTTATGTTCGCAACTGCTTCCGGTGCTTTCCAAGGCCAAACCCCTCTGTCTCAACATCACTCGACTGTTTTTTTCGACAGAGCCCAAGAGCTAATGTCTTATGAACTCATGAACCTTTATAACTTTGAAATCATTCAAATACTCCTTCTCACGGCGGTTTATCTCCAACATCAGAAATCACCACTAAAGAGTTTCCGAAATATAGGAATGGCAATTCATATTGCGCAGGAGTTGGGGCTACACATCCCTGAAACAACCGAGGCCATGGACGATTTACACGAGCGAGACCTTGCACGCCGTGTTTGGAATGGATGTGTTCTTATGGATAGGTACGGAATACCAAATCGTTGTTCTTCATCTTATGAACTGCAACCTGACATTCCATTCTCTTAGGATCTGTGCTATGACCTTCGGCTGTGCGCTTAAAGTCCCGCAGTCCATTGCAAAGGAAGGATTAAGCCCATTGGTTCTCAGCACAACGGAGTCTATGAACATCACAGACGATACTCTTCCCTCGAAAGTGAACTTTTACACCTCATTTTGCCAGCTTCATTACATTATCGGTGAAGTATTGGAGACATTTTATATCTCTGATGGTGGCTTAAAAAAGAATTCAACAAATTCGAACTCTGCGCAAAGTCTTCTATTTGATAGAATCGCAAGATTGCTCAGTATTGAGTCGGAGCTCAATAACTGGGCTTCCAATCTTCATCAATTCTTCAGAATGCCATCGGAGACTTTGGACACAACGCCATCGAAGCTTGTGACCCGCGAAGCTAATATTTTACGTGCCCGGTTGGTGTCAAGAATATTCCTTAGCATGCGGAATTTTTAAAACTGACAAGTTTCCCTTCCATCGAAAGATATTTATCTGTTCGACTTCTCCTTTTTAGGCCCTTTCTTTCGCAAATTAATCAAGAAGAAAATCGAAATTCTACAGGTGCTAGCCTATATCAAGATGACCAGCTTCTACCACATGTTGTCTTCCAATGCCAAATAAGTTGCACCCGGGCAGCGGAAGATATGATTGAATTCATTTCCAGGAACCTGCCCCGACAGACGCAAACATACATTCTGCCATCAAATTGGTATACAGTCTCATGTAAGTTAAGCCTTTACGATGAAAATTACATAAATCTAACTATGACTAGATGTATACATGGCAGTTACAATTCTGCTTGCAGCCAAGGGATCTTCACAAATCGCAGCGCATTTCTCTGCATCTCGATTACAAGGACTTTTGCAAAAGGCCCGTGATATATTAGAAGAATACGAAAAGCACTCTAAGCTGGCCTCAAGGTGCAGCTCTGTCCTGAGACTAATTGAACAAAGTTTTGATCGGCGTGGATCGGTAATGGAAACCACCTCTGTGGAAGGTGACCATGCAAATACATACGTGCAGGATGAAACTAGTACGAGAGAACAACAGTCGCAGCCATATTCGGACAATATGGACATTATCGAAAACTATACTTTTGATTGGAATGATTGGCCGGTGTTCTTTGCGGAACTGGATGGGGAAAACAGTCCGATTGAAGGGTGGGAACTGCCGACATAATCTGAACTAGGTCTCAGATATCGCCGTATATAGAATATCGTGTTCAAATTGATATTTGGTATGTCAATTCCTAAAATTTGCATATTTCAATAGTTTCATATAATATTTCGCAGTTCTCTTTCAATTCGATCAGAGCCATTCGATAGTGCGAGGATGATGGCAATGAGGAACTGCAGATGTCAGCCAACGAGGCGTCACGCTGTCATCGCTCAACTGGACCACTGGCTTCAAAATTTCCATGCGTCCCCATGGCCCATCCTCAAAACTGGTCATAAAGGAGTCTGAGCCCTGGTTAAAGTATTGAGGGAATACCCTCTTCCAACCATCCATGACAACCAGAAGGATCTCAGTGACGAACTGAGAAGGTCCAATGTGGTCCCATTGGAACAACTGATTGCTCTTTCCCACGACTTCTGGAGAGTAAAGGCCAATCTCCGGCTCCAAGGCAATAGCATCGGCCTTGACCAAAGAGCTCGTTACTCGGTATGAGCCACCTTGTCGGGCCCGGTCACGGAGTGCTAGCAAAGTCCCCAGAGCACCCACAAGACCAGTAGACATATCCGAGATAGGAAGCGGAGGTAGAACACTAGTTCCATCCTTGAAGCCCAAAGAGCGACCCATTATGTAGGATGATCCTGAAGCCGCGTCTCCAATTTGCTGCCATCCAGGACGCTCGTGGTATGGCCCGTCAGGACCATAGCAGTTCTCTTCGACATAAACAATTCCTTTGCCTCGGTTGCCTGCCATCTCGAGAAGATCGTTGACTCCAAATCCCTTTCTTGCAACCGCGTTTGGCCGGAAACCTTGAACAAACACGTCGGCACCTTCAATAAGCTCTCGCAGTCGGGCCTTGTCCTCCTCTTTCGTCAGATCAAGGTCAATAGTTCGCTTGCCCGTGTTCAGGCTAAGTTGCAGGACCTGTATGATAATATGTCAGTTTCAGTTCCATCAAATATTTTTGCGGGTTGCATACATTTAGATCGGTCAGGCGACTACAATTCACGCGAATCACATCAGCACCAAGCGCCGCAAGCGTGCAACCGATCACCGGCCCAGCAATAATTCGAACCAACTCCACCACTTTGATACCTGCCAAGGGACGCTTGTCATTTGAGATCTTGGGAGTCGGAATCGAAGGAGTCGGAATTGCATGCGACTGTCGCGAATAGCCAACCAGTGGGTGGGCAGCCAGTCTCTTTCCCATTAATGTGTCGGACCATCCTTGCGGAGTGAAGCAGATGCTACCACAGAATCCATTCTTGACATTGAGCATCTCCAACTCGTCTGCCGTCCATTGCTCAACGTGTCGACTGATATGTTCGTATGCCTCGTCCAAAGTCTTGGCGGGGTAGTTCGGATCGACGCCGATAGACTTTAGGACCGGCGCAGCATCAAGTGAGCCGTGGAGTTGATACCACACCCCTGGTGTCTTGGTCTTGTACAGAGCAGTGGCTCGCTTTCCCATCAAGTTGGACATGAACTTGCCTTCGAAATTCTGTTGGAAGAGACTTGACAGCTCTTTCGATCTGACCAGCTCGGGAATATCTTTGCCCTCCACCGAGGCTGCAAAGATCGTTCCAAGCCAGATAGCAGCATGGTCGGTGTTGACTGTAACTTGTTGGGTGTTGGCTGGGGTGCCATCGCGGTCTTCGACGATCTCATGAGCTACGACGCCACACATAGCATGGAGAGCAGCTGCAACAAGTGGCGCTTTCGTAGGCCCAGGAATTATAGGCAGCGAACTTCCATTGAATTTGACCGTATTCCAAAGCTCCTTATTCTGAGTGAATCCAGGTGTACCTTTGGCGATGTATTCAAAGATACGCTCGGCATCTTGGGGCGCTGGCATGAATTCCTTATCCACAAAGGTGCCGGGGCCATATATGTCTGTGGCAGGCATAGTTTCATGCAAGGGAGCCATGGTGAAAGAAGTACTAGTAGTAGAACTTGAAGTGCTTAAGAAGATGTGAAAAAAGAATGTTTAAAAAAAAGTTTTATGACAGCCGTCAAAGGATTCTGGATGTCTTATAACATTTCCAAGCAAATGTCATTTTATTCCGGCAAACTTGGCTGTTATATCGTTGCACACCGAGTCCTCGCTGATCTCTTCAATCGTCATCTTCCCCACTTTTGTTTCGAGTTCAATATTGTGCAACTCGGAAGCTGATAAGCCGAGACCACGGAAGGTATTCGGAATCGCCCAAAGGGGTAATATGGTGTATTCCGAGGGTCCCCGTAGATTACATGACGAAGGAGATCCAAATTTTCAATGGTAGATGCCCATGAAACAGAACTTGAAGACAAACCATTCCAAGGTAGATGAGTACATTCTTCATTTGAAGGTTGTAAAATAGTACTACTAGTACGAAGATTAACAGCTGGCAATAGTAACTAGAGTTTAGTGTAACACGAGGTCTCAAGTTCTTCTTCAGTTGGCAGTTTTGGTACATACGGAGAGAAAGTAATTTCAAAAAAAGAAACATTTAGCTGTCTATCTCCCTTGCCGATTCCGGGTGATCTCCGAGTCTGAAACTCCCGTCACTGGGAACATTGAGCCGGTGAGAACGAGTCATATCAACGAGCCGGGATCCGATCCGGACCATTCCTATTCGAGTATGTAAGATGGGCTTCCGACATTTACTTTCAGGATGATTGGCACCGAAAGCTGCAGGTCACCACTGGCTCTATTCGGCTCATTCCTTATATATAGCGTCGAGGCTGTTCCTACGATCATGTATTTCTTTCAGCACAACTTGAAACCTGCAATTTCGAAACCATGACTTCAACCTCTATCAAAACAGTCGGTGTGATCGGTACAGGCGTTATTGGTGCGAGTTGGACAGCACTATTTCTCGCAAAAGGTCTGCGAGTTATCGTGACCGACCCAGCACCAGGAGCTGAATCCAAACTCCACGAATACTTGAAGAAGAATTATTTGGCGATACCGAACAAAATCGCCACACCAGAGAACTACTTGCAAAATTTGACATTTGTCGAAGATATTGATCCTTACCTGGGAGAGCTTGATCTGATACAGGAAGTGAGTAAAATGGCATCGCAGGAAGGCGTTAAGAAGGTGTTAACAACTTTCCAGAATGGACCGGAGAGACTGGACTTTAAGCGCCGCCTTTTCGCTCATTTAGATGCGAATACACCTGAACATGTGTTGATTGCGTCTTCATCATCCGGTCTTCCATCGTCAGAGTTTGTGACAGACTGCGAGAAAAACCCATCTCGGATATTGATTGGGCATCCTTTCAACCCACCGCACTTAATACCCTTAGTGGAGATAGTTCCCATCCGAAGACAGGCGATGAAAATGTAACTGCTGCTTGCGAGTTCTACCGCAGCCTGGGAAAAGATCCGGTTATTGTCAAGAAAGAAACTGCTGGCTTCATCGCGAATCGTCTTCAAGCAGCTGTTTGTGCCGAGGCTTACAGCCTTATCTCCAGAGGCATTGTTTCTGCCGAGGATCTTGGTAAGGGTGTCCTTTCAGCCAAACTCGCACAGTTTGATTCTAATTTCATGGTGTTAGACAAAACCATGACATCTGGTCTAGGTCTGAGATGGGCGTTCTCGGGCCCGATAATGACCAACTTGCTTGGTGGCGGTGGTGACTTTGGTCATTTCATGGATCACCTGGGACCGGCTTTGAAGTCTTGGTTAGACGACATGAATCAGCACCAATTCAACATGGATTCAACGACCGAGAAAGAGAATCTCAAGGAAAAAGTAAACCAGTTGGTCTCCCATGTCGATATAGAGAAGACAGAAAAGAACCGGGACACATTCTTGACAGGCCTTATTAGTGTCCGATCAGAGATTTAATGCGAGGTGGAGGTCATCTAAATAGCACTCGTCAATACCGCCATAATTAGATTTTACTTAATTCATATTTCATATTGCATACCGTTACCATTTCAGTGGAAAACAAGATATGATGCTCTTCGTTGACTAAACGCAAGGATTTCATGATATTTATTCTTTACATTCAGACATTGAAATGTATCTTTTTAACCTAATAACAGAGTAGGTATCAGCATGTTACTTTGTTGATTTCTATTGTAGTTGGGGTATTACTACTTCCGATGACGTGGAGCAGTCCTTGCATGTGACTGGAAATCCGGGGTAAAACTGCTGGCCACTCGCGACTTCTGAAATTCAGACCTGATTCTGCCCTGTTCCCCTCTCTCTATAAATTTGATCTTTTCCTTCCCCTTTACTTTTATACTATCGATCACTTGCGACCGTGGCCCCATAACAGTCGGGGGTTTCTTGTTTCTTTGCAAGACGCCAGTGATTTCAGCCGAGGTTCGATCTCGATCTCGAGCGGAGAACCTCCTCCCGCATTTCCCCCTTCTCATCTCAACATCCAACTCCCAGTCGCACTCCAACTCCCACGCCTACGCCTACTCCACCATGGGAGGTTGAGCTGGGTATACTGGACTAATATCAGCCATGTCGAGTTCAGAGGCCACACCAGCGGTGCCTGGGGATAGCCCCGCGAAGGCCCCAACCATCCACCCTATTCTCCAAAATGCCCTGCGCGTCACCCTAAGTGCCAAAGAGTACCGGGTCCTTCATGGCATTGCAGCGAAACGCGCGCCCAACGTCAAAGCGAAGCTCATATCGCCTTCCAGCTTCGATGTAATGGCCCAGTCGAAGAACCGACACAGCGAAGCCGCTCTGCGCGCTTCGCTGCGTCTCTTTGTGGGGTCTGGGCTTGTCTTGAAGCTGCTAGAAGCCGTCATGAGTCGGGTTCGAGGTGGCACGGCCGAGTAAGTTCCTTTCTTTTCTGATTTCTGAATTACGACATTTGACTAAAGGATCTTTGCGACCGACTAGAAAAAAGCCTCGTACGGCGCTTCACCGATCGCCAACCCTCCGTCTTTCCTTTTCCCTTTCCCTTTTACTTCTGCTCCACCGTCTCCTATACCGGTTCCTAGTCCGACTACGAGCAAACCTACGTACCGACGATGCGGAGCCATTCCGTGAGCGAAATCCGCGTATTTCGCGCGCGCTTACTTCTCGCTTTGCCCCGGCCGTCGGCGCAAGTCTGGCCGGTCTTGCTGTTGGTATTATGCCGCAGGAACAACTTCGGCTAACCGGGGCTATTTACTGGAGTGTGAAAAGCTTGGAGTTCTTATTTAATGCCGTGGATTCCAAGGGGCTGCTCGATAAGCGCCCGTGGTGGTTCGGCAGCTGGTTGCTGATGCCAGTGTCATGCGCCCAGCTTTTCCACGCTTTTGTGTTTGATCGCGAGACAACCCCCAAAGTAGGTCCTTACTTTCGCGCCTTAATGCCTTGAACTTGGCCTAATAGATGCGATAGTGGTTTGGAAATGTCATTATGAAGCTCTCCCCGAGCTACATCCCCGGCCGACCGGAGTCGCTCCCAGCCAACATTGCCTGGCCGGAGAAGGAGCAGATCGTGGACTCCCTGGCATCTATTGCGGATCTTCGCTGGCCGTAAGTTTGAACGCTGCCCGCCTACGGAAGTGTTGAAAACTAACAAAACGAAGGGCGTTTGTGTCCCCTATCCTCCACCCAGGCGACCCTAATACCCTCCCCTCCGCGGTGGCGGCCATCTCTCCAATTACAGGACCTGCGCACCCGTCGATCACGCAGCTATCGTGCGCTCTTCTGCATCCAGGTGTACCGAGCTGCAGCACGGCCTTTTTGCATCACATTCTGCTTTCCGTGCCCCCCTCTAGCGCGTTTCCTCACAGCGGTGACACTAGCACTGAGCATCCCCAAGATCAAGAGCATAATTACTCAGCCTATCTCGTCTATTGACTCCATCTCTAAGCGCATCATCAAGATGACTGCCGTTCTTTCGGTAGCGATTGGTGCGGCTTGGGGTAGTGTCTGCATGCTGAATAGCACCCTGCCTCGCTCGACACTATCTACCAAGCGTTTCTTCCTTAGCGGGGCTTTGGGTGGACTGCCCTTTATGTTCCTTAGCAGCAACCGCAATATTTTCCTGTACTTCTTCCGGGCTGCGATTGATTCGGCCTGGAAGACCGGTGTGAAGCGTGGATTGTGGAAGGGTCGTCGTGGCGGAGATATGTGGATTTTGGTGGCATCGTGGGCAGCGATCGGCTGCTTACTTGAAGCCAATCCTTCTGCTGTTCAAGGTAGCGGTCTGCGCAAGGGGTTGGTGTGGATGCGAGGTGACGGATTTGTCGATCCCGAGGCTCTCGAGAAGCGCCGGGCAGCACGACGCGAGTCGAAGAAGGCAGAGGCAGAGGCAGAGAACCCATAAATCCGAACAGATGGAATTCGGATTTCAAATACCTTTAGCCCGAGAATGAATGGATAATTTGTACATACTATAATCCACGAGTCTACACTGTCTACACCTGCTGGAAGTCACTTTCCGACCCCACAAATTACTCGGAGAAAGACCTCCGCAGCCTCCGCATCCGCCGATCTTAAAAAGCCGGGGTAGCTTCGACCGCTCTTTTTTTTTTGCTCTCCAACACTCCTCATTTTCTCTCCCTCGTTCCATTTATATAACGATTTGTACGAACCTTGCCTAATCTCCTCCTTTATCCAATCTCCAACATGTCAGCCCAAAGAATGAAGATCGGCTGCGCCGGTCTCGGTCGCATGGGCAAGCGTCACGCCCTGAACTTCTTGGAGCGCACTCCTCGCGCTGAACTCGTCGCCGCCAGTTCACCGGACCCTGCTGAGCTCGAATGGGCTAAGGAGCACCTGGTGCCTTTTGGCGTGAAGCTGTACCAAAACTACGACGACATGCTGAAGCATGAGGGCTTGGAGGCTATTGTGGTTGCGTCCGCGACCGCCGTTCACGCCGAGCAGGCAATCAAGGCAATTGAAGCCGACAAGCACGTTCTCTGCGAGAAGCCGCTGTCCACAAGTGTCGAAGTCGTAAGTTTTCTACTATTTACAGCACCTCAATTGCAGTTGATGCGCCAGCAATCGAATATCTTGTCCGCTAACCTCCATCCCCAATTTAGTCGCAATCCGTCGTCGATGCCGCAAACAAGAAACCCAACCTGAAAGTGATGTGTGGCTTCTCTCGACGCTTCGACAAGTCCTACCGCGACGCCTACAACAAGATGCAATCAGGTTCCATCGGCGCGCCCTCCGTTCTCCGCAGCCAAACGTGCGACAAGCTCGACCCGAGCGGATTCTTCGTCGCATACGCACAATTCTCCGGCGGTATCTTCGTTGACTGCTCTATACACGATATCGACCTGACGCTGTGGTTCTTCGGCGCCGGCAGCAAGGTCAAGTCTGTATCAGCGGTCGGCATTACGGCCGTGGAGCCCGATCTTCGCAAGCACAACGACCGCGACAATGCGGTTGGACTGGTTGAGTTCTACGATGGCAAGATTGCTTATTTCTATGCCTCGCGCATGATGGCGGCGGGACAGGAAGATACTACCGAAATCATTGGCACTAAGGGCAAACTCGCTGTTAATACTCAACCAGCCATGAACCATGTCAACTTGTACGATGAGACTGGTATCCGTCGTGAGATTCCTCAGACTTACTGGGATCGGTTCGAGTATGCGTTCGTCACTGAGGCGAATGAGTTCACTGCGGCTGTTTTGGATAACAAGCCTCTTCCTTTGGAACTCACTGCTGCTGTGCAGGCGGTGCGGATTGGAGCTGCGCTGCAGGAGTCCTTGATCTCTAACCAGAAGATTTTCTTCGATGAGGAGGGGAACAGGACTGAGGCTTCTCGTCTTTGATTGCATTTTAGTATATAAAGTTGAAAATAGAATTGTTAAATTGCAGACATATTAGAAATGAAATGGATGATATTGGTCGCGTACACTTTTACTTCATTTAGCACTACCGTCGGGGCTTCTTTGGTCTTAGTCTGGAAAAGTACTACGATATAAGTATGGCCTATTATAGTAGCCAATGTGATCGTCTCAATATCGAACCTTCAAACCCTTGAAAAATTGCTACGGACTAAAATGGAAAAAGAAAATATTGAGAATGCCCCGTAATCGACGTCATGGTGGATTGGATTGGATGGTCGGGAATAGAAACGAGGTCCCGGTTATTGACATTAGCCGGCTGCGAGAATTGCATTTCGGGTTGGAACAACCTTGTTACACCCTCTCAGGACCAAATTATTTTGCCTAATTGAAGAAATTCTATATTTATGCTTTTTTTTCAATACAGAAAGCTGGAGAAGATAAATGATGTGTGTAGAAGTAAACAGTCCTAAAAAGGACAGTAGGAAATAATTCATTCGTTGTCATCAATATGGTTTCAAACGCTTCATAATGGTAAAAGTCATAGACAAAATATGGGAATCTAAACAGGGTTGCAAGAACTGAAAATGTGCGCATGTCCGGAAATCTTCTTTTTGTGCTTCAAACTCCCACGTCTACCATTTGATAACCTTGGTGGGGAAGTATTCGTTGATCAGCTCCATGTAGTAGGGCTTGAGCTCCTCAGCGCTAGGAATGCCGTCACTCTTGCTGTACAGATCATAGGGGTTGAAGGCTTTGACGGCGCGGAGCATGTCCTTGTCGTGCTCATCCATCAGCTCCTCGTAGGCACCGGCGCTGTGCCACGGGTAGAAGGAGTGGTAGCGGATCATGGCGAGGGCCTCAGCGGGCAGGGTGGACTGCTCCTTGCAAATGTGGTAGAGGTACTCGTCGTGACCCCAGGAAAGCATGACCTTGTCGAGACCGCAGCCAGGGCTGTAGATACCGAACTTTGTGTCGTAGACAGGGTGGTTGAGGTCTTCGTTGTCCTTGAAAGACTCACGACCATAGATAATACGCTCGTCGAAGCCGATGCCGACAGGGAAGGTATCTCCAACAACATCCCACTGACCCTCAGCGTCGTAGAAGAAGAGCAGCTTGCCAAGATCGTGGATGAGACCAGTCAGCTGCATCCAGCGGGGCTTACCATCACGGCGAATAGCCTCAGCGGACTGCAGGAGATGGTCGATCTGAGAAAGGCTGGTGTCAGGGTCGGACTCGTCGATGAGGGTGTTGAGCTTCTCCATGGCCTCCCAGACAGTCATCTCAGCGCGGGTCTTGCTGTTGAAGTTGTGGCGAGCTTTCAGGTTGAAGGCAACGGTTTGCTTGCTGTGTTGCTCCTTGTAGAAGTTCTTCACGCGGTCGCAGGCGTCCTCGTACTGGCGGAAGTTGGTCTTGTCCTTCTCCTTGTCGAATTCGGACTCGTCGAAGAGACCCTTCTCTTCGGCCTCCTTCCTCTCAGCCTCCTTCTTCATGTTGGCCTTCAAAACGTTGACCTCATCGACGGCGTCGGAGGTTTCCTCCAGAGCCTGACCATCCCGCATCTTGTTAGGAACGACGGGGCAGGGGAGTTCTCAAGGGCGACGGGTGCCATTTTGAGAGTGTGGGTGGGATGTTCAAGGTAGAGTAGAGAACAGAGGGGTTTTTGTGCTGAAACGTAGAATAGAAAACTTGTGGTATCGAGTGAAATAATAGAGTGGTCAAGTCTAGTGTATGTATGTTCAGATCTTGACAAGGTATTTGTGTGAAGAATCGAGATGACCCTGGAGTTGATCCATTTTTATAAAGAATGGTCAATCGCGTCCGAATTCCGATGGCACTGCAGCAGTCCGGGAAATATTGCCCTGTGTGTGATTGTCTCCCCATAGGATCGCCCATGATTTGCAGCGAGGGCTGGGGCGAACAAGCATCATGGAGCAAATATCACGGATTCTGGAATCCGGGCTGGGATAGACTGTTTGGAGGCAACCTCAGGACGAACTCTGATTGGAGATCAAGGTGGATCCTTTGTGGATTGGTGGGGATGTGATGTCAGGCGATGCCATGGATGGTCCTGACGCTGACCCGCGAGGATTTTGGTTTCCGGCTGACCCATTCCTCGTCGCTGGCTGGCTGGTTGGCTGTTCATTCCCCTTGTTTGTACCATTCCTGGTTATTCTCGCCGACGAATTTCCGATCGTAGAAGTGAGATCTGCCCAGTTGCCGGTATGATGACCCAAATCGATGCGGGGGATTGAGTGTCTTCAAGGGACATAAATCCATCAGCCAGTACACGATATACTCAGTATACCTAGTATACGCTGTAAAGGCTTCAATGGAAACTTCTCCCAGTGTAAAGAAAGTTCCCCCACGTCGAACTGAATGGAATCGGGACGAGAGACGGTGATTGATGGAATATCCGAGGGAGGAAAAGCGGAAAATGGGAAATGGCGGGGTTCAAATCCCCCCCGCGTGGGGGGAAAATGGGAAATGGGCAACTTCGGCCCATCTTTATCTCGAAGCGCGAGCCACTTCTTCTTGCGCGTTTTTTTTTTGTTTTGTTTTCTCTTCCTTTTTTCAACTTCCGTTAACTCTCATTCTCAAATACTATCTCAATCATACCCCTTTTAATACACAATGGCTGCCGCAGACGTCCGTTTCAAGCTCAACACTGGGGCTGAGATCCCTGCCCTTGGTCTGGGAACCTGGCAATCTGGCCCCGGTGAGGTCGCCAATGCTGTCTATCACGCTATTCAGGCCGGTTACCGTCACATTGACGGTGCTTTCTGCTACGGTAACGAGAACGAGGTTGGTCAAGGCATCAAGAAGGCCATTGACGCCGGAATCGTCAAGCGCGAGGATCTCTTCGTCACCACCAAGCTGTGGTGCTCTTACCATGACCGCGTTGAGGAGGGTCTCGAGACCAGCTTGAAGAACTTGGGTCTTGAATACGTTGACCTCTACCTGATGCACTGGCCCCTGGCTATGAACTCCAAGGGTGAGCATTTATTTCCGCTGATGTTTAGATCCAAAGTTCACGGCTGACAAGAAACCAAAACAGGTAACCACAATGTTTTCCCCAAGCTGGCAGATGGCAGCCGAGACATCGTTCACAGCCACAGCCATGTCACTACCTGGAAGGACATGGAGAAGCTGAGCAAGGCCAAGGCCAAGGCCGTCGGTGTCTCCAACTACAGCGTTCAGTATCTCGAGGAGCTTTTGCCTCAAGCAACCATCGTCCCTGCCGCCAACCAGATCGAGAACCACCCCTCTCTGCCCCAGCAGGAGATTGTTGACTTCTGCAAGCAGAAGGGCATTCACGTTACTGCCTATAGTCCTCTTGGTAGCACTGGAAGCCCTCTTTTCACTGCTGCTCCCATCGTTGAGGTCGCCAACAAGCGCGGCGTCACCCCTGCTACAGTTCTGCTGAGCTGGCACAGTAAGTCTTTCCAGATTCATCCTCCAAAAAAGCAAGAAAAGCATAGACTAACAATCCCAGTCGCCCGTGGCTCTTCCGTCCTCGCCAAGTCCGTCACTCCCGCCCGCATCGAGGCTAACCGCAAGGATCTGATCCACCTGGACGCCGATGATCTGGCCACCATCAAGAAGTATTCCGATGACTTGACTGCCAACAAGAAGCTCCAACGCTTTGTCTTCCCTCCCTTCGGCAAGAACTTCGGTTTCCCCGACAAGCTCTGACTACCACGGTCACAACTTTGATTTCTGATATAAATGGAACTACATAGATGGGAAAATTCCGGCTGGGCCTGGAAAAATGTTTCTGATGAAATGATAGACATGAGGGATGAAGATGGCTCATTGCTTGTATATTGAGTTAGTACTGCACATAATAAAAAAACACCATACAAGAAGCATAACAGTGTACTAGTAAATGTAAGGCTCTTCTTTGTAGTCATAGGTGGTAATTAATATTCACTCAATCGTCATTCGAATATGGTTGTTGCTGGTGACTGTGATCTGTAGCATGAAAATGGTCTAATGGTACACCGTCGAGGCTTCGGCTATTGCTCCGTTGGAATGGTTATCCGATTGTCTGCTCCGGATATCCAACACGCAGCAAGTTACTACTATCTACTATGGATATCTGACGGATATTTGACGAACATCCGCAGCGGATAGGATACCATAATAACTACTATGCGCAGATAATGCCTTCTGTAATTCTAGAATGATTCTTGTCCTCGAGTTTCTTGATATTGCAAACTTGAAGTTTCATTTTTCTCCGTTTTGCTCTCTTCAACTGCTACTCTTTTCTAATGACTTTTTATTAATATTTCATGCCCCAATTGACCTGAAGTAGTAGAGGGGTAATATGTTTCTCAACAAAATAGTTCACTTCCGAGTCCTATCCGAGTCGTCGTCGTCGTCGGAGACAAAGACAGCGGCATATTAGCTCCGTACAGAGTACTTTCCAGTAAATCCACCAGCAACATATTATCAGCCCCTTCAGCATCATATAGTATATCATCAGATCGAGATTTTGATTCAAGATCCGGAGAAGTCAGATCTACTGCCGGCGGAGAGGGCACCGACGACTCGGAGGGTACCTCGCTCCCTGCATGGGGACTTGAAGTAATGTCATCCGCAGTGCAGATATTTGGGAGTGGTGGGAGATCAAGGTCGTGTTCTGCGCCCAAGTCGAATAAGCCTTGAAAGAGATTGGCGGTTGGTAAACAGTCTTCTGTAAGACCCATGCCCAATTCTTCCAGGATTTGAGAACTGCTGGTATCTGAACAGGAACCAGGCGTTTCCAAAGCTGAACAATTCCCGACCTTAATATTGTCGATTCCTGGTGTATCCGGTCGTGTGGTCGGATCTGTGGCAGTCAGAGACGAGACTGGTGGTGATTCATCGACGGAGCACGTCTCGGTCTGTCTCGCCTCTCCTTGGATTGTTGGGGTATCATGCACCCCCAAGGTCTCGAGTATTTGGTTTGCATTGGCTTGTTCGGCTCTTCCCCTTCGCCCGCGCTTTCTTCGCTCACGCGTTATCGCACATTCTGCATTCTTGTGTTTACAGCGAGAGCATGGGTTTGAGAATACCATATCGCATCGCACTCGTCGAGCATGACATGTATCACAGGCGACTTGATTTCTTCTCCATCGCCTCTTGCCGTTCGGGAGTTCGATCGGGCCGGGATCAGGAGGTGATGGCTTCCAGTCCACTGGTTGCAGGATAATCTCGGCAAACATCGGTATTGAATATTATGAACGTCGAAATGGTCGAGGAAGTCGTTTTCTCGTGGGGAATTGAGCTGCTGGGGTTGGAGCTTCAGGAACAGGGTGGGACTGGAAGTTCGACCTATTTCTACATTCTTCGTCATTTTCCTTCTCGCTTCTTCGATCATGGATTTTTGGGGGGCTTGACAAGAAACATGGACTCGGCATCTAGAGGAAAAGTCAGTCTCAATGCCTCACTAGATCAACCAACCCACGCCAACTATCCTCCACCTTGTATCCGCTGGCGGTATCACTAACCCGTTGCTCGCTCTTTTAGGGAAAACAGTCCCGCGAAACATACTTCTGATCGGCGTCATTTCCCGGGGCTTGCCGACACGATGATTGGATAGTAGAATCTACGCTAAACTATATCTGTCACTAGCGCCCTTCGCCTTGTGTGGGCCCCATACATTTCCATCTTTGGGCCTCGCTTGATATTTGCAATGCCGAGAATATAGAACAGAAAAGAATCTGCAAAATTCTCAACGTTCTTTGGAATGTTAGCATAAATTTAGTGCTACAGGCTAATCGACTATTGACTATCAGCCTTATCTGGGATTCCGAGGGGTTATGTTGTTCAAGTTGGAAATGCCGGTAGTGTCGGGACGCCGAGAAAGGCAGATATTATACAGCTTGAAGGCAACTCTGGCTGGAATTCGGGAAGAACTATCATTCGTCACAATTTTATGCCCCGCGAATTGGCTCCATCCCGTCTCCATCTGGGGTCGGACCAGACCGTTCCTGGGGCTCCTGATACCTGACGTACCACCGACCCAGTCTGCTCGGTAAAAAAGGTAGTATAAAGCTGCATGCCAGAGTCCCCCCCTTGATATCTCTTTCAGCACTGCCTCGCTATATTTATTTCAACACCCAACCAGTCTATTCAATTACTTCATCATTTCGTCGGATAATGGCGTTGACCAAGAAGCCCTATCTCGGGCTCACCGGGGGATGGCTTACCTTTTGGCTCACGGTATGTATATTGCAGTGTCTGGAGTTGTCTTAAGCTGGCAGGCGATAATATTAATTCCTTGAATAGGTAGCATGTGCTACTGATATGATGCTGTTCGGATATGACCAGGGAGTCTTCAGTATGTCCTGTCCCTCTTCAAGACTTCCTCGATGCTAATCATTCACCCATCATAGGTGGCGTGGTGGTAACCCCTGATTTCTTAGAAGTCCATGACTTGGTAGGCCCATCAAAAACCACGGTTCTCTCAACAGTCGCTGCTATTTATGACATCGGTTGTTTCTTCGGAGCCATACTTGCCTTTACACTTGGCGAGCGACTCGGTCGCAAGAAATCTATTCTTTTGGGCACTGTTATCATGGCCGTCGGTACCATCCTCCAAGCATCATCCTACAGCTTACCCCAGATGTTTGTTGGAAGAATTGTGCTAGGGTAAGTAGATCCAAAGCATGTAACAAGAATGAAGGCTGATATTAAACTTGCGTAACTAGTCTCGGGAACGGAATCAACACGGCAACGGCGCCTATTTGGCAAACAGAAACTACACCCGCAAAATGGAGAGGAAAGTTGGTCATATTGGATCTTGGTTTAAATGTTGGCGGATACTGCATTGTTAACTGGATCAACTATGGTCTTTCGTTCCACCAGGGTGCCATTGCGTGGCGGTTGCCCATCTCTCTGCAGCTTATCTTCATCGCCGTTTTGCTAAGTACCATTCCTTGGCTTCCGGAATCTCCTAGGTACGATTTCCCCAATATATTTTGCACATAGGTGGTAGAAAAAAAAGCCTGACGAGCCCTGCTCTAGGTGGCTCATGACGCAAACCCGCGAAGCCGAAGCGATGCAGGTCCTTGCATGTGTCGAGGCTACTTCCCCTGACGACCCACTCATTATAACACAACGCGATGAAATCAAGTTCAGCATCACATATGAATTGGAGAATGCTGTTCCCTGGCGCGATCTACTACGCCGAAATAAAAGCGACAATACGAAGACTCTTCGTCGATTGCTTCTGGGTGCTGGTACACAGGCCATGCAGCAGTTTCAAGGTTGGTCTTCGATCTCCGAATCTATTGTCTCATTCATAACGCCTTTTGCTGACTTTAAGAATGACCAAAGGTATCAACATCATGAGTTACTACCTGCCATTTGTCCTCATGAACTCGGTCGGACTTTCAGAGAGCATGGCTCGGTTATTAACAGCTTGCAATGCAACTTCATATTTTGTCTTCTCGTGTGCCGCCGCTGCAATAGTTGAACGGGTTGGTCGCCGTGGATTAATGATGCTCTCTGGTTTTGGTCAGCTCATTTCGTTTTTGGTCATCACAATCCTGCTTTACTTGGCCGAGAGAGATACAGTCTATGCAACTGCCTCTGTAGCCTTCTTCTTTCTCTTCCACATTGCCTTTGGCATGGGCATGCTGGGAGTACCGTGGCTGTATCCCACCGAGATCAACTCACTGCCAATGAGAACAAAGGGTGCAGCAGTTTCGACCGCAACCAATTGGTAAGTTCTCGAGCACATTCACATTGTGGCAACCTCTAATACGCTCGTTATTTTCAATCATGCAGGATCACAAACTTTGCTATCGTCGAGATCACCCCTATCGGAATTCAAAGTATTGGATGGAAGTTCTGGATAGTGTGGACTGTTCTCAATGCGGTGTTTCTGCCGGTCATTTATTTCTTGTATCCAGAGACAGGTCAGTTCAAGTTTATCGTGAGAACTCACACTACCCTATTGCACATACTAATTTATTCTAGCAAACCGAACTCTGGAAGATATGGATGCGTATTACCGCTCCGATCCTTCTCTCATTGTGGCAGGAGACCCAGATGCCATCTCTACCAAACGACCGGTTCAATACATTTGCCATGAAGACGAGGAAATACAGAAGAATGCCAAAGGGGCTGTCTCTGGAAGTGCAGGTTATGCGGAGCATGTGGACTAAGTTTTCGGCTTGTCTTCTGTGCTTCTTCAAGAGGTTCCTCGAATCAATTACTTTTTATCTTGGCAGTCGTTTGCTTACAGTCTATTGATAGTTTCAAAAAGAAGCGATGATTGAAATGTAATTGAATTGAATCACTTCCCGGCGTCCGTGCCTCCATGGAAGCCCATTATCCCAAGATTATTATGCACCTGGACAGCTCCAGGCTGCGAGGCTCGTCAAGACTTCTCTTCAACTATCTATATAACCTTGGAAAGTATATAACTCAATATCATACCTCACAATGCCTTCCACCAACAATCCTATCTCCGAGTCCCAAATGAACGAACCCTTGACAAAATTCAGGGTGACATCTCAAGTATGCCACTAAAAGGACTTTAAGAGCTGAGGGGGTAGACAATTTTCCAAAATCGTCAAGGGCTTTCCATTATTCGAGAGGATCCGTTCCAAATCATACCCAATTGCCAACCCATTCCCCGCATTCTCAGCCTCGCGAAAACCAGGCGCGTACCTATCTACCATATCGCTTATATCTCTTGATTGAAGATAAATGTCCACAAACGAACTACGCATGGCGACCCTGGGTAAGCATTTGTATTAGTACAGTGTACAGTGTCTCTAGATTCCATGAAATTGGCAAGACCGAAAGGGAAAACAACTTGAGAACACTCACGGCTCATCTTCCAGTATATCCTCCGGACCCGGTTCCGTAGTAAGATCATCATCCATGTATATGAGTGCATTATCCAACTAGTCCGAGTTATGATAAACATCAATGACTATGTATACAAATTCTTCTATTAGCACTTGGTATTTGAGCCCTGTAGACCCGCTCCTTTGTCCCATTTGATTCAAACTGGGCCCAAAGTGCCAGTCCGGTCTCAAGAGTCCGGTCATCAATGATCAATTTTGGCGCGATGTCCGCGAAAAGTACTGTTCTGTCCAGTGCCATGTGCATATCCAGAAAATTTGGTCGGGCAACACTCTGAAGGAACTTGAATTTGTCGACGATGTCCCCTTTGTTAACCTCAAATGGTAGCAGCATTGAGAAATAGAACACCATATGTTCAAAGCTTCCGTCAAATGTGAAAAAGCCATAATAATCTTGGCGAGTATGGCTTGTTTTTCGGGTGTTCATTCGCTAATACAGACGTAGACATCATCTAGGTCGTACATGCACTGCCCAACAAGACAAGGGTCCTAGACACAAGTTAGAATTGCTAGTCAAAGAATGGAGTGGGTGAGTACGGCGCTCGATAAGCGCAGGGTGGTCAGTAGTTGTATATCGGAAATATTTAGGCCGGTAGAAAGGAGTAGGTATAGTATAGTGGCACAGCAAAAGCTTACAACCCCTTACTCGTATTGACCGTCCTGGTCTCCGTCTTCCTAATGGCGGACTGGTAGCTACCTAAAATGGATTGGGGTTGCCAATCTATTCCATCTCAGGTAGCTACTAGTTTCCCATTAGAAGGTAAATCATGGTGGGCAATATGGGGGTTCAAACTTTTGCAACGCCACTGTACTCGGAGGGAAAGAGCCCATCCGAACTTGCTAGTAGTACGTATTATTGAGTTTTCCAGAGAAGAAGGAAATCTAAACTTGAATTTCTAAAATATCCATGGGTCACTGCCGATACCAGCACATAAATCTTCAAATTCACTCAAGGTATCAAACTCAGGTCGAACAGGATGAGATCAAACTGAACCAATTACAATTATGGACTACGAATCTATACAATGGTGTTGACTATGGTATACGCCGACTTCAAAGTTCCTTATCTCATATTTTCATTCATTAACGGATGAAACTACACAAAATCCGACGATAGTCAGATACGAACAAAAAGGAATCCTCCCATGGTAATGGCACAGGAAAATGTTTGGTATCGATCAAACCTCCCACAAAAAATCAGACAAATTGCGCTCGATGCCACTTCCTTCCATGTTGTTTCACTTGGCCTTCCCCTCCTTGTTCTCCATCTCCTCTTCATGCGCTCTCTTGAGCGCCTCCATCTTTGGGTGTGATAGGCCTACCCAGACTCGCATCACCCATGTCTGTGGATTATTGTCACTCGGATTGGCATTTGGGTCGCCGCACATGACGAACTCGCGATATGCGAGCTCTTCCAGACTTGGCCGGTGGATGGTACCGGGGGGCCAGAGTTGTCCCTGGTATTGTCGAACCGCTTGCAAGCGGCGCGCCTCACGCAAGCGAACCACTTCCGAAATCAGGTCCACTTGAGCTTTTCCGCGCTCGTTCAGGATGATTAGGAGCTTCGAGAATGCTGAAAATGGCAAAGTCAGAAGCATCGCGGAAGGGACGAGGACAGCGGGGTCGGTAGGTGCGGTCTCTGAGTATGAGAGGAAGCCTCCGAATTTGAGACTTTCCAGTCTTGGGTCCGAGCATTGTGAATTGGGTAGAGTCCAGAGGGGACCTGGGATGCGAGACGGGGCGAATTTGGACTGGGCTCGTTCGTAAACCACAAAGTCGGGTGTGATCGCATTTGCGATGAATTGCACCGCAATGTTGGTGGTCACACCAGGCCACTTCTCATTGAACTCCTTCATGTGGCTCATGCTGATCTTTGGTGGCCACATTTCCCCCGCATTGCTGCTGTTGGGGGTTGGGGAAGCGATCATCTCGGCGCTCAATTCGGGGCAGCTCATCATGTAGGCCGAGGGTTCCATCCCGAATCGGAAAAATAACTCGACCGTATTCCATGCGAGAAGACCATGTGCAAGCTCCATACCTCTCTTGATGACTTCAGGGAGATTCAAAAACAAGCCCGACACAGCATAGCACAGGGAAAAATGAACCATTGCGATTCCCGGCTGAAACTCCCCGATGGTTTTGCCGTAAACCAGGCCGTGGTTTGCGCTGCTCAGTACCACCTCCCATAGGTTTTCAGATGTAATGAGAGGTGTACTGTACAGGTATTGAAGTGCCATACTGAAAGCCGGAACCAGATTGAAAGAAGGGCCGAGGATGACATGCATGTAGCGGAGACCATCATTGTGTCCGTATGCCTTTGCCTCAATCATCTGCCGCATGAAGGGGCTAAGATGCAACACGGGCATGTGGACATAGAAGACCTCGTAGTTTGAGCCTGGTCCGAAGTTTTGGGCATTCTGAGATTGTTGGGATCCCACGAGAATTTGAATGTCAGAATAGGCCGGATTGCCGAACTGACCTCGAAGATTCTCGATGATGTTGGGGTTATCCGTAGCAAGTGGCAATGCTCGTTCGGGGGCTTTTTCTTGAGGGACACTGCTTGAATGGCTAGAGATCTTTTCGCTCTTCTCGGCCTTCTTGGTCTCCTCTGTCTTGTCGTTCTGATCGTGCTTCTCGGTCGTCTCATCATTCTCGTCCTTTTCGGGCGAAACGGTTCGCGAGCTGTCGGCTGAGGGAAGCGGGTCCGAGATCTGGGGCTTCTTCCAGGAATTCTTGTTCTTTTTTCCCCTTGGGGTATTGCTCGAAGGAGATGGGCTGATCACCACACCCTTGCGAAGCTTTGTGAATCTGGCCGTCTTGCCAGAAGATTTTGAGGAAGCAGAACTTTCACCCGAAGGGCGAGTCGGGCTATTTCGTGCACCCGGTGGAGAGGGGCTGGAGGGGTTTGGCCCCGAGCGAGAGTGAGCTGTAGTGAGCTGGGTAGAAACTTGGTTCTTGTTGTTGGGCGGAGTAGATTTCTTGGAAGAAGGACCGGATGTCTCAGGTGACGATCTCGGACTTTGTTTGGCATCGAAATATTCAGATGGAGACTTCATGGCACTTTCAATGGTGACATCTGAATCGGGCGGTAGGCGAAGAACGTCTGCCCATGACTTTCGTTCGGTGAACGATTGGGTTGGCACATTCAGCTGGGCGATGGTTTGGTTCGAGGAGGTATTGGCGGTAGCCTCATTTGATGGGGTATTGCAGGTCGAGACAATAGTGTTTTTATCTCGTGTGTGAGGCATCACAGTGGACTGTGCTGACATGGAAATCTCGACCACAACAGGGGGAGAGGGTGAGTTTGAGGGAGTAGATTGGGGATAGCGAGAGCGAGAGCCCGAGCGAGACTTTCGGCTCAACTCCATGAGGGCAGATACAGGTGGAGTGAGTTCGTTGTCGGGTGTCGATGCTTTAGAAAATGGTGGAGAAGACGATGGTGAGCTTCTTGGTGACGACGAAGGAATCGCTGGTTGAGGGCGGCCAGCCTGCTTCTGCTTTGCAGCAGAGCCGGCCATAGTGCGAATTTCAACAAAATCAGAGATACATGAGTTTAAAGAGGAATCTCTATCGGAAGAAGGGTGGGGGAGGGGAGGGTGAGAAAGGGAAGAGAGAGAGAGAGAAGAATGGTGAGGTGAGGACGGGATTAATACTTCCCGGTGTGAAGTGAATGTAGCTGAGGTGTGGTACTCTCGGTAAGTGAATGGACCTCGCCAAACAGAACAGTCATGTTTGTATTCACGTGCGGGGTAATTCAGGCTCTCTTCTGGCACCAGTGAACGGTAATAACAGTCTACCGGTGCATGGGCACAACAACAACTTCGCTGAGGCAGTGGGCAATACCAACAACCACAGCCCATCTTGCGCCGGTGAAATCTACAAGCCGGCTGCCACGCGCAAATGGAGTAGGTGTGACAGACAATGTTTGGATATGGAGAATCCAATTGCGTAAAGTATACCGGTTCACTCTGTGTGTGTCGTCCTTCAACGCGTGATTGATATCCATCCCACATAGGAGCGATATCCTCGGGGGATTGCTCATCATCAGCAAAACAAGCGTCCTGGAGCTCCCAAGCTTCTTTCAGAATCTCCGTAACCGCTGTAGTGTCAAGTTTATTCATATGTTGCGATGTCCGATTCTCATTGCCCTCTCTATCTATGACCAGGATGATGCCTGGACCAAGCTGGGCTAGGTCATGCTTAGCAGCAGTCAGGAAATCAATCTCTGAAGATGGTTGCCGAGAATTCAGTGAGTCCTTTTCGGGGACAGAGGATGAGCTTGGTGTATAAGTAACCGGCTTTTCTGGAAGTTTCGCTTCGATTCGATTGGCGATATCAGATGAAGCCGAGATATTTTCAGCTTGAACCACGGTATTCTCGTAGTCATCGGACTTTTCGGACGACACACCATACTCGGCGGCAGCAGCGGCGGCGGCAGCACGAGCTTTGGCTTTCTTCCCCGTGTGTCTCGGCTTACGTTTGGCTTTTTTCTTTTTTTTCTTGGGGATCGTAGCATCGACAGGCGGTGTCGGCGGGGAGACTTCGACCGTCGGGGGCTGCTCAGCAATGGAGGTTGCCTCGGAGGTATCCTCCTTGTGAAAACTCAGGTCCAATTCCAGATCCCCCGACATACTGGATACAGCTTTGTGGACAGGGTGGGGATATTTGTGAACTTGAACCGGGGTAACAGGGGCTGAGGTCATCCGTTCATCGGGGCGGTCTGGCGAGCCAAACGGCTGTTCGGAGTCGTAGGGAATTCCATATGGAGGAGTATTGATGCTGATATCACTGTTAACTCCGGAGCCCCAGACTTCGTTATTGTTGGTGGGAAAAAGCGCATACTCGGTATCACTATCTTCAGGGTTGTCACAGTCGAAACGCCTAGCCTTTTTGTGCCGAAACTCAAAGTAGTGCTTCTCTCTCTGTATGACACGCTGAATGGTTTCCATCTCCGCCATTTGTTGCTGAATAAGGTTCTGCTGAGCATGATCCGACAGTAAACATCCCAGACTCTCGGCGGAAATTCGCTCTTGATAGGCGTCGTATTCACCAGCGGCAATGCGGGAAACGGTGCGAGAGTAACGTGGCCTGTCCTGGGAGTACATCTTTGCGGGAGTCGGAGAAAAGAAATAAAAGGCGACAAAACAAAGGGTGAGCGGTAAGGTGGACAGTAGTAGTGATTCAATTCTCAGAATAGCTGAAAGCCGGAGTCCGGAGTCGTCTAGGACTTCAAAATCCGTAGTTCTTGTGATGGCAAGTCAATATCGCGGGCGGGGCCAATCTGCCCCAACAGCCCAGAGGCTTCCTTTGAGTAAAGGTATGGAAGCTTGGTGATGCTTAGACTGTTTGTGAAACACGTATGAGATGAAATACGTGGATGTTGGAAGTTGAGTTGAAGATGAGGAGGGTTGACAAAGGATCGATCGAAGATGTGGAAGCCGGAGTATTACTTGCAAAGGAGTGTCAACATTGCAAACAGGAAGGAGTGAAAAGGAGCCAATTTCTAAGTTGGAAGGTGCACAAAGTGACTTACAGTTGAGGAAGGCGCGTCTGCTCCAGGCCCTGCCATTTGTGACGTAGTTTGCCCATCTTTGGACTGCAAAATACTACAAACCTCTTCTCTCCATAGCCCATTGCACATTGATATCCAATACCCTACCATCTCATGGAGAGAATCAACATTTTTGCATTGGTAAATTCTTCAAATAAACTTGAACTCACTTAAACTTCCAACTTCCAAGGGCTAATTTCATCACGTGTCTGGCAAAAAATCACCCCACATGGTCCACGCCCTCTCTACGCCAAACCACGTAGTACATATCAATTAGACTTCCAATGTTCAAAGAGGGCCATGTATTCTTTTTGTTACTTAAAATTACACCCGGTTACACCTTTGCTCGAAAATATTTGTCCAAAAAAAAAAGAAATTGGTTGTATGAAGTTGTTTGGGTTGCCAAACAAATGAGGGAAAAGAACAAAAAGGAAAATGTATCTTTGATAGAGTAGACGACAGACGCTCAAAAATGCCCCAGGTGGTATATGGTCGTGAAGAGTACGAGTAAAACAGCAAAATGGAAAACGAAATGAGAGATGGAGGGAGAGAGAGATAGAAAAGAAAGGAGGCTCCAGGAGTGGTTATGTGGCTAGACGCCAAAACAAAGACAAGAAGTGTGCTCAAAGAAGATCACACAAAGTTACTCAGAAAGAGTAACATAATTAGAACATGCCGCCATCAACGGGGATGGCGGGTGGGGGGTATTGAGGGACAGCAGGGGCAGGGCTGGCCATTGCCTCCTGGCGTGCCCGGGCGCTCAAGCTACCACCGGCACTGGATGTCTTGCGGAGACGGTTGCGAGATTGGGGACGTTTCTCATCGTCCACGAAGGAGCTACGCTCATCTGAGAAGCTGGGAGCCGGGGATCCAGACCGAGATGAGTCGTGCTTATCAGTGCGGAAGGCACCGAGAATTGTTTGGGTTCCACGGCGACGACGCGGGTTCATCGGAGGGAGTGGGGGTGCACCGTTTGGCGGAGAAACACCACCTGGCGGCAGGCCGACCGTAGGGACGTTCGATGTCGATGAGACGAAGGTAGGCTCTGAAATCAGCTTCTTGTTGATAGGGCGCTTTTGGAGCATGGCGTGGCCGGGAGCACGCTGGGGCAGGGCGCTCGCACTGCTGGCTGCTGCTGTTGCTGCCAGAGATGTCGAAGACTGGTCGGAGGGAACATCGTTCAGCGGAGGGGTTGCATTGGCCGAGTAGGCCGGGGTCGCGGGAGATGGTCGTGGAGTTGCACCAATGATTGGGGGCGGGTGAGGGGCCTGCGGGAATTGGAAAGGTCGCTCATAATGGAAGCTGGGGGTACCAGAACGGCTTGCGCTGCGAAATCTGCCCGACGAAGCAGAAGGGGAGCGGTCATACATGCCAGGCTCATTGAATTCCGACGATTGGCGCCTCGAGCCAGGAACCGAGGCGGGTACAGGGGGCTCGAAGTTGTCCGGCATCACAAAGTTGTCGTGGGCAATGACGGTTCCTTCCTCGACAGTTTGCAAATCATCGCGGTCGCGGTGTCTAGTGCGGCTCTTCGATCGGCTCGAGCCCTCAGAACCCGAGCGGTCTCTCTGAGATCGGAAACCGGGTTGCGGGGAGGGACCACGGCTGCGGCTAGACTCGCGGGACTCTTCATTGCTTCTGCGGGTCATGGTCGGCATGCGAGATCGGAATGATCGCTCGGTTGGAACCATGGGGGTACTGGCGTTGCGGCCAAAGTTCGTCTGGGGCCGTTCGTCGTGGCGCCAAGTCTCCTCTATCAACGCGGGAGTAGAGGAACTGTTAAAGCCGTACAAGCCATTCTGATCAGGTCTCTGGAAGCCCGGCTTGCTTGATTTGTGCTTCAGAAGAGAGAAGCATTGCCGGCTTTGGGTCCAGTCAAATCCGGAGTTGAACGACCAGTCGTAGGACTTCCAGGGCGACTCTCACCCTCGGCTACGCTGCGTAGTTTCTCTTGGACCTTCTTGCGCCGCTCCGCGAGCTCGATGGCAAATTCTTCTCGTTCCCTCTGGGTCTCAGTGCTGCCATCCCTGCGGTGATGGTAGTTGAGCTCTTCTTTCCACGACGGATTCTTTGCGGAGACCCCGTTATCTGAGGAGTCCTCGCTGGAACGGTTCACTGTCGTCTCAGAAGAGTGTCGAGATAGTGCCCGAGGGCTCGATGTCTCTGGCTGCTCGGTGGATGACCGAGTGGCCTCCTCCTGGTGGATCTCCTCGGCGGGGGAGATGCGCTGCTCGGGGACAGTGGCTTCCTGGGTGCCCTGCTCGTATTGTGGCAGCCGAGGGGAAGGAGGAGGATAGATGGAGGATACGTCACTCTCCTGGCGAAGATGAGAACTGATTCCTGTCAGGCCGAATCCAGCTTGAAGGACTGGCGAGTCGGGTCTTTGAGGTACATCGTTGCTATCCTCATTGGACACAGTAGCCTCCAGCATCGAATTCTCTTCAATGGGCTTAAGGTCGCCGAGATCCGAATAGCGGACCTCAGGAAGAGTCTCGAGATGCTCACCATTCGGCGTAGGTGGTTTGGAGGCGGTGCTTGAATTGTGTAGGGATTGTCCATATTCCGGTGTAACCGAAGAGACCTCGTAAGACGGGCGCTCATCGCCTTCATCTCCAGACTCGCTTGCAGTCGAGTTAGCGTAGAAGGTTCTCACTCCAGGTCGCGAAGGCGATGCATCCCGGGATTGATCCATGCCGTGGTGAGCATCGCTGCTATAATGCGAGGAAGCTGACTCGGCTCTAGACCGATAGCTTGACTTAGACATGCCTCGCGAGCGACCTCCAGGTTCATACCGAGGAGCCTGGCGTGGGGGCGAGGATCGGCGTGGTGGAGGAGTGGCCCGACCTTGGTGCATCGCTAATTGACGGCGCGAAAATGCCTGCTCATCGAAGCCAGTGGCAGGTCTGTTGAAGAGACCCATGGCGGTTGCTTTGCCGTGGTCCTCCGGGCTTAGTGCCGCAGCTAATAAGGAAGCACCATCGCCAGTTTCACTAGACGGGGGGCTCAGGGGAGGGGCGTTTCCAAAGGTAGCAGCAGTAGGTGAGATACGTTCCTTGGAGAGCGGCTCGGGGACTGGCGCTTGCTTCGGCGATGTGGCGGATGAAGGCGGGCTGGTCGGTCGAGACGTCGTAGCTGGCTCCGCAATGGCAAGTTTTTGCAGTCGATCACGTAGGTTGACGGCACTCCGGGAGTAGTTACGATTCAAAGTCGAATCTGGTGTTCCGGAACGCTGGCGACTCAGACTTTCAAGACGATTCAAGGTCGAGTTCTGCTGGCTCTGTGCAGCCTGTGTTAAGCCTTGGCCATAGAGACGACGGGTTCGGACAGATCCATTTCGTGGGGTAGACATAGCGGAGGGTGGCCGAGCCTCGAGGGGACCTTCTGGCGCTCCGATGTAAGGTGGCTGTGACTGAGAAGAAGCGAATTGACTCTCATCGATCGAGGTGGCCGCAGTTGATGTGCGAGGATCGACGGTGGGTCCAGATGCTGTGGAGGAGTAAGTTGTGCGGTTGTGTGACGAACTAGTCGAATTGGCGTCTTCAAATTCGTGGGAGATGGAGTCGCGTGCGGCTTCATCTGCGGCCATTCTTTCCTCCTTCTCCTTGCGTCTCATCTTTTGGAAAGCAGAGAGGTTTAGGTCATGCTCGTAGACTGCCTTTCCCATTCCACTAGCTGACGCACCGGGTGAAACGGGCGATGGGGCTCCGCCATGGCGTACAGGGATCCGGTACACCTTTTGACGGCCTCCGAATAGGTTGTTGCCATCCGCTCGTCGAGCTCTGCTCATCATGCTACCACTTTGGGACCGATCATCGTCTGTGCCATATCCTAAATCACCGGAAGCATAAGAGTCGGTACGTCCAAGGGCCATCGAAGGTCGGCAGCTGCCATCATTGGAGGATACTTCATCGATATCGGTGAGCATATTGGGGTTGTGTCCAAAGAGGTTCAGTCGAGAGGCACGCTTGGGGAACAGGACACTGTCATCACTAGCCTTGCCCATCTTGGATTCCGGGTCGTCCTGCTCCCTCAACATACTGAACCGGGCCGAGAGCTTCGGCATTAGTAGACTGGTTCGAAAATCATCTGTCGGCGGGAGGGCTGCGGTAAAATCTAGCTGTGGTGTCGATTCGGGGGCATCCTTCTTCTTAGACGGTTTCAAGCTAAAGGGGGAGGAACTTGATGAGCTACCCTCCAGCTCACCCAAAGTATCCTTCACCTCCTTGGCCTTCTTGTTCTTGCGAAATCGATTCATTGTGGGCTCGAAGCGTTCCGGTTTGTTGGGGTAGGAGGGCAACTACCGGCGAGGAGAATCCTCGGTATATGAGGCGCGGATGGTATAGTAAGAGTGACTATCGCCTGGGTGTCAGTCTCGTTAATCTCCCTCAATTTCAGAATGACTTGTCTCCAATCAGGCAGGTTTCCCTCCACTTACTGGGTAGATGATTATGTGGAGAATGAAAAGAGCGGCATGACCATCGAGCGCAAGAGAATGTCGAAAGTCGAAGCAGCGAGTATGTTTCTCTTGAGGGGCGGGCAAAGTTGCGCGTAATGAATGGCCCCCGCGATTTGGTCTATTCGCGTACCGTGTGTCGCTGGAATGTCCAGTGGTCGAGCGCCAATCACAGACAATAGCGAGCAGCGGGTTTGAGGTTGCTCGACAGATCACACGAGGCAGATTGGACGGGGCGCAATGAATAGGAGGGATCTGGTACGACAGGACGGCGAGATCGAATTCGGATGCGCGACACCAGGGTTAAAAGAGCGACAAGGTGAAAGAGTGAGTGTGTTGAAGAATGCGATTCGGGAATGAGAGAATGGGAATGGGGAGGAGGGAAGTGTTCCGCGGGTACGGAGTAATGAATAATATGGACTCAGTCCCTCCCGTACTAAAGTATCGTACATGTAAAGTATCGGGCTAGAAACACCACTGGGAGAAAAAAAAAAGAAAAAAAAGAAAAAGAAAAAAGGGATCTGGATCCGGATCGTCCCCGTCGAGCCCACCGTTCAGGCGATCATGTAGTCAGATAAATTATTTGGTAATTTTGTGATTTCTTTCTACACACTGAGCACACACTCTCTGCATGAGTGTACCGTATACCGAATCTCTATACTTCTATGAATACCTCGTACCTCGTACCTGGTAAACAACAGTTCCCGAAGGTGCATCCATGGTCGCAGTTCCTCTCTGACGGGCAAGTATCCATGGTGGTGTGGTACATCTGATACCGCGGGTATGGTCCCTTGCAGGTAAATTACAGTATGGGGCATCCATCACATCCTATAATTTCCCTGCGATGTGGGACCCCGGGGCTGAACGCCACCGCGACAACTGCGGAGGCTTTGCATCTTTTGGACTCGTTAATTGATGAGATACCAGCGCGGGGCTTGACGCGTCCAAGATGATCCCGATAGGTATACCCCAAACTGTTGTATACTGTACATACTTTACGGAGTATTTACTCCATTTACTATGTACCAGAAGTGTAGGCGTCATTAAGAACTTTCCCAAGCAAAGAGTTGAACGCTAGTCGTTCCGAGGGTCTGGACGCGGGAACCCCCCCAATTCGCGCGAACACTTGAACGAACTTGAATTGGACCTGGATTTGGCCGATCTGTTTCTAATTCGGATTCTTCCCATTCCTTCCATGCCACTGCCACTGCCACTGCCACACCATCTGATCTGAGGCGCGTGTTATTAGAAATCATGGTACATACTCCTTGCGTACGGGGAACCTGCATCACCTGCTACGGATGTCTCTCCTGCGTCGTGCAGGAGGCGATATCCACGGTTACTGCAGCTAGAGCCCTGGACAATGCAATGTTTCCTTCCAAATTCGCCGAATTGCCAATAGCCGCGCTCGTGTGCTCGACGGGGCTGCAGCCCACCCCTCAGCCACGCTGTCGGCTGTGCATTGAAGGCATTGAATGGCCATGACTATTTCTCCGGCCGCCTCCTGCGTCGTGCAGCATAATCCAGGTGTGAGACGTAGTACATACACACACAGGTGGCCTAGTTCCGATCTGATCTGATCTGATCTTGATGTGTTGCGTAGGGACAGGAACAGCATAGCATAGCAATCTGCGGAAGTCTGGTTGAGGCTATCAACATGCCGTGCCACCTTCCACCTTCTATCTTTGGGAGTCACCCGAAAGTCATTATTAATGACCGTCCTCGATCTTCTCTGATGTCAATTTCTTCCTCTTCTGTTTGTTTATTTTTTCCGATTTTTTTGTGGTCGGCTCCTGGTGGATCTATCCGAAGAGAACCAAAAAATCGTGAACGGAGCGCGCCCGTCCTAGAGTTCCCACCGAACATCACGGTTCGCAGTTCATTTCACAAGGCGGAGCGACCGAGCGTGTTGCATCATTGAAAGATGGGAATCCGGATCCTCATCTTAAAGCTGTGGGACCATGAGATCATACAGCACAGACCTAAAAAACCAATGGTCCAGGTTCAGGTTGTGAAATCCTGGGTAAGCATCAACTTGAGTGCGCGGACGCGAGACCGAAAAGAGCGAGGGGAAGGGAAGGGGGCCAGAAAAGCAAACATGGACTAGCGCATATTCTGGGTCGCGTTGTTGGCCGGTGAGGCTTGACAGCCGTTGTTGGCGGACCCAGTGTGGGCAAAGCACAGCAAAGCTTCCTTGAGCCCAGAACTTTTTAGCTCTTTGTGCGGATGGGCGCACGACCAGCTCCGTCGGGCAAAGAATGGGCCCTCCAAATGGAACCGAGGCCCTCGCTTGAGAGTCCACTGGACGAAAAGCGGGTTGAATTGGTAGGATGGGGGTGTGTTGAGGTAAAACCCACCTAAAACCCGTGATGAGTTCCCCGGGGCCGCTGATTGGCTCAAGGGGCCAACTGGTGCCCCTGACTAGTCCGAACCGGGCGCAGTAGTCTGCAGCGGTATTGACCGTTGCCATCTGGACCAGACTTGGTAATATATTCTCGTACTAATGGTGGTGGCACACAATATACTAATAATACCCATGTAAGTACATTCTGGAGGGGCTGATCACTCACCATGATGTCGATGGTATATCAAAACGTCTCGCTATACCACGAGTAGTATTTGAGATACATCCATACTTCTGATTTACCACAATAAACAAAATCCACGACCTGAAAAGTGGAGTAGCCGATATGTGGACAGATCCACTCAGCCCCTCTGGACAGCTCATTAACAAAGGGAACAAATTTGGAGACAGATTTGGTCTGGTGACTGATGGCGGATGGAAATGCCCCATTTCCTTTCGATCTATCGCCCCTCGTCTGGATCACGGCCCTCAGGCACATTGGTGTGTGCAGTTAATCTATTAAACTCACCACCAATGCATGATATTTCAGTCACTAAATATCTGGGCATGCAAGACTTAACCATTTAACATCTTCAATACCACGGTAGAGATCGGACTAGCAGAGTAACCCACCCACGATCCGGCCACACTTGCATTGAATCGACTCCAAGACCCGGAATCGATCGGGGAGGGGGGTCGAGAATGGACGGCTTACACACAAGATCTTCGGGGCCAAAGATGATCCCTGTTCATGGGACTCTCGCCCGGATCAACCATTTCAGCTCGGAACTCCGCACCATCAAGGCAGTCGTTTCATCATAGCCCTATATTTTTCTAAGGCTGATCGTTCGAACAACCGGACCTTCCACTCTGAGTCGGTATATGTTTATTAAGTTTCTCCGGTGGGGAATTGAGAACGAAACTTCCCCATCCCCCATTCGTTAAATTATCTGGGTTTGAAGATTTTGAGTTTGAAAGATCGTTTCGCTTCTCGACCGTTTATGCCGGATTTCTGCCCGATTCCACTTTAGCAGCTCACGGTCCATCCCACTAGAAAATTGGTGGGCGAAATTCTGAGTGCATCGATGTGCGACAACGGTCTCTGGGGCTGGTAGGTGGGACCCCAACGCTTGAATCGCCTCTCGTATTCTGTTTAATTTGGCTAGACGAGGAGCGAGGAGCGAGGGAGGGGTTCCAGCGTCCAGTCGGCTACGCCTCTCCCAAGCGCTGCAAGTCCCGTCTCTGTAATTTATCTCACACGTCGTGTGGAAATCTAGAACATCCCCAATAATAACCACCTGGGCTGGACCGGCGAGAATACTTCTGGGTATTTTTTTTTTAGTCTCGGTATTCATGATTTCATTGCCGGCTTTCAGATCGCCCTAATATTAGATTGATTGCATGTCCGTCATGGTTAATATAAATTTAATTTGGCGTGGCCCTTGAAGAGAAAGACCGGCCGAGCCCTTTCTGCTTGCACCGCTGGGGACAGAGATTCTACTGTACTATACAGCATCCGGCGAGATTGCGATCATCATTTCCCACTTCTGCGAGCCTCCATATTCTATACAAAGGATATTGTCTACTCATTTCTTGCCGTGTTGATATCTAGTTGAAACTTATCGCGGTAGGCTCAAATAAGGGACGGTCTGAAACCTCTTGGAAATCCAGCAAATACTAGTTGTAGCCTTCATCCGCGACGGCATCACTCGCTAGCAATCCAGGCTACAACGGTCTTGAATCGTAGCAACGAGGAGCTTGCCAAGAGAACCAAAGGAGTGAAACCTCAGTACAAGACTCGAGTTTGACACCTCACTCGTCCAGTGTCTAGCAGTTACTTTTAGGTTCACGTCCCAAATATTAGACTGGTGCATCCTTCAATTAAAGACAGACTTCACTGGCGACGCCCGTTGTGACACCATCTTGCAACAACATTCGGCCACAAGAATCCTGGCTAAAATATTGGCTCATTTACACTGCATCCGAAATGCTCCTATATTTTTCGAAACGTCTCGTTAGATTTTCGTCAAGGCTGACTCTATCCAAGCAATCCGATTCAGGCAATTGTTCACGTATGGACAAGATGGTCATAATAATTTGGGAGTCCAGTACGATCGTATATCCATAGATCATCATGTTCTTTCGAAAGGTATCAATTTCCACCTGGACATTCTTTTACTATAAGCAAAATGTCTACAATGATTAGGAAATATCATAAACTTATGCCCATATAAACAAATTGAGACCATATTAGCTCTCGGGAATTACTAGTAACAAAGAGGTGGAGGAGAGTCTTGGATGTTTACTACCAAGTTATACCGCACGCAAGTGGCGTACTACCAGAAGATGATGGGTCTTGGATTCCAGTTGTTGCAGCCTAGTTGACTTTGACTGAAGTATCCTCGAAATTAAACTCAAAGGAAGTTTCACTCTAGGAGATTTCGCAGGTCCCAAGAATGGCGAGGATACCATTGCTTGTTAGGACGAGAAAACCTCATTCCGAGTGAGAAATGCACTTACTAAGAACAGGGATATAAATTTTGCAGATGTCAACGTTAACGTTTTTTGAGCCATCTGGTGACTGCCCTTGATCGACTGGTCCTCACATCGGCTCCCGTAGGCTCCCTCCCTTCCTCTCATTATATCCCGATTCATGTGATATGTTGATGGCGCAAAAAGGGAAACACTAAAGTTTTTGCGTTTAATAATCACCGTCTATTGCTTCAAAAAAACCCTTTCTCGTTAACTCGTAGATCTTTTCTCTTTTCCCATGACTGCCGAGGCAAACCAGAGTTTGTGGAGACGTGGAGAATATCATGCCCCGTCGGCAGACGGCCCCGACGACCGTAGTCAATTATCCAAGAATTGTGCGGAGTAAAGAGCGGAGAAACCTTATTGACTATTTTGCAGCTATTTAAGGTAGCAGAAATCCATGACCCGGTGTAGGAATCATAGGTGCTGAATCGCCCAAATTTCGTCATGAAAGTCTTCCTATGCGCCGCAATAGCCCTCAGTTGGACCCATCACGCCCTAGCTAAAAGCTGCTCGGATCTTTTAAGATATCAGGCCTTGAATAGAACCGCAATAGAAAATGCCGAGCCTACACATCTCAGCTCATCGGCTGATGGAATTGCGTACTGTCGAGTCTCTGGGTCCGTGGCATATGGCGAGCGTGGCAATTCTGTGAGGTTTGAACTCTGGCTGCCTGAGCAGAAATCTTATAACAACCGCTTCATGGTTGTGGGTAAGCTCTTACATGTTTTCCATTTAATTCATTTCCCGCGATGGTTAATTTATTTAATCACTAGGCAATGGCGGGTTTGCCGGAATAATTGATACGGCCAGTATGGAAAAGCAATTGGAACAAGGGTTTGCTGTAGCAGGGTATACCAAGACCCTCCTGTTTTTTCTGCAAGATAATTTGTTAATGCCAATTTTATCAGAGGTGATTCGGGCCATCTAGAAGTTAACAATGGAAATGGAACGACAACGTCTGGGCAGTATATTCCGTTCTTGAATGATGCCGAGCAGACAAAGGCATGGATACACGACTCCATTGCCATTATAACTGAGCCAACACGAGATATTACTTCCGAGTTCTATGGCAGTTCTCCGAAGCACAGTTATTATAACGGTTGCTCGACAGGCGGTGCGCAAGGATTTGCGCTTGCTCAATACCATCCTCACCTCTTCGACGGAATATATGCTGGCTCACCAGGTAATTGGTATTCCCACTTGATGCTATCATTTTTATGGAACAGGGAGCGCACAAAGGTATGTATCAACACGAGTTAGGCTGGAAAGTAGATTGGTCGGCTGATCAGAACATAGGGCGATGCATACCTTGATCAAGCCACGCTGAACGCCACGACGAAGAAAATTCTAGACGCTTGCGATGAAATAGATGGTGTCAAGGACGGTTTGATTGAAAACCCACTACTCTGTCATTTTGACCTCGACACATTAGCTCGTTCATCTGCGACGACTGTTGCTAGTCATAACCAGACATGTCTGAGTCCGAAACAGATCCAGTCCCTAAAGTCCATCTACGCCGGGCCGAGAAATCCCAGAACAGGTGCAATAATCTATCCTGGATTTGAATTCGGCTCGGAGCGGGAATTGATGCTGCAGGAAACATCTCTGTATTTAGCCTATGCAGCACCACTCTTGCAAAACTTGGTGTTCCACAACCTTTCGTATGAAGTTGACACTTTCGATTTCGACAAGGATGTTGCAAAAGTGAATAGTTTGGCAAGTCCTCTTATTGATGAAATTTCATCTGATCTCGATGCTTTCCGGCTACGTGGGGGAAAGATGATTGTGACTCAGGGTAAGTGAGGAACTGTGGAACTCATTGAACAATCTCAAAAGATTTGACACTTTTCAGGTTGGACCGATCCATTCAACGCTCCAACTTGGCCGATTGAGCATCTTAAACAGCTCGAGAAAGCGAGTCAGCATGGATCTGTTGCGGAATTCTTCAACCTGTACATGGTTCCCGGTAAGTTTCACATTCTGCATCAATAATATTGGAAAGTGCTGAAATGAATTCTCTAGGTGGCGGTCACTGTGGCGCGGCTGAGACCTATCCTTCAGTTCCTGCGACATATCACGTCAATGAAGCACTTCTGGCGTGGGTTGAGAAAGACATCTTCCCATCCTGGATCCAGTCGTCGAATCCCCCAGATGGTTCATCGCGAACACGCAAACTCTGCCCCTGGCCCAAGACAGCAAAATTGCGAGACTTGACGAGACCTGATATTTCAGAGAGCTATGAGTGTGACCAGGACTAATCATTCCGGTGCTGCCCATTATTTATTTGCGATATGATGGAATTTCTGTCGAGGGAGATGTCTTGAGTTCAGGTTCCAATTTAACCGCGTTCATTTTATTTCTCTCGCTCTATTACCGATACTTAACAATGCTTTGAATTTATTTCTTCCCGTGCCATCTGCTGGCCCCTTTTCAAAACTTATGTGAGGCCGACTGGACGCGTATTTATCCACTGATAAGCCACAACCTCCACCCAAGATCATACTATCCGATCAGACTCCATTTCGACGGCCACTTCAACTCCTTCCAAGGCTCTGTGCTCTGTGCCTTCACGATTGATAGAAGAAAAAAACAGTTCGAGATATCTCATCGTGCCACTTTGTCATCAGTAATCATGATTATCAAGCAAATGAAATTGGATAGTAGATATCAACACTGAATCAAGACTCGGATCAAACTGAGACAAATAAGCCCCACCCTGTCTAAAGCCATGTGTGGCCCCGGTTGCCAAGCAAGGCTTGGATCGTCGTTCTTCCAATTCACACCTGAGACGCAGGGGTGCGACCGAATCAAGTTTTCCACCGAGCGTCTTCTGAGGTCTTGGAATGGCTTGTTCTATTTAAGCTCGGAGAGTTTCCATGCCGTAGAATGCCGATTGGCAATAGGTGGATAAACTCGGGAGATTCTAAAACAGGAGAGCCTGTCTTCATATCCCAACATGGCCATGATGGACAAGGTGGGGAATCTCTGGATGCCACACGGTACTTCTGTTGGCTTGCCGGCGATAATCAGTGCCTTTTTCATAGATCAGTATCCAGGGGCAGTGACAGGGGGTCTTGATTGAGGGGCTTTTATTGTTGGTCCAGCGTTTCAAGGTCGATATTAGATATAGAAATCTATGTACTTATAGTGAGACTGCTCAAGAGAGACATTGCTTTTTCTCATCTCTCTCTATCGTCTTTTTCTACCTTCTTTCTTTTCAGTTTCAAGAGCTAGTCTCTATATTTTACAATCCTTTTGTCTGTTGAGCAGACATTGTCTTTCTTTTAACACGAAAATGCGCACTGCTATCGCCTCCGTACTCGCGCTGTGCGCGGCTGCGTCCGCGGCACCTTCCTCCATGGGCAAGCGAGCCAAATGGACGAAGACAACCCGTTCATCCTCTTCTTCGACATCCTGCACTTTCAATTCGGCTGCTAGCGCTAGCGCTAGCGCCTCTTCGTGCTCTACTATCGTTTTGGATAACATCGCAGTTCCTGCTGGCGAGACCCTTGACCTGGAAGACCTTCAAGACGGCGCTAAGGTAAGAACCCAGCCATCTGGTGACCCGAATATTGACTCGGTGGCTGACTCTCTGTCTAGCTTATCTTCAGCGGCGAGACGACCTTCGGTTACAAGGAGTGGGATGGCCCGCTTATTCGTGTCTCTGGATCCAACATTGCCGTTTCTGGAACGTCCAACCATACCATCAACGGTGGTGGGGAGAGATGGTGGGACAGCGAAGGTTCCAACGGTGGCAAGACCAAGCCCAAGTTCTTCTACGCCCATGGCCTGGATGATTCAACTATCACCGGCTTGAACGTCAAGAACACCCCCATCCAGGCTTTCAGCGTCCAGTCCGACAACATCGTTCTCAGCAACATCAACATTGACAACTCTGACGGCGATGACAACGGCGGCCACAACACCGATGCTTTTGATGTCGGTGAGAGCAACGGCGTCACTATCCGTGGCGCAACTGTGAAGAACCAGGATGACTGCTTGGCTATCAACTCTGGCTCCGTAAGTTTCCCTTGGTCTCACCAGTGATACCATTCAACTAATAGTTCACCTTAGAACATTATCTTTACTGGCGGTACCTGCTCTGGTGGTCACGGTCTTTCCATCGGATCCATCGGTGGCCGTGACAACAACTCCGTGAAGAACGTTACTATCTCCCACTCCACTGTTTCCAACTCGCAGAACGGTATTCGCATCAAGGCCAAGTCTGGCGAGACCGGCTCCGTCTCGGGCGTTACTTTCAGCAACATCCAACTCTCTGGTATTACCGACTATGGTGTTGTCATTCAGCAGGACTACGATGATGAGGGAAACCCAACCACTGGCATCCCCATCACTGACCTGACTGTGCAACGCGTGGCTGGTACTGTTGAAAGTGACGCTACCCCCATCTACATCATGTGTGGTGATGGCAGCTGCTCGGACTGGACTTGGTCGGGTGTCAGCGTCAGCGGTGGTGAGAGCAGCGATGACTGCGAGAATGTGCCTTCTGGTGCTTCTTGCTAAGTGCTTGCAAGTTTCAATCACCGGTGAGGACCGGGCCGGATTTGCTTGATCGATCTTTGATCCTATTACTTAGTAAGAGACAATATAACCTTGAGGCGGATCTGTACATAACTCCATCTCATACCAAGTAGTCAGGCTAGTTCTTCTTGGAAGAGTAAGCCAAGTCACCAAGATTATATGTGCAGGAAAATATCTTTGTGTTGCCCATTGTCAATGTTAACTAGTAAATACTCCATAGCGATTTTATTTTTCTCTCATCCAAACCAGGTACTAGCGGGGACATATGCGAGGGAGTCTTGATATTAGCTGGCGGGTTTGCAGGGCATAGGAGAGGAAAATTGTGTGTGAGTATCGTCAAGAATACTAGCAAAAGAATCCCCCTTGTCACGTAGCTCCGAATGGTCTAGGGGTCTTGGCCCTACCCATTCGGGGGAAAGAGTAACAACGAGGTTGATTATTTGAAACGCTTGGCCTACCTCGATTACCTTTTTGCTTTTTCCAGGTTCGAAGGGTCAAAACCAGGACTGGCTATTCACTTTATCCGTTTGAACCTTCGCTCTTTCCCTTTTTGTTTTGTTAGTTGTCGTTTGTTTACCCCCTCTATTTAGTCCATCGTGCCTTCCCAATGGGGAGCCTCAGTCGATGACGTCATCGGTTGGCAGCTCCGAAAGGTCCCCCGCATCAGAGAGACACGCGTTGCACATATCGACTTCTTCACCTACAACACTCTGCACAGCTTTCTCAAGTTCCTCATTTCATAATGCAGGTCCTTCTTCTCGGTGGACATGGCAAAATTGCCCTCAAACTCACGCCGCTCCTCCTCAATCGCGCCTGGAATGTCACCAGCGTTGTGCGCAACCCCGACCATGAGAGCGAGATTCTTGCACTTGGCCAGGGCCGCAAGGGCAAGCTGAATGTTCTTATCTCCAGTCTGGAAGATGTCAAGAACGTAGCAGATGCCCAGAAGATCCTGGATGCTGTTACCCCAGACTACGTCGTCTGGTCGGCTGGTACGCTCGTGCCCCTCCCCCACTTCGCGCGCTGGGTGGTGCCGTCCCGTTCCAAACACAAACTCAACCCTCACCACCTTGCTTTACTTTGCTTCTCTTGGCGGGAAGAAGCTCAATATTGTCTGCTAACAAATATCACCGATTGAACAGGCGCCGGCGGCAAAGGCGGACCTGCTCGCACAATTGCCATTGACCAAGAAGCAGCAAAGCACTTCATGACCGCCTCCTTCGCGACGTCCAGAGTGAAAAAGTTCTTGATGGTCTCTTACCTGGGCAGTCGCAAGAAGCAACCTCATTGGATCCCAGACGACCAGTGGGCGGGTATTGTGCACACTAACACTGAGATCCTCCCTACCTACGCGAAGGCTAAGCAAGAGGCCGACGAGTACATGACTGCCCTGGCGGCGGTCCGCAAACAGAACCCTGTAGGCGCTTTCCAGGCGATCAATTTGCGCCCTGGAATCCTGACCGATGAGCCTGCTACCCGGAAGGTCGAGCTTGGTAAGACGCCCAAGGGCCGTGGTAGTGTTAGTCGTGAAGATGTGGCTATCGTTGCGGATCTGTTGCTCGCACGGGACGATACTGAGGGCTGGATTGATCTGGTTAATGGTGATGTTCCGGTCGAGGATGCTGTTGAGAAGGTTGCCAGTGAGAAGATTGATGCTGTTGAGGGTGAGGATGTCGAGGGTATGGTGAAGAGATTCTTTGCTTGAGCGCAAGGAATTTTCTTCAGCGTCTCTCTAAATATTTCGGCATCGGAGACGGTGGACACATTTAACAGGATTTTATCTTATTTCGGGATACAATTTTTATATGAACAAATTGACGCTTTTTCAATATTGCAGTCTATGTAAACCTTTATTTATTTCGTCATAATAAGGAGGAAATTCACAGCTTGGCCTTGGGACCCGCGAGCTCGGACTTGAACTTCTGCTTCAGCACACGTCGCAAGATCTTGCCGCTCGGGTTCTTGGGGATCTCATCGACAAAGCGCACGCCACCACGCAGGCGCTTGTGGTGTGCTACCTTGCTATCCAGCCACTGGACGATCTTAGCTCCCTCATCCTCTGCACTCGCACCGGAGGACTTGCTCTTTGCACTGCGAACAACACAGGCCAAGGGCACCTCAGATCCATGTGCCTCACTCTCAATTCCAATCACAGCGACGTCGTCAATAGCGTCATTATCGACCAAAAGACCTTCCAACTCAGCAGGGGGGACTTGGAATCCCTTATATTTGATGAGCTCCTTCACACGATCCGTGATGAAGAAGTTACCCTTGGCATCTTGGTAACCAACATCGCCAGTTCGGAACCAACCGTCCTCAGAGAGGCATTCCCTGGTGGCAGCCGGGTTTTGGTGATATCCAAGGAAGACATTAGGACCGCGCAGATACAGCTCGCCGACCTCACCAGTTGCGACCTCGCTGGGCTCCGACCCATCCTCGGGCATGGTCATGTACTTGGCTTCCATGTTGGGCATCAATCGACCAACAGAACCAATGAACTCACGCCAGTCCTCCCATCGTTGCGAGTGTGTGGTCGGGCTAGTCTCGCTCAGACCATAGCCCTGCTTGATTCCGACCTTGATGCGAGAGTACACGGATTCCACGAGCTCTTGCGTGAGTGGTGCAGCCCCGGAGTTCATCATGCGCAAGCTGGACAAGTCATACTTGTCGACCGCCGGATGCTTGCCCAGGAGAAGTACCACGGGAGGCACAATGTAACTGAAGGTTACGCGGTAATTCTGTACGTGTGCACACCATCTCTCAATATCAAACTTTGTCATGACGATAAGGTGATACCCCTTGTACAAAGCTTGGGTGATCAGGCAAGTCAATCCTAAACACCATCATTAGAAAAAGGGAGGATAAGGGTAACCCAGTTACCAAATTTCCCGGATGAGTCTTACCATAAATGTGATAAAATGGCAAAAACGCCAAAACTTTGTCGCCTTTTCCGTCAGGACCTCCATCCCACTTCAAATTACCACCTTCACCGGTAACCTGCTGTATAATGTTCGCGACAATATTCCTGTGCGACAACATCACGCCCTTCGGCACGCCAGTTGTACCAGAAGAGTAAACCAAGAACGCAAGGTCACTCTCGGGAGTGATTTTCTGCTTTCGATACCGAGTGGCACGGGAGATGTTTCTGACAGAAGTGAAATGCTTAATTCGAGCCTCGGGGTCCCGCTCGTCGCCAATAAGAATGATATGATCCTCCGGGATGCCAACTTTCTTAGCCGCAGCCTTCGCCACAGAAAGAACAGCGGCTTGTGTCGCGAGAGCTTTGGCACCGGAGTTCTTCAACTGGAAAGCCAATTCATCAACGGTGTAAGCAGGGTTTGCCGGGAAAACGATTCCACCAGCCCAAAGTGTACCCCACATTAGCACTGGGGTGTCAATGCTGTTAGGAGTGAAAAGGGCCAACACATCGCCCTTGCGCCAGTCATATGTCGCCTTCAGACCTTTGCCAAACTCCAGAGATGACTCTCTCAGAGTCTGGTAGGTGTAGTGTCGCTGGGTTTCGGCATCTTGGTAGAGGACTGTGGAGCTGGCGGTTAGCGTAACGGCTCTGTCGGTATGTGGGGTGACTGCGCAGTTCAGGGCTGGGTGACTCACTCTTGTCTTCTGGGAAGGGCCTGTCCTTGCGCTCGAATAGAAACGACCAAAGGTCGACATTGGGGATGTCGACCTTGGGGTAGTAAGACGCAACGGGCATATTGCGGGGAAGAGAAAGCTAAGCGCCGATCCGAGAGCTTTCAAAAGGACGGAGGGGAGGGAATAGGAGGGGAGGACAAAGATTCGGCAAGCCGTGTGTCAGATGCGCAAGAATAAAATGTAAGATATATGAAGAGGGTTAAAAGATGCGGAGAAGGAATAAAAGGAAGCGAGGTTCCCTTCTCCGCAGTTTCGGTACTGGGGGGGGGTGCGGGTTGCCTCGGTCCATCGTTACATCCTCTACTGTTGGGACTGACCAATACCCGAATCGGCCTCCACTTGCCCCGGAGTTTACGGATTTGTGGGCGTTTGGCCTTCGCTAGTTGAATCTGGCTCGGTCCTTTTCGGTGGAAAGTTCCTATCAAAGATCGGCAATGTTTGAATATGTTGGAGGAGCTCTCGGCACTCTCGACGTTCGCACCGTTGATCTGCAGTGCGGTGCATGAACTATGCCGATTACTCTGTTTGATTTCTCCGATAGTGAATGACTGGCACAGTAAGTCTGGCAGATTTTGACAAAGTTATTATATCGAAAATGGAAAATCCTTAACGCAGAAATTTGGTGGGTCATTCTCTAGTAATTAACTGGGTGGTCGGTGAGGACTTTCAGTGAAATATATCTCCGGTCAGTACAGAGGTCCACCTGGGCAGTATCCAGATCTCGGGATACACGGCTCATACCTAGGTAAACTTGAAGCCAATCAACATGTCTCTATTAGAAAATCACTTCATTTTGAATCCCAACAATCATTACTGCTTTCTTGAATAATCCTAGATATCACGCCAGATCCACTGGCCTCGAGGTCTAGTACTCTCAAGGTGAGCCCTGGGAGGTATGCGTATAGGTGTATGACCAACTTGGAATGCATTGGATTTGGGTGCAGACATGGTGCTTGTCTCACTCCATGAACTTGAAGTATAGTTGCATTAAGACCAGATAGACGGCACGAGCGCATTGCAAGTTTGACCTATTCAAGGTTTTGATGTGCCGATAACGACCATAGGTGCTCTGGCAGGTATAGCAAAATGGTTGATGCCAGCACTAATGTCTTGCCAGCACTAATGTCTCGCACATATAGATCACGATTATAGTACTTAGTAGTACGAGTAGTTGCGTGGTATCTTATTTGATGCAAACGCTTCGACATTCATGGAGACCTTTAGACTAGTAATACTAGCGTGCTCCGACCCCAGAATTGGAATATGCTTGGTACTCACCTTAAAATGGAATCCGAGAGTAAACATACAACATTCCACGGGACTACTGGTACTACGAGTCCGGCCATGGACGATTGATAGCCTACTAGCATACGACTTTGCGAACATTCAGATAAACTTTTTTGTTTTCATGCCGACAAGATCTTTATTGAAATGGAAACAGCTGATCCGATCCGGAAATACAAGCTGAATAAGGAACCCAAAACAGAACAGGACTGGCTTCCATTTTTCGTTTCCCAGAACCTTTCTCCACCACGCGCCACCACCAAGGGGAATCGTTGAGGTCGTTTACTTCAGGGGGATGAAACGGGAAGAGTGGGTGGCACCGATACCGGGACGACCGTGCTTGACGGGCTTGTAGGAGATAGAGAACTCGGCAAGGTAGTGGCCAACCATCTCAGGCTTGATCTCAACGTTGTTGAACTCCTTTCCGGAGTAGATACCGATGACAGAGCCGATCATCTCGGGGACGACGATCATGTCACGGAGGTGGGTCTTGACGAGGTCGGGCTTCTCGTTGGGCTTGGCCTCCTGCTTAGCCTTGCGGAGCTTCTTAATGAGACCCATGGGCTTGCGCTTCAGACCGCGGTTGAAACGTCTGCGGGCACGAGCGTGAACGACATCACGGAGCTGCTCGGAGGAAAGGTCCAGGAGCCTAGTTAAAATCAGTTAGTATGATTGGCACCGCTTAAAAAAGTCAAGACCCTAGGATCTCAGCAGCATAACGATTAGAAACCCATGAGGACTCGAGGATATTTCAATCCGAGACGAGATGTTGTCGACAAATTTCCTTTGATCCCCATGGGTGACGGTCGTATGTTGCGAAAGATCTGACAGGGCGGAGGGGTCGGTGGGTGAACGTACTGGTCGAGGTCAATACCGCGGTAAGAAAACTTGCGGAACTGTCTTCTCTTCTTGATCTCTGTGAAACGGACGGTCTGTCAGCGGGCTGGCGTTCTCATTCGGTCGGTGTGTGCGTCCATGTCCCCCTTCGTCGAAGCCACTTCAATGTATCGTCTGTGATCCCCCTCATTTCGTCGTTCCATCCAACTCTCATATCGAATAACTCCAGTGGCTTGACTCTCATCGGGCGGGCGGGGTGTATGCAGGGGAAATTGTGTTGGATTCAAGACGTACCGGCAGCCTCCTCGGCGTTCTGGAGAGAAACATCATTAGTATCAACAGTTGGGCGATATGGAATCAGTGTGCGGAACTCACGTATTCGCTGTCAGCCATTTTTGCGGTGGTTTCCTTGGAGCTCGCTTTTCGACAGTCCTCGAAAAGCGAAGGATATTAGTTGTCGGAAGTTGTCGTGTCGCTGGGCGGATCGGCTAGCACGCCAGTTCTGGCAAGGTGGGCAAGGGCTCGCCTAAGCGACGGGTAGGTCAAGCCCTAACACGCTATCCCGCTTTGGGAACAGTGAACTATGGCCGTACTGTATTGTCACTGTATTGTCACGATCCATTAATAAAGTTTGGAGATACAACTTTCTCCACAGTTTAATATGGTAGACTCGATGTCCCTTGAAATTTATTCAAGTATTTATGATACCAAAGGGGAGACCCATTGGATCGGAATGGCCATTCAGGCCATTCTTATCCATGATATCTATCTACATACTACTAGGTCTAGGGTAGTTATTGTATAAGATATCAAAAGATACTGGCAGAGAAATGATTGAGGTAGAGAGTAAATCGTCCTGAGATTGTGAATGTGCTAAATTACTCGTAAACGCGCACGGGTTTGTCCTTCGCTAAAGGCTAAAGGAACATTTGTTCAAGCGCGTATACCAACTACCAACTACGATCTACAGAGAAAGCGGTGGTGGAGGACAGATGAATCTGTATTGCCTAGAGCTATTTTCGGCTCATGTATGAGAAAAGTCGTAACTGCGTCAGAACAGCCTGAACCATGCACATTTGAGGAACCAGCCGGCGAAGATGTCTCCCGAACTGGTCGTACCATGCAGATGTCTGTTCCTCCATATCATCACTTTTGGGGTTCCGAAGAGAAGGCATTTAGTCGAAGAGACCGAATCCCATGTCATCATCGGACTCCTCCTTCTCCTCCTCCTTCTCCTCAGCGGGGGCGGCCTCAGCGGCACCACCGGCAGCGGCAGCACCACCAGCGGCGGCGGCACCACCGGAGGGAACGGAAGCCAGCTTGGAGGAACCCTCAGCGATCAGCTGTATATTGAGTTAGTATCCGCAGGTATCAGAAATATATCATTCGTGTTGGTGAGAACTAACCTCCTGGATGTCCTTGCCCTGGAGCTCAGCGACGACCTTGTCGAGGCGCTCGGAGTCAGCGTCAATGCCGACGGAGGACAGAACGGCCTTGATGTCGGCGGCGGAGGGGGACTCGTTGCCGGCAAGGGCGAGCAGAAGGTAGGCTGCGAGGTGCTTCATTTTGAATAGACTGTCGGGAAAATTGTCGTCAGCGCCGATGTTCAAAAATTTGCAATGACGATTGCACCTGAGACCGAGATTTCGAGGGATGCAGAGTCGGGAGATAAAAACGCACCTGTGTTTTGTCTGATACTGAACCTGAGAAACAATCGATTTAACCGCAAGTTGGGCGGAGACTGCAACGTCGAGTTCGAAGGTTGGTTGAGGAACGAGACACGGCGGGCGGTCGAAAATCGTGGGAAAAGTGCGTTGCGGCTCGCTGTGGCTGTGCCACCGCCCGGCAGAAAACCTAAGCGAACTGCCAGACTGTGGCGCTGCCTCTCATATCACGTGATATATTGCCAATCTTCAATGGTCGAGGCTGCGTTTGTATGAACGCCCCCCGCCCAACAAAGCCGTGCCTACCTCGTCTCGATTCACCGGTTGGGTCTGCTGGCGGACGACTCCCTTTGTTCAACGTATTCCTTCACTTCGCCCTCGAGCGATCATCCGGCCACCCTGCGGAGTGTGGTTCATCATATAAGATCGCGTTCGGAGTCATGAAGCTGCCCGGTCGAACCAACCATCGACGGTAAACGGTTTCTCTTTCTCATATTGTTTCTTTTGAATACGAAGATTATCTCCTTTGGTCCCATTCCCTAATTCAAGATGAGTGTATGTCTATACTTTCCCTGTTTTTCTCTTATCCTCTCTTCTCTGACATCTTGATCAGTTCCTCGACTCTGTTCTCTCGTCCCTCGGGCCGACGACCAGACCTCCCCAATCCCCGCTCTCTCAGCCACCTGTACCGTCAGCTTCATCCTCCATTCCGAAGAAGGAAGACCGTAATCTTCCCAACCTTCCTCGACCAGCACCATCTCGACCAGCACCATCAAACGAAGTCACGGGTGGAAATTTCAACGGAGGCACCAAGCGCAAAGCCGATGACCAGCTCCCACGCCCTTCCAGACCTAGCATTCAAACTCCCGCTAAATCGCCTGCTGTTCGGCCTGTGATTTCGTCTGGAACAGCAAAAGCTGCTCCGCCTGTTCCCAAATCAGCATCGGCCCCCAGCCTTAAGGCTAAGACTGCCTCGCCCAACCCAGTCTCTAAGAATGGTACTCTGGCATCGAGTAGGCCCGTTCCAACAAAACCGGCTCCTCCTCGGGCTGCACCCGCCAAAGTCGTTCCTGCCAAGGCTGCCGCCACCACACCTGCGGCTCCAGCAAAGGCGCCACCGAAGGGTTCATATGCCGCCTTGATGGAAGCAGCCAAGGCTGCGCAAGGTAAAGCACCGACTCAAGTGGGCATTATCCGAAACCAAGCAGCTCCCAAAGAGAGATTAAGCAAGGTGGAGCGCAAGCGACGACTTCTGGAGGCCCAAGAGAAAGAGAAGGCGGAGCGCAGGGCCAAACGATTTGAACCCAGCTCAACGGCCAAGGGGAAAGTTGCCTCGAAAAAGGTCGAGTCTGATGCACCTTCGTATAAGGGCACAGCCAAACCATCGCGAACCCCGGAGCCGGTTTCATACCGTGGCACTGCGAACCTACCGACCAATCGAACCTCGAACGATCGCCGACCACATGGCAAACGCCGTAGGGATGAATACCTCGGGACCGATGAAGAGGAGGAGGAGGGTGATTACGGTGCTGATGACTACGACAATTACTATTCTGACTCGTCTGATGATATGGAAGCTGGATTCGATGATGTCAATCTGGAAGAAAAGGCTGCTCTAAAGATTGCCCAAAGGGACGACGAAGACGAGCTACGGATGGAGACGCTCGCGAAAAAGGCGAAATTGGAGCGCCAACAGAAATTGGCTGCGCTCGCATCTCGAACCAAACGATAGATTTGGTGTACTTGCATATCTGTGTTTCCTATGTCTTACTTTTGTCATTCATTGGCTAGGTGGGGGTTCTGCTAAGCATCATGAGCGTTTTCTGCTTTCTCTTCCTGTTTGATTTGCAGGTTCTATACTTTACCCTGTCTCTCTTTTTCTCCCTTGTTTTGTGTCTTTCTTTCTCTCTTCCTTTTTTTGTTCTGGTGTTGATAGACAGGGAAGTCCTATGATTTCAAAGTAAGCCCCTCAAGGGGTTTCTTTGAATATCATCCATAGCGGGCGTTGTGTTTCAAATACCAATACAGTACTTGCTTTCGGTTCTTAATAATTGAGTGTCTCATAAATTTGCAATTGTGATATTGAGAGTACTGTAGAAGGGTCTAGTGCAAGTCGGGGCACCAAACTACATACAACGGCCAAACCGGTAATCTCTCGGCGCGCCCCACCTTCTGCGTGACATCACCCATCCCCGAACCGTCATTTTTGCACGGAAACCCTCATTGAGCGCCTTTCTTGTCTGGTTTCTGATCAACTTCAAATATAAATCATGGAGCCTGTTCATCATATATCTACTTCGTCGAAGATTCTCTTCAGCAAGGTGCGCAAAATCGTGCCGCCGATGCTAGAGAAGTTCCACAAAGGTTTGTACTGTTATCCATTCAGTCAGAGTCCAAAAGCCTCGTGGCTATGAGTTTCGAGTTTCGAAGATAATAGCTGATAATTCGAAAGGCCAACTTGGGCGTGTGGCGGTCATTGGAGGCTGTGTTGAGTAGGTCTGTCTCTGCTGTCTCGGGGGACGTGATCTAACTTGAATGACAGCTATACCGGAGCCCCGTACTTCTCAGCTATTGCCTCTGCAAAGCTAGGTATGTGCAAAATGAACTTTCATTCGCCATGGTTCTCATAGCTGACTCGTATTTAGGATGTGATATGGTATGTGGCTAATTACTGTTAAGTTCACGCGTTCGTGAGTCTGACAACTCTCCAGAGCCATGTTCTGTGTGAACGCTCGGCGGCACCGGTATGTTCGACATGTCAGCTTAATTGATCTTACTTCTCATGTTTGCTTCCAGGTTGTCAAAAGTTACTCTCCCAATCTTATGGTGCATCCGATATTGCCCAGTTCGGATACAGTCAAGGACCCCAAGTCAATTGATGCTCCGGCACTAGCGGGTCCTATTATCAGTATGCTCTCTCGTCTGCATGCTCTGGTCATAGGACCGGGACTTGGTCGCGACGGAGTCACGCTCCAAGTGGTTGCAGAAGTAATCAAAGAGGCCCGATCACGATCGATCCCATTCGTGCTGGATGCGGACGGGCTGCTCGTCGTGACGGAGGACCCCAATATCATTAAGGGCTACAAGGACTGTATTTTGACGCCGAACGTGGTCGAGTTCGGTCGCTTGGCAAAGGCCTTAGGCATAAAGGTGGCCAGCCAAGCAGATATCTCAAAGAACGAGAATAGTGATAAATCCAACCAGCAGACAGATGCCTGTGAGGAGCTCTCTAGGGCTTTGGGTGGAGTGACGATCCTCCAAAAAGGACCCCACGATGTCATCTCCAACGGGGTCACAAGCCTTATTTCCAATATTGAAGGAGGTCTGAAGCGCAGTGGTGGACAGGGGATACCCTGACGGGGTCGTTGGGTACTATGCTTGCCTGGCGAGCGGCTTACCACAATAAGTTGTGGGACTCAGGAGAAAGGGACAATGAAAAGGAGGCGCAGAGTAAAGAAGATGTCCAGGCTGAGCTGGAATCCGAGAACAAGCGTATGTCCCCGGCAACTACTTTACTTCTGGCTGCTTGGGCAGGAAGTAGTATCACCCGCGAATGTTCACGGAAAGCCTTCGAGCTCAGAGGGCGAAGCATGCAAGCCAGTGACCTGACCGACGAGGTACATGGCAGCTTCTTGAGACTGATTGGAGAGCCCAATGGCTCCAAGACGCATCTCTAGGCTCCTATGCACAACCTATAGGACTGGGTGGGGTGTTTTTTCGTTTTGTGTGTAAATACGACTTCACCCCGAGTCCATGTCTCACAGCCTCCACTTATGTTCTGAGATGAAGAGAACGATGTAATCCATTGATTGATTGATCAACACATCGTCAGGTTTCCTGGGCTTTAGTTCAAATAATGTTATCACCAATGGTACCTGCATATTGCATCATTTCGATTTAAAGACCTTGAATAGACGCTGAGGTGAATATCTATCTGGTGGCACGAAAAGAGCCTGAGTGAGACGCCCCGCAAGTGACAGAAAGTATGCATTCAGGTGCGGCACTCTAGGAGGCTTCCACCTCCCGTTCGAATGAGCTACGGGCGTATCTTGAATCGAAAGTCTAGTTCCCCACATAACCTCGGTCAGCGTTGGCAACCCCAGAGTCAGGCGCCCAGCATCTTGCCGAGGGCCGAGACGTACTATAGGCAAATATCAATGAATCTTACACCGGAAGAAAGAACCAGTTGCTGTCATACGATAAAACCTGTAGTACATTGAGTTGTAGACATCGAGTTCAATGGATTTAAAACAAGACCAACCACGCGAACGAAGAGACATTCCCGAACTGGAAACGCATAACGAGATTGCAGATGACTGACTTCAGCTGGAACTTTAAATGAGTAAATTCAGTTTTATTGAATCCAAGGGTTTGCTTTTTGGTAACTTCTATTAAAAGAACTCATGTTTCGTATTCAACAAACTTATTCTAGAACATGCCTACAAATGCCTACAAAACCACAAACGATATCTAGAAGAGTATCCAAAAGTCACCATAAACGAAAGCCAAATCCTCACAATTGGAAGGCGTTCAATAGCGTGGAATAGCCACGGCGACATGTCAAGTTCTTTCCCCGCACACTGGACTAAACATAGACCGGGGTAAAAGTAAAAAATTCGATCCAACTCGGATTAGGGCTATCCAACTAAGACATGCAGCCCCGCGAACAGCAACCAGGTACTCAAGCCGCTGCAGCTTGAAGTTGGCAAAGTCTGAGCCCAGGAAGATCCTGATTCTGCGCTGGCAAGCCATCTTTCCCAGCCCTGGTCGATAAGCGTTGGCGGTGTCTGGGTGGACCTTGTTCCAGACCTCGTATTCGCGCCGCACCCAGTGTCGGCTGTTGTGGCTCTACATCCCCGACCTATCCGATCATCAAGAGGAACCATAGATCTGGAGGTGAGAGAAATCGTATGAGATATTTTACCTGACAGTATCTGTGCTTTTTCTTTCACAGTAAAACCGGGGCTGCTGACCTCGTGATATCCTGGCGGCGTCCGGACAGGGTAGGCTATGCATCTATGAATCCTGCAACTGACTCCTCGACTCTGCCCTAGTATCAGAGGAGAATTAAACGGGTATAAAGAGGAGCAAGAAGCCCCCAACACCATCTTTGCCTCCTACAATCAATTCCTTCCAGAACAAAAACAAGATCCGAGTCTTTGCTTGATAATCCATCAATCCACATTCGCTATGCAGCTCTCTTTTATTACCCTGCTGGTCACCTTGACCACTTTCGCATTGGCGAACCCAGCTCCTCCTCCCAAGTGCGGTACTTGCAATCCTATTTCGGGCCAAAACAGCTGTGATATCACCACCTCGTGCATCAATACTGGAAGCACCTTCCACTGTGCCTGCCGTGCCGGTTATAAGGCTTCCAAGAACAATAACGATATCCACTCGCAATTCCGCCTGCCGATGCCGAATTACGAGTTCCTGGTCTTCGTGCCTGAGAACACTCAGTGTAACACCTTGTGTGACAACCCATACTCCGCTCCGGGCGACCTGTGCAAGGAGGTCCACCTGTATAATCAGTGCAAGGTTTAGGCTCTGGGCCAACTAGGTTGGGACGTGGAGAACCTTGGAGTTCAGAGAAGGGGGGAGGGGGATAGCGAGGGCTAGATTTAATGCCTGGGGTATGAGATCCGAGTCGTTGGCCCTACCTGAGTGGTAGCCCATGACTTGAAGGGATGCCCGGTGAATTTGATGTTTACAGCCAAGCTGAAGTGGAATATGGCACACCACTCCTTATGTCAACTATTATCTTTATGCGAGAATTACGAGGAGACGAGATAAAGAAAGATAAATGAGATTAAATTTGGATTTGATTATCTTTTGATCGACTAGACATAGTACAAAAACCGGTTCCCGACCCCATAAAGACACCTGAACACCAATCGCCCAAGACTCAACCGGTTCCACTGATGCATCTGAAGACACGCAATAAAACATCGGAGAAGACAGAAAGAAAAGAATGTAAGAGGAAATCTTCATTAGGCAACCATCTCGTCGTCGCCCTCGACAAACATAAGACGCGAGCCCTCGCCGGTGATAAGCCAGACCTATAAACCAATCATTAGTAAAGTTTCGGGACAGGGAAAGAAGGGGACAAAGACTTACGCCAAGTTCGGCATATTCGTGGAGGGTGGTGGTAAGTTGGTCATCGGTAAAGCCCTTGGCCAACACACGCTCACGAATACGTCTGACACTCATCTCACTGTCGTCACCATCTCCCATTGCAGCGGCACCGCTCTCCCGCAGGCTACCGATCAGCTTGTAGATCTTGCTGCTGGGGGTGTAGTCGGCACCGGATTCGCCATCGTTGGACAGAGAGGCCTTGCTGACCTCGATGAGACGCAGAGCCTCGTCAACATCCTCGCGAACAACCTCCTCGCTGAAGCGAAGACGAGCCAATGCTTGCGAGAGACGAATGATACCCAGGAGAGTACGAGGGGTAACGTGAGAGAATTGCTTCTTGTTGGCTTCATCCTTCTTTTGTCTCTTGCGCATCGCAACATATGCGCCGACCATGTAGTCAGAGACGCTGGAAGGCACAACAGGTCGGAAGCTGCGTGCCTTGGCGATATACTGTCGGACCTCATGTGGGCTAAACATCACTCCAGAGTCTTCGGTTTCGGGGTGCTTGTTGTGCATGTGGACATAGGTAACGTGGCTGGCAAGCTCCTCGTCACCCTCTGGAGTAGGGGTGTCCAAAAGCAGGAACATCACATCGAAACGAGAGAGGAGAGCAGCGGGGAGGTTAATGTTCTCAACAGGTGAAATGCGAGGATTATAACGGCCGTAGAGGGGGGTTAGCCGCGGCCAGGATCGATGTGCGAGCATTCAGTGTGGTGTTGATGCCAGCCTTCGAGATCGAAATGGTCTGTTGTTCCATCACTTCGTGAATTGCGGTACGATCGGAGTCCTCCATTTTATCGAACTCATCAATACAGCAGATACCGTTGTCTGCGAGAACCAGAGCACCTCCCTCTAGCATCATTTCGTCCGTGACAGGGTCCCTCATCACGGCGGCGGTGAGACCGACACCACTGCTACCACGACCAGTAGTATACACGCCGCGAGGGGCAACCTTGGTAATGTAACGGAGCAATTGGGATTTGGCCACACCGGGGTCACCCATCAGGCAGATGTTTATGTCACCACGAATGTGCATACCATCACCCATCTCCTTGCTAACACCACCGATCAGGAGCAAGAGCAGTGCTTTCTTCACGTCCAGGTGTCCGAAAATCTCGGGAGCGATAGATCGCGCCAGGTATTCGTACATCTGGCCGGACTTCATGTGTTGATCAATCTTGCGCAATGTCCGGCTGTCCATGCCGATATCGTTGTAAGACTTCTTGTGTTGGGTGATGTGCTGGGCCTCCAAGTAGGTGTCCGTCAGAAGACCAGCACGAATGGCGCGGAAGCCAGTGTAGGGTGTAGGCAAGAAGATGCCAGCAATGTCAACGACATCGCCAGGGTTCAATTGCCGAGTCTGGGCACCGTGGCAGTGAATAGTAAGAGATCGGGGAATATGGCCAACAGGCACTTGGTCTGCCATCTCCTGGATCTTGACCTCCTGGAAGGGAACAAACTTGGAGGCTCGGGTGGAAAGAAACAGTTGACCCTTGGAGTTGTTCGTCTTACACTCGTTGGACAAGCACTCGGTGAGAGGAAGGAACTGCTTCGTGTTGACAGGCTGGAAAACTTCACAGCCGCAGCGGTCACAGGTATAGGCATTTATTTCAACGGCTGGCTTGACATCGGAGACACGAGTGGTGATACCGCGCACAGTGATCAGACTACCCAGGTGCTCGCCGCGCACATTTCGAACAGCGAGGGCCTTACCGGCCCGATCGTCACTGGAGCCGGAGGGAGTAAGAGGCTTGAAGTTGAGGGTGTATCGGCGGGTGAGTTCAGCGGGGAACAAGGAGGCAGGGTCTGCGGTATCCATATCGGCCTCCTGCGCCATCTCCACCGTCTCGTTGCGCTTATCACGTTGCGACATGATGACATCCAAGACATCATCCTTGAATCTATAGAAAATTAGCTTACTGTGCGACTTCATTGTAGTTCCACCGCGCATGCACATACGTGACATCCTTGGTCTCCTTCGGCATAACCGAGTCCACTGCCTGCGAGAAAACGTCGACATAGCGCTTAGTGTTTTTCTGGATTGACCCGACAAGGTTCAATGATTGCTGCTCATCGGGGAGGGATTTCTCGTACTAGAGAAGTGGAGGGTTAATTGACCGAGCGACAGATGTAGAGGTACAGATGGAAGGGCTGGCACTCACAATATCCAGATCATCAAGCTCAATCACAATGTTTGTAGCGTCGCGGTTGGAGATATCCTGCAGAATCTGCATGTACTTGAGCTTCGGCTCACGGCGCCTCCTCGCCCCACGGGTCTGGGCTCCCTCTCCATCATCATCAGCATCATCCATAAAATCGTATTCGTCACTGGTGCGATTTCCGTCAATGTTCAGATCCTCCAGGGCCTCGGTCGCAGCAGCTTCCGAGGATGACTGGAGGGTCTTGAAATGCTGAAGAAAATCCTTGAAGCCATCCAATTGGGCGGCATAGTCGACCGGCGCCTGGTACTGGAGCAAAGCCATGATGTATGGTGGGGTGGGATGCTCCGAAGTCAGGTTGGAGTAGTGAAGACGCAAAGTGGTGCAGAGTGGGTTTCCGAGAAGAAAGCCTCAGCTCTCTCAGCCCCTAGCGGGCGGCGGGCGGCAACCTTGCCTGAGAGACGCGTGGGTGAGGCAGGCGCGCGAAAAGGACGCGTTCCGACGCGCTCTGTGGTATGTGGCTGACTAAGACTTGCTGACTCAGATCGGCGTCTGCCGTGGATAAGTCACCTGACAGGTTCTATGGTCACGGGCCGAGGCTAAGTGACCGAGTGTGGAGTGGGATGTCCGGGGATGTTCTACTCCTCACTCTCTCCTTCTTCTGCTTGCGACAATAGCTTTGCGCCTTGATCATGGCGCCCAAGAAGCCCTCCACTACTGCCGAAGTCGCCCTTGTTCCGCTGAAGAATTGTCTCGTTAACCTCCCGCCGTCACTCGTCTCCTTGCTGGTTAATGCCAATACGGTTAGTTACACCCTCGGTCAATACCGCATTCCCGGCTAATCCTCCGTCATTGTAGCCTGCCCAAAATGTGATCATTGAATTCCAATTCAAATCCGCCAGTGGCAAGGCCAATGGGGCTGGGGCACCGCCGCAGCGATCATGCTTCCTGGGGTGGACAGGCATGCCGAGCAAGCGTAAGCTTGCGCCAGTCGTTGCTCGAGATGGCGGATTCTCTCGAGAACAAGAGATATCCACGGTCGAGATCGACACAACCTTCGGACGACTGCTAGGTCTTACTGAAGGGCAGAAGGTATTTACCTCCGGCATATCAATCCAGAACTCATGTGTGGGGTAATTAACTCCTTGCAGGTCGGCCTCCTCGTACATCTTGACCCACCCGTCGCCCACACGATCAATATCGAGCCATTGACTCCAGAGGACTGGGAGAGTATGTTTCTGTATTAGGTGCTTTTCTCAAGTCCTCCCGCTGACCTTATTGTGTTGTAGTCATTGAACTTCACGCCACCTTCCTGGAGCTCAATCTCCTGTCGCAGATCCGAGCCCTCCCCAACCCTTCCTATGATGCTGCCGCCGCGGGGGAGGAGCATATGCACCCATTGGCGCTTCATCTGTCCCCCACATCGACCGCCAACATTATCGTCACATCCTTGACTCCAGCCCCATCAACTACATCGCCATTTGCGAAGATCGCCCCCGATGCCGAGGTGATAGTTGCCCCGAAGGTCCGATCAAAGACCTCTAAGTCACCGCGCGGCGAAAGCCGAAGTACGGCTAGTAGCAGCAGGAGGAGCGCCGGTGGTCGAAGTGCTAGTAGCACTGTTCGTCCCAAGAGCAGCCGCTCTGAATCCAGCAGTAGAGGTTCTCTATACCTCAGAGGCGTTGATCGCCTCACGGCATCTGAGATGTTCGAGCCGGAAGTTGAAGAGGACGAAGATGAAGGTCTCCGTGTCTGGGTTGATCCGGAGCTTTTGGTATCCCATGAACTCCGAGGCGCAAACTGGGCATGCGTATCCATTGTCCAGCCTTCCGGTCTGAAGCCTCCGGTGGATCCACAGCAGCAACTAGCTCAACAAGAGCAAAAGAACAACGAAGCGGGAGCTCCAACAACAAAGTTGGTAGCCAAGCTTCTTCCTTGGGAGGATGCTCCAGATAACAGTCATGTTGCGATGTCAACTCTTCTGTGCACGGCCCTAGGTGCAGAGAATCTAGTTGGGGGTATTGTTCGAGTGGAAGCTGCCCCACCACAACTGCATCGCTCTGCTGTTAAGACACTCAAGCTATATCCATTCATTGCCGATTCATCGAAGAAAAAGGACGGGCTGAAGTTCGGTGCTGACACCGCGGCTTCCCGTGACGCTCTTGCGGAGCGATTGAAGGTTATCTACGGAAGCACTGGATCGGATGTTGGACTATTTTCAGGGCCTCTGACGGATGGAATGATTCTTCCAAAGGTTGAGAACCACCCCTCAGTGTCATCTTTCGACGGCGCTATACTTCGATTCGATCCTCCCTTGAAGGGCGGCCCCGATGAGACTAAGACTATGTTTGGTTGGCTTCTTGGCTCCGAAGCGAAGCTCAACCTTGAGGTTCAAGCTGAAATTGCCAAGCCACTCGATATCAATTCATCTTCTCTGCCTTCAGATGATCCTATTCCAACCGAGATTCCTCTGATGGTTGGCATTGATTCGATCATCTCTCAGTCACTTACCAATATGACAAAGTCCTCGTCAATCTTGCTGACTGGAGGTCTCGGAGCTGGAAAGACCGCACTCACGCATCTCCTGGCTAGTCGCCTGCGAAAAGAGCATCTGTTCAATGTAAAATATTTCTCTTGCCGCAAGCTTGTCACGGACGAGACCAGAATATCCAACATCAAGGAGGTTCTGAACCGTCTATTCATGTCTGCTTCGTGGTGTGCTCGTCTTGGTGGGCGTGCAGTAGTGATTCTTGACGACCTTGATAAACTGTGCCCCGCGGAGACGGAAATGCAAGTCGGAAATGACAATGGTCGCAGTCGCCAGAATAGTGAAGTCATCTGCTCAATGGTCCGCGAGTATTGCTCAATGAACTCTTCCGTTGTTCTGATGGCCACTGCTCAAGACAAGGAATCTCTGAACAACGTGATCATCGGAGGCCATGTAGTCCGCGAGATCATTAACATGCGTGCCCCCGACAAGGAGGGGCGTCGAAAGGTTCTGGAGAAGCTTACTAGCCACGACAAACCGACGGAATCCCTCAATGGTCATGCGCGTACCACAAGTTCCTCGACTCAGGACTCATGGCTGGATCCTTCAAACCCTGGAAGCCGCCCAAGCTCGTCTGGTGGCGATGGATTCGTCTTGGATCGTGATGTGGACTTCCTCGAGCTGGCAGGTAAGACCGATGGTTACATGCCTGGTGATCTTGTCCTGTTGGTTGCTCGTGCCCGTAATGAGGCTCTCATTCGCTCCGTTCAGGATCTGTCATCCGAAAGCAAGATGATTACTCTCGGTTCCGCGGATTTTGACAGCGCGTTGAAGGGATTTACTCCAGCGTCTCTCCGCAATGTTACTCTCACCTCTTCGACAACCACCTTCTCAGCGATCGGTGGTCTATTCGAAACCCGCAAGACCTTACTCGAGACATTGCAGTACCCTACAAAGTACGCACCTATCTTCGCACAATGTCCCCTTCGTTTACGGTCCGGTCTGCTATTGTACGGCTTTCCTGGTTGCGGTAAAACACTTCTGGCCAGCGCTGTGGCAGGTGAATGTGGCTTGAACTTCATTAGTGTTAAGGGTCCCGAGATCCTGAACAAATATATCGGTGCTAGTGAAAAGAGTGTTCGCGATCTCTTCGAAAGAGCTCAGGCCGCACGTCCCTGTATTCTCTTCTTCGATGAGTTTGACAGTATTGCTCCGAAACGTGGCCACGACTCCACCGGTGTCACTGATCGTGTGGTCAATCAACTTCTTACACAGATGGACGGTGCTGAAGGTCTCTCGGGCGTCTACGTTCTAGCCGCCACATCGCGCCCCGATTTGATTGACCCTGCTCTTCTCCGTCCCGGTCGTTTGGACAAGTCTCTCCTGTGTGACATGCCTTCTCAAGCCGACCGCGTCGACATTATCAGCGCTGTTAGCTCGAAGCTGAAGATGAGCAAGGAGGTGGCTGGCCGTCTGGACGAGATCGCTTCAAGGACAGAGGGTCTTTCTGGCGCCGATCTACAAGCCGTTGTATACAACGCTCACCTAGAAGCCGTCCACGACGCACTTGGCGATCGCGCCAGTGATGAAAAGCCCGGCGCAAAATCGAGTGCTACTAAGAATGCTTCGACAAGTGCTTCCAACAGGTCGTTCATTCAATTCCTCTACTCTTCTCAAGAGGAAGCGACTGGTTCTTCCTCCCTGCCGTCACCAGCTGTGGTCGCGGCAAAACTAGAGGCAATTAAGAACTCGCGTCGTCGTCAGCGCCAGATCGAGAATGGAACAGCCAATAATGGTCCTGCTGCTGCCCCGGCTACCAATGGTGCCAGTGCCGGTGCCGATGCCTCTGCGGATGAAATGCGGGACGAAATCATCGTGCGATGGGAGCACGTTGAGCGTTCTCTTGCTACCACTCGTTCTTCTCTGAGTTCAACTGAGCGCAGACGCCTCGAGGGTATTTATCGTGAGTTTGTCGATGGCCGCGATGGTAAAATGCCAAATGGCGAGGCTACCAATGAGATTGGCGGTCGATCGAGTCTGATGTGAGCTGGGCTATCGGTTCAAGTTACTACTACCTTTTTATTCATCCTGCTCAAGGGAGGCTTTTCTGTACATTGTATATATACACTTGCATATTTGATGTTTACTCCCCGGTATCCCGGCTCTTTCTTGTATTTATTGATTCGGCACAATCACCCTCCAGTCGTGCATTGCTTTGGAAGTTGAAATTACACATATCCAAGGTTTACAGCGTGAATTTCGGCTCCTAGACCTCTTCCTCCAGGGCTCCCTACCTTGAAGTAAAATGATCGTATCATCGACAGAAATCACATCACGCCTTCTTCAAGTTTTCACGCCGGGGAAAGATCTTACTACTAGAAGAGTAGAAGAAGCATACAAGCACTTTGATTTTTGTTACCCAACTAGTACGATGGATCATTCCCTATCCAAAGCAAACTGAACTAACTTCTCAAGCTTCACCCACTCAGCACTAACAAGCGGCTTCGCCGTACTCGGATCAATACCATTAGCCTTAAACTCAGCATGAACCTGCTGAAAATTGGCCGCGACCAATTTCTTAAATCCAGGCACAGTACAACTCTCCATCTGCTTACTAGCCAAATCAGCAAGAATATACCACAGTATATAATGAAAGTTGATCCCAAAGTCGTGCAATTGAATAGGATCTGCCGGGTCAGGCTCATATCCCTGAGACAAGAAGATGGCCAACTTCGCCAGAATCCACGCGTGCACGTGTCGGACTGGGTGTGCGGGACTGTACAATATAGGGTCGACGCGGAGGTATCGAATTGCAGCGTGGATAAATGTTTTGCTGAAGCTATTGGCTGAGAGGAGGGCTACGATCAGGTCGTCGCGGAGAGAAGCGTATGGTTGACGCGTTAAGGGCCAGCCGGATGCTGACTTTAGGGTGTGGAGGGCCTTTTCGAGGTTTTTGATCGTTTCGGCTGGTGTTGTGCTTGATGCACTGGCGGTTTGCATTAGTTCTAGTGCTTTTCGCTCGGCTTCTTCGAGGGCGGTTTTTTCTGCTTTTTCTTCGGTAGAGGAGTATTCTTTGAAGTTGAGCTTTTCTTCTTGGGTGTCGGCGCATTTCGGACATTTGCAGTCGAAGAAATATCTTTCGGATAGTTCTTTGCGCCGGACTTGTTTCGGGGTCGTTGTGTCGATGTAGGATATGAAGATTTCTTCGTCTTTTTTGATTGGACGAATTGCCTTGACGAATAGCTCCTCTCCGTCGAATCCGACAGTCGAGTTATACTCGCAGCTATGGTTGATCAGAGCCGCGTAAGGATGCATGTATAGCCCGACTCGGTCGTAAAGGGCGGTTGTCAGATTGAATGAGTTGAGCTCAAGCTAGGATATCGGTTAACGGAAATCCTTTAAGGGGTATATTGATTCGACAGTGTCAAATTTTCAAGATCCTCTTACCTGAGCTGCGTAAGTCATGATAACATTCTCGGTCATATCTGTCTCCGAGTAGTTCTTGACAGCTTTCGAGGTCGAGATAATCCGGTCGAGGTTGGCTTGAAGCTCCTGAATCTCATTCATATGCGTCTCGAGCTTGGAAAGAGTATCCAGCTCCTGAGAACTGTATTTTCCGCGACCAGTGCGAACAACCATGCGCATGATAGCGCGCGCGTTGTTGGGCAGGACATTAGGCTTCACCTTCTGGTAAATAGGACATTCCCCCGCGTGGGCGAATTTCCAATCTTTAGATTGACAGGTCTAGAGTTTTCAAAGGTTTATTAGAAGATTTTCTCGGGGCAAAATCAATCATCAAAATCGATATACAGACGCAGATGCAGGCAGTCCCGCCACACGAACCAATCAATCGCCCGCATAAGAATAAAAACAGACGAAACAAAGATAATAGTTATGGAGCTTGAACTGACTCACCCGATCGCAGTATTTAACCACCCGACACCCCGTACAAGCCTTTAGCTCTGCACTATTTTCCATCTGCCTTTTTCCAAAGCAGCCGGAGCAGGTATCTTCCAGGCGCGACGTATCAAGAACGGCCACAAACGGCACTTTGGCGTGCATCACATCTTCACCGACATTTATATCCGAGGTGGCAAAGAGGCCATTGCCCATGTCCCCGGAGGAACGTGGCTCTGTTTTGGTACTGACAGATGGTAGAGGACTCCGAGAAGACATTTTTCAGGATGGTTGTGATGTGCATTCCACCGCCAATATCGCTCTCTGATATACGCGGGAAGATGCTGATCTGGATTAGTCATGTGCATTTGACCTCTTTGGCCCACGCCTGGTAGATACCCTAAGGTAGACTATTCCAATTTGTTCAAGGGCAGCAGATCATTTTCTGTTCTAGCGATAGGGGAAATGAAAACTAGGCACACGCAATCCTACACAGACACTACATTTGTCTACCAGGAGGAACAAGAATAATATAGAAAAGTTCTTTTGTCGCTGAAACACAAAACCAATCGACTACAAACAAATTCCCGGCAAAAAAACAGGTAAGAAGCAGACCCAATTCGTTAGGCAAGATATAGATCATTTGGGAGACGGAGGGAAATGTGTTAAATGTAACTCTGAATTCCAACCAACATTTCATTTCGCCACAGGGGAAAAAAGGAAAAACCTCAAGTACCATCCAAAAAAGAAACCGAATATAGAGCGGGAAAAAGAGAGAAAAGGAAAAATGCACGCCATCTATCAACAAGATACCCTATAGCCTACTACACCGTCGTGACAAGGTATGACAAGGGGTGTTAGGCAGGCTCGCCTAGTTGTGTTGTGTTGTGTTGTGGCGTATTTGGGGAGAGGGCTCTTTCTGTCATTTTGTGCAAGGGTTTAAATTATCAATTTACAGCAGCTTGCCGCCGACGAACTCGGACCAGCTGCGGACCTCGGAGGGAATACCCTCCTGGCGGGGCATCTTCTCGTTCATGCACTGAGCGAAGAGTTGGGCAGTCTGTGAAAAGGTTAGTATAAGTGTAGCAATAACGTGAATGGAGATGCAAATGCTTACCTTGGGCTCCATGAAGAGGGGAACGCTGAAGTCGACAGCGTTACGGCGCATCACGTAGTCCTCATCCAGCTGGGTCTTGCCGCGGGTCTTGGCCAGGTTGAAGCAACCACGGATGTCGTACTTCTCGAAGACCTCACGGAGGGCACGCTTGTCCTTCTTGGGGAAACTCGATGACCTGGACGGAGGCGTTGTCCTTGCAGGTCTTCTCGATGTGAGCCTTGACCTCAGGGTTGGCAGCGTAGAACTTGTAGCCCAGAGGGTTCAGGTAGTCGACGATATTGGCCAGGTAAGGCTGGGTGACATCACCGCCAAGCAGGATACCCTCGCCAGACTCAGGCATGCGGAAGTTCATGGTGGACTGGAGAGAGGACCAGTAGGCCTCGACCAGGTCCTTACCGAAGCAAGCAATCTCACCAGTGGAGGACATCTCGACGCCCAGGAAGGGGTCAGCACCAGCCAGACGGGTCCAGGAGAACTGGGGAACCTTAGTGGCCAGGTAGTCACGCTTCTCAGCCATCAGGTCAACGGGCTCGGGGACATCACGACCGACGAGAGCCTTGGTGGCGACGTCAATGAAGTTGGTACCCAGGACCTTGCTGACGAAGGGGAAAGAGCGAGAGGCACGCAGGTTGCACTCGATGACCTTCAGCTGGGGCTCAGCACCCTCCGCGTCGGCCTTGATGATCTGCATGTTGAAGGGACCGGTGATGTTCCAGGCCTTGGCGACCTTCTCAGCGATCTCCTTGACACGGCTCATGATGGAGGCATCGAGGTTGGCAGGGGGCAGGACCAGAGTGGCATCACCAGAGTGGACACCAGCGGGCTCAACGTGCTCACTGACGGCGTGGAGGATGAGGTTACCGTTGGAGGCGACAGCGTCAACATCGATCTCCTCAGCACCCTCGATGAACTTGGTGATAACAACGGGGTGGTCGGGGGAGACAGCGGAAGCGTTGAGAAGCTTCTCCTTGAGCTCATCAACACTGTAGATGACGTTCATGGCGGCACCGGACAGAACGTAAGAGGGACGGACCAGAACGGGGTAGCCGACGGAATCGGCGAACTTCTCGGCCTCGGAAACGGAGCTCAGCTCCTTCCAGGCGGGCTGGTCGACACCAATGCTGTCCAGGATCTGGGAGAACTTGTGACGGTCCTCAGCTTTGTCAATATCCTCGGGGTTCGTACCAAGAACAGTAGCGTTACCAGTCTCCTGGAGACGCAGAGCAATGTTCTGAGGAAGCTGGCCACCGACAGACACTACGACACCACTGGAGTTCTCGAGCTCGTAGATATCCATAACACGCTCGTAGCTCAGCTCCTCGAAGTACAGCTTGTCAGCGGTATCGAAGTCAGTGGAGTAGGTCTCGGGGTTGTAGTTGATCATGACAGTCTTCTTGCCCATGTTGCGCAGAGACAGGGTGGCGTTAACGGCACACCAATCGAACTCAACGGAGCTACCAATACGGTAAACACCGCTACCCAGGATGATGATTCCATGGTCATCGAAGCTGACATCGTGGGAGGTAGCGTTGTAGGTGGTGTACAGGTAGTTGGTGTCGGCAGGGAACTCAGCAGCCAGGGTATCAATCTTCTTAACCCAAGGAGTGATACCGAAGGACTTACGGCGAGCACGGACATCATCCTCAGAGGCACCAACCAGGAGGGAGATCTGCTTGTCAGAGAAGCCGAGCTTCTTGGACTTCATCATCATCTCGGGCTTGACACCGAAAAGGCTGCCAATCTCCTTCAGCTCGTTGTGGCAGTCAACGATGTTCTGGATCTTGTACAAGAACCACTTGTCGATCTTGCTGAGCTCGTGAACCCGGTCAACGGTGTAGCCCTCGTGGAGCATAGCCTGGCCAACGGCCAACCAGCGGCGGTCAGTGGGGTTCGTGAGAACATCATCAAGGTTCTCGAAGTGGTCACCCTGGAGACCAAGGTACTTAGGGTCGACCTGGCGGATAGCCTTCTGGAGGGACTCCTCGAAGGTACGGCCAATAGCCATAACCTCACCGACAGACTTCATAGCACTGCCGATGTCACGGTTGACGTGCTGGAACTTGCTCAGATCCCAACGGGGGATCTTGGTGACAATGTAGTCCAGACTGGGCTCGAAGTTGGCAGTGGTGGTCTTGGTGACGGCATTGGGAAGCTCGGGAAGAGTGTGGCCGAGACCAATCTTGGCAGCAGTGTAGGCCAGGGGGTAGCCAGTGGCCTTGGAAGCCAGAGCAGACGAACGAGACAGACGGGCGTTAACCTCAATGACACGGTAGTCGAGTCCATCGGGCTGCAGAGCGTACTGCACGTTACACTCACCAACGACGCCCAGGTGGCGGACGATCTTGATGGCGGCAGTACGGAGCATGTGGTACTCCTCATCGGACAAAGTCTGACTGGGGGCAACGACGATAGAATCACCGGTGTGAACACCGAGGGGATCGAAGTTCTCCATGTTGCAAACAGTGATGCAGTTGTTGGCAGCGTCACGGACAACCTCGTACTCGACCTCCTTCCAGCCCTTCAGGGACTTCTCAACGAGAATCTGGGGAGCGAGAGACAGAGAGCGGGAAGACAGATCACGCAGCTCATCGGCGTTGGAAGCGAAGCCAGAACCCAGACCACCCAGGGCGTAGGCGGAACGGACGATGATGGGGTAGCCAACCTCCTCGGCGGCCTTCAGAGCATCATCAACGGTCTCGACAGCAACGGACTCGGCAATGGGAATGTTGATCTCGTTCAGGGCCTGGGAGAAAAGCTCACGGTCCTCACTGGTCTCGAGAGTCTTAATGCTGGTTCCCAGGACCTTGACGCCATAGCGCTCGAAGATACCCATGCGGTTCATCTGAACACCCAGGTTCAGACCAGTCTGACCACCGAAGGTGAGCAGGATGCCATCGGGACGCTCGCGCTCAATGACGTGGGTGACATATTCGGGAGTGACGGGGAGGTAGTAGACCTCATCGGCCAGCTTGTGGTCGGTCTGGATAGTCGCGATGTTGGGGTTGATCAGGACGGACTGGACACCAGCCTCCTTGAGGGCCTTGAGAGCCTGGGAGCCTAATTGAAGCAAAGCAGAACATTAGTTACTGCCGTGAGGGGGAAGCAGCTGGGGAAATTGTGTGAAGATGGCGAAACGACGCTCCATGTGATTCTCCGCGGGAGAGAAGGAGAGCACGCGAGCTCCCTCGCATTCACTCCGGTGCGGAGATATCACACTCATGCGTCATCCCAATTCCATTTCACGCATTGAACATACCGGAGTAATCGAATTCACCAGCCTGGCCAATGCTCAGACCACCGGAACCAATGACCAGGACCTTCTTCACGTCAACGAGGTTGCTGCCAGTCTTGACGGCACCGCTGTTGAGGTAAGACTCAGCAGTGGGAGTCTGCTGGGCCTCGGCCAGGCGACGGATCGAGCTGGAGAAGGAGCGCAGCTGCTGGGAGCGAGCCGGCGAGGGGAGCTTCTGCAGGCGCAGGGCCGATGCCGTGGAGCGAACGGAGGTCTGAGAGGTGAAAGTGCGGAGAGACAAGGCCGGGCGAGCCTCAACGAGGCATCGCTGGCGCAGGAGGGTGGCAGCCTGCCCACAACGAGCTGCAAGAACCATGGCGGCGCGAAAGCGTCGGAGACAGCAGTTCAATGGCTCGAAGGTGGGAACTTGAAGTGGTTGTAGAAGATGAGTCCTCGATGCTGCGGAGGTCTTTTTTTTCCCCCACCGCTTCGCTAATTGGCCGCCCCTTCACCGTACGTGCTCCACTTCTCTTTTCTTCCAACGAAAAGAAAAAGATTGTCGGGAAGTCAATTGCAGTGAGAAAAGGATAACTAATTGTTCTAGAGTGTCAGGATATAATAAAAGACTGAATTGACTGAATAGAGTGGATTAATCCCAAAAAATTCCGTGTTGTCAAGTTTGTCAATTTTTTCTGCATTTTTGCGCCGGCTGAATGAGTCAATCAATAGTTGACAGTGACTGTGGATATCCTGGGGCTCCCCATGACGCTGCGTCAGTGTTAAATTGTTAAATTATTTACTACTAGTAGTACTGGTACATAGAGAATTTAGATAGGTATGCACAAAGCACACCTTTCATGGTACACTCGTATAGACAATTCAATTAAGATTGAATTCAGTCCGTATTTTGACAATAATATAACAACTGATGCACATACCAAATAAGTGGTTGGGGTGCGCCGATGCCGGACAAACTAGGGCCATCCTGGGCCACTCTGGGCCACCTTGGGGCACCCTTACTGGTAGCCATTGGTAGCCATTGGTAGCCATTGCCAGCCACTGGCACTTCTTATCTGTGCAGGATCGACGTCTCGCCAGCCCGGGCCGGCACTCTTTCGTCTTATCTTCTTACGAGAAAATTTGTCTCTAGCCTTACGAGTAAGGATCTGCTAGCACTTAGGGTATGACGAACGAGGAAAATACATACATAGTCCATGTAAACGTCTATCAACTCGTTCCCCTCCATCTAGTCCGAATACTGTATATCGTAGCTTCTCCCAATTGAGGGCATTTTCATGCATATCAATTGATGCAATAACAATCCACCTCATCTGCAAGTCCCAGTAATGCGACTGACTGAAATACCCCTCATTCAATTCCCACTCGCCCATTCAACCCTCCCCAGGGCCCCTTGGCACGTTTTTCCTGTCGAGACCCACTTGCCCCTCGTCCTGTGCGAGCTTCGGAGGCCCATATATCTGACGCTTCCGAGTCCTGCTCCACACCCTGACGCATGACCTCATCTAGATCTTGATTAAGTATATCGTACACTTCGCCGAGTGTCTTGCGGGCATCCTGCGTAACCTCCGTCCCCAATGCAATCTTCTGCTGTACATATTCTCGCCCCTGTGTACCCGCTGCGTTCGAGGCAAATGACCACGCTTCGGCGAGACTGACCAGCTCATCGGGCGGGTTGGTATCAGTACGAGTATTCTGGACTGGCTTGCGAGAATTGAGGGCGGCAACGGCATGTTTGAAGCGTGGTTGTCGGGCTAGAATAGGGTATTCGGGGAGGAGATGACTTTCGTCACGGAGACGGTGTAGAGCCCGGAGAGTGGTAGATTTTTCTTTCGCGAGAAGACTGGTTAAATAGGTTTTTTGGAGTGCCATTGCCTTTTGGCTCTTGGATAGTGGAGCGAGGTTCTCCGTCGCGAAGACCAACACATCTAACGGGTCAGGTGCTGGTACTTCTTCAGTAGGGATCTCGGGGCGTTGGCTTGGTCGGAGTGCAGGCTTAGTTGTCACGGTCACAGGTTGACAGGCCTTGGATGCGACATCGAGTAGTTCCCGTCGAGCCTTGAGGTAGGCGGCATATTGCTCGCTGATATTGGCCTTTTGTTCTTCGATGAGATGTTGGGCCTCTTCAATCTCCTCCGGCGGTAATTCTTGTACCATACTCTCGTCAGGATCTCCTTCGCTGATGAGACGTTCCTCGACCCATTGCACTAACTCATCACGGGTACGTCGTAGGGCTTGGAGTTTGACGGCGGGCGTAGGTTCGCGTGGGGGTGTCCCTTCTCTCGACTCATGTCGCGACTTGACTCTCTCGAAGAGCTGCTTTTCCCGATCCAATTGCGCCCGGGCACGAACCACCGCTCGTTCAAGGTTATGAACCAGACCTTCGAGATCTGTATGAGAGTCACGGTTGCCACGATCAGGTCCCTCAGCCTCTAGACCCTCCGAAAGTAGCAAGTCTTGATTAGGACTCTCCCGGGCATCGAGATCCTCTGCCCGATCTGCAGATCCATTCACTTGGAGCTCAGCAAGATAATGCTCGAAGACCTTCAATTTGGCATGACGACGTCGATCGCGCAGCAGCAGGAGATAATCTCGCAGCTCCGCCCCAGGTTCCTGGGGATCGACAGGGTCAGCAGGGCGGTGCCTGGTTGCCCTTTGACGTCTCAGCGAGGCCACATCCTCTGACACAGCCTGCAGCCCCTTCCTAGCAGCGACATTGGCCTGGAGTGCCTTTAGGTATTCCTTTCGTAGTCCCGGGAGATCAGCAGGGATGCGCTTCACGTCGGCGACGGCGTCGGTCGGCGCGCATAGAGCGAGGTAGGATTGGGCGATGTTCGGGTCGGCATCTTCGGTGTAGACGATAAAGGAGCGCAGGTATAATGTCAGGGCTTGTCGAATGCGGAGAGCCTCTTGTCGGGGCTTGATGTAAGGAGCGAGCGGTTTCACGAAGGGTGGAATGTGGGTAGGGGGGGTCGTCGGGTCGGGTCATGGTGTCATTGGTAGGGAGTTGCCAGAGTTGCCACGGCTAAGTGCCTCGTACCCAGTGGCTAGCAGGCACTACAGTAGGTATGGAGTCAGATTGAATCCTGGAACCTCGCAGACAACAAACTTGAAGATATGTCGACACTTTCGTTGTTGTTTTGCCGATTTGGGATGCTTAGTCATGCCGATCAACCATGGAGTTTACAGTACAACTAGTGAGTACATTAATTAGTACATATTGTTTTGGAGCTGCGAGGAGTTTCTCGGCTTGCTTATCTTCGGACTAGGATGGTGACGTGTAGTGATGCCCAAAGATGTGGTCGATCGACCAGTTGAGACATTTCAAGTAGAAGTATATATCTCGTCATAGATCAGCGAAAGTGGTTCATACTTTATGAACCAGGTGGACTGGAATGCTGTTATATATGCTTTCAAGTTCATAAAACTTATGGCTACTACAGACTCTGGATTCCAAGGCTTCGCGCTAACCTGGGCAAATAATGACCAGTCGATTGATCACCTGCAACTGGTGCTGTGAGTGTGCCCAGGATGGTCACTACCTAGGGAGGGGCTTCCCCTGTCATAATTTGAACTTCCAAGGTTATAAGTAATCACCTCCCTGCACCAACCTTCATCAGATGATCATCATCACCCACACTCTGGAATGTTTCAAGTTCACTGGAGAATTCCGATCAAGGGGCTGCTGTTTTGATCAGCTCTGCCACGCCTTCGCTGCCCGACGCTAAAACACTGCCCTCCGAGTCTGTTTATAGTTCGCTGGCCAGCTGCTCTTTGTTCGAGTTCCTTTATGCCTTCTGCAGGTTCAGAGGAGCTCTGCCATTGATACCCATCTCATCCCTGTCCCTGCTGTTTGCTCAGATCTGGCATCATGGCCCCCGATCTCAGTGGCCTGGATTCCACTCCCCGTCGACCCCGCGCCGCTACCTCGGCGCTACCAGCCATGGTGACACCCTCCTATGCGGCTCCTACCCAGCACTCAGGGAGCCCACCGCTGGGATCGAGTGAGTATGGTATCACGAGTACAGCTCAAGGTAAGCTTCTCCCGCCACTTCTTTCTGTTATCGGATGATCTTTTGGAAACCTCGGAACTAACTGGTTCACCAGGGCCACTGCGGCATCCCAAACCCCTCACCCCATCGGATCTCCATATGGTCTTGGAGAAGGAGCAGGAGGCGATGGTGAGTTCAACTCGAACCGAGAGGCTATTTTTAATACACCGAATACCAGTACCTAACACAAGTTTCTGATCTAGGTGAATCGGTTGACCCGCGAACTTTCCCTCCTCCGTCAACAAACCACATCCACAGCATCGACAGCTTCTTCCACCTCCAATTTCAATGATTCTACGGATGGCCACTACACATCCCCGAACCTGGGAAGTTCGACTCGCTCGCAATCTTCCCGTCGACAGCGATCTTCATCCAGTCTCAGTGCCCACGCCCCGTCAGCCCCAGCTCCTCGAACTGGAAGCGTGACGGGGATTGCTCCCTCTCGCGAAGCGCCAACTCGCCCCGTTCGCAGTCGCGAGGCATCTCTGACATCTCGCCGACCGTCAGTCGGGTCCTTGCCGTCTTATTCACATTGGCATTCGCAATACCCCCATGGTGAAACCTACGGTAGCAGTCCTACCATTTATCCTCACCGGAACTCGGTGTCGCAAACCCACCTTGGTCACACCGGTACCCCCATGTCACGATGCGAGGAAGCTGCATTCCACAAGTCGGAGTTTGATATTGTCAGACGAGAGAACGATATGCTTCGGAGACGGGTGCGGGAGCTGGAGAGTACGTTAAAAAAACTGAAGGAGGGACATTCTGAGGGACCGACAGGAGCGGACTTGGAGATTTAGTGTTAGTTCATTTCTTCTTGACGCATAGCCCGGAGCGTTGCACCTTTCGATTACATTTCTGGACACTGCAGGCAGACATAAATTAAGGAAGCGTTCTTTTATTTTTATTCTTATTTCTATCTTTGATTTCTGTACAGTACGAGTACCTTCTAGCAACACATCGATTGCCATGGAGCACCGTAAACCGTACGGTCCCCACTAATATAGATAGTAACCACTAATCATCGAACCCGTACTCGTACTAGTTACTAGTCCTAGCACAAGCACTGGAGCCTTGATGAATTTAGATTTAATTTGCAGTAGCCTGAGGCGGTGCAGTCCACCGCTACGTCACCTGTGGCGTACCTACGTGGTTCTAGCCTGTGACTGTGACAGCATCATCTCTCTGGAGTATTTAGTCCTGTTTGCGTGCCCCTCCTGATTCCCTTTCGCACTTCTTTCCCATTTCCATTCAGCTTTTTACAAAGATACCCTACGATAACCATGTCTACCCACGCTACTGTTCAGGTTTCCGGCATCTCGCCTGCAACCTCTGAGAAAGATGTTCGCGACTTCTTTAGCTTCTGGTATACAGCTCCCACGACAGGCAGACACCATACTATATTTTACATTGCTAACCAAGTCTCCTCCCAATAGTGGCAAGATTGTGACTCTGTCCATCACTCCCGTCTCATCTGAGGCCGATTCTCCCAAGTCCGCCAGTGTGACATTCGAGAAGGAAGCGTAAGCTACCCCGCACCGCGTTTCACTGTATCCAAATGGCGCCACTTCCCCTTCCCCTTTCCCCTTCCCTCCACCTACAATCCCCAAACCCCCATGTAACAAAATCTGACCTTATCCAGCGCCGCCAAAACCGCCCTCCTCCTCGACCAAACCCAATTGGGCGGCTCCCCCGTCCACGTCGAACCAACCTCCAACATCAACGACCTCGCCGGACCCCAAGCCACCGGGGCAAGCGAAAAGACCGACGACGAGCATGAAATCGCACAGGAAGATAAGCCCCGTTCGCGCATTCTAGCCGAGTACCTAGCACACGGCTACGTGGTCAGCGACGGCGCAATTCAAAAGGCGATCTCCCTGGACCAAAAGCACGGTTTCTCAAGCCGTTTCACTAGCGCACTAAGCAACTTCGATAACAAGTTCAACGCTACCGGCCGCGCGAAGGATATCGATGAGAGCTACAAGATCTCTGATAAGGCGGCCACAGGCTGGCGCGGTCTGAACCATTACTTCGAGAAGGCCCTTGAGCATCCTCACGGCCAGAAGTTGCGCGACTTTTACGTCCAGACTGATAAGCAGGTCCGGGATATTCACAATGAGGCTCGTCGTCTCGCTGATCTGAAGCTTGGTAAGGGCGGCGCTGAGGGTGATGCTACTACTGCTACTACTGCTACTACTGCTGCGCCCGCTGATACCTCTGCTGTTGCCGCTGCTGCGCCTGCTGAGGCTGCCGCCGTTGCTCCGGCTGTTGTTCCTGCTTCTGAGCCTGCTGGCTCGGTGCCACCCGCCGAGCCTAAGGCTTAGAGTGGTGTGATTCGGTCGGATAGTGATACCTTTCCTTTACTGGCGTGATTCTTTAGGGTCGTGTTGATATCGACTTTGCTTTCTGTGTCTACCATGTCTCGTTCATAATGGCTTCTTTCCCGGGACGAATTTACGATTGCAATGTATTTGTTTCCATGGTCGTTTTGATGCAAATAAGCGAATATGAATAATAGGAATATCCCCTATTCTACTTCCACCTCTGTACTAGGTTTTCCGTAGCCAAGACCCCCCACCCACGTGTAAGAGCTTAAGTAAAGATAAAAATATCGTTCGAATAGGTCATGCCATAAACATTCTTAAATTTTTAAGTAGAGTTATCCATAAACATTGAGTTGGGTTTCATTCGAAGTATGCTTGTAGTACCCCTCATAAATCATCTCATCAAAAAACAAAAAGAAAACGCCCTATTTCGCATACTTCGCCGCCTCGATTCTCTCATATTCGTGTTCAGGGTTGCTTTCCAAGCTGTGCCGCTTCTGCTGCTCTGACTTTTGCTGGGCAAATTCCGGTGCTGGGCGTGCGTTGCCCATTGTGGAGCCGATCTTGCCGCTGCCTGGGACGTCGTGCTGTTGGGCATCGGTCAAAGTGGATGGGTCTGGGGACTGGCGGCCGGGTAATTGCGACGACATGATGTTGAGGTTTGAGAAGATAGGTGAGAAAAGAGTTCGATGGTTTCTGCGTCGACGATGTGTTAGATTTGTTCGGAAAAGATGTAGGTGGCGACTAAGTCTGGTGTGGTGTATAGATCAAGCAGCCGACTCTTCACTCACCTCTTTCTGAATTCAGGGTAGATGGTATAGTAAGTACAATCGTTCGGTTGGATTGAATTAAATGATATGTTGGAAATCTAGAATCAAGCTCATTTAAGTTACCATTTATTTCCAACAAACGTGATCACCTAAACCAGGCATTCTGGATTTTCCATCATCATGACGTTACAACATGCCGCCGCTCGCGGGGAGCGGTTTGCAACAGGTTCTCCCAGCATAATCAACTTACGGGTTTACCACTGTTTGCTACTTGTCGGGTTTGAGATTCAATTGGATCGAGGCCCGTTAGTGACATCATTGTATATCATCACGCGCGACGCGAACACACATCACATAGGGAGACGTATAGATAAACAATCCAAACCCGTAGTCAAAGGGGGAAATCTAGTAAAGATCTACGTTTCGAAATAAATTTTGAACTCAGTATTTGTGATGAAGCTGATGTACTATATCGTGAGGGGGATGTTCTTGGGGGAATCTGTGCAGGGAGGCGGATTAGAAAGGGCAGTGGGGTAGCGACTTTTTGAGAGCACATCAGCGGGACATGAGAGGAAGAAAAGAAAAAGAGGAAACATAAGCACATATAAACGGGGGAGCAAGACGTGATCTAAACAGTGGGATGATGACATGAAATTGGCATATGTCTCGTGAGAAAGGATGCGAGAGAGATCCTAAAACGAAACCAGACATTGAAGCAGTGACCAGCATGGTACTAGTATTTGAACTCTGTGAAGTACTGCTGGTCTATTGGTTGCCGTTGGACTGCATACCCGCTGCAGCGTCGGCTTCGGCGTTGGCAGCAGCGACCATAGCCTTGGCGTCGGCCTCGTGGAAGACGGCCTGAATAATCTGTTGCTCGTCGGGGCCAAGGACCTTGATCAGGCTGTCATACAGCTGGGGCTGCTCTGACTGGAGGTCTATAGAGATCGTTAGTGAATGCAAAATAGTAGATAGGTGAACATGTAAGGCGACGTACTCAGGAATACATTCTTGAACATGCCGTACGGCTCAAGCTTGTCCAATGGAGTCTCAAGTAGACTCTCCTCGTCCATCTCATCTTCAAACTCGTCATCGGCGAACGAGCCGAATTTCCGAGCCTCCTGGTTGAGGAATTCGAGGTAGGCAGCACTCTCATCCGCAACGTCACCATCAAGGGCAGCTGCAGTCTCACCCTCTTCCTCGTTCCATTCGACTTCACCATCCCAGTCATTGTCCTCATCTTCATCGTCAAAGTCGTCATCGAGAGTGAAGTCGGACTCTTTGGTAGTTTCATCGCGTTCTAAAATAGAATGTTAGTAATCAAATATAAAGTCGGGTGGATCCCGGGGTACATACGCTTAAGAGCAGCAGGCAGAGTCTGGAAGAGTCTTGTCACACCCTGCAGCAGCCTTGGCCAGCCCTGTTGGACGCTGACGGGAACATCACCCGCCTTCATGGTAAGAAGCGAGCTGATGGCGGCAATAGACAGCTTCTTATCGTGAACACGACGGAAGTTGTCGATGTTGGAGAACCAGAGGCTGAAGAACTTGTTAGTCCAGCCCTTGGCCTCCAGGACCTGGAGACTGAGAACGGGGTTGTAGTAGATGGCATTGATGGTCATCTCCATCAGGTGGATGCGGTAAGTCTTGGCCTTCACATCGGCGGGGTCAAGGATGCTCATGGACAACTCGATGAAAAGAGGAATATACTGGTCGATGCTGCCGCGAAGGTTGAGCATGAGAGCCTCAGCGAGCTTGGCAGCACTGATGCGATCAACACCACCGATACTCTCGTTCCGGAAGATATCCTCCACCATTCCAGCGAGGGCACCAATGTAAGCTGGGTTTTGAACCAGCATGTCGGATCCATAAGAAACATAATTATCGAGTGCAGGGAGCATATCCTCCAGGTAGAGCTCAGCGCCGCCCTTGAAGGTCTTGTGGATCAGCTCAAATGCTTGCCACATGGTGGGCGAAATATTTTTGGATGCAAATGTGCAGCTGTCGATGATCTCAAAGATTTCGTTGTACAAATCGTAGAGCTTGTTCTCCAATGTGATGCTGATAACTGGCATCAGAATGGTCTCGAGATGCAAGAGAACGTCAGGAGTGCTCTCAAGGGTCAGAATGAGGGTTCCGATGGTCTGTAGAACACCCAATGCGGTGATACTCTTGTCGTCCAAAAAGTCACCAAAGCCCTCCTCATCACCCTTGGTGGCGTTTCGCTCAAGAACTTCACCAACAATGCGCATGTAGGTGTCGCGCAGTTGCTCACTCAGGGCCACGGCGAAAGGAGTCAGTTCCGCAGAGAAAACTTCAACAAAGTCCTCCATGACGTTGGCCAGAGCATCAACATCAACCTCGTTGGCCAGCTTAAGAAGCTGCTGCATAATCTGCGGGATGTTCTGCTGCATCGATGTACGGATGACATCGTGGCGGATCAGCGGCTGCAGGGCAAGAGCGGCTTCCACACGGACGGGCAGTTCGGAATCAGTCATCGACTCCAGGATATTGCGGTAGATAACCATAAGGTTGTTGGGGTCTTTGAAGTCAAGCTGTTCAAACTTCTCGAGGGTGTCGCAAGCCCGGGCACGCAGGAATCCATGAGGACTGCGGAATTCAGGGAAAACGTGTCTGACGAAGAAGTATTCGACCTGATCCGCGATAGGGCTCTTCTTGCCCAGAATGACCGAAGAAAGAGAGCCAATCATACGCAGAGCACCCTCCTTCTCTCGGGGAAGCTTTTGGTCATCGGGGGCAGCCTCGTACTTGCTGACAACGCTGTTGACGAATGTAAGAATCGCGAATGTCTGCTTCTTCCGGTTCTTGGTGAGGGCAACAAGGAAGTTTGTTGCAGCGATATCAGGAGCTGAAACCTCCTCATAGTAGTTTAGCTTGCGGTGAAGGTATTCTGAAGGGTCCTCCTCGAACAATTCGATATCCTCATCCGATTGGCAGAGAGTAGGGAAGACGAAATGCGCGATCAGGTTATCCATATGCGGCTTCAAGTGATCCCACATCGCTTTGGGCTTGACACACTCCTCCATGAAGATCAAAGTGTAGGAGAGAGCAGGGTTGCTGAGCCATTGGGACTTGGACACCCACTTGTCGATCTCCTGGAGGTATCCCTTGAGGATTTCCGGCGCAAAAGTGGTGATGAAGGTCTTTGCGTACTGGGTGTAGTCGGGCGTAGAGGACTTGGTCATCGTGGAGGGGTTACCGTATCTGGAGGGGTAAAATTGTATGTTAAACGGGGAGTCTCAAAATAGAGCCCGAAAAGACTGAGGCCTTACCTAATGAAGAGACGGTTCAAGTTGGCATACGCCCACTTCTTACACTTCCACCAGTGGTTCAATTCGCGCTCCTCCTTCGAGTCTCCCATGGAGCTTGCGGGGGGGCGTCTTGGAGATGATTCGCAGGAACAATGTACACCAGTCCACAGTGGCCTGGTGGGTCTGAAGGGCCGGCGAAAGCTCGAACTAGAAAGCAATGCGAGTTAGTTCCCCTGTAAGTCCTATGACATAGAGAGACTTGGGTTACCCACATAAATGGCATGTTTGTAGGACTTGACGATAATCCGAAGCATCTCGGCCGCCTCTAGACTCTCCTCATCAACTAGTCTCTGACCGATACCAAGTAACTGTGGAAACGAGTGCTCCACAATCTTATCGAACTCCTCCCGCTTCTCTCCGGCCTTGTAGCGATAAACGCGACAGACGGCCAGAAGGCACTGCAATCCAGCATATACAGTATTCGCGTCATTTGTACCGAGAAGCTGAAGGGTCAGATCAAGGAAACCGGGCCACTTCTCAGGGAAATCGTTCTGCAGGATCTTCTGGAGAAGAGGGACGAGCTGGGCGCGGACATTGGGCGGGGTCGAGGCCAGGGCAGGGATCAGTCGCTCACGGAAAGCGGGCTTCTCAGCTTCGGGAACGGGGGCACGCTGCGGGTTGTCGTCGATAGGCGCCCAACCTCTGTTGATACGGTTCTTGAGGTAGACACCGGCTGGCGGGACGGAGAATGGTTAGGGACGAAGAGATTGGAGAGTGGAAAAACCAGGACGGAGTGGGATGCTCACCAGAGAGTTGAACGGCGTTGTTCTGCTCGCCCTGAAGAATATCCAACAGCGCATTGATAAAACCGGGCTGAGATTCGGCCTAGAAAATGGGGGTGGTCACCCCCCCGCTATCAGTCTCACAGTCCCACGTTCGTTCAACAACGTGACGCACATATTTGAGATCCAGCTCCGCTTGCTGGCGAATACTCGTATTCGGATCCAGTGTAGTTTGGATGCGGTCTCGAAGAGCTGTGACGTCCATCTTCGCAACACCTTGGGGCACCCCAGCGCCAAAAAATCACAGAAAGAAAAAAAAACTCCAAACAAGGAACCCCCGAGAGATACGGGTCGGTACCGATTATGAGCGGAGAGAGGAGCAAGGGGCCAAGGACGAGGGTCCAAGAGGGGAAAGAATGAGGATTTAAAAAAGTGTAGAGGGGGAGTCCACCCAGTGGAAGTTGCTGGGATTTTAGCGGGCGGTCGCCCCGCAGCTAATCAGCGGCCGCACAGTGATTTTCTATACTCCATTCTCCATTCGTGTCTTTCCGAGCCCCGGATTGATTTTTGGGATTGGGATTTTTGACATTTGTGCCTTGATGGATATTTTTATTTTATTTTATTTTATCTTCAGGTGTGCTGATTGATTATCAGGTTTCCCACATTGATAGCCGCGGTTTACTAGGGTAGGGAGGGTAAGGTAAGGTAGGGTTGCTACTATATCTCTATCTAATCGACTGCGGCGATTCCCACCCTGCGGCATACTCGTGGTCGGTCGTAAAGGTGTATAGATAAAAGCTGCCCAATAAGCGCGCAGAGTGTAATAAAACATTCCCAGCATGTTCACATGTACAACGATGCCGCGAAAATGACATCACGCTTGATCAGTTCCTGGGCCTGCTGCATCTTCGTATACAGCGAGGGATCACCAACAAGCTTGGCCGCATTCTTCACCTCGCGGCAGGTCTCGTCGAGACGACTGATAGTCCGGACAATGGTGCCTTCCATCACATCAGTCAGGTCAGTAATGCGGTTGAAAGACATTCCCTTGGCCCATTCGTAGACCACCTCTGCCAGACCGAAGCGTGGCTTGCTGGCAAAGTCATTAGAGTCCTCCGTAGACTGGATGACTTGGTGTAGGACCTGGAAGTTATTAACCCGTTCGGCGATACGGATAATGGCTTCTTGGCCCTTCTCCAATTGAGGTGTGAGCTTAGGAGTGCTCTCGGTCTTCTCCTGGAACACAAAGGCGGAAAGAAGAGCAACAATTTCCTCCGGCTCGTATTCGGCGAGAACGTTCTCGAGGACCAACTCCGTCAATACCAGTTCGTCAGCAGAGTGAATTTCGCAGGCCACCTTGCCCTTCAATTGCACTCGCCCCACATCGTCCACGAAGCCCAGCTCCTTGAGCACTTGAATTCGCTGTTCATAGTCCGGAAGTAGTTGAAGATTTTGATCCGACATCAGTTGTTTCAGTTGTGAGATGTTCTCCTTTACTTGCCATTCGTCGTTTTGCATTTCGAACTAATGAGGCGAGGGTGTTAGAATCAGGTATGACAATACATAACGGTGGCTTCGACTCACGTGTTTCAGGAAATTGGGACACTGTAAACAATGCCCAGATTGAGCAATTTCTGCCTGGGTCTGTCGTTGATCTAGAATATCTCGGACCTGAAGCTCCTTAATGCGGGACCAATCGATCTCGTCCCATGCCGGCTTCAACCAGGAAGAGGTATACTTGGTCAACTCCTTATCTGCGAACTTTGTTGCTTCTTCAAGTTCATAATAGCCTATTAGTTCTAATTGTCCGGATGGGAGGATGCGGTAATACTCCAATGGGAAGACGATGTATTCAGGGGCAGTACCTTTCTTGATGTTCAGGTACCAAATGGGGCCCCCGACCTTGACTTGGGTGTTCGTGACGCATTCGAGTTCGGTGAGTGGGATTTTGACGCCCTTAAGGTTCATTGAAGCTCCATTCTGGGGAAGCTCTTGGAAGAATTGTCGGAGTTTGGGCAGGAACGGAAGGATATCGCTGGGATGACGTTTCGAGCTTATGGTTCCGATTTCGAGTACCTGGATGCATGGTGCTGGTCCTGACGTGACACCTTCCTTCACTAGGATACCAGCCGTACGCAATCCATCCTATTCAAGCATCAATATGAAGATCAGACACCTGGGTCCCGCTCACGATCCAGACATAGATATTACCTTTTGATATACTACCAACCTCTTCATACTGAAAAGCCGCTTACCAACTGGGGACGATAGTAGGTTGGCGTGTAGCTCGTTAGTGAGTCGTTTGAATTCAATCGAGGCCGTGTGGCAAGCTTCAAGATCCACATCACAGATTTCACAAGGCTCCCGCTTGATTTTCGCCAAACTGGCCTCGGAAAGCTGAACTTGCTTCTCGTGCTCCGGCAGAAGAGCCTGTGTTGCATTTTCGCTGAAACTCCTTTTGATCATCTCCTCAATTTTGAGTGCTTCCACGCGAAGCAGATTGAGAATCATGTTATATGTCAGTCGGAATTGAGAACGAAGTTTGGTCGGGTCTCCCAGTATCATCTTTTTCAAACCAGCGGCAGGCGGTGCTTCATCGCGGCCACTGGCAACAACAATTACATAGCCCACGTTGTCGAGACCTCTGCGTCCAGCACGTCCGGCCATTTGCGTATACTCACCGGGAAGCAGATCGCGGAAGGCTTTGCCGTCGTGCTTGCGGAATCCAGAAAACACGACTGTCCGAGTTGGCAGGTTCAGACCCATGGCAAATGTTTCAGTGGCAAACAGAACCTTCACAAGTGACCTTGCGAAAAGAATCTCGACAATCTCCTTCATAATAGGCAACAAACCACCATGGTGTACAGCAATACCGCGACTGAGTAGCTCACGAAGATTGAGGATTTGCGGGAGAGTCCGGTCTTCAGGCTTCAGCCGGGTGAGCGACTTCTCGATCATCATATGAATCTCGCTCTTTTCCTTAGCAGTACAGAAATCTTGCTTGGTAAGGGACTCCGCATTCTCTTGGCATCGCTTCTTGGAAAAAACGAAGATACAGCCCGGTAGCAATTCTTCCTTTCGAAGATGTGAAACCAGTGAGACCCAAATGGTTCTATCTTGGGCGGCGGATGTTCGGCCACCGCCACGTCCAGTCCGGGCAATGTTTCCAGTTCCCCGGTTAGAAGGCTGACCACGCCCTCCGGGCTGCCCGCGGCCGCCTCGCTGAGGAGGACCACCACGTTGACCATTGCCTCGACCACCTCTGGCGCCAGGTTGGCCACGTCCGCCCCCTCGTCCCTGTCCTTGTGAGCCTCCTCGCTGTGTCTGAGCCTGAGCCTGAGCCTGAGCCTGGGCGTCGGCCTCTTTCTTGGCCTTGACATCTCTGCCAGACATGGCATCATTCGCCTTTTTCCAGCCAGCCTCGAGGAACCGCTTGTTCGAATCGACGATCTTGTACTTGTCTTTCCCGGCCCAGAGGTAATGTTCGAGAGGCACAGGTCGTTTAGGGGTGGAAATCACGTAAATGTCCTTCTTCTTCGTGCGACCAACCCAAGAGGCGAATTCGTGGGTGTTTGGCACTGTAGCAGATAACAAAATCAGGGTGACATGCTCTGGAAGCATAATGATGACTTCTTCCCAGACCACTCCACGCTCAAGGTCGTTCACATAGTGTACTTCATCAAAAATGACAAACTCCACATCTCGGATAAGATCAGCACCTCGGTAAAGCATGCTTCGCAGAATCTCGGTGGTCATAATCAAACAACTAGCCTCGGGGTTTATCTGGACATCACCCGTCAGAATTCCAACATCTTCAAATTCGGTCCTGAAGTCACGGTACTTCTGGTTGCTGAGAGCTTTGATCGGGGATGTGTAGATGGCTTTGGTCATGTGTTTAGATGCAAGCGCAATGGCGTATTCTGCCACAACTGTCTTTCCAGCCGATGTATGCGCGGCAACAAAGACAGAGTCGCCGTTTTCAAGATGGTAGACGGCCTCCTTCTGGAATGTATCCAACTCGAATGGCCACTCTCTAGCCATGTCAGGAACAAGTTCACTGAAATTAGTGATCTCCTTGTTGACATCAACAACATGCGCCCATTCTCTGCCCTTCTGCTTCTGAAGCCCTGCAAGAAGTGGGTTGCGCGGTTCCAAAGCGGCAAACTCCACCGGCAAAAGAGCATCAATGTCTTCCTCTTCTTCGTCGCTGATCTCGTTCTCGTTGTCAACATCGATGATTTGTGCAGTGTCATTTTCGGTTTCGGCTTCGGCTTCGGTTTCGGCTTGATCAATCTGGAGATGGCTTTCCTCTTGGAGTAGGGCATGTTCAACCTCCTGGTCACCTTCCGCAGATTCTTTGGACTTTGCTTCTTCAAACACATGTCCATGGCTGAATCCAGGGGAATTGTGAGAAGACCACCATCAGATCCGAAATCGATGATTCGGTCAAGGCCGGTCTGTTGTCCTCCACTGCGCTTTTTCTCTGCAGGCTGAACATCTGCCTCCATCTGAGCGAGAGCTTCGACGCCCTCTAGGCCGCCGGGGCGAATGGGAAGAATCCCGCTGCACCTCTAACAAAGTCTGCACGTCCAGCAGGACGACGTAGTAGAGAAGTGGAGTTTTTGGCGGTTTCGCTCGTGGCTGGCACTGTCACCTCGTGGTAACCAGTCACCCGTCCTTCCAGTCCCTCTCTTGTAAATCGAGTCACCGTTCTCGTTTGCGTAGGAGCGATCTCAAAGAGATCAGTGGTTTCTGTTGGAACATCCCATCGTCTTAAGAAAAGATTAGCCAGGTTCAACTTTTCCGCAACGAGGAAACGCGCAGACAAAGGATGAATGGGAAACATACTGCTGTAGCTGATTCAACCAGCTGGGAGTAAACTTCGAAGATGGAGTCAAAAATTCAGCTTCTAATTCCGCCAAAAGCTCCGTTCCACTCTGATGTGCCTGCTTGCGAGGTCCGGGACCGCTCGAGGCACCATTTTCACCCTCGGCGATCGGAGTCTCAAGTTGAGTTTGTATCGAAGTTGGGTCAAGATCTTTGGCTGTTAGCCTCAGATTTTCCATCGCAGACGCCAAGGAATCCGCCATCGTTTATGTATAGCGTTCAATTGGTGAGAGAAAAAGAAGGTATCGTCAATCGTATTCAGTTTAGTGATAGTGGTGCACCCCACATTGATGTGCGTTTCGGTGGATGAGGTGAAGGTGAAATTGAATGGGCAGGGGAAGGAGCGTATTCAAGCTCGCCCGGTGAAATACAGACTGCAATCTCAACTGCAGTTTCGGTATTAATTTAGCGAGAGAGGAAGCACTGAGAGGAGGAGCTTGACGAGGCAGTTCTGTCGCAGGATGGTCGGTGATCGCAGGTGAGCTGTTGGGGCGGCAAGACGCGGCAGTATCAGGCTGTTGATGACTGACGTCGTGTGGGGCACAGCAGTTTGAACAATGAATTTTGCCCATGGGCTCTACAGTCATTGGACTTTGGTTCGTCCGTCTATGAATAAGGGTGGAATTTATTATTTTGAAAAAAAAAAAGCATTTTGCTTGCTTGAAGTTGCTTCTTTCTATCTGATATTGGATCGATGCCCGCACATGTCAATTTCCTATCTCATTCTGCTAGGCTCCCCTTTCTACCAGGGTCACCAAGAGTGGAGACTGGTGGAATGAAACATAGGATACTTGAGGTTGTGAATACTTTTCTTTGCTAGTTGATTCCAATTTCATGTCGAACCTCCACAGTGTACGGGCAAGGATTATTTTCATGCTGTCATAAGCAAATCTATGGAATGTTAGCGTTTCGAAGCGTTGAATATCTTGTTGGACTTACTTCTTTCCTACGCAGCTTTGCGGCCCGACTGAGAAAGGCTGAAAGACTTCCTTCGCGTCGGTAGCAAATTGCAGGTCTTCTCCAAGCCACCGTTCTGGGAGGAACTCTGCTGGCCTTGAGAAGTTACGCTCGCTGCGGTAGGCACTCCAGTGGCTAACATTCACAACGGTCTATAACGACCAGTATCAGCATATTACAATATGAATTGGGTGGTTTCCTTCAACTCATACCTGGTCAGGTACAACGTGGCCATCAATTTGGACTCCGCCGATAATCGTTTGTCGAGGAAACCCGTTTGTAATCGGGGGGAACATTCGGAGGGTCTCTTGGATCACAGCTTGGAGATAAATCAGCTTGTTCATAGACGATACATCTATTTCGCTTTCGTGTTGGAAATGAGTATGTAGCTCCTTGGTCAGGTTTTCCATTTTCTCGGGGTTCTGTAGTAGCAGGTAGGTAGCTGATGTTAAAGCTATCGAAGTTGTTTCTCCTCCTGCCAGTATCAAGATGCTAGCCTGCTGCTCAATTTCATCGGTCGCAATTGCGCCGTTGTCTCTTGCTTCGATTAATGGGTGAATAAAATCCAGTCTATCTGTCCTCCGCTTCATACGTCGGTTGACCTTTTCAGCGGTAAGCTCAGCATGCTTCTTTTTCTGCTCCATCAGCGAGGGTGGTATCAAAGCGGTAAGAAGCTTGTTGAGAGGGCTAAATCTGTGGACAACTTGAAGTAAAGTGGCCACATAAAAATAATCCACCACGAACTGAACCCATGCATGAAATCCGGATGAATCCAAACAGCCGAATGATTCCCCGAAAGCAAGATCGCCGATCATATCGAAAGTGATATAATTGTACCAGAGCCTCAGATCTAATTGTAGACCATTGGTAGCATGGCCTTGCAGTTTATTCAGGAATAGCTCCACATTTTGCTGCAAGATGGGTTCTTGTGATGCCAGTGCACGGGGTGAAAATGCCGGGTTCATAGCCTTCCGAAGTCGTGCGTGATTTTCGGGGTCAGCCATGGTTAAGGTTTTCTTATCCACCAGCATATCATTAAAGAAGGTCTTGTCTCGGGGAAGAGGTGGATTCCCTTGGTGTCTGGAATAGATATGATTCCATGCGGTTGCCGAGATAAAGGATAGCTCATTTGGACTGATTCGGACGACAGTCCCGTATTCGTCATGCGCCTTTTGAGTAAACAGATGGTATTTTCCACTCAACTGGGCCAAGGCCACGGGAAAGGATGATGCTGCGTATATCTTGGGCCCTGGAAAATTTGCCAGTGGATGTAAATAAATATTATAAAGAATCTTTGTGGCAATTGCTAACACAGCCTAGAATCTAGTTAGTAAATTTGCGTCATGTCCAAATGGTCAGATCATCTTACTAGGGACAATATAATCATCCATCTACTAGCTGTGACGGAATTCTCAATGGCTTGGTCCTCCATGAGTAATAAATGACAATGTCTCAAATTTTTCCGTGAGCTTTTATTGACAGACTTCCTTAATATCCTTCAGGCGGGGGCACGGGATCCCATTAATAGACTTCGGTCAGGCTCGCCAAGTTTTGTATACTTGCTTTAATTACCCTTTTAGGAAAGTGAACTAGCAAGTATAAGCGAATTTCAGCACCGAGCAAAATCGACTAGCCTTTTTTAGCCCGAATTTAACCTTGGAACCAGATATCAGAAAATATGGGGATGTTAATTTATATTTTTCCGGTTGCTATTTGCACTAGCGCTTGTTGCTTCGTGCTGCTTATTTTCTACTCCACATACCATTTGACCCCCACGCCGGGATTGGCCAAGATGTGCCAAATTGTTCTGCCTGTCAGAACAACCAGAGATATGAAGCAGGTCATTGGCCGGTATTATATCAGAATAATTCTCATTGAACTAGGTTGTGTTTCTTTTTGAAATGCCCTCCAAGGCTGATGATCCATTCAAATTAAACAATGATAGAATCATAAAATCTTTCAAGCATCCCCATGACTTTTCACATTCCCTGTATGATCCATTTCAATCAACTGAACAAAACTCGTGTTCGGACCGCCATCAGCCATTCGAATTTTCTTGTGGCTGAGCGGTTGTCCCGAGCTGCTAGTCCTGGTCCCTTTTGTTGACCTAAATACTTTGGGGAATAGACGACCGAGCAAAGAACGCATGGCTGGCATGCATAGACAGAAAACCCCAACATCAATTTCGATCACAGACCAATAGCCGCCGGCGGCATTGTCCCCTGTTGTCAATTCCACCATTAGCTATCTTGTAAGCTGGAAGAGATGGGGGCAAATAACGTAGACGTACAAGTTGGATTCGTACTGGTGGCGAAGAGCTTGAGCATGATGGTTCGATAGATGCTGACACCGGTGATCCTTTCAAATTCATGAAAACATTAGCCTCATGCATGTTCAACGTGCCTGTAAATAAAGAATGGTCAAGGCGACAAAAAAGACTTACAAGAACCCGACTCCGAACATGAATATGACTTGAATCTTCGTCGTGATCGAAGCCTGGAGCTTAAGTACTTTGGGAATAGGTAGGGAGATAACATAGACGTCCAGTACAATGTTGATAGCCGCAGCGGCGACCACCAAAGGGTTTGTCTGCACACACTTTCCTACATGTTCTCCAGCCCAGCCATTCCAATTGAAACTAACCGGCGAGCACTGGAATGCGAAGGCAAACAAGAAAGTGAGGCCGTAGCAGACTGTCACAACGCAGGAGGCTTTGATGACATGACGCATTCGATCAGAGGGGAAGATGCGGAGGTAGAAGAGAAGAAAGCAGATTTTTGTGAGCGAGATGCAAGTGATGTAGAGGAGCTCTTGAATGTAGAAAAGCTAGAAGAGTCAGTTTTGTTGCGGGTAATTTGGTATGGCAGGAACTCGTACATAAAGAATCCGAGTAATGCTAGTGAATTCGAGAGTCCACATATCCTTTCCGAGTCCAGCTTTTCCAACTGAAGCAATTGTCAATTAATCTCTGACGGTAGATGAATCGAATTATGCGACTTACGCAATATCGAGCCGACATTAACTGGTACCATAATACACTGTAACGATGAGTTAGCACGAACCCTTCATGATTATTTTTCGACTTACCCCAAGGAGAATAGTTGCCCAGTCATCTAAGCCAATTTCGAGTTTCTTAATAACAAGGCGCGTGTATATTCGCAAAGCAACGAACACCAAGACGCACAGACCGACAGCTGGGATCACAATACTTAAAGAGGTGTGATCCCTAATCGGTGCTCCACATTCAGTATTGGTGACATTAAGCGTGGCTGTCAAATCAGTTAGAACGCAAACCGCGTGTATATGTTTAGTTTTGACGAACTGAGGCCCTCCTTGATGGTGCAATTGGCCGAGACACAGCTACTCAACCCCTCGTTGAGATCCACATTCGTACAGATGCACGCTTGGTCAGTAGGGGAACACGCTGACTTAAGAAGAAGGTCGGTAAGGCATTGTGTCTGTAAATTCAATCAGTATTGCACGGCGGGGACAGAATATTTGAGATCCTACAGCGCATGAGGGGAGAGACTGTTGAGCACATGTTAAGTCACCCAGAAGTATTATAGCAAAGGGTAAGAACGTAGCCCAGAACCGAAGTGGTCGCATGCTGCCGTTGCTGTAAAGGGCTGACGCTAGGTTTGGCTTCAACCAAGCCAGGCGTCGACTGTACTTATGAGAATTAGGATAGAAATCGTTGGGTGAAGAAGAGTTTGTACTACCCACATGTGATTGTCGTCAGAATTCTCAGAAAAGTACAGTCATGTCTGAAACGGCCGACTAGAGCTGACTAGGAAATCAATTCAAGGGAGAAGAGAACAGATTTTTAAGGCAATCACAATTCTTCGCATTCACGGCCTGAGCTAAAGTGGACTCCCGCTTCTGTCCCTGCTTGTTGCATCCCGCTATAAAGACTTTTTGTGGATATTTGATCAGAAACCACTAGTACCCCGTATAGCTATGTGGCATTACTACTCAGCCAAATTAGGTTAAATTAACTACTCCGTAGGAGCCGTTCTAAAATGGGCTTTTGTGTTGAAAAAATACTCCGAGGCAAAATCAGCCCACAGGATCTCCATTGTCAAGGTTTATTGTGCAATCTTTACAGGGCCCGGGACCAGGCACGGCCATTACGGATAGAGCCGAGCGAACAATGGGGCGAAAATGGTTTGGCATCGAGATTAATTTAGGGGGATATGCCAAGAAAACGACATGGCGTAATTGGCACCGGTCCCACGACGCTATAATGGGGCCAAGACGGTAATTTCAACAAGTATCAGAAGCCGAAGCCCAAATGTCAGAGAAACTAGGAAGTTTCGTACTAAAGAGTGATACATCCGGGTCCAATTCGTACATAACTACTCTACATGGAGTAGACAGAAAGTTAATTCAAGTGACAGCACCTAACAGTAGAAAACTTCTTGTTGGCACATCTCGAATTACCCCAGTGAGCCCATGTCAGAACTCTAGTGGTAATATAGGCGGTTTCGTGCGCTACACAACAATTCCCATATGCCACCCCCGTAACTTATACTCATTGTAATTCATCTAATAGAGCGTTTCTCATGCTTGTAGAAATAATTAAAATTATTATAGAGTTTCTAACCTTTTTTATGGGGTTTTCATTCAACAACGGCAATGTTCGCCTATTCTCAAAAAGGTAACCTTGACCCGATGGGTTATTGTGGGGCGAAGGATCGAAGGATGCGGCACGAATCCAACCGAGTAACGGAGTACGGAGTACGAAAGAGTAAATAGCTAATCTAGCTAACTAAACTATTAGCTCACTAGCTCATAGCTTGTGCATCGGATACGCGACATATGAAGAAGGATACCCCGACTCCGGCTCCGGAAGAGACCGGTAACCCGAGTTATTTGAGGCGCATCTTGACCTGATTAGGGGGCTAACTCGTACTTGATACCTCATGAATTGTTACTCGTACAAACTTCCAGCCATTCATCTTAGGGATCTACAGTACTAAACACCATGGCCCTTTACAGTTCACCCGTGATTCCGATCCATGATGCGACGGACTTGTCAATTTCACAGTTTATGACAAGATACAATCCCGATGAAGTACCCGCATCCAAGGTTGTTCATACTGATACTTTCTCCGATGAGACTATCACATATGGCTCTCTCCGCGAACAAGCCGGCCATGCTGCCTGGGGCTTGCAGAAAAAGTTGGGACTGCAACCAGGTGATACTTTGCTTGCATTAGTCAACAACTCTGTAAGAGCCTCATCTGAACATTTCTGCTTGTCTGTGGTCTGACTGAAAACATAGAATGCATTCGTTCTTCTTGCTCATGCAACCTGGTGGACAGGTGCTGTTTTCGCGTGAGTACATAACAGCAGAGAACCCGAGGAGGGTCACTAATTATACTATCTCTAGGCCTCTTAATACATCAGCGACGCGTGATGATATTTCGCATGTTCTAAAGCTTGTCCAGCCAACGCATGTTGTCACTATTGAAGAGAAGCTTAGCGTAGTCCAGGATGCTTTGGCCTCTCAGTCAATGACGAAAACCAAAATTTTGACTGTCAATTTTAAGGAGGAAAATCTTCCGCAGGTCTGTATCACTCTTTCTTTCGATTTTTTGATGGAAAACTAATAATTGTTTAGTTCCCAAACGATGTTATCGGCAAAAGAGCCACAGAGACCATCTCACCCCATAGCCTTGAGGGGAGAAACGGCAAGGACGTGGTCAGCACCATTTGCTTCTCCTCTGGAACAACTGGAAAGATGAAGGGTGTCCAGCTTTCTCACTACAACTTGGTCATGAACAGCATCACAATGCGTGCCTCCATGCCGATTAGGGTTAACTCGGCAGTACGTGAAGTATTCTTCGCGCCTTGTAAGACCTTCTTCCCCCGAAATACTAATCAAATGACTCCATTGACAACCGTCTAATTTTAGATTGCCATATATACGGCCTGAGTCTGGTCGTACTGGCCGGTATGTGGGTTGGAGCCCAATATTGCGGTCTCCCGGGTTTCGACTTAGAGACATTTTGTCGCAAATCGAGCGAGCTGGAAGTAACAGATCTCCACATTGTGCCTCCTGTGGCGCTTCTCCTTGCAACATCACCCGTTGCTCAGAAGTATGACTTGTCTTCCTTGAAGAGAATTGTCATTTCTGCTGCTCCGTTGAAGGTATGTTTGTCGATCGCTTATCCTTGACCACGCGTGTGACATGATGCTCATCGTATTTTAATTCCAGAAATCCGTTCAGCTTCTGCTCAAGAGGGTTCTTCCCCATACCAGCATCTGTCAAGGTTTGTACCGCCACCTCGATGCTCAATTTGCTTCACTAATTTCGACCTAAAGGGTATGGTCTCACCGAATGTTCGGGGGGCATTATCCATCAGATAGATGAAGACGAGAGTGCTTTTGGCTGTGTTGGGAAGCTGTTTGCGGGAGTGTACGCTGCCTGTTTCCATACCTGCCATATATTCTCATTGCTGATTTTGTTATAGGGAAGCCCGTCTTGTCGACCCGAAAACAAACAAGGACGTCCCTATCGGTGAAGAAGGTGAACTTTGGGTCCGCGGCCCTGTGGTTATGATGTACGAGCTCGCCTTATTTATTGAAATTCTCCGTCATATAGCTTGCTAACCAGATTTCTAGGGGTTATGTCAGTGATCGCGAAGCAACAAACCAAACCTTCTCGGAAGGGTGGATTAGAACAGGGGATATCTTGAAGATAGACGAGAACCAGAATTTCTGGGTTACCGATCGTCTCAAAGAGGTACAACCACCTTCCCCAATCGCAGTATTCAAGGTTTATTTTTCATTTAACTAACGACTGGGACTCAGATGATCAAGTACAAGGGGTGGGTTGCAGCTCTCTCTCTTTGTCCTTTTCTAATCGCCAACTAACCACTCTTGCAATTGTAACTTTAGATTCCAAATAGCCCCTTCCGAACTCGAAGACATGCTCCTGCGTCATCCAGATGTGATCGACGCTGCAGTTTGTGCAGTCTACGACGATTCCCAGGCCACCGAAGTTCCCCTTGCTTATGTTAGCCTTTCACCAGCAACAGTGGGTTTACTGGGCCCTGAGAAGCAGAAGGTACTCGATGCAATCAAGATCTGGATGGACAGCCAACTGGCAGGTTACAAGAAGCTCAGGGGAGGTGTTCATCATTTGCAGGGACTGCCTAAGACTCCGACTGGTAAGATTCTCAGACGGCTTTTACCTGCGAAGTTGAATGAGCAGAGAGAGGCGAAGCTTTAGGTGCCCTTTTTAAGGCTTAAGTGCACTCATGGAGACCAACGATCACCAATTTCTAAGGAGCTTTGCTGACTCGGAGGTGCAAAAGATGATCGTTGATTGCGCTTCGAGATTGGAAGCTGTAGTACGGCGCTCGATAAGCGCAGGGTGGCCTGTAGTTGTACATAGGGGAATAGGGGTATTTTACCTGACTATCTTGAAAGCCGTCTGTAACAAGGTTGTCTAAAATTTCTAGCGTACTGACCGCCCTAATCTCTATCTTTCTAAAGGAACTAGTACCTACCTGAGATCGAATATATTGGCTACTCTACTCTATCTTAGGTAGGTACTAGTCTACTCTTAGAAGATATTTAAAGATAGTACTAGTAGATATTTAGAGAGTAGAAACTTTTGTGGTACTACTGTAGTTTTGTCCAAAATTGTATATCGAACACTGGTTATCTTTAGACTGTGAAGTTACAGACAGCTTTCAAGACGGTCAGGTAAAATACCCCTATATACTACTACTGACCACCCTGCGCTTCTCAAGCGCCGTACTGTAGGAGACTTTCATAAAGGGAAACTTAGACATACCAGAAATAATATCTCGGAATGTTCACTCACTTGTATGTTGAAGAAAACCGCCCACGGTCTTTCCTCGTCATTGTGAAATACTTACGTGGTTAAAGATAAAAACACATCACATTGAAAGATACTATGCGAACGAGCTTTTGTATCGAAGCCATCCAAACACGAGGATAGTCTGTGCAAAATATGACATATGATCAAAGAACTGAAGTATGCGCCCTCCGGGCGCCAAAGGGATATGCAGTAAACACACAATGCGCCAATATCCAAGACCTCGAGTATCCCATAGATAATATCCCACCGAAATCAAACAAGAGGTCCATAAAGTTTCTCCATTATGACATATTAGTCAGTACATTCTTGAGTTCATCCATCAAACACGTAAAAGATTAAGGTAACCGCAGATGTGACCTTTGATAAGAATAATCATCGACATGAGAAGATAGGGAAGGTTTTCCGATCGTGGATGTTGATGTGAAACTCGAAAATCCCTTCCAGTGTCGCGATGTACCTAGGATAGAGTTAGATGAATACAGCATTTATATCAGAATCTAAGTACTCACAGTGACCTTCCATCGGCGCCCCAGCCTACTCCGGCCGTGGAATCCGGCTCTTCGGCACCAGGGCCATGAATCAAACTTCGCTCGGGTAGCTCACTGATAACATTCCTAACCCACGCAGAATTCGCTTGCTCAAGGCCAGCTATTTGTCGGTGCAGATGCTCCCGTTCTAACGAGCGCACATTATCTCGGTCAGAAGAACGCTCGTGTACAGCATTTGCCATACGGCGCTGACGTCGAAGACGCTCCGCTGCAACATTGGCTCTGATCTCATACGTAGAGACTCGAGCAGGGTCGAATCTTCGTTCCCGTGCTAAGAATTCAATGTGCGATAGTCGTTCGGGCCGTCGCGGAATAGAGCTCGATCGCTGGGGTCGTCGACGAGGTGTTTCGGGAGTGTATTCGAATTCAAGGCTGGGCCCAGAGGCATCAGTCGGTCGCGGTGGGAGATCAAAAAAATCACGGGAGTGAAAATCGTCCGATAGAACTTCCGGATCAGAACTTAGACGGTGCATAACATCCGCTTGAATTGCTGTCAACTCGGCGGAACGTGATGCAGTCCATCGTAGCGAGTTGGACTGTCGATCTTGGCTAGAAGATCCAACTTCGGGGGTTCTGCTGCCTTGTGAGAGTATTACTGAGCTCTGACGTCTAGGCTGAAAAGAGGAGCGCTCACTCCCTGTCCGGTCCAGGTGGTTATCCAGAGAACTGTCAGCAGTCTCGTATGAATGTCGAGGCGAAGTAGGACGGGATGTGCGGGTGGCCCCATCTGTGGAACCGTGATGGCGCGTACGAGCCGCTACTTGAGGGTGCAAGCCAGCTCTCGATGGTCGTTCTGGCCGGTCTGGCCGGTCTGGCCGCTCAGTGAAACTCTCTTCTGCCCTCGCTGTCCATCGAGCAGCATTGAGGAAATCCAGAATGAGTCTCTCGCGATCCCCAAGATCTTGGATTAGAGAATCGCGAAGTCCATTCCCATCTTCGGTACGTTCATTCAACGATTCGTCGGCGTCTGTTCCCACTCGAGGTTCGATTTCCAAGTCATCATCATCATCATCTAAAAGGCTCGCTTCAGGGTCGTTGACGATCAATCTTTCCGTGTGAACCTTCTGGAGCAAGGGCTCATTGGTATCCAAATACAAAGTTTGTCTGCGCAGGAATGCTTGGCGAACATCTGCCACTCCAGCTCGGCCATGACCTTCCAGCCAAACCAATAGGTCCCAGGGCTCAGGTGAGAAAGTCATACAGCGCACAGCACCTCCTTCAGGGCACGATCGAGAAGCCGGGAACTGGCAAATGACGGCTGTCTCGCTGTCTGGGTAGTGAACGAGATTGACATCCAGGATAGTGATAATCCCGGACTGGGATCCGATGGCACACAGATGACTGGACGGGGAAAATGCTATCGTGAAGCAGCATGCATCATCCACTCTGGACCCTATATCCATTTCAACACATCGAGTTAGCTCCCATCCCCAGGTCATGATCTTCTCGGTTTCTTTGTCTTTGGAGGATGATAGCTCCCAATCACGGGTGATGGTATAGAAGTAGGCTCGGTTCTCATCTCCGACAGCAGCAAGCAAGCTATGATCTGGCGACACGATTGCATAGTTCATGCAGAATGGATGGTGAAAGACTTTGACGACCAGAGCATGGGTGAGCGAATAGACAGTGACCGTACGGTCGTTATTGCTAACCGCGAGGGTCAGTCATGCAGATGCAAGGGGGCGGATATCTATCAACTAGATGATTACCTTATTATCAACACATCTTCCGGCGCGGCATCTTCCTCTGTTCCTGGGAATTGATGAATAGTCACCGAATTCACAATACTCCCTCCGAATTTATGACGTTCAAACTCTGGCCACGACTGTCTTGTGGTATGCCGAGATGATGATGGGCCATCGGTCGGATTCTCCGGGGTCAACAACCGCGAGGCTGGGTCCAGGTCAACCGGTAGAGCACTATCCACATCCGATGGTAAGTGTGAGGGTATTCCCTCGTGGGCTTGTAGGCCCCTGTCACCAAGTTTGAGAAACGCGCATTCTCCATTCTCGGGGCCCCCCCACAGCGATCCACCCAAAGCCGGCCGCTAAGCATCGCGGCTCAAATGGAATGACGGCGATATCCTCCCTTTTCTGTGAAGCAATGTGAATCGCATACACTATTCTTTCGACGACAACATAGATGCGATCAGGATCGGCGGTACTGATATAGTGGCGGAGCTGTGTGTGGCTATCCGCTCAATGGTGTTAGCTACTATCAGCATGTCACCACGGGAGAGCGGGTATACCGACAAGTTGGGGATCTTGAAAGGAAAGAAGCGGCGTTTAGTGGGGAGGATGAGAGACTCTGTTGGGCGATGTCTAAGACAGTTAATCAGGCGTAAATATGACCGGTCGCTAAGAGCGGGGGATGTGCAATAGAGGCGAAGCGAGGAGGGGTGGGAATGTGACAGTGGAGGACTCACGGGATCGAGTCCGATGTCATGGTGAGTAGCTAATCCGAGCACATTTCTACTCGAGAAACCTTGAAGAGCAGAGATGCAGCACGAACCAGCCCAAACTGATCTTTGAGAGTGCGTTGTTCCCAAGAGCTGAGGTCGCATGCGCTTCCAAACGGATGACGTAAGACTTTGGAGCTGTGAGCCGGGGGAGAACCCAAGCCACGAATGCGGTGGTTTGCGCCGGAAGCGACAGGCGTGGCGATACTCCAGGTGTTGCAGGGTTTTGTATTCGATGAGCACTGGCAGTTGAGGTTATACTCGAGAGTAGGGGAAAGTACTAGTACTAGTTCAAGATTTACCTAGGTATGGTTGGGGAAAGTGAGTCCCAAGGTCCAATTGACCTTCCAACGGAAAGAGATATATATTGGTGTACTACTAGTACTACTACCACCACTTCTAGTAGTAGTAGTATACTCCAGGGCTACTACTTCTACATGTCCAGCTACCTAGCCTGAGGTCTACCAGTCGGAGTCAATTCATACTGCAGCCATCGATATCCCAACCAAAGCCATCCTCCTCTTCGCAATGGAGTCGAGGCACCGACGACTTTAGGGTCATACGACAGCCAGCTCCGGACCCTCCTGGTTCCCCAGTGTTCCCCAGTGTTCCCCAAGTTCCAAGAAATGTGGTAGACACCGTGAGCCAGATTGCTGGGAGAGAAAATCGCCAACGAGGCTGAAGTCGCGTTGTTCGGGGAGGTCTGCCGGTTGGCCGAGGTTATTACCGTGGGAGGGTGTTCCATAGTACTAGCATCATTAACTGCACAATCAAACAGCAGAAACAGGAGTGGGATGTAGAGAATAGGCACAGAATGATCCAATCTGAAATCAGTAATAGAATTGTGCATACTCAATACTCACCTTCCCTTCACTCATCTCACTGAAATGATTATCGGAGACAGTCCCGGGTAGAGCTGGAGCTCCCAACTGCTCCAACTGCATCATCGGGCGGTGAAGCCGGGAGTAGCCGCCACGCTGATTGGCCAGTCCCGTGATTCCACGCAGTTCGACAAGTTGCCGGTTCTCCGTCCATTTTTTTCCCCCTTCTTCCTTTCTACATCTACCATATCTTCATCTCCCCATCTCCCTTTTCCCCCTTTCCCTCTTCTCCTTCCATCCACTCTACGATTGACTCGTCGAGTGTCTTCCCCTTTCTTATTTTCTGTATTACTTAATTCCTCACACAATGCTTGCTTCTCGCATTTCTCGCGCGGTAAGTTCAAGTTCCCTTTCCCGACGGAGGAGGAAAACCTTGCACCCAAAGGTCACGCGTCGCAAAACAGTCCCTTCTAACATCAATCGCAATAGCTCCCCCGCGCTGCTTTCACTCGCGCTCCTTCCTCCAGAATCCCCAGCACTGCTTTCCGCCGATGGAACTCCACGGAAGGTGGCGAGGAGAAGGTGAAGGGCCAGGTCATCGGTATTGATCTGGGTAAGTCACACGATCCCAAAGCCGAGCGCCATCCCCGGTACAATTCGTGCAGCTCTCTAACATAGATGAATACAGGTACCACCAACTCCGCCGTTGCTGTCATGGAGGGCAAGGCCCCCAAGATCATTGAGAACTCCGAGGGTATGTGAAGAATTTTTTTTATCGCGTCTATCAACCAGAGTCACCAGCTTTCATCTCTGGTTACCCCGGCTATTCGACCTACGAAACGCGTTTTTTGATAGTTCAATTGCTGACTGATTACCTCGACAGGTGCCCGTACTACTCCTTCCGTCGTCGGTATCGCCGAGGATGGTGAGCGTCTCGTTGGTGTTGCCGCCAAGCGTCAAGCTGTCGTTAACCCCGAGAACACTCTCTTCGCTACCAAGCGTCTCATCGGTCGCAAGTTCACCGATATTGAGGTCCAGCGTGACATCAAGGAGGTCCCCTACAAGATCGTCCAGCACACCAACGGCGACGCCTGGGTTGAGGCTCGTGGCCAGAAGTACTCTCCCTCGCAGATCGGTGGTTTCGTCCTGAACAAGATGAAGGAGACTGCCGAGGCCTACCTCAACAGGCCCGTTAAGAACGCTGTTGTTACTGTCCCCGCCTACTTCAACGACTCTCAGCGTCAGGCCACCAAGGATGCCGGTCAGATCGCTGGTCTGAACGTTCTCCGTGTCGTTAACGAGCCTACCGCTGCTGCCCTTGCCTACGGTATGGAGAAGGAGACTGACCGTGTTGTCGCCGTCTACGATCTGGGTGGTGGTACTTTCGATATCTCCTGCCTGGAGATCCAGAAGGGTGTCTTCGAGGTCAAGTCCACCAACGGTGACACTCACCTGGGTGGTGAGGACTTCGATATCACTCTGGTCCGCAACATTGTTGAGAACTTCAAGAAGAAGTCCGGTGTTGACCTGTCCGGTGACCGTATGGCCATCCAGCGTATCCGTGAGGCCGCCGAGAAGGCCAAGATTGAGCTGTCCTCCTCTCTCCAGACTGAGATCAGCCTTCCTTTCATCACTGCCTCTGCCTCCGGTGCTCTCCACATCCAGGAGAAGATGACCCGTGCTCAGCTCGAGGCCCTGGTTGACCCTCTCATCAGCCGTACCACCGAGCCCGTCCGCAAGGCTCTGAAGGATGCCAACCTCAAGTCCAGCGACATCCAGGACATCATCCTGGTCGGTGGTATGACCCGTATGCCTAAGGTTACCGAGTCTGTCAAGTCCATGTTCGGCCGTGAACCCTCCAAGTCCGTCAACCCCGACGAGGCTGTTGCCATCGGTGCCGCTGTCCAGGGTGCTGTCCTGGCTGGTGAGGTCACTGACGTCCTGCTGCTCGATGTCACCCCCCCTGTCCCTCGGTATCGAGACCCTGGGTGGTGTCTTCACCCGTCTGATCAACCGCAACACCACCATCCCCACCAAGAAGTCCCAGACTTTCTCCACTGCCGCTGATATGCAGACCGCTGTCGAGATCAAGGTCTTCCAGGGTGAGCGTGAGCTTGTCAAGGACAACAAGATGCTCGGAAACTTCCAGCTTGTTGGCCTTCCCCCTGCTTCCCGCGGTGTTCCCCAGATCGAGGTTACCTTCGACATTGACGCCGACTCCATTGTCCACGTCCACGCCAAGGACAAGTCTACCAACAAGGACCAGTCTATCACCATTGCCTCCGGCTCCGGTCTTTCCGATGCCGAGATCCAGAACATGGTTGATGAGGCCGAGAAGTACGGCGAGTCTGACAAGGAGCGCAAGCTCGCTATCGAGGCTGCCAACCGCGCCGACAGTGTCCTGAACGACACCGAGAAGGCTCTCAAGGACTTCGAGGACAAGCTCGACAAGGCCGAGGCCGAGACCATCAAGGAGAAGATCGCCACTCTCCGCGAGTTCGTTGTCAAGAACCAGTCTGGTGAGGGCACTGCCACCGCCGAGGAGCTCAAGGAGAAGACCGATGAGCTCCAGACTGCTTCCCTGACTCTGTTCGACAAGATGCACAAGGCCAACAACGAGCAGCAGCAGCAGCAGCAGGGCGAGCAGCAGGGTGAGAACAAGCAGTAAATGCTGCCCTAGTTTCTCTCCTGTTGTAACCCCGGCCACTGAATAAGTGGCTCATGTATTTTTTTAAAACCCCCTTTTTCCTTGTGTTTTCCATTTCCTTTGTGTTTGGGGACTCCCCTGGCTGTTTCGCATCTCCCTTTTCGCATTAACTGTACACATATCTCAATGCCCTTTATCCCCCTTCTTGTTCTGGTGTATCGGTGTTTTATTACCAACCTGTATGATCTATTTTTTTTTTCTCTTACTTCTTCTTTTGCCCATGTACCCCTTTGGCGACCCTCGAGTCTGACCAGAGAGTGTATGCCGGGATTGTCTACCATTGTATCTAATGACATTACGGCAAGGGGGCCACCAAAAAAGGATGCGGGCTTTTGGCTATCTGGTGCATGTGACAATAGAAATCGGACAATTCTCCTCTCATTTGGAAACAAACACTTTTCTTCAAACCTTGAATTGTAAACCTTGAATTGTAGTTGTCGGACCGTTATTGCGTCAGCCGGCATCCATTTGCGGACTTTTGAGATCGCTGGGAGCACGGGGCGTTTATGATTACTTGATGCGTAAAGCAGCTCTCCCAGTCGGAATCGAGAAGAATCAGAAGCCACCGTGGTGGCTGCACTAACCAAAAACCTGAAAGTGAAGCAGATGGCAAATGATAAGCTGTCGCGGCTGTGTGCTGCTCAGACCCGGCTGCATCCTGCACGCCCCGTCGTGGATGTGCAATTGTAACTGTACATCAGGCATGTGTATGTACTAGGTTAGTAACTAACCTCCGCAAGTGTTGGGACAGAGGGATCTAACCACTACAACTCCGTACATCCTTCAATCAATCTATCGCACTCGGTCCCCTGTCAGCAGAAATGCCCTCAATCACGAAGTTTAATATCGCCAGGGCCTACTAGAAATGATAGGTCGGATTATCCTATTTCTGACACACGGAACCAGCGGCTCCAGAGAGTCCAGCCGCTCGATAATCCAATCTATTTCAAGCTGAGGCCCGGACAAGGTTGCGCGCGCACTGCAAGGTGAACTAGCTTGGCCTACTAGTCCGATGGACCAATCGCCTCTAGAGCCTCTATTCCTTGCATGAAGCGGCTGCGGGTCTAGACGAGTACTACGGACTACGGAGTACTCGTACATTATTCATTCAACAAGTTTGAGACGGCAAAACGGAGAAAAGCGATGGGTGTTATCCTCGGTGGATATCCGACCGTTTCAATCGGGTTTGTACAGTACAAATCCGCTATGCAATCAGGGTACATATTCCGAGGTCATTTGAATGGTATACTGAGGTAGTGTTCTACTATGGTCTCTGACAATACCATCCAAAGACAGTGACCAATACATTGCTCGAGCTTTATCGTGATCAACAACACTTACTTGTGTTTAGATATGGCCTGTGCCGAGAGCACATCATAAGTCCCTCCTTAGTCGAAGACACTAGTACATACTGCCTATGTATGGAGTACTCTAAAGGGTTACTAAAGTAAGATTATTCACCAGGGGGTGCGGAAGCTCAGACCGGACCTCCTCTGGGGCCAATCTGGACTCGAGCCGCCAGTGACAGAGCGAAGCAGTCCTGCAGACCCTCCTGCAACGGCGCGCTGGACGAGCAAATCATCGTTGTACACACCAGTTGGGCTTCAAAGTGGGTCTTTACAATAATGATGTTTGTGAATTACGAGGCCCAAGATCCTGGCTTCAGTGGGGAGGAGAGAGGGGGAGCAAGAGGAGAAGCCCCTCTACGAAAAGAAAAAGAAATAGGATATGATAATTGAAATATTTTGATTTCTTTCCCTCTCACCTTCCAACTTGAAATGAACCTCGAGATGTCATGTAGACCCATTTCCAAGGTAGGGGGAGTATACGGAGTACAATATCTTGATTTCAAGAACAAAGGGAGTGGACAGAAATTTCTCACAGGACACGCCCTGCGATCATTCGTCGATCACTTTGAGACTTGTGAGACCGTCTGCCTTAGCGCGCCCCTAGTGCAGTGTTGGATTATTTCCCATCGTCTCCACTCGGAAGAAAAAAAATCAAACTTTCACCCCCCAAATGATTTCCCAAATTTCTTCCTACTCCATACGAACTAAGCCCTGGCGTCTGCTCCAGTTGCTTGCTTACTCGAGGTCATTTGACCAGGGCTCCATAATTATTAGGATTTCTGAGCCTGAGAAAGACGGGGCCAGAATGATTTCTTTCCTTTTCCAGCCTGGCAGGGCGGAGACACTTGGCACGCTTGGAGCAAACCAATTTCCCAACTCCGTATAAATGTAGATTTCTAATTGTCATCGTCGATTCGGTCACAAGTCATGGCCGTGAAGGATTTCAGAATGGGGTTTATTTTTTGAATACATATTTTCATTTTTCATGGGTTCCCGAAAGTGGACACCTTTCTCCAGCCAGACTTTGCTACTCCCGGTCCAATTATTGTGATTCTTTGGGTCAGGAACCCGTTCTTGTAAAAGGGGCAGACTGAGCGAGCATTGTAGCAAGGGCCGGTACTTTTTTTGACTTTGCCTCACACACAATCAATAGCCCAATGCCCCCAATGCAATAATGTACTAAATAATGTAGGGACCAATGTATGTATGTATGTCTAAAGTACTTAGTACTTCGGTTCCATCCTTCTTACTAGTATCTTTTCCTACGATTGTCGCCGAAAGAGCCTGCCCTAGCAAGGTGGTACCGATGTACTCCGTACTTACTCCGTGCACTAGACAAACCGTGTAACTCTTCCAAAGCTGGAAGACACGATCATTCTGCAGCTCCACTTGTGGGGTACAAGCTCAGCGATTCCAGCAGCTTCGACTGGGGCAATTTTTTTCTCCATTTCCCCCTGCGTTACCTAATGATCTCCCGCCATGGAAATCCATATCTTGGCGAATGACGGTAGATCTGTGGGTTTTCATTGGCAGTTGAGACCGGAACTACCCTGCCTAACAGGAAGTTCATTGCTGTGCGGCCAGTCAGCCTTAAGGTCATTTTACTGTACTGTATGTATGATATCAACTGGAGCTGTTGCTTCCCCCAGAAAGGTAATTTCTTGAGGGATCAGTGGTTCGTGATTTTGGTTCCGAGGGAGAGCTCCTCTGTAATTGTGTCATTGTCTTCAAAGGGTCTAGAAGAGAATCTTAATTTAATATTTTCCTAGAGCAGAAAAATAAATATTAGATTTAGAAAATACGGCTTTATTCTTCGAATATACTCGAGGGACGATTCTCAATAATTTTACGGGGTCAATGATTGACTGATTTTATCCTGCGGTGTGCCTCTGTTTGTCAAGTAAAAACAGTAGTCAGACATGGCGGTTTGAGACTCGTCACTTTGACCCAAGCCCGGTTGACCTATGAGCTTCTGACCCCCCCTGATGTGGGTGTCATCCTGATCTGTTTACAGACACTAAGAATCCACCTCTCTCCTGAAGGCTTGACTTATGTTGGGTGTGTTCCCTGGTACATGAAGTACACCCACTGGTGTACCTGAGTCCGGTGGAGCCCAAGGTCTTCCTGGTTGGCTCTCAGATAAAGCGGGTAAATGACCAGGGCGACCGAAAATCAAATCAAATCAAAGAGTAAGATTTCAGTCAAAAGTGCTTGACTAATACGTGGGAATAATCAATGGCGATTCCCATCAACAAAAAGTATTCCATACTCCGTATGTTTGGCGGAAAAAGCCACTAGCCGCCAAAGTAGACTAGGGATTTGCGTGATTCAATCTCCAGGAAATGAGTGTGATTGTTGTGATTTGATTACATCGGGCCACTAGCGCTGAGCCAATCCATGGAATGAAGCGGCCAGTCGTCCACTGACCGCATTCCCCTCCCCAAACTGGTTTTGCTTCATACTAATGGCACTAGGGGGGGGGGGGGGTCACAAAGTATGATGATACGTCCTGGCTAGACCCTCCCCTCCCTTCTCCCTCTCTCCCCAATCCCAATGATGAACAGATGAACAAGTGATCTAATTAGGATCAAAATGCCGAGTACTTTGTACACACCATACCTGGATGTACCAGATACAGGACCCTCGTCTTAGTGAAGAGCGGATCCCCTTTACTCGGCCGTTACGGGAAATTTCGAGATAACGGGGGTGCAGCCCAAGGGTCGCGCTAGTGGATATTGTCATTTCTTATTTGAATTTATTTTATTGGAATTTCGATTTTACTATTATTATAATCGATGGGGTTTGATGGAGACGTCTGGATGTCAATCCTTTCCTAACCGTCGGCCCATAGATCGGTGAATGGGTCTCTTCCTCTCGATTCTTGTCTCATTTGCACCCACCCAAGTCCTGCTTTTTTTTTGCTTTGGGCTTTTTTTGGCATTTCTTTTTTACTCTTTTCGTCTACCCTTCCTTTTTTTCTCTATTCCTTCTTACTTCGTACATTGCTCATCTAGAGCTTTCCCCTTGTTACGGTCTTCTTTGGGCCTGAAGAGGATTGCGTGAATCGAGTGACAGAGAAAAGAGTCCCTGTCCCTGTCCCTGCCCTTGTTCTTATTTCTTATACATTAATAATAATCGCCATGACGGCCGCACCCCCGGTGCCTCACTCCGTGCCCGACGGTGTCAATGGCGGCCACTTGCGCTATCATCCCATCGCCATGAATCCCAATCCGCCTCATCCACAAATGCCACCTCCAGACCAGATGGTACAAAATCACCACTTCCGTTATTTCCGTCCACCACAGGCGATGCACGATGGGCATGGCCCTCAAGGTCCGCCGGGACCCCCACCAGTACCGCAACACAACCCTACTTCTCTGGAACAGATTGAAAATCGTCTGCGGCAGTTGGAACACGAGGAAATGAATCGGATGGCAACACGCAGCCATATTCTCGCAGCTCGCAAACGGGAGGATGAGGAATTTCGCAGGTTAACTGAAGGTGCCGAGGCTGAGGAAGAGGTATGTTATGAACAAGATCCTTGCTTGCATCACCCGATATTCGCACATTTTATTATTTCCTCCATAAATTACATAGATACTGACGAAAGAACCAGGATCTTCGAAGAGAGAGAAAGAGGATTAAGAGAGAATCGATGGGATTAGGGCCTAATGCAGCCGGTGAATCGCCGCCATTGCGTCCAACACCACCACGCCGTCTCTCCGAGACCAGCGCGGCCACGACTTTGGCCTTTTTCAAGCAGCAAAGTCCCCCCCGAGCCTCGCCAGGTCCCTCTCCCTCCATCTGCATCGCAGACGCCAGTTCCTCCTCCTAATATGCCCCCTCCTCCTCACATGCATCAACCCCATCCTCATCCTCATCATACTCCTCCTCATCATCATGCTCATCCTCACCACGCTCCCCCTCCTCCCCCATCCCACCAACATCAACATCAACACCACCTTCAACACCCACAACCTGTGGTCCCGCAAGATGCTCTCAACGGCGCCGGATCCATCCGCCGCAAGCAAAAATACACCATCAAGAACGTCGAAGCATGGGGCGAGCGTCACGGTCGACCCGCCGCACACGATCCCTCCGGCCGTGCCCTGTGGAAACGGCCATCTGACGGCAGTTTAGTCTATCTAACGTGCCCAATTGATGGGTGTGGAAAGAGTGACTTCGTTACACTCCACGGCTTCATGTGCCACTTGACGAAGAAGCACAAAGACCGTACTCTGGGCAGCCAGTCGCGAGCCCTAGAACTCTGCGGCATGGTTTATGACCCCAACGCGCCTCTCCCACCAGTGACAGCCTCGAACCGGGGCTCAATGGAGGATAGTCCCGCTGCCATGGATCGTGATATGGACCCCGAGGACGCGGATCTGGAATCCGAGTCCGAGATGGACGAATCTCACGATGAGTATCGTGTTAAGACGGAAGCCACAGATCACTCCATGCGCGACTCGGAGGATCCATCTGGACGTGAAGAACCTTCTCCACTTCCTAAACACATTCTCAATGGCTCAACAAAGCAATCTATTCATTCGATCATCGACCGTACTCCTGATACCGAGCCCCGCGAGGCGCTCGCTTCCCTGCCTCCCTCAGAACCGACCTCACAAGGCCCTACGCCTCTTCCTGAATCGACTGTCCCTGCGAAGCGCAAATACGAGCTGTCCCCACCTGCATCGGAGAAGGAAAATACCGAGCCCAAGGAAGGATCAACAGTCGAGTAAAGGGGAAAAGAAAATATCGCTTTCACTTAATCCAGTCGCACTGTTGTCTTGTTCGAAGACGTTCCGTCAAAAAGAATATTTCCCGGGATTTGAGTGTCGACTTTTTGTCTGATATGAAAACCACTTTTTGCATCTGTCATTTACTTCTTCATTTTCATTATTTAGCATTGTGTGGATTCTGTCTTGTCGGTCTAGACGTCCTCTTCCATTTCTGTTTCCTTTTATTATTATTGGTTTTCATTTTCCTTTTCATCTCAATACCCTTGTTTGCTCTGTCTGGGTGGATCGCTTTATGCCGACTATCGTTTGAGTGTGATGTTTTATTCTTACCGCGTCTCTGCTAGATAGGATGTCTCTCACCCTTTCCATACTTAATTGCATGCTGGGCGTATTATTAATGATACGCAAGGTTGATGGTATCAATTAAGAATACGTATTCCTGACAATTTCCTTGTACATCTTCATATATCTCCTATGGCATAGTAAAGGTAAGGAGCATGTTGGTGCCGAGGCACTCAAGATATCTAAACTTGGAACTGTCTGCAACATGATTTGGTTAGTACCTCGAAGGTTACTGAGATGCAATATTTAATCCACACATGATGAGATATTTCCGGCCCTTGTGGGCTAGAGCTTCTGCTTTACTAGGGTACCATACCTAGGTATGGATGAGCTTATACGCAACAGTTCAAGTTATTATGTGTTCATATTGCCTGAGAAATGGAGACCTTGATTCTATTCAAGTACAGCCGATAGTATTCATGCCATACTAGTAGCATGATTTTAATTTCTGCAAGCATGTCTGGCTTTCATCAAGTTCTAGAAAAATCTGTTCATGAGCTCGAGTGATTCTAAGTAGAATTTTATGGGACGAATCATTAGATAAAATGTTACGTTGGTTAAGTGACAACTTATCATGGGCCTCGAGTTAACTGGAATGAATACATGGCCACTGCGCGAGCAACACTGAAGGTATAGGAATCGTTAGGACCGACAACCAGAATATCTTCAGAGATGACAAGAGTACTAATTTGTACTTTGGTCGTTAAGGGAATGAGCAGCTGGCATTACTACCTGCTACTACATTATGGGAAACTCGCTATCAATCCCGCAGCTACGAAGGGAGTCCCCGAGCCGCGTTTAGGTATAGAGTTTCCTTATGACTTTTACCTCATATATACAGTTATGTTCGTATTTACGCCTTTAATGCTTCTCTCGCGCCAATAAGAGATGCACAAGATACCCAGATCCATTTTTCAGACCTCCGACAAGAACGTCATCACTCAGCCTCCACACCCGGAACTCTCGTAGTGTTTCCCGCAACCATGCTTCAAAGACGTCCGGTGCGCGTTGTTGCTGTGCCACAATACAGATAGTCGGCTGACGGGTGGGCGGTGATGATTCGCTCTCGTCAGAGGGCTCGTAGACAGGCCGTAACCGGCAGATCTCTGCACAAGTGCGCACGAACGGCGTGACGAGGGCGTCGTTATAGATACAATCACATGACAGGATCAAGTCGAAGCCCTTGTCCTCTTCAGTACCGTCTTCTGCTTCTTGACCACCGGACTCGGTGCCAATACATCCCTTTAGTAATTCGGGTTGATCGAGCTCCCAGTCCAGAGTGGTGAAGGTCACATTGCGGGGTTCATTGTTGGCAGAGGAAGAGTGCTTCTTGGCGGGCTTAGCGCCGCGTGACTTGGTGCCTTTTTGCTTGGTAGAGAAGGTGGTACTACTATTCACGGAGGCATTTTCTTCCAAATTGGTACGAAATAACCGGCGGACATACTCTTGGTCGGTGGCTAGGTAGTGATCCACGGAGGGAGCTAGGGCCAAGGCGACGAGGGCCGAGATGCCGCAGCCGAGCTCTGCGACGACGGAGTCCGAGGAGAGGAAGGAATGGGTCCAAAGAGGGTTGGAAGGGGAAGAGATCCAGTCGGCGAAGAAAGGGGTGATTTTCCAAAGGACTGGTTAGGGGAAAAACGGTGATGGGTTAGTTATTACTCGAACGGGATAGGGGTGGTGTTTAGCGAGACAAGTGTAGGATGCAAGATGCAGCAGAATGTTTAAGATTCACAGGCACCCGTACCCGCCTGCGCAGGGTCCAACGTGAAAAGACCGAAGCCGAGGCTCACGAGTGCAACCTAGACCGTGTTCCCAAGGTTGCCCTAGACACCTTCGGAAGATAAGACGAACTGCGGGGTGGAGTGCAATTTGGACAAAGGAAGTCCGTGCATGAGACCGGGGGGGGGGGGATGTTTGGGGGAATGCAGATCCTGAACCTACCAGCTCCTGTTGTACCTCCGGCGCGGGAGGAGGATAGCAGAGTTGGCGACTGATGAACCGTATATTCAGCGCCACGGATTGTCACGTCAACGGTGGGTGCGCGTGGCTCGAGGAAACCCAGGTTACCAGGGGGGATATCTTGGCTGAAGAGGAGAAAGGCCTCTGGGCGTCAAGTCAGTTGATACAAGCTGACCAGTGTGATGAACTGAGACTGAGAGCTTGCGTACCTTCCTCTGCGTCAGTAACCTCCTCGCCATTGGCGAGCAGCTCCTTGAGGCGGCTATTCATGATGGAAGGGTTCGCTGAAGTCAAGTGGTACCTTTCTGATGTTGCTGCGGGATCACGGGACTTGAAGGCAATATACGAGTGGCAATCTAGCAATCTAGGAAAATAGCCTAGGTTAACTTGAAAGCAGCTAATTTATTTAGTTTAATTAGTCTAGCTATTCACTCAGACTTCTACCTTGGATATTCCTATTCTATTCTTATTCTATATAAAATAGCCAGTACTATTCTGTACCGTACTTCTAAGAACCACAATTAGAATGCTTACCCGCAATGTGTTGGGCGGGAAGCCCCAACAGAACAGCAAAAGGGAAACTGATCTACCCGCGGATAAACTAACGACGAAGCTAACTCGGAGGCTTTGGCTCGGCTAGTAAGAGCAGCTACCTAAGTGTACGGTAGCTCGAGGTTGGAACTGAGACCTGGACCTGGACCCATGAACCCGTGTATGCAGCTAACAAAGACTGTTCATAATTCATTTAATTTTTTTAATAAGTTTAATTAAAAAACAAGGACCAAAGAACGTGAAGTGGACTCTTGGGTTCTATCCTATCCGAGGTGCGTCATCTGCCGGGGAGCCCAGCCACATCGCGAACGGACTTTGGGCCCTTCTCCTTGTACGAGTTATCCCCCCTCTCACCTCTCACCTTTAACCTCCCATAGCTCTCCCTCTTTTCTTCTCTTTCCCACCCTCCAGTCAATATTTGATCTTGCGCAATTCATCTGGTGAAAACGTATGTTCCATCCCGAAATGACAGACCTGTCCCCTCATTGTCCCAGCTTCCGGTGTTTTCCCGGTTGCCCCAGACTCCGCTAACGTCACTGCTTGGACCTAGCGGATTTTTCTCTGGTCTCTGAACTCGCGACCAGTCGATTCCCACTCTCATCCCCATCTTTCCCCCCGCGAGCTCAACCGCCAAGATGTCGAAGCGCGACCTCCACATTCAGCCGCGCATGGTCAAGAAGGGCCCTTTCTCCGTCGAAGCCCCCGGTTATGAACCTGTCGAGGGAGAGACCATTCCTCGCCGACACCCGGCGGCCAAGGATGGCCTCATCCTGCGCCCTTCTGAGGATGTTGCGACCACCTACGACAACTTCCGCCGCTCCGCCCGTCTGTTTGGTAACAACAAGGCCGTTGCTACCCGCAAGCTGATCAAGGTCCACGTTGAGAACAAGAAGATCAAGAAGGTGATCGATGGCGTCGAGCAAGAGGTTGACAAGAACTGGTCCTACTTTGAGAAGAGTGGCTACGTTTACAAGTCCTTCCTCGAATACGAGCAACTCTGCCTCCAGCTCGGCGCCGGTCTGCGCACCCTGGGCCTGGAGAAGGACGGTCGAATTCACCTCTACGGCGCGACGAGGTAAGCTTCAAAGTTCCGACCACGCATAAAAGGACCCAATTAACTGACCGGGATTTGTGATTAGTGCACACTGGCTGGCCATGTCACACGGCGCTGCTTCCCAATCCATCACCATCGTTACTGCCTATGATACCCTCGGCGAAGAGGGCCTGAAGCACTCTCTGGTCCAAACCTCCAGCACTGCCATCTTCCTCGACCCGGGCTTGATCAAGCCTCTGTCCAACATCCTGAAGGATATCCCCTCCATCAAGCACATTATCTACAACACCGACGACGACGTCAAGCAGGAGGACCTGGACAAGCTGAAAAATGACTTCAGCCACATCAATGTGCTGAGCATTGAGGAGCTGCGCAAGCAGGGTGAAGAGAACCTGGTGGACCCCGTTCCTCCCAAGCCTGAGGACCTGTGCTGTATCATGTACACCTCCGGCTCGACCGGTCCGCCAAAGGGTGTTTCCTTGACCCAGGCTAACGTAATTGCTGCGAGTAAGTCAAAGTGGGAATGACTAGACATCCCCTGTCATAGGAGTGCATGCTAATCAATCTGATCTCCATAGCTGCCGGTGTCAACGAGATTGTCGGTCCTTATATCAATCACAACGACTCACTCCTCACATACCTCCCGCAAGCTCACATCCTCGAGTTCATGTTTGAGAACCTCTGCTTGTTCTGGGGTGGATGCATGGGATACGGTAACCCCCGAACTCTCTCGGATACCTCGATGCGGAACTGCAAGGGTGACATCCGCGAATTCAAGCCCACCATTCTGGTCGGTGTTCCCGCTGTGTGGGAGACCGTGAAGAAGGGCGTTCTGAACAACCTGAACAAGAACAGCTTCATCATCAAGGGTATGTTCTGGGGCGCCATGGCCGCCAAGAACTTCCTTCTCACCAACGGTTTTCCCGGTGCCACCTTCGGTAGCTCGATTCTGGATGCAGTTGTCTTCAAGAAGCTGAAGGAGGCTACTGGTGGTAACCTTCGCATCGTGATGAACGGTGGTGGTCCCATCTCCAAGGACACGCAACGATTCTTGTCCATGGCTATTGCTCCCATGATCAGTGGTTATGGTCTCACCGAGACCTCTGCTATGGGTGCTCTGAATGACCCCTTGGCTTGGAACCCCAACGCTCTTGGAGACATCCCTGCTTCCATTGAGGTTAAGTTGGTGGACTTCCCCGATGCCGGATACTACACAAAGAACACCCCTGCTCAAGGTGAAATCTTCATTCGCGGTGGCAGTGTGACTTCTGGCTACTTTGACAACGACGAGGAGACCAAGGCTGCTCTGACCGAGGACGGTTGGTTCATGACTGGTGACATTGGAGAGTTCGACTCCAACGGCCACCTGAACATCATTGACCGCAAGAAGAACCTGGTCAAGACCCTGAACGGCGAGTACATTGCTCTTGAGAAGCTCGAGTCGGTCTACCGCTCATGCCCCGTTGTTCAAAATATCTGTGTCTACGCCGCTGAGGATCAGGACAAGCCTGTCGCCATTATCGTGCCTCTAGAGGCTTCCCTTAAGAAGATTGCCAGTGAAAACGGTATCGCTGGAGACAACCTTGAGGACCTCGTGCACAACGAGAAGTTGCAACGCCTTGTCCTGCAACAGCTGCAGAGCTCCGGCCGTGCCGGTGGCCTGCGGGGCATCGAGATCATCGGTGGTGTTGTGTTGTCCGACGAGGAATGGACCCCTCAGAACGGCTTCATGACTGCGGCCCAGAAGCTGCAGCGCAAGAAGATCGTTCAGAAGTACCAGGCCCAGGTTGACAAGGCCTACGGCAAGAAATAAAAAGGAGGCCGGTGCGTTGCTGAGTCTCTGTTTTTGAATCACGTACCTTTTCATTTATTTGTCTCTTTTAATTTCCTACTCTCTTACCCTCTTCCGCGTTTGCGTTTTCCCTGCGATATCGAGCTGTGTTGATATATGCTTTTTGGTGGATGGCTTGTGTTATCCTTTGCCTACGATGTAGACGAGATGAGTGATGAATGCGGACATTACATTTGATGGGCTTGCTATCTCAACATAGGTATCTATGGTATTCATGAATGACAATCCTACTCATTAAATTTTCACCCTTCACGGAAGCCATTCAAGTTCTGGTCGTAAGAATTCCTACTAAGTATAATAGAATCTATACTACTAAATATCCCTACCGACAAAAGTACCATTTATACCACGCTACCGCAGCCACTGTTACACCCGCCCAAGCAAATGACCAGATCAACCTGTCCTCGTGGTACATGTACCTGACAGGAACCTAGCAGAATTGAGCTCCGTTCCTGAGGCAGCGAAAAGGTACAAAACTTCCCGAACCGGTTAGTCCCGCATCCCCATACACGTGACCCGTCTCGATGGAGATGCGATTAGAAAGCTGCCAACCTCCGCGCTGAATACTATACAGCAAAGGAACACAATATCAGACCCAATGTCTCTGTGGAGGTAAGTCATATGAGAAATAAAATATGCATATGCATGTGCAAACCGATACGCGAAATCGAACCGAATCTAATCTCATCAACTCATCTAGTACCTACCGATCTCTCACCCCCAAAACCCGGGCCTTGTTCGGCGTCGGCGTCATGGCTTGGGCTGCCATCGGATTATGGACGTCCCCGCAGGTCGAAAGCGCACTGGGCATGCAGGCTACGAAAGAGGAGCAGGAGGCGTTGGATCGACAGATGGCCGTGCGAATCTCTCGGGCTGAAGGGGACGATCATAAGGGCAGCCAGTCTCGTTGAATTATATAATTCGGGCTCTCGGTTCCCAGTCGGCGCGAGGACAAGCTTCACCCTGTGAGGATGAGGGTGCATACAAGGCGGTTTTCTTCTCGGTTTGGCCCTCGGGATTCAGAAGGGGACGCTTTGCAGCTCGGTGGTCAAGGGCCCGCCTCGCCTCGCTTTTTGGAAGGGGTCTGAGCATCATCGGACCCTTTTGTTTTGTTGCCTGGCTTTTCATATTCTTCTCTGGGCTGATTCAACCAGGCAAAAAGATTATTCCGCCAAGCATGCTCGGACCATGTTGGAAAGGAAGAGAAGAAGAAACGGAAGAGAAGAGAAGAAACCGCTTGTCCGTGCCATTGCCTGAAAGACACCCCTGCTTCACAACTTGCGTATATCTCCATCGGGAATTGCGAGAGAAGGAGAATACTTCTCGCGTTGAACGTGCACTTGCGTCCTGCGCGTCGGAACAACCCTGGTGTCCGTGAGAACAGATGGTGGCCCAGGCCAGATCGAGAGTTGTTGCTGGACACCGGAAGAGGAAGACCAATCAGGAACTAATTTATCTCTCGGACTTGATGGAGTTGAAATGGCAATGCTGTTGCGGGCGACATGTGCGCTTGAGATGATGGTCACGTTCACCTTGGGGGATTTTCTTTTTCTTCTTTGCTTGCGGGATGGGCTGAAATGATGCTGCGCCTCGGAGGATGTCTTAGTCGTATTTGGGCTTTGTGTCTTGCGCTCTCCCTGCTTATGGGGTTGTTGGGTAGGGTTGGGCAATGTTGTCGCCGATAATGGCCATATCATATGATCGACAATATACATCAAGCTTAATTCAACCTTAGGTAATAAGCAGTACTCGCGTATTAGGGAAGATGTTCAACTTGAAGTTTCAACTCTTATTATCATTTCATTGAACTGATTTCTCTCTATATTGTAGATTATAGATGCTGGCCCCAGTGCTCAAAAGGTACATAAAGGTAATTCTATAAGCCAATGCCACCAGACTACCTAGGTAAGAGGCAGTAGCCTGTAAAGGAATCATTGAAGCACAAGGAAGCCAATGCTTCTGCGCGGCATCATCCCAACATTCAATACCCTCACGTGGACAAACAGGAATCTTTATCTGTGGGGAGACAATTCAAGCCCAAAAGCCGTTGACGTGAAACCGATGAGAGCCCAACCTTGCCCATTATTACCGTCTAGTTAGCAGCCATCGGCCTCGCAAGAGAGAACAGACCGGGGCTTCGGACAGATTCGTATCTCGATCTGCATCGGCCGAGCCCGGTCTCTGTCAAACATCGCCAACTGGGTCGGGAAGCTGAAGTTGGGAGGGAAGGAGAACTTGAAGAATCTGCCTCACATAGCGAAGCATAAGCCAGACCGGGATCTCGTTTGCTTGAAAGCTATGTTTGGAGCAGCGAAGACAGGGAAAGCACATGTACAGGAAAAAATCCCGGTCTGGCATGAGCTGCTGGGCACTATCCCGAGATGACCAGCTGGATAGACCTTGTTGCACCGGAAGTACCGAGTTCAAGATACTTTCAATTCACAAATATCTCGAATTTTTACAACTTCAATCGGCTGATGTGTTGATCTCAGATATGACCAGGAGCAAGGTGTACTGATTAACTGGAATAAACACTGATTTTGGCCCTTCAGATGCCCTGTCTATCTACATATCGGAATCATTGTATGCAGTCCATCTGCCGTGCGACGGAAAGATTCAGAAATCCTCCGCAACGGCCTCGCGA